GGGGTCGCGAGTATCCTTCCAATGGACGAAATTGAGCCGGGAATCATACTGAAAAACGTCGGCCACCATCATTTCTTTGACACGAAGGGGAAGCACGAAGCTGGAGGAGGGAGGTACAAACACTGCAGCCTGCAGTGGCAACGCCATAGCAGTAGCTGTATTAATGCGGGCAGAGCCAAAAGAACGAGGGAGATAATCAACAGCACGATATATCATATCCACAGTGCCAGTTCGTTGTTTCAGTAACCCTTGAGAACGAGACGAGGGAAAAAGCAAAGGGATTTGGTGAAATTGGCAGTTGTTAACATTTCGAATGTGATGGCTGAGAAGAGATGACACAGGATGGGCATCAATGGTGGATTGATCATACACCAACAAAGGTTGCAACCATCGAAAGTACAACGCTGAAGCTTGTAGCTGGATGTCGATCACCCCGAGACCACCTTGTTCCTTTGGGAGAGTCCAGACAGACCATGGGATGACGGGGAATATGTTCTTTCTCAAAAATTGTATGGCAAGAGATCTCAGCTGTTTGAAGTCTGCCAGAGTCAACGGAGTAACCCGTAGGATGTACCAAAGTTTGGAGAGCAAAAGAGAGTTCAAGACAGTAGCTCGACCGACAACCGACAGTGATCGAGTAGAATGTATTTGAGTGGCAATTTTGATCTTTGTTACCAGCGAGCCCATGAAGTTGACACGTTGGAGACGACTTTGAACCAAAGGAAACCCCAAATAGATTAAAGGTACATCATCTTCAACGGAATGTAGATGATTGATGTGGATTTGAGCCAACGAGGTCTCCCAAATATCCCATGTATCTCTGCCAGATACCGAAAAGGCCTCCACCTTATCGTAGTTGAATTTGGCATTGGAAGCGCCGCAATACCTGGACATATGTATTTGCAACCGAGCGAGATCAGCAGAATCATGGACAAATACCAAGGCATCATCAGCATAACAAAGAAGCTTGGTTTGTTCAGTTCCCATAAGGTACCCTTGGAATTGACGATCGTTAATTATGGCCAACAAGAAGGGTTCAAAAGCTAGATTGTATAGGATTGGAGACAGTGGATCACCCTGCTTCAAACCTCTCAGTTTCGCCACTTCGGACGATAAGTGTCCATTGAGGTTGATGCGAATCAGGTTGTCACCCATTAACTTGTAGATGCATTTCACCAAAGGGCGGGGGAAGCCAAATTTCAGCAAGACGTGCCGAAGGTAGTCTAAATTTACACGATCATATGCCTTTTCTTGATCAAGGAGAAGGCCAATATCAGTATCCAAAGAGCCAAATGTAGGATCGTCGTCCCGTTGTTCCGCAACTGTCCATTTTCGTTGTGCGTCTTCCATGATTAGTTGACAAATCATACCATTTTCAGCAATATATCGTCCTGGAATGAATCCTAACTGGTGGCGGCTGATAAGCTGGGTAGAGACGTCCATGATACGCCGGTTGATGCATCGAGTAAAAAGCTTGTAATCCGAGTTGGCCAAGGATAAAGGTCGATAGTTTTTCATGTGAGCTGGATCGCCTTTTTTGTACAAAAGACACATAATGGTTTCGTTCCAAGATTTAGGAAACTTACCCTTCTGTAGAGCTGTGTTGAATATATCGGTGACAAGGGCATGCAACGGAGGATATTTCAAAACCAAGTACAGAACCTCGTAAGGCAGGCCATCTGGGCCAGGGCTGCTGAGTCTGCGGGTGTGTTTGCTATCTTCCAAGAGTTCTTCCATGTCGATTGATAACATCAGAGATCCCTGCTGTTCACTAGAGATTTTCAAATGACCAGGGATGGATCGTATCAAAGTACTAAGAGCTACTGAATCAGTTGGGTCGGGAGTAAATAGAGTAGAGTAGAAGTTAGTCGCTATGGTGGAGATACCCTGTTGATCGCGACAGAGTTCATCAGTAGTGGGGTCCCTCAATTCAGTGATAGAGCGCTGATTCTCTCTGGCCAAAGCTCTCCTCTTCAGGAAACCAGCAGACTTCTCACCATTTTCCCTCCAAAACTTGCCGGCTTTGAGAATCTCAATTTCCGCTATAGTGTGTTGCAGTAGTTTGATTTGAGTATTGACATGATCGAGGCCTTGGAAAACCAAACCTCTATGCTTGTGTTGTCTCATCATCTTGTTTCGCTTGGACAGTAACTGATGCAGTTGTTTCTTCCTCCAATTCAGATCTTCTAATTGAAATGACTTGATGAAAATCTTGACTTCAGCTTTTACCCAATCCCACTGTTGTTGAGGAGTAGAAAAGGATTTGATTAGTGTAAATTGCTCTTCATTAGCCAAGAGAAATTCGGCTAATGCCTTGCGAAACTGTCGATTGCGAGCCAAAAATGGGTTAGCCTTCCAGCTGCCAGGTCCTCGTCCATTGTTGTCTTGATACTTGAAAGTGAAGCCTAATAATTCATGATCCGTCCATTCTGGAGAGAGATACTGTTGATGGATACTAGGAATTTGATGATGAGCATTCGTACTGCAAAACACATAATCCAAGATGGCCGAGTTTCTCCCACTATGCCATGTTATCTGTTTGTCATCTCCAAAAATGTCAATGTAGTAGTCATCTAACAGATCCGTCCATTCCTTAGGGGCGCTAGACAATGTTCCGTCCATCCTTCGATCCTTGTATTGATAATTAAAGTCCCCCATAATAAAAGTGTTGTGTAGTGTGTTGGTAATAGTATCCTTAACAATGGGTATGTCAAGGAGTTCTGTATAAAAGGCTGATCGAGCTGATGGAAGCGATGATCGACCATATATGTTTAGAATAGTTGCAATTGGTGTTGTAGTTGTAGATTCCTGTATATCGCGAGTTAGGTGAACAGAAGCTAGTATATAGCGTCCCTCATCGATGCCTTCCGATATAAGATTAATTGTTAAATGTTTGTTGAGGGCTATGATGCCACAATGTTGTGTCCAGAGACTTGATTTGCTGATAAAATGATTATTGAGTATGTCAATTGATGTTGAGTTTGTAGCATGTGTTTCTTGTAACACCAGTATATCATATTCTAGTGTTCGAAGATATCGAATGAATTGTTGTCTTTTTTTGGGATTTTCTGATTTGATTAAGCCACGGCAATTGAGGGTGGCTATTTTGAGTTGATAGTGGATATTATTCATATTTAAAGATTGGTGGAAGGTGGTGTACCTGAAGGTGCAGGTGGTGTCAAATTCCTATCAATCGTATCCGTATCATCACCAGACATGCGCCTGGCATCACTGTGGGGGTTAGAGGTTTCAGCGTGTTGATATCTGGCATAACCGATATCTAAAGATCCTTCCTGGCGGGTTAACTTCTTCGCTGCTTTCGAGGGATCAAATTCAGGATGAGATCTGCGCACATCCTTGGAAACACTGTTTAATGCATCCGCATCAGAAAACTTTGTATTCGTGTTGTTCTCTTCCATAATGGTATCTCCAGTTATTTTGGTTTGTTGTTGAGAAGCTTCAGGGGAGGGTGCATCAGCATTAGGTTGAGGAGCATCCTGCATGATATGATCCTTGTCTTCTACTGGTTTGCTTCGACGTTCAGGATCGGCCCTCTTTGGGGGAGTAGGCTTGGCTCCCTTTCGTTCCTTGGGCTTAGCAGAAGTTCTGTCAACAGCACGAACCTTTGCAGGTACCGATTCTGCGTTGTTTCTATCACAATTCTTCGATACATGTCCACGTTTGTTGCAGTGGTAGCATATTGCCCATTTGTGGTAGTCTGGGCAGTCAGCACGACAGTGATCAGGTTTCTGACACTGGCGGCAAAAGGCTGGCATTTGATCCCATTGTAATAGGATTTGTCGTTGGTCATCTTCCTTCGAGCGAGTGTCCCAAATGATAACTCTCTTGAGAGGTTCCAAGTGTCGCTGTCCACTACATTCAACTCCAGCTTCATGTGAATCCATACATTCATTACCAGGAACATTGGATAAGGTGAGATTGAGGGTGACATATCCTTCACCTTGAAAGATACCAGTCTCTGTCTTGAAAATACCATGATCCAATACGTCTCCAAAACAAGAGAAGCGCTCCGCCATTTCTTTCTTCAGCTGGACAGCAGGAAGAAAAGGTAGCTTCTCCATAGTGATACGCACAATGTTGGCATCTTCGGTAAAAGAGGGAAAGCCCTTCAGGTAGGTCCCATCCTCCAAGGTAATTCCTTGTTCGATGAGAGTTTTTCGGCCAGCTGCATTTGGTAGCCAAAGAGTTTCCAAGAATTGGTGACCAAGGTAGTGTCTAGTTTGTTTTCGATATCCTAGAAAATCCTCATACAGATCATCTCTTTCTGCCTCTTCATTGAACTTGACAAGTGCCTTGTCCAGAAGAGTTCTATCTTTAACTGTAGTCAAGTCTATGAATACCGAGTCCTCTTCTATCCCATTCATGAATGGTCGAACCATTGCAATAGGTTTGGGAGGAGTGGTGTTAGCTGCAGACGCGTTCTGGATCGAGTCGGCAGGAGGGGTGATCAACGTAGGATTGAATGAAACATTTTGCTGTTGTTGTCGTAGTTTGCCCTTCTTGTTGTTGCGAACGACATGAGTCCACAACTCAGGAAGTGGGTGTTGCGATGTCATTACAAAATCCAAAAATATAAAATAGATTCCAAAAAAAGATTGGTCGAGTCGCAATTTGATCATAATGAATGAATCAGGACAGAAAGTTGATCGGCATTTAAATTAATTTGGGTGCTGCTGGCTGGTGGCATAATGGACCCCATTCTCATTATGTAGATAATTGATGCTTTTCAAAGCTCAGTAGAAGGAGACTACGACTTGAAGCAAAGTACAATCGTCTAGCCTGACAATTTTACTTTTCTTATTGCTTTTCTTTGTATTTCATAACGTTATTCAGCCTCAGCTGCCACCGGAAATTTCCTTATTAAGCTTTGAAGATGCCTGTTGACTATAAGTTTATTAGGTTAAAGAATAAGAAAAAGTAAAGGGTTACATATTAGATAGTTTATAAATTAAAACAGTATTAGCAGTGTGCCATATTGGTTATTTGCCGTTGTTGCTGTTATTATTGTTGTTGTTGCCACCAACACCCTAGACGAATTGTCAGTCAAATCAAAACAAAATAGTATAATCTCCATCAAACTTACAGGATGGCCGAAACCGAACCACCAGACAAGGATGGCAATAACTACTGCAAGAATGATAGTGATGAAGAAGCAGCACCATTTTTTCTATGTGCATGTCAAAGACCATGTTAAATTACAGAGCCTTTTACCCTTTCCAACTAGTAACTTACTGCACGAGTTGATCTAGCGAGGATAATTGCTCTATCAACATGCTTTACACCCTGCTCCAAATCAGCCTGTGTATTCTCTGCATTATTTTCAATTTGATCAAAGACTTTTCCTTGTTCTTCCACCATCATTTGCATATCTTCGAATAATTGAGCAAGTTCCTATACAGGGAACAAGGTCAATTGATACCTCATCAGGCAAACCGCTTGCTGATACTTTACCAAAATGGTCTTTTGAATACGCTTAATATCATCATGTCTAGTTTGAACTTCGGATAATACAGCTTTGGCTTGGCCTGATCTACTGTTTTGCATCAGCTGTAATCGGATGGAGGATGTGAGTACATCTGACAAACATGAACACTCAGTCAACTTTACACTTTGAGCAAAAATCTGGTTTTGTTGGTCTGAGTCGATGATGGCATCTACTTCCTCAGCAGTGACATCCTGATTGACTATATAATGTGTTGGCATGGTAACATTCTAGAGATATACCTGTATATACGCACCAATTCTAATTTGTCTTTCAACTCGTTGTCTATATTTCTGGTTGAATGTAGCCTCCACATCCTTATATCGTTGAATACAAGTAATGAATTCCTTTTTAACTCTAGAAACCTAATGTACGCATATTTCCTTTAGTATGTGGATGCCAAAAACTAGTTTTATCTGCCAGGTACCTGAGCCCTACGAATGTTCAAATCAGAATTTTTGGGGTGTCCTGCATTACTGGACTCAAGAGCCTTGATTCTATTTTTAATGTTACTGTTCATGCTTGAAGTATCCTCAACGAACTGAGAGAGCTGTCTAGAATTCTGCTTCCATTGCTGCTCATTGATGCTGACGAGCGATGAATCATGTAAATCGCTGATGAGATCAATGTTGCGATTGATGCTCTTGATGGAAGATGAAATATCATCTACCTATATCAAACATATGAAAATTTGGTCAACTTTGTGTTCCCCTAAATTTCTCCTTTCTTTTTTGTGCAAGAGAAAGTAAGCCAATGCTATAGGATCCCCTTACCTCTGCTAAGAAACCTTCCATGGTTGAAATGTCGCTCTGAGCTGTAGGTGCGACAGCAGTTTGGGCATGATTTCTTTCTTCCATTTCATAAGCTGAGGGTCTGGATTCATAGGTAGTGGTGGTTTGTTGGAATCTCTGATTGCCATTACTACCAGGTGTACGAGTGGGGCCAAATGCATCCGTACTACAAATGTAAGATTAGAAGACATAGCAAGTGTTATTTTCAATTGCACAGTACCTGTCTGAACCACCCTATGCGTTGTGATTGTTAGTACATCCCTCAATATTAGATTAGTCATTCTTACACGAAGGTCAGCCATACGATCTCTACTAATAGTATATCTAGTGTTCTTGTTACTCATTATAAATCACAGAAATTAGATGGTAAGATCAAGGTACAAAGAAAAGAGAGGTAGACGAAAAAGGAGTGGATATATGGTTGTAGAGGAAAATAAAAGAGAGAAAAGACAAAAGAGGGGTGAATGTTACTACTTTACTGTTATGATTGTGTGCCAGCAGTAGGTCCTTGGTAACACCTTGGTACAAAGTTTATTGGGCTGGTATCATAAAGCATTATAATCAAAAATGGATCAGCTACTTTTGCTAGCTTGATATACTTTTGGCATTAAACCAAGCTCTGATATCATCTCGATCTATTTTAGCTATTTCATTGCACATGAAAAAGTTTTAGTAATTCATCGCAGAGGATTAGTTTGTGCTACCTGGGCATTTGATGATGATCCTCTTGCTCCTTTCATTTTAACATGTAGATGACAAATTACAACGAATGCGCCAATCTTTTGTAAAATCGTGGAAAGATTGCTGTTGGCAGTGTAAATGAAGCTGATCTCATGTTGGTTCATTTCAACTACTCAGACTCATTTTTGTCTTGTATTACATTATATGAATGATGACACTGCATCTCTGTTTCTAAAAACTAGTCTGTTGTAAAAAAAAAAAAAAAAAAAAAAAAAAAAAAAAAAAAAAAAAAGGGTATCTCTACAGACCTTTTCTTTAAGCATTTGCCAAATAGCTGTCTTCTCTACTCGCAAACTACTCTTTTGCTTTCATGGTGTGGGACACAACATCTTGATCAACTGCATCCCAATCTCACTACTATACTGATGTACCTGCTCTCATCGAGAATACAATAGATCAAGTGAGATATTTGCATCGGAGATCACACCATATTGTTCAGAGAGACACCGCTGAACGTCGATCCATTTCCTAGCTCGAAGCAACTTTTTCATAAGGTTGCCCGTTTTATTGCCCCATAATTCCAAGTAGTACCAAGAATACCACATGTTGTTTGTAATGAAAAAGGTTAACCCAACCAATAAAAATGAAATGTATTAGTGTAAATTTATTAAGAGATGTGATTATGTACAAGCTGAATGTAAGCATGAGAGATTAATAGGTATAGGTTTAAATAAGCATATGGTATGGAGCAAATCATGCATGAGTGGAGTAGTTGGGTGTATCCAAAGTGGATGCTGTGAGACCACCGATAATTGGCATCATTTGAGCTCGCATTGATTTCTCAACGGGTGACATGTAATGGTATTTCTGCTGCCACCATCCTCCTGCCTCTGCAACTGCAAATTGCTGCGAGTTTGTTGGCAATCTAGTGCTTGTAGTGAATAGTTTTTTGTCAATCTGTCTGCGAGTAGGCCTGTTGTGGAGAGTGTCAAAGACACGCTGCATCTTTTTTTTAGGTTGAGCCAAAAAGTCAAACGAGCACTCAAATCCCAATGGCTCTACCCAACGTTCACCTGGTCTTTCCTTGATGACATCCTGTGGGGTTTTGGTGATATTATAAGCCAAGAAGACTCGTTGCTGCTTCGAGCTGTAATGGTGTTGATGTAAACCGGTGTCTTTGATATCCAGGGACAAGGATGATTTGATGAGATTATGTACCAACAACGCATCGTTAGTCTCAACAAAATCAGGACCAACAAGAGAAGCCTTGTACAAGACGGGTTTACGAAGGAGCTTGGAGGTGTACATTCTCACACTGACTTGCTTCACAGGAGTGAATGCTAATCTTGTCTCTGTAGCCTTGGTTAATTTGAAATCCACGGTGAATCGCCAATGACTCTCTTGGTCAAAGCAGAGTCGTAAATGACATTTGCTGCTGTCCAGCAGCTTTTCAACGAGTACTTTTCTTGTCAGTGTGCGCAATCGGTAGTTGAGGATCAAGGACATGGTCAAAATGTCTGGAATTGACAAGTTTTGAAGGATAGCAACGATGACTTCATTTGGGAAATCAGATAAGGTTTTTACCCCGCATTGTAATGGTTGATACTTATGATTGTTGAATATAGCAGAAATTGGCATTTCTTGTATAGTGTTTAGATTAGATAGAAAACTGTGTGTTGATAAGGGTAAAATAAAAAGGGAAAAGGAGGGGCATCTTTATTATTTATCTCTCTTTTATCATATTCAATTGGTTCAAAGGATCATCAGATTTGATTCTAATGGCCAATACCACGTCGTGTGAATTACGAAAACTCGTTACACATGTTATTGCAATGTCTATTTCAGGTATCTTGTAACTACTGCCTGAGATTGGTGGGACTCGAGTGCTAGCAGCCATCACCTGCTTATTGCGGTAAACGGCATTTAGTTACTCCAGCTTCGTTGTCTCCACAAAGCTGGAATACAATACCATTCACTATGATGTTTTAAATCAACAATGCAAGCTCTATATTCAAGTAAATCAAGATGCTATGCCGAAAGTGTGCAGTGTTCACCTGTCAGGCATTTCATGACCTCCAATCTTCACATTTGTCTAGTATCCTTCATAAACAATCGAAACATAAAATCCATCTTTCACATCATGCATCTCGCTGCAGGATCTCAGCTTTCCAGTTTCATCCAGCTCGTACCATGCAGTGTACTTTTCATTGTATCTCACTATAGTGTCCCATGCTTGTGATGTTAATTTCGATAGTGGCCAATCCATAATGAGAAAACTTCACTTTGAACTCGAGTACGGCCTTGAGCTTCGCCATCCATGCTTGAGCTGTATAATGTAGGCAGTGTACGACGTGTGGCTATCCAACTGATCGACACTTGAGCAGGGGGGGCATTTGAATATGCCACATCCCTCCACATACTGATTCATGCAAAGTCTCTCAAAGAAAGGAAATAGATGTGGTAGTTTTGAGATTAGCAATGAGTCGGCTTTAGTATCCAAAGACGTAAGCATTGAATTTGTTGTTGTTGGGCCTCATTTTGCTCAGAGTACAAGATGGCAGCGTCAAAAGTTTTCCTTGCCATGGATTGTCAAATGAGAGAACTTGTTATAGTCCTTGATCGGCTCGCGCCATCGTTTCAAAAGAAGTGATGAATAATGCTTTCCATTGCTGTTAATTACTGAATAGTGTCTAGAGGATGACGATCCATGATTTGGTTTAGAGTACGTGAAAATGGCACACACACACACACACACACACACACTCTTTTTTTTCAGATGATTTCAAAAGCCACACTTGGATCGCTCCCCGATCGCTGAATTTCATTCTCCAACAATTCAAGCTTACTTTCATTGATACATCAAGGTCTTGACCTAAATTTATAAGGTTTAGTGGGAAAAAACCAGGCAATAAGGTTGACGAAAATGAAAAATGCTTATATGAATGGTATTCTGCAAGACTTTCTCTCGTACGATGAAAATAAAGGCACGTTTTTTAAGCATTCGACAGTGAAATACGCAAACCACAGTGCTTGCTAATATCAGGTGTTGTTGAATAAGCAGCTTGATTCAGGGCATGGTCGTGGTACAAGCTCACTAACCCGGGGGGGGGGGCTCTTTGAAATAAGAATGATAAGATGCTTAGCTTGATTGGATAAGATCATGTCCTGCTCTCCCTAAGATTACAAAAATCGCTCTTTGGTTACCCCAGACATTTCTACATGAATTTTTTTTTTTTATCAAGGAGGAAACATTTAAGACCGTTTCACCCTCTGCTAGTTTGGCGCAAAATGACATGGTATCGTTCTAAATGCATAAACTTTCTCGAAATGATAAGAAAACTATTTATCGTTGCAAGTTGGTTTGACAAGATTTACCATATACAAAATAAATAAGATGTTGTTTTTTTTTTGGTATTGTAGATATGGCCATATTTTCATTGGCTGTCATAATGTATTCAATCAAGTATAAATCTAGCTGCTTTCTCTCTCTACCGTCATTTCTCTCTCTTTCTTCTTCTTTCTTTTTATTCTTTACACCAAGAAATACAGAAAAATGGCTCCCATCGTTACTCCTCAAATCACATCCAACATCCAATGGATCTCTCAAATGAACGTTGATGTTGAACCTACAGCTGGTCGTAAAACCACTGTCATTGGCACCATCGGTAAGTATTAGATGTGGGGTCGTCAACCAAAAAGTAGGGACTTTTAACATGTCGAAATTCAGGTCCCAACACCAACAGTGTTGAAATGATCACTCAGCTTCGAAACGCTGGTTTGAATGTTGTTCGTATGAACTTTTCTCATGGATCTCATGAAGTATGTATTTGTATTTCACGGTATTTTGCGGATTTTTTTTTTTTCGCCATGCTGCGTTTAGGCTCTAAAACAACCATATTTCCTTATTTGTTTCGTAATAGTATCATCAATCAGTCATTGATAACACACGTAAGAGTGTAGAACGTAAGTATATCTGTGTGTGCTTGTGTTTGGGCGTAATTTCATTGACATTTGGGCAGTCTATCCTGGTCGTCCTGTTGCTATTGCTCTTGACAATAAGGGGCCCGAGATTCGTACTGGTAACATGAAGGACAATATCGAGGTAATGTATGGGGCGAAAGATTAAATCAAGATAACGAGCATCCCCCTTGATTCGAAGTTTCGTGTCAGCTGACGCTAACTTTAACTACTTCCATGTACATATTAGATCCCTATCAAGGCTGGCCATGAAATGATCTTCAGCACCGACGACCAATATGCTGAACAATGTAACGACGAAATTATGTACATTGACTACAAAAACTTGCCCAAGGTCATTGAGGTTGGTAAGACTGTCTACATTGATGACGGTGTTCTCTCATTTGAGGTTATTGAGATCCTTGAGGACAGCATCCGTGTTGTTGCAAAGAACAATGGCAAGCTCTGCTCTCACAAGGGCGTCAACTTGCCCAACACCAATGTTGATCTGCCTGCTCTCTCTGAAAAGGACAAGAACGACTTGCGATTCGGTGTCAAGAACAAGGTAGATGTCATCTTTGCTTCCTTTGTCCGTCGTGGCCAAGATGTCAAGGATATCCGTGAAGTATTGGGCGAAGAGGGCAAACATATCAAGATTATCTCCAAGATTGAGAACCATCAAGGCGTCGAGAACTTTGATGACATTCTTCAAGAGACTGACGGTGTCATGGTGGCCCGTGGTGTAAGTTGATAGCTGCCGTCATGAAGCGCATGGTCATTGATTGTATGTATGTGTGTGTATCTAGGATATGGGTATCGAAATCCCTCTTGAGCGTGTGTTCATCGCTCAAAAGATGATGATTACAAAGTGTAACTTGGCTGGTAAGCCTGTTATTTGGTAAGCGTTGCAGTCCGAATTGTTTGGCGCCCCATATCTAACGTCAACCTGTCGATAGTGCTACTCAAATGTTGGAATCCATGACTGTAATGTTTTGTTTGTATATACACACCCGACGTAGGAAATTGACGTAATATTATTATATGTGTAGTACAATCCCAGACCCACTCGTGCCGAGGTCTCTGATGTGGCCAATGCTGTATTGGATGGTGCTGACTGTGTCATGCTCTCAGGTGAGACAGCCAAGGGCAACTACCCCATTGAGGCTGTTCGAACCATGCATGAAATCTGTAAGCTTGCCGAGACTGTGCTCTGCTACCCTGCTGTTTTTAACGAGCTCCGTTCCTTGACTCCTTTGCCCACCGAGACAACTGAAACTGTTGCCTGTGCTGCAGTTGCTGCTGCTCACGAGCAAGGATGTGGTGCCATCATTGTGCTCTCTCAATCTGGTAACTCTGCTCGTCTCATCTCCAAATACAGACCCCATGCTCCCATCATCGTTGTCACTCGTAATCCTCAGACTGCTCGTCAAGTCCACTTTTACAGAGGCTGCTTCCCCTTCCACTATCCCAGAGCCTCCTCTGCTGCTGCTGCTCGCTTGTCTGCTTCAGCATCAGCTCATGCTCATTTGAGTCCTGCGGATAATGCACCCTGGCAAGAGGATGTGGATGACAGAATCAAGTGGGGTATGGAGCAAGCCATGAAATACGGGTAAGTTGCTTTGTATTGTTATTTTCATTGCGTGCTAACTGTCTCTCTCAAAGTTTGCTCAAGAGTGGCCAGCCTGTGGTTGCTGTTCAAGGCTGGAAGGGAGGCCTTGGTAACACCAATACCCTCCGCGTTATTTATTCACCTGCAAAATAAGTTGCTTTTCTTAAAAAAAAAAAAAAAAAAAAAAAAAAAAAAAAAAAGTCTCATCTAAATCAAAAAGAAAAAAGAGGGCCGACACCAAGCTCTTTTGTTGTATCAAGCATATATCACATCCCTATTCCTCATGAATAAAGTATAAAAACAAATTGTATCACATTATGTTGGTATCTAAATATCAGAAAATCCAAACAACAATAGCCTAATTAGGATGCATTGTTGTGGTTTTCTTAAAATGCTGCTCTGTTTCTCTCTGATGTGCCACTGGTTTGTCTTTCTTTTGTATATTCACCTGTTCTACTATGGCCCATTCACCACATGGAAACGATCAATGGAAGATATCGCACAGAGTCAACGCAACCACACAGCCATCATTGTCTTTAGGCAGATCACAATCACCGTTCTCTCGCATAGACAGGTACAGGCCTAAATCACCCATCATCAAGCGAGACTCCCCACAGCATAGCCCTGACCACGATCACGAGCAGCTCTACCCACCAGACAGCATGCAGCAAGATGGAATCAAGCCGGCCACTGTGCAACAAACCAAGGTGGTCCCAGAAGCTGCCATCACCCATCAAGATCACATACCATGGACTTGGTGGTCGGGATACGCTTTCTTTCTCACATGCTGCATCCCCAACTGGGCATTGTCTGCTCTTGGAGGCAAAAAGACCAAGCTCATCCAGCAAGCATGGCGAGAAAAGGTACGCTAGCATCTGTAAGCAGGAGCAAAGTGCTGTGTATCATACTCACCATTTGGATTAGATTGCGCTCTGCAGTGTCATTATTCTTTTGTGCATCTGCCTTGGATTCCTCGCATTTGGCATGCGTCTGGCGCTCTGCCCACATGAAAGAGAGACCAACTCATACTCATTCTACAACCAAAGCACCGGCCAAACAGAGCTGACATGGCGAACGGACATCAATGTCTACGGAAGACTCTACCCATTCGACTCTGTCAACACATTTCTCGCCACACGATACAACATTACCCTATCAAAAGACTTTGAAGGAGCCAACCTCAGTCCATTGTTCGATGCAGATCCTGATAGCCTGTGCAGTTCCTATATGACACCCACCACTGAGCATTGCACTGTCATGAATCCCTACACGCCAGAACCCACAGCTGCGCTCAACCACTCTTGCATTTCTATACACGAATTGACATCGTGGTTCAATGCTGATAATTTGCTGGAATTCAGTTGGGACGACTTGAAGCTTCAGTTGAAACAGCCTGTATTGCTTCATCAGCCCTATTTGATGGTACTCAGTGACACAGTCATCGATATTCATGCTTACCTGGTGGCAAATCAGAGCATTTTCGGAGACAATGTAGACATGCTTTTGAGGCAGACTGCTGGACAGGACGCCACGTACATCTTTAGTGCCTGGGACGATGCCAAAGCAGCTTGGCCCTGTATTTCTCGCATTTATGCAGCTGGTGTGATCTCGAGTGACACAATGGGATGCATCGCCTATGAGATCGTCACTGATTTCTTTCTAGCCATGGTCATTATGCTCATGCTAATACGCTACAGCATGGCTTTGGTGTTTCACTGGTGGGTCAGTCGTCGCTTGACGCTACCGGGTGGCCGTTCTCGAGGCATATTCGCATGGAGATCCATTGCTGGCGGTAATCAGTTCCCCAAGAAGCATAGGCCGTCTAATTCTTCATCACAGGATACACTAGTCGCAGAGAATGGCCTGCTGCCTTCTGTTCCTAAAACGAGCAAACTAGATATATTCGAAAACGATCCTCGACACACCATCTTGTTTGTAACATGCTACTCGGAGGGCAGGGAATCCATCAAAAGCACACTCGACTCGTTAGCAGCAACCACCTACTCCAATGATCACAAACTTCTCTTCATTGTAGCAGACGGTATCATTACAGGCTCAGGCAACAGTAGACCCACATCAGAGATTTGCCGCGATTTACTCACATTGGTGGACTGTGGCCCAGACGAGGAAGAACCAGCATTCGAATACGAGGCCATTGCCGATGGAGCCAAACGAGTCAATCGCGCCAGAGTGTACACGGGGCACTACAAATCCATTCCAGCCATCTTGGTAGTGAAATGCGGCACTGCATTAGAAGCGCATCCCAACAATTCCAAGCCAGGCAATCGAGGCAAACGAGATTCGCAAATGATCCTCATGACATTCTTTCAAAAAGTTATCTTTTACGACGTATTTTCGCCACTGGACTATGAGATATTCTGGAAAATGAAGAAGCTGATGAAGGGAGGACTCTCACCCGACAAATTCGAACTAGCGTTGATGGTGGATGCCGATACAAGAGTAGACCCAGACTCCATCACACACATGGTGGCAGCCATGAACAATGATATTACACTGATGGGATTGTGTGGCGAGACAAAAGTAGCCAACAAAAGCGCTTCTTGGGTCACTGCTATTCAGGTGTTTGAATACTTTATTTCGCATCACTACGCCAAAGCATTTGAATCTATCTTTGGTGGCGTTACTTGCCTGCCAGGCTGCTTTTCCATGTATCGCATTAAAGCACCCAAGCATGGCGGTTGGATCCCGATATTGGCAAATCCAGACATCATTCAAGAGTTCAACCTAACTACTGTGAATACATTGCATGCCAAAAATCTACTGCTATTAGGTGAAGATCGCTTCTTATCCACTCTGATGCTGCGTGTATTTCCAAGAAGACAGATGATATTTGTGCCCCAAGCCACGTGTCGCACGATTGTGCCTGATTCATTTGCCGTGTTACTGTCTCAACGAAGAAGATGGATCAATTCAACAGTACATAACCTAATGGAATTGGCGTTGGTGTCTGACTTGTGTGGCATTGCTTGCTTGTCGATGCAGTTTGTCGTGGTCATTGATCTGATCAGCTCTATTGTTCTGCCTGCTGCCATCCTACTTTTGCTGGCATTTTTCATCAACTTGGGGTTCACTGATTCGCCTCAATATCAGCCACTGTTCATTCTACTTGCCACGCTTGGTCTGCCTGCACTCCTCATACTATTCACTGCGAAAAAAGTGTCTTATATAGGCTGGATGACAAGTAAGTAAGCATGCAGTGAGCGTATGAGTCGCATGGACTGATGTGCGTGTGTTTATAGTCTATATTTTAGCATTGCCCATCTGGAATTTCGTGCTGCCAATCTATTCATTCTGGCATTTCGATGACTTTTCCTGGGGAGAAACTAGAAAAGTCAATGAAACAGCACGACAAATGCACGCCAAAGACGAGAAAACCACGGCTTCCTCTGTCGATCTGACTGTTGAAAAGAAGTTATGGCATCTGTGGGAGCTGGAGCGACTGAAATCACCCACCAACAGGCCTCAAAAGACCAAACGAAGTGCGCCTTATCCGTCCCCTCCTCCTTCACCGAAACCAGCCTACAGAGTAACCACAGTCTCTCCTCAGGTAGTGGGGCTCTCTCCAACAATATACCCTCCTATGTATCAACATCCAATGTATTATAACATCGACCCACGATCCCAACATCAACAGCATCTCTATCGCAATAACATGCATCTTCTGCCACCACATCCACGGCCCCAATCCATCGCCATGTATCCTCAAAACCACCATCCCATGCCCATGTATCAGCAGCCACAACAGCTTTCGCAGAACAGTAATCTGCAATACAATCTGAATAGAAGGTTTTCTACCAGCTTCTACTAATTGAGGATCAGACAAACAATAGACTGACATATAATCTGAGAGAATAAAGATATAGGCAGGCACAAATTCAGGTACACAGAAGCATGTTTGATATTACCTCTTTGAGATAGGGCACTTGGCCAAGTGCACGAGCTTGAATGAGATTTTCATGAAATCATTGGCTTACAACATTGCAAGTTACAATAAAATTTAATTTGTTCTCCCTTCAAATTTTTTTTCCTTGTGTGCCCTCCAAAACCCTCCTGGTCAATGAGTTGTTTCTTTTTCTTTCTTTTTCTCTCTCTCTTTCTCACAAATACTATAAATAATTTCTAAACAATGGGTGTCCAAGACGTTGTAGCTCGTCTCAACAAATCAAAGTCAGCAAATACATCAAAACCCACAAGCAGCATTCCACCTGTGCCAAAGAGAAAGATTGTGATGACAGTGGATGACAAGAGACTGCCACCCTCGCCAGCCATGTCTCCTACATCCACCATCGCCAGCAGTAGCAGAAAAGACGAGAATCCACCCACAGCGAATGGCATTGCTTCCATGATGCAAAGATTTGAGCAGAAATCTCCTTTGCCTACCACCACTACCACCACCGCTACCACCACCACTACCACCACCACTACCACCAAATTACCATCTCCTCCAGAATCACCATCACCACAACAAAACAAGCTAAATGTCACACAAAAGCCTAGAGATGCACATTCTTTGTTCAAATTTGACGCAACCGCATCTGAAATTGTCGATCTCTTTCAGTCATTGCTGGATCAAAATGCAGCTGCAGAGGAGTACATCAAAACACTGAAACAAGATGTCGAGAAATACGCTTCAGATGCCACCAAAGTGAGAGATTACGAGATCCGCGTAGAATACTTGGCACTGAAACTAGAACAAGTGTCGGAAGAGAGAGACTATTTCGAAAAGGAACTGAATGAATTAGCACACAAACAAAAGCAGACTACGGTCATGTCGAGTCCTTTATCCCCTGCATATAGTCAAATTGGTCAGCGGGATATCGTGATTGAAGATGAGCAAAAACTACAGAGCCAAAACAACGATGCCTATATGGCTGACCTGTTGAACGTATATGAAGAGATATCGGATCAAGATGACCATGAAGGGGGCGACGATATGCAACTGTTTGATGAGCAAAGTGCCAGTCAAATACAATCACAGCAAGAAGAGATTGAGATACTGAACGACAAGCTGATTGAATGTGATCGAGGTGTTCAAATCACATTGATGAAATACGTTGCAGACTTGGAAACGCAGAGATTGGAAGCCAAGGCATTAAAGCAAGTTGTCAAGAAGCAAGATGAGCTGATTACAAAGCTGGAGACCAAGATCAAAGAGGTTCCAGAGAACCCTGATGAGCTGCTCAAAGAACAAGTCGAGGTGCAACGTGTGGAACTGGAGAATAAGCGTGAATTGCTAGCACAGCTTCTGAACGAAAGAGAAGACTTGCTGAGAAGACTCAACAGCAATCAACGGAACTCAGTACTAAGGAGATCTTCGATTGAACTCTTGACAAACATCATCAACAACAGACCTGCTTCATTCTCTTCTGTGGCATCATCTTCTGGTAGAGGAACCCCACCTTTGACAGCCCCACCAAAGCAACCATTACCACCATTACCATCTCCCACATCATCATCTTCTGCTTAAATATAGAGCTCATTTAATTGCTTAAATGAACAACCATGTAAATCTCCCCATCTCCATCTCCATCTCTCTCTTTTTTTTTTTTCTTTGTCTCTTTTCTTTTGTACATTTATTATCATCACTTCTTAATGCTATATCAAATAAATCCACATGATTCCTCTTTCTCATCCCCAAGCTGCAGTTGTGCAGTAATTAATTATTAAATGACCATCTGTATTAAAACACTAAAAATGAATGGATTTAGTACATTAAAGACACGTTTTTTTCTTTTTTTTGTTCGGTTAAAATATAGTGTGTACCTTGTGAAGATTGGATATAGTCTCATCGGGCGAGGGAGAAAATGCACTATTAATATACAGAAACTAGAGAAATAGAATTATGCATGCTGCTATTTAGCTTCAACACCAAACAAAACGTACTAGAGGATCTGGCCCCTGGTATCGAAGCTCTTTACGAAGGAACTGTATCACTGTTTGAAACTTGTTTGATGCTGCTAGTTTGAATACTTTTTGCTTCAATATAGGTGCGTTGCCAATAGCTCGAAATACGATAACAACTAGTACAAAGTTGAATATAATCAGATTAACCAAGCGATTCACCATCTCACCTTTAGATGAATCCTTTTCTTTGTATTTCTCAATCACTTTTTCCAACACATTATCCTCCTCCATTTTACAGTGTTTTAGTTGAGAAAAAAAAAAAAAAGAGCTCGTATCAGCAATTTGCGGATGATGATCCTGTTTCTTCTGCTCTTGAATGAGGATATAAAGGGACATACTCTTGTGGCAATTATCCAATCAGATAGAATCAGTTCTTGATAGAATCAAATTTTCATAAATAACATCAGTTTATTTACACTGGCATTGGAAGCAATGGGATTGTATTAAACTATTAAAAAAATAAAGATAGAGGCTTCCATATCTTTATGGTATAGGAATGTAAATTGTAGTTTAGTTGCGCTTGAACATCATAAAGGCCATGAACAAAGCAGCAAAGGTAAGGGCAAAGCTAGGGTAGGCAGTGACACCGGCACCGACAGCCTTGGCTTCAGGTGGGCCTTGACAGTTACCAACACAAGTTAAGCCTTGTTGCTCAGTGGCATTGCGCCATTGACCGCCAAAGAAATAATCACAATCAAAAGTATTGGGCATCTTCTCAGGAGCAAATCGGATACATTGAGCATCGTTGGTATTGGTGGCATTGGAAGGGATACAGGCAAAGTTATACTTGTATTCACCTTTGGAGTTACTAAGTTCACTATAGTTACAAGTCTTGGAGAAGTTGGTGGCGGCACCATTGACATCAAAGTTATTGTTGGACATGCTATAAAGGAGAGGCAATCAGGAACACTGGCCTGCGTTGCAGCTTTGGAGTTGCGTACTTACTTTGTTATTGTATTTGTTGATTGTTGATAATAGAAAGGAAAAATTTCGGTAACTTGTCTTGTATTTATATACTTGTTGGATCCAACAGATAACCTCATCAAGCTTATTGTCTTGTTGTGTAACTTTTTCTTTATGCTCACAAATGAACAATTTACGTCATGTTAGCCACAAAGCACTTCTCACTCGACTGTATCGTCGTCATAAGAGAAACATACAGGTACGGTAATGTAACGATATACAAAGAGCTGCTTGTTGTATCTACAAACGAAGCGTATGTTTTACAAAGAATTTTCTCATTCAGATTCCTTGGGTTGCATAACATTGCATGCAGTGCTTTTTCTATCGTCTCTCCTGTTAATTAATAATGACGATGCAGCGCTCTTGAGCCTCAGGACGCAAACTTGAAAAGTCAGCATACGTTTGGATACTGAGAAATATGCTAGCAAAGTTGTCTACATACGGATCAGACAACACAGCTTGTTTACATAACACGATGCCCTTTGAATGTTGATCATGACGCTATTGTGTACATCAAATTTGGCAGAACACAACACTAGATCTAAAAAAGAAAAAAAATGTGAACATTATGATGGAATACTTTAGAACAGCAAAACACATATGCTTTACTTGTACACTGTATTCTCTAAAGAAAAAAGTGACCTGATGGTGCTTCTCGTTGCACATTTAAAAGCGTAACCATCATTGCTGCTTTTGTTCACCATTGTCAAGCTTACCGAAATTGATACTGTTGAGTATTGCATCATGATAATAATAGGATAACTGTTAATAGACATTACGTTCAAAGGAAACGAACCATTGCAACCTGGCCAAACTATAGAGAAATGCCTTTGATATTGGTTCCCGTCAAGAAAATTCCACGTTTAGCGATCAGGGTTTTCCTTATAATAAAGTACGATAAAGTTTTTAATGCAATTTCCAGTACAAGCAAGTTCAGGTTATTTAGTAAAGAAAAATAAATGGCAGGCATTTGTGTTATCAAGAAGCTTTGAGCGTATCAAGCTTCATTGTTCTTTGGTAGATGATCAAAGCTGCGGTCCCCACGTTTTCTTGCCATAAACACTGTTAACTCTTGAGGAACGCTAAAGCTCTAACGATGAAGCACTGATATACCTGTCTGGTGCTCTCGAATTCGCACGAGCTTGTCTTGCTGCCATATAAATGACATTCATAATAGAGAAACACAGTGTGCCTCAAGCATGACAACGGTTATACTGTATTTTTAGATACAAACCGCCATCAGGTATATACAGCAAATCAAGTAACTGTACGGTTTATTGTAGTGTGGCTCATGATAGTGGACATGCATCACAAAAGACCATTATGCTAGTGCATATACTTATTTGATCCATATTTGCCACGTACTTTGCATCCAGTATTCGTAAATAAAAAATAAGCACAGCTTATCTGCTGTGTATCATCTCAAAGCAACATTGTATAATTAGCAGTGGGTTTCCACTAGTTACCACCATAATGTATACCCTACATCACTTTTCTAACGCACAATTAAAAAGCAGTAGAAACTCTTCCAACAACTACTCAACACTCACTCCCATGATGCTACAGTTTTCGTTTGATAAAACTGCAATAGCATCTGTAACTGTCTTAAATCAATGGAAAGGAAAGGCTGAAATATTAATGTTACAGCTTTCGCAGTAGCATGTTCCTAGAACCAACTTTTACGAGGGGGTAATTGGATGTTTAATTGGAAAAGTTGCTGTAGAAGAGAAATGAACAATTTTCGAAATAAGGCGATTTTGAGCAAAGACTTTGATATAAAACCTGTTGAATACTGTGAATTACAAGTAATTACGAGGAACGGATTGATAGATTAGGTATTGGAAAACGTTATCTTCAAAACCACTTGATTATAAGATGCTTTGTTGTGGTTTGGCAACGAGACAATATAGCCGTTGTTGTGCTGCGCATTTCAGCTGAGGCTGGCCTTTTAGCACTGAAATCTATGGGAATTGACGAAATAGCTTCGATTAAAACTTCAAACAATAGGGTTTTTTGGGCCTACATAATGAACGGTGCTAAAGATGGAGTGCTGCAAATTCAGTGTATTCTTCTTCCCTTGAAAAACCTTCACAAGATATGAAAATCTGGCCGTTTTGAACAAAACCCGGAAGTAGACTATCGAGTGTAGTATTATTTGAAACACATTTTTATTCTGCACCATATTACGTGAATAACATAACTCTATTTTTGAACTTTGGACAAACCTCCTGCTTAAAGGTGGTAAAAAAAAATAGTAAAATACAGGATTTTGAGCAAAATCATGACGGGAACATACATTTAGAATTTGAAATGTCTATCAAATAATAAATTCTAAACAGAGCTATTGAATGGTCTTTGTTTTGTGCGAATCCGGTGAGTATTTGTCGAGATATGGCCAAAAAAGGTATCTTGCAAAATCATGGATTTTTTTTCTTCAAAATTTGCCTGTGATAGCAAGCAAAAAATTGGGTGACCTTTTTTTGGTCAGGATAATATTGTCAATATCTCTTGATAGAGTTTTGCCAGAGCTTCAAGCAATAGCTCATTCGATGGAAAGTCTTTTGATCTACAATGTTTAGTAATGCGTAACAAAATGTTTTGATGACAGATACTAATTAATCTTTAGAAAACAGTCAAAAAATTGCAGAAACTATCTCATCAACAATCAGTTAGACAATATGCACCAGACGCTTGATATGTATACCATTTTATTTCCCTTTGAATTCTTTACAAGTTTCATATAAGTTTGAAGGGGTGTTTACTATCAAGAAACGCGTGATTTTAAAGTCGATAGATTTTGGAATCCCATGGATCATCATTCAGAACAATAGAAATCGAATCTCCGCTGATCTTTAGCACGTTTACACCACATAAGTATGAATTTGAGTAAGAATTTTAAGAATCGGAGCGTACAGAAAGGGCAATTTTGGTTTTGGATATAGATCATCTTTGAGGAGCAAATGTATTATATGTTGTATAATACGGAATGTAATGTAATAACTACTTAAACGCAGCTTGATTGAAAACCGAAATTCATCAAATAGCGCTCATTCAAACTTATACTATCTGAATTTATTAATAAAGCGCTCAAATGTACATCAACAACCATTTAAACATACTAAAGTAAAGATGCACGCTTATCTCGCACATCGTGTGAATGAATCACTCTTGACCACATTGTATTCAACCACATCCGTGATGGTCGCAATAAATAATGTTATCGTTATCCAAATAATAAAATCAAATCAATAACAAGCATTGCGGAATTTGAGGCTTAATAAGACTAAAATTCACGGAAAAAAAATATATAGAAAACAATAAAGTCAACTTGATAAAGGTATGTTTATTATCAAACTGACTGGTGCGTGTAAAGTAAACAACTGAAGTATTGTTGTAACTGTCTGAAATACGTGAGAATGGATATGTATTTTTATTTTTCAGTCAAATCAGATCGAGAGAAAAGGGAAGGGTGAATGTCTACTGCTATTTATATGTATGATTTATGGATTGCTTACACACCCGTCTAGAATGGTGTTCTCATGCTAAGTTTTAGTGTCAATCCTCACTTATGCTAAATGGTAATTATTTCAGATATAGATGATCAGTCTAAATATCTTTAGTAGCTCTTGGCAACGTTAATTACTTACATTCCTTATCTGCTATCTTTTGACATATAGAGAATAGCTTATCGAAACTTAGCTTATGTGAATATCATGATTATCGTTTACATGTTGAACAGCTTATTTACATATGCTCCATATGTGCATAGTTTATTGCTCAATTCAATCTACGACATTATGATTCAGGAACAGTTATATGTGTGAATACAACAAGTATCTCTACTACTGGCCAGCAGGTAGATGATCCTTCTTATATACTATAACAATGGATAAAAGCTCTATTAATTAGACTAACAAATAAGTCAACTCAGATCAACTAATGTCTAATCATGCTAAAAGACAACTCCAGCAAGCTAATCATGATTTAGCTCTGTCTGGATGAATAATTAGACTCTCATCCGAAGTACCCTGATCTATCCTTTCTATAAGGATAATTAATATCGATCTAGTAGCATGTATCCAATAGGTACAGTCTCCTTAGTCTATATCAATAGTATATATCTGAGTGTATATCGCTGAGCATACATCTTTAGCATGTATCTGGATATATCGCATGTCTATAGCATATCGTATGCATGTCTATATCATGTCGACATGATATAGTACAAGTCTTCTGTAGTACATAAAGTATATGTAGCTAGTATCACGGATATAAGCATGTGTCTTATAGCGTGGATCATGAAGTGCACATCTGAAGCAACAAACTCTTATTGCATTAATCTTGGTGCTTATCCAGATATGGTAAACATCCGTAGTCAATGTCGGAATACAAGTATAAGTCTATAGCGCCATCCATGTCCGTGGCGCCATCTATAGCCTATATCTTATATAGTATGAATCTTATAGTACTAGCGTATCTGAAGTCCATATCTTCTTATAGTATAAATCGATATCGTACTATACATCTAATCCAGTGTACATACAGTTTATATCTAAATCTGGTAACTGGATGAACTGTCGGAATGCAGATCATAGTGGATGTATTCCACAATAGATGTTTAACATTATGGATAGACTTTAAGTTTAGTTTTACGGTTAGGTGTGGCGTCTCTCTTGTGGAGAACAATCAAAAGTGACATGCTAACCTGATGAGCATCTAATTTAATCCGAGCAAGTCATTAGCTTCAAATTTGCATAATATTATTGACGCTCCAGTGTCCAGATTACTGTAATCGCGCATCTCAAAAAGCAAGATCTGAGCCTTGGAACTGGAATATACTTCATCTATTACTTGGAAGTTGAGTTTTCTACAATGCAGAACACCTGAGTCATCTGATAGAAGTGTAATTTACTTACTCTTCTGGTAGCGCAACCCACTACGCCGTCGTTTTAGGTCGAATTCTGTTCATATCTAGCCATTTTCAAGCACGAGTAACTCATGCCATAAAGCGTTTTGAGCGCTTGGAATAGCACCACACGCCTCCTCTTGGCCACGCTTTACTTCCTGTTGCTTTATCTCAATTTTTTTGAGTCATTGCAAATTCATGAAAATCATCGTTTTTCCATGAGTATTAGCAAGAGAAAATTTTTGGAAATCAAACGATCGCGTTTTTCACGTCAAAAGTGAAGACTTTTCCTATGATACATATTGAATCAAATTGGCCGCAAAGATGAAACAAAACATTGGAAGCTCTTTCTATAAAACTTTCATATGCTAAATTTTGACATATTCACAGAAGACCTGTTTTCATATTTTTGCAAATCGCTCATTATTTTTGGTCTGAAAGCTAAAAGTGATTAGCACCATTCGATGAGGCTTCTTTAAACCTCTAGAGCTGTATTAAAAAGCTGGGCGTGACAACGACAGTTTTCATTGTTAAATTTAACAAAAACGTTTAAAGGATGTGAGGTCAAGTCAAGTTTGAACACAAAAATACCATTGCACATATTCAAATTAAATTGCCGCAATTACTGCTGCAACGGTACAGGACTGAGACCAAATCAACTAGCCGTGACGTCGGATAGGACGCCCTCTCATTGTTCCATACTCCTATTTTGTTCCCTTTTTGCAAAACGCGTTTAGTATCAAACCATGGCTCTTTTGGAAACCGTTTGATTGGTATTAGCAATGTAGCTTCTAATAGCATTGTCTTGTGCTGTTAGAAGAGCTTGATACTGATTCTTTGAAGTGGAATACATCAGGTACCATTCGATAACGAGCATTGGAAGGCGTAGAATTAAGACTAATTGAATTTGTTTGTTAGGGTTTGATTATTATTATTTTTTTGCCTGTTTGACGTGGATGCTGCTGCCATTACTTCTCTGTCATCTCTGCTGCCTGCTTCTTTGGTTTATCACGTCTGGTGGTTGCTTCTTTGACCTTTGTATAGTCTCTGCTGGTGGCGTTCGTTCCTCGGTTTGTCTATGGTGCTGGTGTTGCTGCTATTGCTGCTAATATGGTCTTTCCTGGTCTACTGTGTTTGGTGCATGCTCGTTCTCTGGTCTATTCATGGTAGTGGTAAGTGGTAAATATCTTTTTTCTTTTGGTCGCGATGATATAAAACTTCTTTGAACGCTTATATTATTGCTTCCTTTCTCGTGATAACGCATTCATGATGTTTGCCTTGTTGCGCTTTCTTTTTCTTTTTTTTTTCTTTTGTTGGTAGTGTTTCCTCTGTAACTTTACAAGAAACAACGTTAGCCATTATGTTGTACTGCAAACTTATAATACCATTGTTGCTTTTGCAGTTGTGCGTATTTGTGCCATGTTGCTTTACATCCGACTATTACTACCACCATGCATGTTGCTCATGTATGCATTTTTGTTGCAACAGCAACGAGCTTTTTTGAACGTCTCTGATGTTGTATTTGCTATACTTTTCTTTGAGTACTCACTTTGTGTGAGTATCCCTTTTTTGCCTACCTACTACTATACTCCTATTGTAGTATGTTCTTTTCTTTTATTATTATCATGTTTCTTTGAAGCATACCTTTTTTTACGTTGTGTGGATGTGCCTATCCCTGAAGCTCAACAAGACTCTATCCGAGGCTAGGAGGTAGATAGGCTGCCTCCACTTGGTTATCGCTACTTACTTTAGTGATGATTGAGGGTCTCAATGCCAGAATTTAAAGCTAGGTGGTGTAAGTAAGGCATGCTCTAGCACCTGGGGGAAGTTTGATGATAGCAGCGGCTATATTGCTATTATAGCGGCGCTTAAAATTTTGCCTCACATCAGAACAGGGGGAAACCCTCGCAAAATTTTTTTTAGGTCAGCGGAGTTTTCAAGCAATCTGATTGGCTCAGAAGCTCAGGGACCGAAGGATTCTAGCTAGTTGATTTTCTGTTGGGCTGTCATTTATAATGAGTATATGTTTGTAATAAAAGGGTATCTAAATAGATACAATTTGAAGCCTTATTTATTATTTGAAAGCATGATGAGATATTGTTGTTTGATCTGGCTTCCGTTACACAGTTTCATATAAAGGATGTACTGCATATTAAATCCATCGTGAGGGGAAGTTCATACTATTATAATAGGTACTATAGCATTACACTAAATACTATTCTCAGGTCCTCCCAGAGTCAATGCCCCACCAAACATGCGTCGTTGTTTATCATTGATTTCCAACATGCTTCCACTTCATGATTTGCTATCTTTCGTCTCATATCAGATTCTAAATACACAAAAATGCTTTCAATTTCGAGGCTTGAGTCACCGAAATCAAACTTTGTAATATTGATACTAGAGCACTGAAAGTAGCATGATACTAAGCGAAATGCTGCGAGAAAAAACGACAGTTTAATTGAATTACAGTTTGGGTGGGTCTTTGCTAAGGAATGATGAGAAACTAATGATTTTCAAAATAAGCTAAATTTGAACCATGACTTTTATATGAGAACCTGCTAATAACTGTAATAATAATGAAACAGCTACCCAGAAGCAATTTGATTGAATGCCGGAATTTATCAAATAACACTCATTTATATTCATGCTATTTGAATCTATTGATAATAAAACGCTTAAATGTACATAAACAATTATTCAAGCTAATATTCTTAACGACGATTTGCTCGACTTAACTTGTTGATCGATACTAGGCATGTTGGTGCTTCCTGCTTCCAAGGCTAAACGACTGTGGCATGATTTGTTTAACTTCAGGAAGATTTGCAGTTTAAGATATACTACAAATTCTCTCCCCTGCTTAAGAATGCTATGTCAATTACTACCACACAAATCAGGACTTAAGATAGTTGGTTTATTTTCAATTTTTCTTTAACGTTTGTTGACTCCATCGTAGAATATGGCTGTTAGTCGCGCTATATGCGGCCCCGACGAATTTGCCTTGCCCATCTCAATAAATAACTGTAACTATGCAATGTGTCTATGGTCTATGCTCCAGCAAGTAAGGCAGCAAAGTAGAAAATGAAGGATTTAGGTTGAATTCATGACGGTCTCAGGTTTGCTTTGAATGTCGCGAACTGTTTTCAGTTTTTATGGTTTGGTTTAGCTGAAAAAGTAACAGGTATATTGAACTATGAACGATAGGGATAAAAACTAAAGTAGGAAATCAAGATATTGCTTATTTTACGATTCAGTTGATGACAATATTCATACTAGTCTGTAAAGCCGCCCCCAAATTCTAGCAGTGTGAGTTCTCAGATCCTGATGTATAGCAATAATGTTAAGTGTATACTCTCCAAATCTTTCGGAAATTTGAAGGATGCACTCCCCTGAAAATATCACAGGTTCCATTTTGGCGTGATGGATTGGATGGTAATTGGATTTGCAAATCAACGTTTACAAGGAAAAGGCAGAGAGGAAGTGGGCATTGTCAATCAAAAAGAGATATAGTTACACTCCTGCATTCATCAAACAAAATAAGACACACCATGTTTGTTGTTGATGAGGGTGAACCCCGTGTAACATAATGATGATGTGAATTACACACTAAATTATATTGAGTTGGCCACATTTCGCTCGCTTTCTTTTTTTTTGGATACTTTTACTCTCATAAATTTGAAATATCACAACAGTATATACTTAAGGTACATTCATCTTAACATAATCATGTACATGAATAAACAAATGCTATCTGCGTATATTTGTGTATGTGCGGTCTTTTTTTTTTCACTTTCTCTCTCTCTCTCTCTTTGTGTGTGTGTGTTTTGGACCCCTTTCTTTTTTCCCTATTTATAGTGTTCCTTAATTTTTCTCTTCTTTTGCCGTTTTCCTTACTTGTTTTTCATTTTCCTTTGTATACTACAATATTTAATATCTATTTATTTTTCTGCTACTCATTATAGGATACTTTTCTTGACTGTCTGCAACTATGGCAACTACAGCAATAGATCAAGTTGGGCTTCCAGACAAAGAAGTCCAAAAACTATTTCAATTTCATGATTCTCTATCGGATGCAGATCTCACAAGCCTATTCCCAATAGTTACTTCACAGCTATCAAATTGGCTACAATCCATTCATTTGGCAGTGTTTACACTGGAGCAGAATGTGCAGAGACAACATGTACAAAATCAAGACTTGAAGCCACTGGAATTAGCAATGGAAAGACTAGAGCCATTTATTCAAGCATTACCAGAGATCAGCGAATTGATTCCAACAAATAGCGCATATATGACAACCACCAAAATCCAATCAGAATGGTCTAGTTTGCAGCATTTTCTGGCATCCGTCAAGAAACTCGTCTTTGCATCGCAAGAAACTTACTCTGTCGCATCAACCTTAAATCAACTCCTTGCTCAAATGGACGATGTATCTCTATTGATGTTTGATTTTCAGGAGAAAAAGCATCATGCAGCTGTGCCGACGTCATCTCTATCGGAAAGGGCCGGTAGTGAAAGCACAAACAGCTTTTACAGTGATAGTGAAACGACCAAGCACAAGGATGATCAAGCCATGGCGGATTTGGATGCGGTATTCGAGCCCTTATTCAACACAATGGAACACATGTACCACCGTATGGCGCAACAAGATGATCCGATATTGCAAAAAAGGTTTGACAAAGTTAAAGACAAATGGGAATCATTGCAGCATGAGCGAGACGAACTGAAATGGGAACACAAGGAGGATCGCTGGCTTACAGTATTTAGAAGAGTGGCAGATCAAGTAGATGTCATGATCGATGGACTGGACCGCTCCGTTGTCCAATGCTACTCATTGATTCAGCACATGAGAGATTGGCAGGCTACTCAACTGCCAGCAACACCAACATCTGCATTTGACAAGTTCTCAAAGGCATTAAGGCTACATCCCAAGGCGTCTCCACCAAACACACCTCCGCCAGTGGATAAGGAGAAGTTTAGATCTGTTGAAAAGAGCTTCGAAGCCAAGTACAAGTACTATACACCTAGCATTGACCGCATGCTGGCTATGCTCGGCAATGGCATTTCCGCAAGAGCATCACGAGACAACCAAACATCACAACGCCATGATTCCATGCTGCAAAGATGGCACCATTTGAAAGAAGTAATGGATGAGTTGCGAATGAGGGATCTGGCAGAGACAGAACGCATGCTATCGTCATCATCATCCATATCTTCAGCGTCCAGTAGCCCCACTGATTTCAACAGCAATCATAGTCGATGGCGAGGCATACGATACCGCACGCCTGAACCGTCTAATGAAAGACATGAATGGGGCCGTGTACGTAGTGTTACCCCAAACCATGCCTTGGGCCGATCCTCGCCTCGCAAGAGTATACCAAACAGCCCGCAAACAGAATATTATCAGCAATCTCTACTTAGAGGCAGTATATCCGATTCATCATCTGTTGGATCATCACCTCCACCGAAAAGACAAACAAAAACCCCAAGACCGACCCGAAATAGCAGCACATTAACAACGCAACAAGAGGATTTCTACGATGCAGACGAGAGGGATTACGGCGTCGATTTGATGAAATTAAGCAAAGCCAACACAGCTACAGCAAACAAAAGATCTCCCAGCAGTCTGGGAACACGGCCTGCAACAGCGACAGCAGCGACACCAAGATCCAAAACACCCAATCCACCTACACATAGGCGCTCAACAGCAGGAGCTGGTGGCGTACGATCCAAAAGCAGCATGGGCGATATATCTACACGAACCATGTCGCCCAGTTTTAGTAAGCGTTCGGTCACGCCTTCACTGATACCCAGACCAAAAACACCTACTAGCCGTTACGGACAACAACAAAAGCTACCACCAGTTCCACCTATACCAAAGTATGTTAGCCACAGAAAACCCGACATATCAATAAGAGATGATTGTATATATCGACCAGATCCGAAAGACGCATTGGATGTGGAAGTAGCTCATATTGTCAATGCAAGTCCAATATCTATTCAATGTCAAAGAGCACAGCCTGGGCGATACTATTTTGGAAACGAACTGAGCATGTCTTCGATGGGAGGCAAAAAGATGTACACTTGCAAACTGATGACTTACGCTGATCGGCGAGGAGGCCAGTTCAAGAATAATAAGGTTTTGATCCGTGTGGGTGGAGGATGGCAGGATCTTGAGTTCTTTTTGCTGGAACATAGCTCATTGATGGCCAGTGATGTCGTTGTACGATCTTTTGGTGCAACTGGTAACACAAATCATGGCTGGCGAAATTAAAATCTGTACTATAGTGTAAGCATCTAACAATAAATAAAACTCTGTGTAATACTCTCCTGAGAATTCCTTTTAACGTGTAAAGTCATAATGAACCAAAACGGTCGTCATCTACAACATCTGGCATATCACTCAGCATCCGTACAGTCAACGATACGCCTCTCACGAATCCAGCATTGCGTACTGAAGTAAGATATGCAAGAGATTATCTTTTTCTTTATGTCACTGGGTCTAAAAGTCAAAATAATGCTCATCATCATTGCTGTTGTTGCTGTATTGAACCTCTTCTGAAACAAGTTTCGTCTTTTTTTCACTGGAACTCCTATAACCCTCCCCACCCATCTTGAGGGTTTTCGTTTCTTTTTCTTTTTTAACTTTCCTTCTTATATTCGAAAAAAAAAGGTACAGCATCTCTCAGCATGGTATTGTCACACTACTAACGCGCTCATTTTACAGGATGTCACAACCTCAATCTCAACAGCACCTGCAAGCTCACCAGCCTGTACGCGAGCACTCTGTTGAGACTATTCGTAGAAATAGTGAAGTCATGGGCAATCTTCGTAAATTGATGGTGGCTAACCGCGGTGTAAGTATTGTCATGGCAACCAAGCGTTTTCTCCTTCAGATCAGACGCTTGATGAGATTTAACAGGATTGAATTATAGGAAATTGCTATTCGTTGCTTCCGTACAGCACATGAGCTATCCATGAGAACAGTGGCCATTTTCTCCAATGAAGATAGATTATCTATGCATCGTTACAAGGTGAGTCAGAAGTCGCAATATTTTCTAAGGGTTTTGACACTGATGGTTTTGTTTTTACAAAGGCCGATGAATCTTATCAAATTGGCCAACTCGGCCAATTCAGTCCTGTGGGTGCTTATTTGGCTCAAGATGAGATAGTAAGAATTGCAAAGGAGAGAAATGTATCCATGATTCATCCTGGTTACGGCTTCCTGTCGGAAAATGCTGAATTTGCTCGTAAAGTTGAAGCTGCTGGCATCACATTTATTGGTCCTTCTCCCGAAGTCATTGACAGTTTGGGCGATAAAACCAAAGCAAGAACTATTGGTAAGTGAGAGCACACGTGTGTGCAAATCTGAAAGTGTGGTATTTACTCTATGAAAATTAGCCATGAACTGTGATGTGCCTGTGGTGCCTGGTACGCCCGGTCCTGTCAGCGAGTTCAACGAAGCCAGAGCCTTCATCAAGGAGTACGGATTTCCCATTATTATCAAGGCTGCCATGGGCGGTGGTGGTCGTGGCATGCGTGTTGTTCGTGATGAAGCGTCATTAGAGGATTCTTTCCACCGTGCCAAGTCTGAAGCACTCTCTGCCTTTGGTGATGGTACCGTGTTCATTGAGCGTTTCCTCGATAAACCTCGCCATATCGAAGTCCAATTGCTTGCTGATCGTGCTGGTAATGTTGTTCACTTGTTTGAACGTGATTGCTCTGTTCAACGTCGTCATCAAAAGGTGGTGGAGATTGCTCCCGCCAAAAACCTGGATAACAAGTGTCGCGAAGCCATTCTCAATGATGCCATCAAGATTGCCAAGGCTGTCAAGTACAAGAATGCAGGTACCGCTGAATTCTTGGTCGATGATCAAAATCGCCATTATTTCATTGAAATCAATCCTCGTATCCAAGTTGAGCACACCATCACTGAAGAAATCACTGGCATTGATATTGTTGCCGCACAGATCCAAATTGCTGCTGGTGCATTGCTGCCCCAACTCGGTTTAACGCAGCAACGTATCCGTCAAAGAGGGTACGCCATTCAATGCCGTGTTACTACGGAGGACCCTGAAAAGGGATTCCAGCCTGACACAGGAAAGATCGAAGTCTATCGTTCTTCAGGCGGTAATGGTGTTCGTTTGGACGGTGGTGCGGGCTTTGCTGGTGCTGTTATCACTCCTCACTACGACTCCTTACTTGTCAAGGTCACTTGTACTGGTTCTACTTATGAAGTGGCTCGCAGAAAGGTTGTTCGCGCCCTGGTCGAGTTCCGTATTCGTGGTGTCAAGACCAATATCCCCTTCTTACAACGTCTTGTCACTTATCCTACTTTCATGACCGGCAACTGCTGGACCACTTTTATCGATGACACGCCTGATTTGTTTGAATTGGTGCAATATCAAAACCGTGCTCAACGTATGCTGGGCTATCTAGGTGATGTTATCGTGAATGGATCTCAAGTGAAGGGCCAAGTAGGTGAGCCTACATACAAACATGAGATTGATGTCCCCGTCTTGGTGGATGCTCAAGGAAACAACATTAATCCCACCACTGCTGCTCCTGATGGCTGGCGTAAGGTACTGCTGGATCAAGGCCCTGAGGGATTTGCAAAGGCCGTTCGTGCTTATCCTGGTGTCTTGATTATGGACACGACATGGCGTGATGCTCACCAGAGTTTGTTGGCCACGCGTGTCCGTACGATTGATTTATTGCGTATTGCTCAGACCACAGCTCATGGTCTTTCCAACGCCTTCTCTCTAGAATGCTGGGGTGGCGCTACATTTGATGTTTCTATGCGTTTCCTTCACGAGGACCCTTGGGACCGTCTTATGAAGTTGCGTAAGGCTGTGCCCAACATTCCCTTCCAGATGCTACTTCGTGGTGCCAATGCGGTAGGCTATACCTCTTATCCTGACAATGTCATCTACGAGTTCTGTGACAAGGCTGTCAAGGCTGGTATGGATATCTTCCGTGTCTTTGATTCTCTTAATTACGTTGAAAACATGAAGCTCGGCATTGATGCTGTCAAGAAGGCTGGTGGTGTAGTAGAAGCTAGTATCTGTTATACTGGCGACGTATCGGACAAGTCTCGCACAAAATACACATTGGAGTACTATGTCGACTTGGCACAACAATTGGTCAATGAAGGCATTCACATCTTGGGTATCAAGGACATGGCTGGTTTATTGAAGCCTGCTGCGGCTACCTTGTTGGTGGGCACATTGCGCGAAAAGTTCCCTGACCTTCCTATCCATATGCACACGCACGATACTGCTGGCACTGGTGTGGCTTCCATGATGGCTGCTGCTGCTGCTGGCGCTGACATTGTTGATGCTGCTATTGATTCCATGTCTGGCATGACTTCTCAGCCTGCTATGGGTGCTCTTGTTGCTGCTCTCGAGCAAACCAACATGGGAACTGGTATTAGCATGAAGAATGTGCATTCTCTCAATTCGTATTGGGAACAAGCTCGTCTCTTGTACTCTTGCTTTGAGGCCAATGTTAAATCTGCCGATTCCGGTGTCTATGATCATGAAATGCCTGGTGGCCAATACACCAACCTGATGTTCCAAGCTCAACAACTCGGCTTGGGCACGCAATGGATTCAAATCAAGAAGGCCTATGCTGAAGCCAACAAGCTTTGCGGTGATCTTGTCAAAGTCACTCCTTCTTCCAAAGTGGTGGGTGATTTGGCTCAATTCATGGTGTCCAATGGCCTCAGTGGCGAAGAAGTGGAAGAGCGCGCTTCATCTTTGTCTTTCCCTACATCTGTTGTTGAGTTCTTCCAAGGCTATTTGGGTCAACCTTATGGTGGCTTCCCTGAGCCTCTTCGTTCGAACATTATTCGTGATTTGCCCCCTATCAATGGTCGTCCTGGTGCCACTTTGCAGCCTCTGGATCTTGGCCAACTCAAAGCTGAACTAACCGCCAAGTATGGCAACAACATTCGCGACTACGATGTCATCTCTGCTGCACTGTATCCTCGTGTATTTGCAGATTACCGTGAAACTGTCAGCCAATTTGGCGATCTGTCTGTCATCCCTACTCGCTACTTTTTGTCCAAGCCTGAGATTGGAGAAGAGTTCCAAGTTGAGATTGAAGAGGGCAAGACATTGATCATCAAGCTGTTGGCTGTGGGCCCATTGAATGACACTGGTAAGCGTGATGTCTATTTTGAGTTAAATGGTGAAGCCCGTGTTGTTGGTATTGTAGACACTAATGCTGGTAAGTTGTGGTTGTCATGAGATGGAATGCATTTGACTTATTTGGCCTACTTTAGCTGTCGAGGTTGTTACTCGCGAGAAGGCTAATCCTGGCAAGCTTGGTGATGTCGCTGCTCCTATGTCTGGCGTCGTTATTGAAGTTAAGGCAAAGGCAGGTCAGTTAATCAAGGCCGGCGATCAAATTGCTGTATTGAGTGCCATGAAGATGGAAACTGTGGTAACTGCTCCCATCTCTGGTAGAATCGACCGTGTTGTCGCTCAAACTGGCGATTCATTGAACTCTGGTGATCTGGTCATTCAAATCGTTCAGGAAGAGTAGTTGCCTACTATTGAAATCATCTCTATTTACGCATCCTCATCAGCTTATTTCATTTAAATAATAAATCGCCGTCCTTTCAGTCTAAAAAGCCAGTTTTTGTAGAAACGTATAACGTAGTTAATTGAAGTATTACCATCTTGACACTAGTGCAAACTATTTTTGAACTGCTATCACTAGCGTCAAGATAATAGTAAGCGATACCCCACCCATATACAAAGTTGACTGATTTACTCTTGTTGTCCACATTAAATCTCAGGGCCGTAATGATAGCGTGAGGCATGTTGATATGCATGATGCTGCTGAAAGTTTTACTAGTTTCACCAAACACTTGACTGGACTCAGCAAATTCTATGTGGAGCCGCTTGCCATGCCGCCTTAGATCAACATTCATGCATTGAGCTTGAAAACGATTGGCAGCAATACTGTCCACTGCATAAAATACAATTACAAATCTGGATGCTATCTACAGTATAGTGGTTCAAATATACAGGCTTTTATTCAATTGAGGAAGAATGTGTGCTCAACCAGTTAACCTCATCCATAATGCGGGTGGCGATTGTGAGTGGATTCATGAATAAAAAGTGGTAATCACTGATGGATCTGTTTGTATCGAGTCCCAAATATGTTGGTATCTAAATGACAGCAAGTTAGTGTCGCTCATGATACTCGAATCTGAGCCAATGCTTACCTTTTCTAGCGTGGACTCTGTGTTGCTTGTATCAGGAAAATATGTAAATAGGATTGGGATCTGCTTTCCAGGGTTATATCGTTGTAAATCTGCTGTTAATTTATCGAGTCTTTGCTTGTTCTCGCTCCAGTACATGTCACTATTGTGTGCGTATATGTTAGCTGTCTTGTTATCCTATACCTTCTTGTCAGTCTTACATTTCTTGTGGCGTTTTGCATTCTTTAGACTCAGGCAATGAGAATATGATGGCTCCTGCTTCGTCCACCCATTTACTAGGCAATTTACTACTAGGCGTGATCATGCGAATGGTGATATCGAAATCTTGGTATCTGTCTTTTCTGCTGTGAAATTCATTATCAAGTCCAAACTTCCTGCTAAACCAGTTGGATGAATCAAGTTGCTCGTCATCCGGTACATTGACAAATAATTGCCATTCTGGCTTGTCTAGGCTGTCATATGTTTTGGCTCTTTGGAACATTTTGTCTCTAATACGTGGGTAGATGTTTAATGAAAAGTCTTCTGTTCGCCATATAGCTGCTTGCTGGTCTTGCAAAGGCTATAGCACGGAAGTTAGAGATTGCGCACCCAAAGTACCAAAGGTTCCCATTTACCTGCTTCACATCTTCCAGCGCGTATTTTTCGTACAACATGCATTTACTGACTCTTTCACGGATGCCTTCAGGTGTGGAATGCAAAGGCCTCATCATAGACAGGTTCAAGGACGAGTACGGGTTTTGGATACCTACGCAGAGGTTGAAATGCCACATGCGATGACGCTCCATGGCCTTTGTATTTCGCTTGTCAATGCGCTCCCGCACACGATGAATGAGGGGCGTGAGTTTGTGTTTGATGAGCGTCTTAGCCCTTGAGATACGGTGGCGATGTATTCTATCTTGTAACTTCTCAATTTTTTCACGGTGCAATTGTTCCAGTCGAGCGGCTTCCTTGGCTGCTTTTTCTTTACGTAGACGTTCTGCCAGTTGCTCTGCCAGTTGTTGTTGCTTGAGCCTTTGTTCTTTTTCATGCTTGATACGCTCTTGCTCTTGTCTAACTCGCGCTTCTTCTTCCTTTCGTCTTGTCAATTCAGCCCTGATTTGCTCCATTTCGAGTTGTTTCCGTTCCTGCTCCTCTTGTTCCTTTAAAATGCGTTGTTGCTCTTGGAGTTTCAGAGCCTCTCTTTCCGCTTCCTCCTGTCTCTTCTTCTCTATAGCCGCTTCGACTTTTTTACGCTCACGATCCAGTTGTGCTTGTGCTGCAGCTGCTCTGCTACGTATAGATTCTAGCTCGAGTTGTTTCTGCTTTTGCTGCGCGGACTGCAGCGAGTCACCAGCTCTTTTGAAAGTGGGTGGTGCTGCAGTGGCCTTCATCCATGCGTCGGCTGGTAAAGTATTTGTGGATGTCATCATGTGTGTGTCATGGATAGCACTTGAAAGTGTATCATTAGCATTGATGATATCACGGAAGGATCGTCCATCTTTCTTGGGTTCAACGAGGATCATGGATTTTGTTTGTGGAGGATTCGACAATGGTTCTAAGTCCTTGAGTTAGCCATTTGGGGGAGGGGGGGGGAGGGAAGATCGCTAGCGATGCAGTGTGTATAACAAACCTCTAAAGACAATCATATTGGTAGGAGGGCGCTTTACGCCAAAGCAGATGGTGGGGTTTTCTAGCGACATGTTCACAGGAATAGCGTACAAGTCCAATTCCTTTAGCAACTGCTCGATACTGTCATACGCCAAAACACGACGTACGTGTTCTACTGGGACATTACTCACTCTAGCCATGTAGGCAGTGTTCATGGCTTTCAGAGCGCCTTTGCGAATATCAGAAAAGTGGCATTCCATCATACAGGCCATTAAGAAGGAGGTTTGGTTGTCAGCAATCATCTTGAACAGCTTGGAATAGTAATTTTGGCTTGCTTCAATGTTTTTAGGCTTGTTACGTCTGGATGAGGTTTCCATGATTTCATTGTTTCGTTGCGATAATGCGTGTAATTCAAGTGCTCGCTTCATGTAAGGGTGCTTGAAGATGTGGATGGGGAGTGTCTGTGCTTGACGGGCAAGTTCTTGGTCTCGAATATGGCTGATGAGATGGTAAGCACGGAACTCTGCCTCATTTTCGCACTCGATGCCTTCTTCTCGCAAGTCGTTGTAGAATTCTGTAAGACTCAGCAAGACTGCAAAATATCCATATGTGAGCATTGTGGTATGATTCTCGCTGAGTGCACTCTAGATTACCTTTGTTCAATTGTTCCAATTCTTGTTGCATGCTAAACCCATCCACCTCGCACATTTCATGGAGACACATGATGTGGAATCGAGCGATGCGTTCATGGGCAGCAACAGCTGTGACATCTCGTATATTTTGCAGTGTAAAGTCTTGACGAATCGAACGAGTGCGATCACGCACAAAGGCATGGCACTGCTCTAGTTTGTTGTTTGTCAATGTTTCATCAACCAAATAGTCCAATGTGCTCTGCGTGTCCATGTGTAAATCGCTTGCTATTACTCATGCTGCGTCCTTTCAACTTACCATGAGAGCGGCTGGAGTCCTGACATCGGACGGTAATGGTTGTTCAACACCGGCAGCTGATCTTCGATAGGCTTTGACACATTTTTCAGGATCCACGTTTCCATCTTGGTCTTTTTCAAAAGGTTCTAATAAGTTTTGATAATCCCTCTCTGCAATCTCGAATGCCGGGCATTTAGCGATGCAGGTACCACGGAAAGCAACAGCCTCCTCCAAGGTGGTGGGATTATCGGGATCAGGCAAAAGGCCGTTTTTAATGGCTTGTTGTCTTTCTTGTACACGCATCTTTTTCAACTAGAGTAATAAAAGTTAGTTAATACACAATGTTGATAAATACTAATAGCTTATTTTCCACTTCAAATCTTCTTCTTTTTGTGTTTAAACACTGGCGCCAATGAGTATATACATAGTGTACCCTTCCCGAAACGAACGAAACGGTGCAACAGTTGCATGCAAAGGGGAAAATTTGAGGATAGAAATGGAGGAAAAGGTAGTACTAACTTGATTATACAGATCGCTTTTATCGGTGCTGCCAAAGCGCTTTGCTCTTTCGGCAGCAGTGATTTGGCCTACTTGGTCTACTGACTGAGGTGTGTTTTTCGTACGTTGCACTTGATGTTGACGTTTTTGGCGTGGTGGATGGGAATGTTGCTGTTGCTGTTGATGAGCAGAAGATGCGTTTTGAGTAGGCATTGACAGGGAAGGCGATTGTTGTTGAGGCTGCTCCTGGTTTTGATGTTGATATGAACTAAATGGAGACTGGCCACTAGGACCCCAAGTCTTTCGACCTCTATTACTCGTACTGTAAAACGCAGTTCCTCGGCCACGACCTCGACCACGTTGATTAGGAGTCGTGCGGCTTTGGTTATCATTTGTTTGCTGGCCAAAGAAGACCGAATTCTGGTTCTGATGGTCGTTCTTTTGCTGTGTGGGAGGAAATACCAAGCTTTGCTTGTAATTGGTGGCAGGCTTATTACCAAATACGCTTTGTGATGATTGTGCAGCAGCAGCACCAGAGAACATTTGGTTTTGAATACCTGTGTTTTGACCAAAGACGGGCGAGTTGTTTGATTGCAAAAACACAGATTTCTTGCCTTGATTGCTGTTCATACGTTGATTGAAAGGTGATATTTGATTAGACTGTTGCGCAAACATGCTGTTGAATGTGAAAAAAGGATTGGAAAACCACACTCGCTCTCAGATTAATTTACTCCCTGCTTGTGACGCGGTGGATGATGAGCATGATTTGAGTGGTGCTTACATGATACAACAAGCCCGGCAAGATATAGAAGTGGCAACCGCACAATTGCGGTATGAACATTGCTACAGACACTGTGCGGCGCGAGGCTGCTGTGGAGTAGACTAGTAGATCGCATTTTGAAAATTTGTAGGTTTTTTTGCTCCCTCTCCTCCAGATTCGCAGAGGATTCCCTCTACCTCGAGGTTGCACAGTCGAAAGACCACGTAGCCTAATTTGGAACGATTGTGGAGTATTTACATGATGATAAAGTCACCAAAAAAGACGAAATAGATAGGGACATTGGCGTAATCATGCCATGATGGTACTTTCTGAAATACATAAAAAGCCTCTTTACATTTTTGCTCTTTTTCCAAGTTGAGAAATACCTTTTTTCTTGAAGAATTGATTTTTAAATCCGAGATTCAATGTTTCTTTGCAAAGATCAGATCAGATCATAAAGTTAGATTCAGAATAGAGTAAAGCGCATGTAGAATAATGAGAAAAAGTAATAAATAAGCTAAAGTATCTGTCTATAGAATGAGCACCAGGTTTATAGTTGTCCAACTATTGAGTATGACAAATAAACTGGATTAGATAGAAGATAGACTAAGTAAATCAGAACATAATAAATTTATTGTCCCTAGACACTTCTACAACCCTAATATGAAGACTGAGTTGCCAGGGATTTGCCAGGCATGGCTCATATATAATTAGAGATTATATATCAAAATACTACCAATCAACAATCAAGTTTCTTCTAGCATTAGCTATTATTATTACTTTTGCGATATTAGCCAAAGGTCTGCGGCAGCGCGAGCCACCTGAACGTAAGTTTGTTTCCTGACCTACGCTTCGCTTTGGTGGAAACCAGCCGAAGAGTTGAAATGCCCATCGTAACATAATCAATTTATGGTCCCTAGACATTTTCAAAGTCTCAAAAAGGAAAGAAGTTGATCTAGCAAGTATTTTGATAGACTAGCGTTATTAAATGTAGAGCATAAGAAAAATAGCATGGCTAACTATAGTACTGTATAATTTGCCACCTATTTTTAATACGCTTCAAAAGAATCTATTACTGTATTGCCTTCATGGTTAGAAGGGCATTGAGTTTGCCAACCTGCCCCACCAGCCGCTAAAAAGGTTCAAACTCAGCCTCCTGTTCTACTCCAGATTGGCCAAATTTTGGTAGTTTCTCGACTTGATCGAACTATTTTATTGAAATCGACTATATAAACTGTACTGATCAACCGATGTTTCCTTAAGCTTTATAACAGTACTTTTCAAGGCGCATCCAGTGATACCAAGTAAAACAGATGCTTTGTATAAACTTAATGAGTAATGTTGGAAAATATGAAATTAGGTTTTTGGCTAAAATGTCAAAAACTTACATATAAAGGTTTCATAAACACAGTTTTATGGGTTGCCTTGGATCAAGAGAAGCATTTTGAATTAATACTTATCATAGAAAAAGTCTTCATTTTCAAGGTGAAAAACGCGATTGTTTGGTTTTCGTCGAAAACCATGAGGGGTACCTCATGGCTTGGAATCGATTTTTAGCCATGTTTTTTAGATCCCCAAAAAGTTGAGCAAAGGCGTCAGGAACTTTCTGTTACTCGAGTGCAATTGTTTGGCGTCGTTCTGGCGGCTCAGAAAGGCCTACATGTCAAGATATAAAAAGGCTTGGACGTTGTCAAAGTTGAATGTGTTTCATGCATTTGCTTGTATATATCTAACCCAAATGCCATCAACATATCATGCAAATCTGGGTAAACGTTCATCTCAATCTCTGATTTTTTTTATTGTGGAGCCGAGCTTACAACAAAGAATTTTATTACTTGATTATTTACATGTTTATATCTAATTGCTATTGATAGCATTCAGTTCTTCTTCTTCCTGTTTTGAGTCGCTTATCTCTTGCTCGGTTTTCTCTGCGTTTTCCTGGCTCTCATCAGCCGCAGTAGTGATAACATCTGATGTCCTTTGCTCATTCTCATCATCACTATCATCGCTTCCGCTGCCTAGACTACCTCTTTCATCATATCTACATGCATTCAACATGAGCAGCTAAACCAACTAGATTATACGCAATAACTTACCTTTCGTTTTTGATATATTTTGGGTCAAGTACAGCACCAGGAAAGGTATAAAGTCCATCTCTAACGTACGTCCAAATCTTGTTTTCGGTATGCTTGGCCTGATTTTCGCCTGCAATCTCTACTTTATTGCCATTTCCCTCACGACTCAAGCGAATACTCTCATCACTCAGTGCACTACCACCAGGTAACTTTGGGTGTCTCAGATCCCATTTGAGCATACGGCACAATTCAGGAACAATGACATCGCTATCACCGAGTAACTGGATATCAAATGTCATGTGAGTAATTGGTGTACGGTTGATGAGAATTTGAGGCACACTGTGAGGTATCTGAGACATGATTTCTGACACAGGCGACACCTTGAGTGAAGAACCCATCACAATCAAAAGATCTACTTGTTCCGTATCCACAGCTAGCAGGTTGTCAAATTCAGCTGGTAATTGCTCACCAAAGAATGTGATATCCTATCTCAGAAATACAAAATGAGCTTGCATAATAGGCAATCTACATCAGAGGTCCACTTACGGGTTTCATAATAGACACTCCCTTGTTACTGCGTCCATGGTCATCGTCGTCGTCTGAATCGTCTGGACGCTGCTCAGGCTTTGCTTGCAGGCATTTTGGACAGGGAGGCACCTTTTGAGCCATGATGAAGTCCTCGATTTCTTTGCCATCCACTTTGTATCCACAAGTAACACAACTAGCAGTAGCGAAGCTTCCATGGCAGTTGACAACGCGCTTTATATTTGTTTTATGCTCCAGAGTATCGATATTTTGAGTGTAATTTCGAAGCAGTTTTCCCTTGTCTTCCACTAATTTCACAAACAAATGGCTGGGACTAGGCTGATATTTTGCAGGATAGAGCTCTTTGGCGAATGAATAAAAGATCTCTGGCGATTCGCGAAAGTATTCAATATCAAACATCTGCTGAGGATCATCCAATTGATATTCTTCCAGTCTCGAGTAGATGCCCTTTTCTGATCTGAAATCTGGGATACCGCATGACACAGATACGCCTGCACCTGTCACAATCATAATGTTGTTGGCCTTGCTCAAGAGATTTGCAACATCGTCTAGTGTATTCACATAGTCTAATCTACGTCTCTTGCGCAAGTAGTGAGTAATGACCTTTTTCAGGATTGGAAGTAGCTCTAAATCCGTAGCCAACATGGCCGCCTTGGGATGCTGTCATGGTATTACCAGCGTTAGTAATACGGCACACTCCACACTTACACAGAATACTTTACCATATAAATATTAAACGCTTCCAGCAGTTTAGGGATTGGAACAGATTGCTCAACGACATATTTTTCAATAAACTTCATCAATCCCATCTCTCTTGCCTCGTCTTGCAGTTTTTCCATTTCTTCATCAGTGAAGGGCTCCCAAGCTAAAGGATGGATGTTAATTGAGCATTGCAGTCAAACAGGCATGATGCTACTTGCCAAGTTGATATTGTCCGTCGTCTTCAGGCCCATCGACATCGACATCACCCAAGCTGTCTTCCTCCACATGAAATGCAGGGTGTGACAGAATACCTTGTTCAATCAAACTGTCGTCGCTATCACTTTCACTGTTACCGCCTGAAGCCCAATCTTGATCTGACTCTTCATTGTAATCATCAAATACATTGTCATTGATAGACAGTGATCCTGTAGGTGCAGGATCGTCTTCATTTGTCACTGAAGAAAACACTTGAATAACAATGATTTCTTTAATTAATATAGAATTGCAGCGTAACCCCCTTACCTTCCAATTTTGCCTTCTTAGATAAATGCTCTTCACTTTCTTGTTCATTCTTATTATGCTCACTGGAGAAGCGCTTCTTCATAGGAAGACCTTGGCTGCTACCCATGGGCTGATTCTCATTTTCCCCATTCATAATGTTATGTAATCAAACTTAATCTTGAACTATTGGGAAAGAAGCGATTCAGTGTGGTGTTTTCTTGAATATTTTTTTTCTCATTGGCAGTCTCGAAGAGCTACTCTCCAATGTGGGTCTGATTCGCCAATGAGATTATAGCCTGCAGTCCTGTCAACATGATAATAATCTTACGTTTCTTTATACTAAATCAACGACTGCAGTTCTTAACTTGATTTCACCCTCCCCACCGAATTCCACATCACAATCGCCATTGCTCGAATCAAAGCTGAGATACTTTAGGGATTTACATTTGATTGCTGAAGTCTGTTGATCTTTTTCCTTGAATACTATCTTGAGAGATGCTGAAAGAGAAATCTACCCAGGATGTTTGTTGGTAGATACATCAATCAACATACTATCAGAGCCCTTTTCAGGTAATAACAACTGCATTTTCAGAAAATTAGAGCATTGTTTTCAGGCAAATGTATAGTTTGGATAGTAGATGGCGCTTCGGGCTGATAGCCATCAGATAAACATGGCGAAAGCTCGAAATGCCTCGAATTAAGAGCCATTGAATCTAATTAGCAGCTGATACCTGCTTCCATGAGATCTATTCTGACAAGCTCTAAACTTTTCAATGTATCAAAAGTAGCAGTTCTTCCTCGTTTCATGTGATTAGCAGTTAGTTTGAAGCATTCAGCAAGAAGTGCCGCTTGAAGCAAGTCCACAAGTGGTACTGGAGCAGCGCATTCTCCATGATGGTTTGTGTGTTCAATATCCAATTTTTTTGTAAGCAATGTCCCAAATACATTCAGGCGGCTGACAATAATCACAATTTGCTTTTTTCTCGCAATGGGACAATCTTTTGCTTAAAAACTTGTGTAGTTGGTCGGTTTTGTCTTTATGTATGTCCATCTCATTTCTGCAGCCGAAATGCCTATTGTCGCCACCAAATTTTTATAGTCGATATGTGCTGGTTTCGTGCTAGCAATCTTCTGTACCTCTCACAAGAGGCAGACCCCAGGTGGAATTTATTCAAGCGAGGCTGGATTGTGGCTACAGTATTTTTTTTAGCGTGAAACTGACTAGACGAGTGCACCCTTTCAATGAGCTGTTCAATTCTTGAATATCGATCAGGTTTCCTCCGCTGTCAGAAAGCGTTGATTCGGTCAAGCTTTCGAGTTGATCTAGCTTGTTGAAAATAAAAGCCAATGAGTCGATATCACTGTTAAAGAATAAGGTTGTAAGGGGTGCTTTGAAGTGGTAGAGTAACGTGGCTTGTGCGGTAGTAAATGGTGTAGTTGATGATATTTGCTTCAGTTTGAGCAATTTCAGCTGTGAGCGTTGAACCTCTTACAGCAATATACCCACTTCATTTGGTTCTAAGCATGTATTAGTCACTCTAATATTGGTTGTCATCATCTTGATGGAGAGGTCTTTAAAGTTTAAGTGATTCCGTTCGGTAAAAAACGATATTTTGACATATTGTACAAGTGAGCTTCATGCTGGATTTACGGCAAGATGATGATTCAACCTAATTAACATAATCTCATGGAATATCTCTATATTATGCTTGAAACTACTCAATTGAGATTAATAAAACTGAAAAGAGGAAGGCATAGCTTTAAATATTTTACACAAGTTTTTATTTTAGGATGTAAAGATATGTATTCATAAAGCAAGGAAACGATTAAAGAACAATATTAGCAGTGGTAGACGAAGAATTTATATGAGCAACATCTGAGGTGGATGATGTATTGGCTGGGATGTTGTTGATGGGATAGACCTATATTTGATAGATAGGTTAGGTAGAGCATTTGCCATTGGAAACATTTATACACATACCCAGTTTTCTTCCCAATAGGGCTGAGAAACATCATTACAAGCCAAAGCAGGAATAACATTGAACACCTTTTGGATTGTAGGCAACCATTTCTCGGTCATGTTGACAGTAGCATGATTCAATTCATGTTCAAGGACGATGTGGCCAGTCTTCTCTTTACCCGCTTTCTCTGAGTCTATCCATTTTTTAAAATATCCGTCCACCGTCTATAGAGAAAGAGGTATTAGTCAAAGAGCTTTCGTTTTGATGATCTAAACTTGCCGAAGGAGGGAGCTTTCCACCGCCCGGAGCCGGCATGTCCCAATCGTTCTATATGAAAAGAGTCAGTTTACAGATAGATCGAGATAGAGAAATTTTATACGAACCGTGTCCCAGTCCCAAAGCACTGTTCTCATGCCCATCTGCCAAGCGATTGAACGAATACGGTCATCAACATCACCTTGAGGTGGTCTCCAACATTTAGGAGTAACACCTGTTGCCTCTTTGATGGCCTTGAGGGTCCAATAAAACTCGGCAACGGCTTGCTCGTTGGTTACAGTTGTCATGGCTGGGTGAGACCAAGTGTGTACACAAATGTAATGACCATCATTTAAGGCACGCTTTGCGGCTTCAGGATAAGTCATGACATTGGAACCGATATACTACAAGTTACTTGTTAGCTTTACACACTTTAATAATGTGATCGATATCCACTTACAAAGAGATTGGCCTTCTGATTATTGTGCTCAGCCAAAAAATTGTACAATGCAGGTTCCGCATAAGCATTTTCAGTCTTTGCATCTTTACCCGTGTACAAGTTGAATGGTCCATCATCATAACTCAGGCCCCAATCACCGCTATTGAACAGGTTTTGTTATTAGTTATAACACTCTTGGAACAAAGAGATTAGACTTACTTTCTAGCACATGAGTGGAAATCAGGAGGGATCGCAATTTTGGGTTCAACACAATTTGTATCAGACCACCAGCAGTAGGGATCTTTGTCACCATCAGTATCAGGCTGAAAGTCGCCATTCTTGTCTTGATGTCTGACTCTAGCATTGGGAACTAATGACCAGTCAATTGCATTGATAGCAGCCTTTACCTCATCACTGTCAGTGGGTGGAATGGTCCAGGCATCGGGGTATCCTTTCAGTGTATAGGTAGGAAGACTGGCACTCAAGTTATAAGGACCGTAATTATATTTAGACACAACACCGGTAGCAGCAGGCATGCTAGGGAAGGAGGGAGAGTGCTGAGCAATGTACGATTTGGTATTAGTGGCACTGCCAGTAGTAGTAGCAGTAGGAGCAGCGGAAATGCCGGCGACAAGCACAATGGCGCCGAGAATGGAGTACTTCATTATTGGATAAGAGGTAATATTGAGAGAATAAAAATTGGGAACGTTGCAATCGACATTTGTCCTTATATACTAATTTCGCTAATCCAAAAAAAAATCTATATGCTCTCATACCTTTGCTCCGTTTTGTATTATTTTCGTACCTTGTGGTTTTTCGCTTTTGTTCAACATTGAACGCAGAAAAATTTACACGCTTTGAGAATGAAACAAATGCTAAAAATAGAAAAATTATCTTTTTCCAAATGTCTAAATTTGGAGAAATTATCCTAAAACGGGTACTTTGACAGCTCACGCTGTGTGATTTATATAAAAAGAAACTCACGTGTGTCCATTGCATGGCGAAAGATATCAATTCACAGCAGAAAAAGGAGAATAGCTAATTAGTGTCGTTAAATATCCAAAAGGTTGCGATAAAAGATGCACTGTCCATTGCGTCTTTTTATCCCAAATGCGTAAATAGCCTTTATTCATCTTAATGTTTTCAAATATTCTACCGGGTGAATTTATAATACATAGTAAGGGATTAGAGCAACATTGATTCATCTCAGGTCGTAGATGAAAACAAATTAAAATAGATCATGTATCGTTTGCCGTACAACCGAGAAAAATAAATAAAAGAGAACCTCGGTATACAATTCAATCGAACCAGGGGGGGTTCAGGTTGGATATAATAAAAGTAACAGGCTTTCCAATACAATTCAAATTGATAGAGCATCGTCATAATTCATCATATTTTTAAATCTTGTAGAAATAGCAAAATAAAATCACAAATATGGTAAATATATGCGTAAATGAAAGCTATATTCATAATTGAGTACAGTTATATATAATAAGGTTCGCCGCTAAATTAGAGCAATTGCATTCAAACTTACCCGCACACGCAAGGATTGTACTATATATAAAATTTTGAGCATAAAACGGAGACAGTATCACAACAATGTCGAGCCGTTGCTTGCTACAAACTAGATCTTAGTTTGGGAGAGTGCCAAGAGATGAGATGAGATGCAATTCTCCATGCAGTCAACCAAACACCATCTTTCCTGCTTACACATCAATCATTCATCAAAACTGAATATGCATTTGCTACAGTTTAAACATAGCCTATCAGTTGTTTGCGATCCTGAAAAGAGCACCTACCGTTACTCAAACGCGGCGCGCTTGCACGGTTAATAAATGCCCCCCGTTTATTTATAATACAATGAAACCACTTCTCGGCTATACTCGCAAGATGCCAGATTGGTCAATTCATACTTTTTATCATTCAGTATGTGTCTAATGTCAAACAAGACAGGACTTATGACTTGTGCACAAAACGGCAGTAAACGGGAATGATTTCACTGTATCCAGATTCTTGTGTTCAAACACCAAGATGCGCCCAAGAATTGTTGTTGCTGTTGCGATTGCTGATTTATAAGCTCTAAAGCACACAGTGATGTGGCTCGAAGAATGAGGCTCTACGCTAAACAGCATGCTGTAGTTATCAAGCTTCTTTGTTGTGAACGTGGATGAGATTGTTGTTTCAGAATCAATCAATACATCGCCTTTGGTATGTGCTGCTTGTTGATTGCCTTGATGAGGCGATTCCTCCTGCAGCTCCCCTTCTTCTGCCTTGTCTATATCTTCTTCTGCCTCTTTAATTGTATCCTCTGCGTGCTTTAGTTTGGCCAGCTTCTTGTTGTATTTTTTAATCTTATCCGGCTGATCTTTGCGCATTGCAATCTTCAGCTTCTGCTCAATTGTTTCGATCTCCTCTTCCAGTTCCTCATTGAGCACCAAAGTTGACTCTTGCTGAATGATGTTGAATTCCACATGATAGTCATTGAAACCTTCATTATTGTCGATTCGAATCTCAAATGTTCTAGCTTGTTGGTTCGTGTTTGTGATATTCAGGATTTCAGCGCAGGTGGCCTTGCAGTAAGGATAAATACTGAGTGGGTCCAACAACGCCTTGACCTGAAACGATTCAGGCCGACGCACCATGGCCTTCAAGGAGATCACGTTGGTGTCGTTCTTGTCGCGAATATTACTCACGATAAGCTGCTCAACAAAAGGACCATGTAGTGTAGGTACAAAAACAAAGTCGATTTCTCTCTTGCCAAATGCTCGAATGACACCATGCCGTCCTACATCCAGATGAAGAGCACCAGAGGCAATGGAGCCTGATTTTTTGATGGTGTACAGCAATGGCGTTTCTGACTTGTTATGCAACACAATGGTTTTATAGTGCTTTTCTCCTTTGTCCACAAGCCCAAAGTTGATGTTGCGTTGACCAACCTCCATCGATGACTTGCATACTTGAGCACGCACAATCACTTTGCGCACAACAGGGGTTTTCCTATCCTCCAAGTTTGCTTCTTCATCTTCGTCAGATGAATGGTCAAAATCAATGAGTCGAATAGACAGTGCCGCTGCTTTTTTGGTCGTCAGGGATGATTGCCAATGATCCTTCCTTGGGGTATATACAATAATGATTTCGGTTTCTTCTTTGGGGTCTAGTTGTAGAAGGGGTGTTGGCACTATCTCTCCCTTTTCAATCAATCGATCCAGCTCTGTACGCCATGCTAATTGGTATTTTACAAACTGTTCTTCTAGCGATTGTCTAGGAAACAAAGGGGTGCGGGATAATGAGCCATGCTCCAAGATGGAGATGAGGTCGTCTAATGGAACTTGGGCTTTGCCTGCAATGTCTGGCCAGTCGATGTTTTTCTGCTTCTTTTTTAGTTGCTGAGCAGTCGCTGTGATTCCTGTGCACGGGTATTCGATGCCAGGTGAATGCGGATATGGTTGCTGTTGCTGTTCTTTCCTCTTTCTTATCCGTTTTTGAGCAAATAATTTTTGGCCAGCAGCAGACGATAGTTTCTTGATGGTGGCCGTCGTATTGACAGTGGAGGATAGTTTGGCTTCCTTTGTAGCAGTTGCTATGGAAGTACCGGTTGTCACAGTGGTAGTGTCCTTGACCGACTTGCCTGACAGTAAGCGTCTGGCTGCCACCTTTCGCTGATGCTTAATTGACATTAATTGAACATGTGGCACAGTGGCTAAATCCAAGTAGGCAGTAGAAGCGTACTGCACATTTGTCATACGGGTGCGATGATTCATTGCAATCAATGTGTTTGTCACGACAGACGACGGTTTCTCAATGTCTTCTTCAAAGCGCTGAAGAGACGAGGAGGATGGCGTGGTGGACAGCAGTTTTCTCGGGTTGTATCTCTTTCTCTTGGTGTAGATGACAATTTCCTCGGGTAATGATGTGGAGATGCCTAGCAGTAAAGGAGCATCTTTAACATTGATCAATGTGCATGTGCGGATGGCAGGTGAATTGAGAGCAATGGGGCCAAAGTCCAGGTAATTGGCGCCTGTAGGTGTCAGTAGCTGGTAGAACAGTGAATGAAATGTCACTCTGTGATTGTCGACGTGCCTGCTACAAACTTCTATGATTTGGTCATTTTCTCGGTTCAGATAGTTGACTAATTTGATTTGTCTTTTATACGAGGTGTTGATCTTTCTTGGATAAATATCCAGCTTGAGCTCCACTGTGCTTTTGGGTTGAATCAGCAATTCCCCTTGAGTGCAGCTAATGACTTTGGATTCAAACACTAGTTCTACATGTGCACATATCTCTGACAGATTTGTAATGGAGATGGATTGCGATTTCTGTGTGCCGACATCTGTGTCTCCAAAGTCAATTATTTGAGGTGTAACGCTTACAAATGATGTGCACGTCTTTGCTTTGCACTGAATTAATTTAAGCTCTTTTGGTTTGGCTGACTTGTTGGGTCTGTATTCAAGCAATATACCAAAGTTGTTTTGCCGGGTGAGTTGGCCAGCGTGAACACCATTCAGCTCGGCTTTGGCAGGACGGTAGGACACTTGGATGATTCTCTCAGCACCTGGACGCAGTATCATGTCTTCGATCTTTGTTGTGTTCTCTTCCTGTTGATCTTGGTATTGTTTGATGGGTAACGTCGATGTCGATGATGAGGAGGTGCTTGTATTGTGCGCATACATTTCATTGAATACGGTCAACATGTCAAAGTCTACATCTATGTGATTGTGTAGATGAGCATGTTAATTTTAATCCCTGTGTATCACAAGATAAATAACGTACCTGTTGAAGTATATGAATTGATAGACGATGCATAATCTTCCTGAGAGGAGTATGTTTTAGCACTGGGTGAAATGGGCCTGGCGAACAAGGTGTCTGGTGTATTTGATTGCTGCGGTAGTGGCAGCTGCTTTTCCGTGATGCTGGTGTTCGTGGAGAGTGTGGGTGTGCTGTTGCTGTTATCGCATTCCAGCTCTTGATCCTCTGGTTTTGCCTTAACATTGAATGCTAATTCAGCCCCTCCTTCTGAGCTAAAGCGCACCTCGATTGCCGATTCGCTTACATTGTTCAATACCATCTGTTGCATCGACCAGTGACCAGCAATACAATCGCCAAAGTCCAATATATTGCCACTGCTCACCATCAGTGTGTCTCTATGCATGAATCGCTGTATCGTCGCGTGAATCTTGGTTTGAATAACATTCTGGACATCGTTGATATTCTCGATCTGAAGATCATAGTTGAACTTGCCGACCTCTTTTGGCGTAAAAACAACTCTAAATGTATAGATGGAGAAAGGGGCAATCGGCTCGAATGATCCCAGCGTCATAAACGTGCATGCATCTACAAATTGCAACCAATCATCATCGCTGCTTCCGTATTGTTGCTGTTCATTCAGATCCAAAGTGTTCAATCGCCAGTGAAGATCAATAGCAGAAAGGTTACGTATGGTTACATCCTTGATGTATGTTTCGCCTACGACGCTATCCTCGAAGATAAGCCCAGTGTCAAGTTCGTCAGCAGCCAGCACAGACTGACATACAGTAGCATGAAAGTCTATATTTAAGGTGTAATCAAGAGAAGCGAATCGAATGATGCCCTTTACGGTTCTAAATACAAATGACGGCTGCTGCCTTGCCTCGGGTAAGAATGCAATGATGAATGAGTGTGTTTGTTGTGGTTCCAATTCGATACTATGAATATGGTTGACGTAATTAAACACTTGATTAAATTGTGAAAAGTCTTGTGGTGTGTTGACTGTATTTGTTGCCACAGAGGTCGTCTCGCTGATGTTTTCATTGTGGAGCTGGAAGATGACTTGATCTTTCAAATCGCTAGCATCAAGCTGTATACACAAGTAGTTGTCTGTTAAATTGCTTATTTCAAACTGCTGTAAAGAGTGGAATCCATTATCGTATACTTGGTCAAACTTGATTTCATCGGCATTCAATTTGAATGTCATTCTGTGTGTCCAAGGGGATAAAGAGAGAGAGAGAGAGAGAGAGAGATAAAGAATAAAATGGGGAGTGAGAGAAAAGAAGGCAAGAAAATATAAAAAGAGGGAGTGTTACATTTCAGCCAACTTTAATCACGATGAAAGATCCTCTGACTAGTATATATTTTTTTACAATATGCTGTTGCTATCTTGGTAGTGGCTTTAATCACGTTCCTAACACAGTGATTCCTGTTTTAGATGACAAGAAATGTCGATGTTTGAACCGATGCGTATCTTTGGAAGGTGGTACGCGCTATACAAGTGTCCATACAGTTAGGAGTTTCTTGAATATACAAGCATGAATAAGATTGGGTTTATGAAATCTTTTTTGTTCTGCAAGAATACAGTAATGTAAAAGATCACCAATGCTTAAATTATCTTACGAAACTAAGCAATTCAGATGTACAGCTTCACATCTTCTCAAACAACAATGACAGCAATAGGCATGCATACGTAAATGATACATTCAGCATAAAATATAGTCGTTTCAATGTAATGTGCAACAGTAATTTAAATATCGACCCTCATGTACAACATGTATCCACAATTCGTCATAAGTGACATAATTTTGAAAGGATTTAAATCATGGCTCCAGAGCTCAAATGCTCGACAAATCATACACGCTTTGTCTACCTTGAAAGAGCCGTTACATCATGTGATGAACTGAATTTGACCTTACTTATGTCACTTACCATTGGATTACAACAGAACATATCTATATTCAGGCACTGATCTCTCCAAGAACGATTTCAATCAGTCGCTCTCAAGGGGTACTTATCTCCTACTGCTCAGCATTGATAACTTTTTTTTTTAATTTTCTTGAGATGCTTCTCTTGAATATAGGCTATTTACTGAAACTCCACTTTTTAATTGTGTACATTAATCCACCATGTACAACCTGCCACTGCAAATCTGACTCTTCTAGGGCACTTTGCGTCTGTAGCATTGAAAACACTCCATCTACAGGCAGGTGGCAGAGTTGCAATACCTCTCAGCCTTCAAAAGTATGCAAATTACAGTGTAATTTAGATGAATCTGAGCCGTGATTTCTCGCGTTGAAAGCCGTTCTAGGCCACCAGAATAGCACCAAACAATTGTTCTCACTTAGCACTTGCTTACTGACACCTTTGCTCAACTTTTTGGGCCAAAAAAAAACATGGCCATAAAATCGACCAACAAGCATGAGGGGTACCTCATGGTTTTTTTTACGAAAATCAAGCGATCGCGTTTTTGACCTTGATAATGAAGGCTTTTACTATGGTATGTATCAGTTCAAAATGTTTCTCTTGATCCAAAGCAGCCTCTGAAACCACTTTTATGAGGTTTTCATATGTAAAATCTGGCTATTTTCGCTGAAAACCTCATTTTATCTTTTACCAAGTTGCTCAATAATTTTATTCAAAACACTTATTACAGTTAACACCATTGGAAGCGCCTTGAAAAGTACTTTAAGAATGTATGAGGAACCGTAGGGTGATTATTACATTTTATATAGTCGAATATCATAAAGTAGATTTAAAAAGTCGAAGAAAGCAAAATCTGTCCAATCTTGAACAAAAAAAAAAATAGCTGAGTTTGTATTGATTTTGGCGGCGGCACTGCTGCTGGCTGATCTAAATGCCTTTCTGATAATGACAATGATGATTGCGATGCTGATTAAAAGGGGATCATGGAATTGAAAGGGCAATTGCTTAGCGCAAATACTTTTTTGGGGGAGTTTTGCCTCATGGAGGTGTCTTTTGCAATGACAATATCTCAAAAAAGTCGCTGTAGATCTTACACAAGTCCTGTATTTACTTATGACCAGTTTTATGTCGCCATCTTATTAAGAGCATCAGCAGCAGCGATTGATATGTCAATTCTATCATCAGGAAATGGCGATTATGATGTAGAAATGCTGCATAAAACTTGAATTTTCTTTCGCATTGTCCCAATAATAGGCTTTGTTTGATATCAGTGTAAGCAAAATGGATGCTGAGGGAGATACCTCCTCTCCTCCTCCTGGCTCTGATATAACCTTTCTTTTGCTAACTAATAATTGGCTGTTTAAAATCTACTTGATATACCAAAATGTTATAATATCTGATTTAAAATGTCTTTGGCGAGAGCCCACAGGGCGGCGCCGACATTGAGCGTAGCGAAATAGATTGGCTAGTAGTATATGTGCATATAAATAATAGTACAGCTGTGGATTCTTTCATACTATGAGCTAATTCACTGTATTGACCCTAAAATCAACATGAAATGTTTAATATTTGTATTTGAAAACATATAACAAAAATACCTCATGTAAATACCTCTTCCAAGTATATACATCTATATATATATTTATATACATTTTTTTACGAGTACTGCAAACCTTCCAACCTATGAGAACTGTGTGAGGAATGAGACGAATCAAAGAAGGCATTCCGAGTGCATCATGAATAGGCACGTGAGAGGGCCATTTTGAACATATGGTGCAAAATTGTCTGGTAATGTATACATGCTTTGTTTCTGATCTAGCGCTTCCTGTTGCATGCTCGGTAACATATATGCATGAAATGAATCCAATGCTTTTTTTTTTATTGTTTCTATGCAAGTGTGTCACTGTTTCTTGATATGCCTATAATACAACAAATAGGCAATTATTTATATGGAATTGCATCTTATAGAACAATGCTCATATTACAAAATATTGGTGTGTTTTGTTGATTTTTCATGTCGTGTATCCGTAAAACAAAGCTCGGAGCAAATACTAAAAAAGAAAAATGGATAAAATACACTAAAAAGAAGGTTTTGTACCTGATGATATTTGACATTGTAACTTTATAATTCGTATAAATACGCCTTGATTCATTCAAAAAAAAGTTTTTTCTCCCCTCCTCAAACTCTTCATTACGCCACCATGGATCCTCTACTCTCTTATACCAATGTACATTCAAGCTCCTTGCAATTACTCTCTTCATTTATATTTAAAAAGCCATCCTCTGTGGCATCCATAGCCAATGTAAACCCAATCAAATCACCCAGCAGCATTGCCACACATCTATTCGCCGCTACGAGCAACAAACCATGTATATTACCTCAGCAGCCACAAGCATCCATTGAATTATCACTGTTACTAAAAAACACATGCTGCATGATTGGGCCACTCCATCCAAATGTACCAGGAGCGATCGAAAAGAAGGATCCGCCAGCAGCGGAACAGCCCAAACGGCCTGCTTGGACCGAGTCGCATGCTTATTTACGAGGAAAACGATCCAATGCAGAAGCACTTCGCATTCTATCAATGGAATTAAACATGATCCGTGCCTCCAAGATCACAAGATCGCTGAGACCAAGGCGTACTTTTCAAGCTAAAAGGCAGGACGAGTTTATTTGGGGCCGCTCTAGCTCTTTACGGATCAACAGCACTCCACTATGATTATACAAACAAATACAATAAACATGTTTCATTCCAATACAGCTTTCGCCATTTATCGTAATTGGTTGTCGATGTGTTTTGTGACAATTGCATCACTTGGGCGAATGATGATACTTGACGTAGTACGAGAAAAAGGCATCTAACAAACATTTCTTTTTTCTTTTTTTTTCTTTTCTCTCTTGATACTTTATGCTCTTACGTTTTGCCAAGAGATTACCGCTACAAGTACTTGCTAGAAGACAGCCGCTTATTAAACCCTTGATTGCAACGAAACTCATGTCTACTAAAACTGATGCTGAATGGAGAGTCGTCTTGACGCCAGAACAATTCCGTGTGCTGCGTCAAAAGGGTAAGGCTTGCATATAGTTTGAATCTTGAAAGCCATGCCCACATCTACATGTACCGATAGGAACGGAAGCAGCTGGAACAGGCGAATATAATAAATTCAACAAGAAGGGTAATATGTTATACTATCATCCAGTGTGCGCCTTCTCTGCTGACCTCATCTATACATGCCATTTTAACATTAGGCGTCTATCATTGCGCTGGATGTGATGCTCCTCTTTATGTTTCGGATACAAAGTTTGACAGTGGATGCGGGTGGCCTGCTTGTGAGTGTTTGTTGTGTGGTCTGATGTGAAGTAGTGTATGCTAATCATGCTGGATGCATTATAGTCTTTGATAGTATTCCTGGCGCACTTGTTAGGCACGAGGATAATTCGCATGGCATGCAACGCATCGAAATTTGCTGCGCTAAATGTGGAGGACACTTGGGACATGTATTCAAAGGTGAACGGTTCCCTACGCCTACTGACGAACGTCATTGTGTCAACAGTATCAGTCTCAAATTTAAGGAATAAAAGCACTCTGTTTCCAATCAGATGCTGATGACCTGCTTGCCAGTAGCCGAGATCATTGATGCTTGCATTGTTGTTTGTATGCTGTATAGAGAGAAAAAAAAAAAAAAAAAAAAAAGTATGATCTTGTACTTGAGAATGTGGTACCGCTACAAGAAGGCAAAACGTCATTTGGGATGACCTTGTCGATTTTATTTGGTTCATGCAAGATACACATCTCACTCCCATTTGAAAGCTTCCATTTGAGATCCGCATCTTTTTGTTGACTCATGTGGGGGACTGTCCATATCTTATCTATCTACATCGCCATAAAAAGAAACTAGGGCACAAAACTCATCTTTATCCTCTCTGCTATCACAACATGAAGTTTGGCAACTACCTCCAGGATAGAAAGTCTCAGTTACCAGCAACCTATGCAGAGAACTGTATTGATTACAACAGCTTGAAATCCTTTTTAAAATCAGATGTGTATTCTCATTCCATTAAACTCGAGAATACGGAAAAGCAACAGCCCTTTGCTCAACTGGTTTCTGAGCGACTCGGCCAGTTACAGAAATGCGAGGTCGTCTTTATCGAAAAGCTGGATACTCAGGTGGAAAGAGCGACTCAATTCTTTGAACAAGAAACCAAATCACTGACATCCTTAGCAGCAGATGATGCAACCAAGGAAACAGCCATGGATTTGTTGAAAAAGATCATCACATTGGAGAGATTTGTGTTTTTGAATTACACTGGTATCACCAAGATCCTCAAAAAGAACGACCGCCATTCAGGCTTATCGCTGTCTGAGCCTTACTTGCAACGAGTGGCTGCCCTACCTTTGGTCAAGGCAGAAGCATTGACTCAATTGAAACGCAGTGTCATGATCAAGTTGAATAATCAAACGCCAGACACCAAACCATCGCCCATCATGGTCAGAAGCCGCTCATCTCAAATCAACCCTTCCACCGTCTTGCCTCCCACCTTTGTTGGCCCCAATCAGAAAGTGTTGGTGTCGCTGTCCGGCCCTCATGGCACTGACATTGTAGGCGCTGTGCTGGATTGTCTCGCCCGTCATCCGTGTGATATCGATGACTTCATGCTCTCCCGTCTTTACCACAATGTCACATTCGGTGTATTGATTACATTGCAGTCTGACAATGTAGCTGTGTTCCGTGATCTTGCTGAAGCTGCTCAAAAGTGGGATGCTACCTTGACCTATGACATTCCCGATTCGCAAGCAACAGAGCCTCTCATCCGCGAGCAAAAGGAAAAGATTAAGAAAGAGAAGCGTTCATCTGCTTCATCCACCACCAGTGCACCCGTCTATATCCCTCCTTCATTGGAAGAAGCTCCCTACTCTGAACGTACCAAGTACGCTGCTACCATCTTGAACCAAAACGGTCTCAACTCCACCTTCCTGAGCGAATGGACACATCTCTTGTTGAAGCACCATATTTCAGTTGAAAAGATGATCCGTCTGAACAGAGATAACGACAAGCTTTCCTGCGCTGATCTTCGTCTGAGTGTCCCTCGTGGCATGGATATGAGTGCATTACGCACAGAGTTGATTGGTTTGTCTACAAGCTATGGTACAGACATTGCCTTCCAGCGTGATGATGTATACAGAAAGAACAAGAGATTAGTGGTATTTGATATGGATTCTACGTTGATTTACCAAGAGGTGATTGATGAAATTGCCAGACATGCTGGTGTGGTGGATCAAGTTTCTGTAAGTATAAACCTTTGTAGTATCGGTACAACACGAGTGGACTTACTCATCGTGCCTCGTGCATTTGCAGGCTATCACTGAGGCTGCCATGAATGGTGAAATTGATTTCAAAGAGTCATTGCGTCGTCGTGTGGCTCTTTTGAATGGAACAAGTGTGGGTGTATTGGAGAATGTCAAGCAGATCCTTACCTTTACCGAGGGCGCTCGTTTCTTGTGTCGCGCATTAAAGAAGCTTGGATTCAAATTAGCTGTGATCAGTGGTGGATTCATGCCTTTGGCTCTCTACGTCAAGGCCGAGTTGGGATTGGATTATGCTTTTGCTAATCAATTAGAGGTATCATCTGATGGACTGACACTTACTGGTAAGACGATTGGTCCTATTGTCGATGGTATTCGCAAAGCCGAGTTACTGGATGTCATTGCACAAGCTGAGGGATTGTCCCTAAAGCAAGTGATTGCAGTGGGCGATGGTGCTAATGACCTGTGGATGCTGAACAAGGCCAGTCTTGGTATTGCATTCAATGCCAAGCCTCGCGTGCAAGAACAAGCAAGAGCTAGAATCAATCAAAAAAGTCTGAAATACGTCTTGACCCTGTTGGGTTATTCTGAGCAAGACATGGAAGAGTTGGGCGCAAACAATTAACTTACAAAGTATATAGACAATAAACATACCTTTCTAATCGATGCTGTTTAAAACAATGCTAAGCCTGTATATAATGCAGAAGCCGAAAGACTTGTGAGGCAGATGGTATAGTGCTTGTATATGTTGCGATTTTATTACTATATATCTGGTTGATGGTATAGAAGAAGGTAAAGAGTTATAAAATACAGTTTAGCAAAAGGAAGGAGAGAACGACTAGTACAATATCAATACGTAATAGCAGTATGATTAAACGTGAAAACAAAAAGAAAAGAGAAAGATAAAACATAGCATAAGCGAAAGAGAGAGAGAGAGAGAGAGAGAGGTAATGTATAATGCTTGACAGGTGATGTAGATTATTTTTGTATCAACGTGGATGGTTTTGGCGAAACAGCACTGGCATCAGCCTGATGCACTTGCGGTGTTTGTTGCGGCTGCTCTTCTTGAGAGGTTCTGACTGCAGTAGGACGTGTCGATTGTAAGATCCATTCATGCTGGAATGCCCTTTCTGGACTGAGTCGCTTGGCAGGATCCCATTGCAAACATTGCTGGATAAAGTCAAGGAAGAGTGCGTCGTTGCATCGCAGAGCTTGGTTGAGACTCTTTGCTCCTGCCTTGCGTTTCTTGCCGCGAGAATTGCACACCACGCGAGGTTCGCCACGACGGTCTGGGTTAGATGGCTGTTAGTCCCTTAGTGTGTCTATACATTACTCAAAACGTACCAAAAAAGAGATTGCGTCTCTCACTTAGTTGAATCAATTCAGGATCAGGCACACCCAACACCTCCATGATACAAGCAAGCTGCTCTTGCTCATTCTCACCTGGGAAGATGGGCACGCCAGTGTACAATTCGGCAATGATGCAGCCTAGACTCCACATATCAATTGCCATGGTATAATCAAGACCCAGTATGATCTCTGGCGATCTGTAGAATCGACTCTGGATATAGGTATATACGCGCTGATGCTCCAAACAACTGCTGCCAAAATCAATGACTTTGATGGTACTCTTGGTAGGGTGTTTGAGCAAGATATTCTATTCAAACACAAGGTCAGCGGCCATGATGCGACTGCAATCATATGTACATACCTCTGGCTTCAGATCACAATGGATCACACCATGTCTGGACAGCAAGGACAGCGAACGGAGCAGCTGGATGGTGAAGCGTTTGATCAACGTAATGTGAAATCCCTGAAAGTTGTTGATCTTGATGAACTCGTACAGATTCATACTCAAGCATTCGCAAGCAATACAGAGATGGTTTCTGAAATAAAAGCTATCTGTCATTTTGACATTGTGGTGTCTGTCTTCAGGATCCCACTTCACCAAGTCGCTGAGGATTTTGACTTCGGTTTTTGCCTGAGCATAGAATCGCTTCTTGTTGCGTATCAGTTTCACAGCGACGGTAGAGGCGGTTTTATGGTCATAGCATTTCACCACTTGACCGAATGATCCTCTGCCTAGCTCTTCCAAAATCTCGTAACGATAAGCTAAATGGTCGCTTGTCACACTCTTGTAATCGCCACGTTCATCATCATAGCCATAGTTCAGGGCAGCATTGTCGGGCATAGCTTGGTATTTCTTTGCATGATGGCCCACAAAATAGACTTCAGGGTAGCCTTGGATTTCGTTTTGCTCGTAAGGGCTGAGATGATGGCCGTAAAATTTGATGGCAATAGACGGTGATTTGGGCACACCTGGACTGAAGGCTTCCACCATTTCCTTGTCCCACATCATCAGTGTATCCTTGATGCGTTGAGGGCGAGCTCTTTCCTCTGCTGTGAGCAACTGTGTGTATTTATCGTTCACATCATAGCATTGACTCTTGCGTGGCCTGTACTCTCCTGTCGCATAAGCGCTGGGCGATCGACGGCTGGTTTTACTATCATCCTCATGAATGGCGTGCTGAGCTACCATGGCTTCCAGCTTTTCGCGCAGACTAATGGCACGATGGCGCCCTAATAATGCATTTAATACATCCAACGTACATTCACAAAGTGATCTCTCATAATGCACCACTTACCCTTGTCTTTATCGAGGGAGGATTCGTCAGCGAGCGAGTTCTTTCTGCTGTTGGAAGAATAAGTGGATCCACTCAACTTTCTTGGGTATTCTGGCTCCTCTTGCTGTTGCTGCTGCTGCGTCGATGATGCTGATCGAAGCGAAGACTTGTTATTCGTGTCCAATACAGCCAAGCTCTGACGACGTGTTGATCTTGGTCGCACACGCGGGGATGCAGAAACAGGAGACGCTTTTAATGGCGGTGTAACGACGGTAGTCGACGATGGCGCTTTTAATGATGCACGTCTCGATGTAGAGATACCCAAATGGCTCTGCCCTTTGGCTCTTCTCGTGGAGAGCGATTTTTTGGGTGGTGTTACAACATTGGCTTCAGCAGAGGACGACGAAGAAGAGCTAATTGGTATGGGTGTTGTGTTGGCAGATGACATGGACATTCTCTTTTTAGTGCTGATCATTCGATTCGTGCTGACAGTTGCTTTGATGGAGGGCGATTTGGGTGTTCTTTTTGCGTTTGCTTTAGGCATGTTAAGTCTGATAGGCTCCACCTTCATGGGAGGCAATTGCACAGAAGTGACATTGGGAGGTTTGGCTAGACTACCTGGCAGGGTCTACATATTGCAAATCAACCCTATGTCAATACACACACACACACACACACACACACACTAGCTGGTCTATTGCTATATAAATATTTACCTTGCCACGTTTTCGAACCGTCTTCTTCAGCGTCTGTTGTTGCTGCTGCTGCTCATCTCCTGTTGTGTTACCATTCTCTTTAGACCATCGTTTGTTTGGGGGTGCAGGATTAATGGGCGATTCCTGGTTAATCACACTCTTTCGCCTTGACATTCTCGCTGCCATCATGGAGGGAGAAGTAGGCAGCCCCTCTTTCAAGCTTTCGGTTCTGGACATTCTTCGGTTGTATAAGGCATCTGTGTCCAAGCCCAATGACTTTTTTCTTGTTCTCATTGCTTTGGAAATAGCAGTAGGCTTCTCATCTCCGCTGCTTGTTCCTGATGCTGCTGTTGCTGCTGTGCTTGCGATAGTCTCCTCAGTGTCTACTACTAAATCAGGACATTGTTGTTGTTTTTGGTGCATTTCACGAGCCTTAGCAGTAGCTGCAGCTAAAATCGATCTTCTCTTTAATGCAGACACCGGGTTACTGACGAGAGTGGGAGACGACGATTCGCGATCATCTTCGCTGGTGGTAAACGAAGGGGACTCGGCACCCTTTTGTATAGCATTGCTCTTTCTTCGTCTGGGCGAAGACGAATTCCTTGCTGAAGTGGTCGATAATGGCGAATTGGCTAATGAGTGTCGACGTTGCTGATCTGCTAATGTGGGCTTCATGTAACTAGCACCGGCAGCCGAGGTGTCATTTGTTGCGGTGGTGCCTGGGGGAGTTAATTTCGGTCTTTGTGGTGGTTGCTGATGAGGAGTCAGTAATGTAGCACCACTGGATAGTGTGCGTCTTCTTGTAGGTTGCTCTAAGCTACGAAGTTTCTCTTTAGTCATACTGGATCTACGTTTTGCGCTAGTAATCATGTCTACAACATTTTGTTCTGAGTTTAGTATTTGTTTTTGTTGTTGTTGAACACGGGTTGCTGTTGTTGTTGTTGTTGTTGTTGCCTTCTTTTCATTATTCAATAGCCTTAATTCTTGTTGCGCTAACCTTCGCTCTACTGCAAGTGTATCACGTAATGTGTCCGCCAACTTGATGAGCCCACCGTTGCCGCTGCTGCTGTTATTATTTACATTGGATTTCGCAGAGGATAATGCACCTGACAATGTTTGTCTTCGTCCTTGAAGCAAAGTGGAAGGTTTCTTTGTAGTGGATATCGAATCGTTGGACTTTTTAGTGTTGATGGTGTTGAGCCTTGGTGACGCTGTGGAAGAAGCCAAACTTGTTCTTCTGTTCATCTCGACTTGGGTTGTGCTTTTTCTTCGCGTATCCAGATACTTTTTGGTATTCATCGACTTTTTGGTATCATATCGATCCGCTTCTGCAAACGCCTCATATATTCCAGATTGGCTCATGCCACTGTCTGCTGTATTCAGTGCACGAGACCGACTGCTGGCGGTGGATCTTGCGTATTTGCCGCCGGCTACTCCACCTCCTCTACCGTTATTGACTCCCTCTTTCTCAGTTGCTGATTTGTCGTATAAACCATGTTGTTGCATATGAATCCAAGATTCTGTTATATATGGTTTAGTTACAGTAGATGATGACATGAAGCTACTAGTAACTTGCTTTTTATCGTTCGTTAGAAAATTTTAAGCAAAGATAAAAGAACTGATGTACTGGAAATGTTTATATCTGAAGTGTGAGATATACGAGATATAGACTTCAAGTAAATCCCAAGATGTTTTGGAGAAAAAGGAAAAAGAATGGGGAAGAAAGAGAGAAAGAAAGAGAGAGAAAGAGTGTGTGTGTGTGTGTGTGTATGTTTGTGGGTTGAAATAGAAAAAGCTTAAATTTAGGAGAAGAGCTCTTTTCAAGAAAAAAAAAACAGATCTCTCTGTGGTCTGTGTGAAAATAAAGGAGAAGAGAACAGATGTGGTGGTCTATTCGGTGTCCTTGCTTCATTTTCGTCACTGTCAAAAAAATATTGCAACTGTGTAACTGGCAAACGAGGTCGTTGAACCATATATAAATCAATGACCGCATTGTATACACATTATTGCATGTTTCTTTCCTTCTTCCATTTTGATGACACTATCTCAGTTTTTGCCTACGCTGAAGTGCCCCACCTGTCAGATCCACATCGGCATGAAAAGCCTGCCATCGCATGTGTGTCCTTGTGCTGAACCTGTAAGTTTCATACAATCAAATCATGAGCTGTCCCCCCCTTTCTTTTCCTTTAAACTCCTTATTGCAATCATGATGTAGCATCGATTTTCTCAGATTTCACACTATGAGGATAACAATGAATTGCTAGGCCAAATCAACGCAAAAGCCGTAAAGAGGCCTGATCTCAGGGAATTGATACAACAGAGGTTCCAAACAAGAACCAATCCTGTCAATCCATGTTGTCGGTGTCACCACAGTAATGCATCCATCTTGATTGCGGACAAGCTCTATCATACAAGGTGCTTTTCCTGTTTTATATGCCATGCTCCTCTGGATCGAGATATACCAGGTGTATTCGAGGGCCAGGTATACTGCACGAGACACTACAAACTGGCTGTTACCCGACTCTTACAATGTGGCACATGGTAAACATCCGAGTATACCATACTATCTATACTCCTTAATTTCTACAAACTAATGGTATATATTACAGTGAAAAATCCATAGCATCATTTGTGAGACCGACGATTGCCATGAACCAGTTTTTTCATCCAGAGCATTTAAGATGCTTTCATTGTCATAAAGCGGTCGATCCAAACACAACAGGCTTAAAGGAGCGGAAGGGCAAGCTCTACTGCCAAACGGATTACAATGCACTCTTTCTGCCCAAATGTCAATCGTGTCAAAGGGCAATTGAAAAGGAAGCTGTAATCTCAATTGACGGTAAATTGAAAGGAAATTGGCATAAATATTGCTTCAAATGCCAAGTAAATCATCTGAAATACAAGTTTATATTTGTTTTTATATATTAATGTGTTTATTAGATGTGCGGTGCTCCATTTCCAAATAATCAATTCTATGTTTATGACAATGCACCCTATTGTAAACTGGATTACCACAAACTGAATCACTCTATTTGCCATACATGTTCTCTACCCATTGAAGGTGGCTGTGCCGAAACGTCAAACAATTGGAGATTCCATCCAGCCTGCTTCACATGCCATGTAAGAATACTCAGCCATCACGCACATTAGATTTGACATGCCAACTTTCTTCTGTAATAGATCTGTAAATCTCATATTCAAAATGTCTATTATATATCTCGTGGAAACATCTACTGTAAAGAGCATTATCAATCTAAATTGTCTAATTTATCATAATATATGTGAAACATTCTTTGTTTTTCAATAATATGCGCCTGTCTCCGCTTATGTGTTTACCTAGCTCTGCGTAAATGCTAACAAATATCACAACCAAACTGCTATGTCCTGCATAAGCCCTTTGGCTATTAAGAGCTCTATGTGATAAAGGTAAGCTTTTAAGTTATATTTTATAGGGGTCTGAGAAACTCACCAAACAGGTAGGCCCTGTTGATTACAATCAGAAGCCTGCATGAATTGACTGCAAATGAAGAGCGAGGCCATGAAGCAGGCTGCTCAGCAGTTCAATCTACCCTAGAAGACATCTCACATCTAAATCCTCTTTGGTAATGCCAAATGCTAGTCCATCCCAGCAACAAACCGGCACACCTGAGTCTTAAAAGATGTTCCTGAATCATGCTTCAATTGTTGATTCAGGGCACTTTGGGCGGTTACTTTGAATCAGGCAACTATTGATTTCCATCAACTCAGGGCTGCTGATTTGACGTCAAATAATCCGACGCATAGACTCTTTAACAGAAAGCGTGCTTGAATCTGAATATCCAAGATTGCATCAATCAAAACCGACATCAAAACCATTCCTAAAGCCTGCTTGATCTCCACTTTTTAAATATTCACCATCATATGAGGGCTCTATAAGTGGTCTTTAGCAATGAATTTGGCTCTTTGACGTTGTCCCACGTCTGTATTTATAGGATCAATCCATGTATGGATAGATAGCATGCCAGCAACACTTCTTAGTGCGCAATAATATGCAAAGCAGAGCGAAATCTAGACGCATTCAATCCATAATTTCTCGTGTTAGACGCCATTTCAGGCCGCCAGAATAACATCAAACAATTTCTCTTGTCTAGCACCTCGTTTTTGACACCTTTGCCCAACTTTTTTGGGATCGTCAAAAATCGACTCCAAACCATGAGGGATACCTCATGATTTTTATTGAAAATCAAACGATCGCGTTTTTGACCCCAAAAATAAAGACTTTTACTATGGTGTATATTTGTTCAAAATGTTTCTCTCGATCCAAAGCAGCTTCTAAAGTCTTGTTTGCGAGATCTTGATATGTAAAATCTTGACATTTTTGCTAAAAGCCTCATTTCATATTTTACCAAATTGCTCAATAATTTTATTCAAAGCATTTATTATTATTAGTACCATTGGATGCGCCTTGAAAAGTGCTCCAAGAAAGCTTAAGAGGGTATATGGATACCACTACATTTTATGTAGTCGAATCTGGTAAAATAGGTCGAACTGAATCCAAAAAGTTGAAAAACCAACAAATCAGGACAGAAAGTCGAGCGAAGATTTATTAATTTTTGGCTGATGGCAAATGCATCTCTCATTACTGTATTCGATGTTTTCGAAGCTAATAAGAAAGGTTCTGAGAACTAAAAGCGATTATAGCATAGCCTGACTACTGAAATTTGCTTTAGTAGTGTATATTTATACTAGACAATCAATCTCGCTACGCTCGATGATGGCGTCGTCCTGCAGGTTATCGCCAAAGACATTTCAAATCAGAGATAATAAAAATCTGGCATATCAAGTAGATTTTAAACAATCATTTAATAGTAAAATAAAAGGCTATACCCGAGCCGGGAGGAGTTGTTATCCATTCGCTGATGTTGCTCTTGAGATGGCAGCATAAAGCTGGTCTTAAGTAAATACAGGGCTTGCGGTAAGATCTACAGCGACTTTATTGAGATATTATCATTGCAAAAGACATCTTTATTATAGGAAAGCCCCCCCCCCCAGGAAAGAAAAAAGTATTCGAGCTAAACAATTGGTTTTTCAACGCCATAGTTTTCATTTGATCAGCATTACAATCATTGTTGCAATCATCATTGTTATTATCATTTTCATCATCAGAAAGGCATTTAGGTTAGCCAGCAGGAATACAGTGCCAAAATTGATTCAAACTCAGTTCATTATTTTCTGTTCAAGATTGGACAGATATTGTTTTTTCTCGACTTCTTAAATCTATTTTAAGATATTCGACTATATAAAATGTAATAATCACCCTACGCTTCCTAATACATTCTTGAAGTACTTTTCAAGGCGCTTCCAATGGTGTTAACTGTAATAAGTGTTTTGAATAAAATTATTGAGCAATTTGGTAAAAGATGAAAAGAGATTTTTAGCGAAAATAGCCATATTTTACATATGAAAACCTCATAAAAGTGGTTTCAGAGGCTGCTTTGGATCGAGAGAAACATTTTGATTTGATATACATCATAGTAAAAGTCTTCATTTTTGGTGTCAAAAATGCGATCGTTTGATTTTCGTAAAAAAGCATGAGGTACCCCTCATGCTTTTTGGTCGATTTTTGACCATGTTTTTTTTTTGGTCCAAAAAGTTGAGCAAAGGTGTCAGGAAGTTACTACCACTCAAGTACAATTGTTTGGCGTTATTCCGATGGCTCAGAAAGGTCTATATGTCAAGATATGAAGGCTTGAAAACTGCCCAATTTGGTTATGTTTTGCTTTATAGCTTTTATATACACGGCATGAATCACATCTCTGTTAGCTGTAATTTACTGGAAGGGCAGTTCTACAGCCTGTGCAACTTCTAGTTTGAACAGGAGGCATATTGATTTTGGTAAGACTAACTCATGCAAGTTTTGATGCGTAATGTTGTTGGTAAGCTTATTAATCTGAAAATGAAACCCCGAATTTGCTGCTTGAATACTATGGTTTTACACCTTCGCTTTGCTACTGTAAAACACACATCAAGGTTAATATTACCAAATGATGGGTTAGATGCTTAGTTGCTCTGATTTTTACCTTCACTTCGCTACAGTAAAACCGCTGCATAAGCCAATGTTACCAAATGTTGAATTAGATACGTTATGTTCTTGGTGGATGGGCTTAGCGCTTTCTCTAAACCCCTCTCCCCAATGCCGGCTTCGCCGTTGGTTTATTCATCTTGTACGGTACTCAATTCTTTAGTTTGTCTACCTTCTTGAATATTTTACAGTGTATATAATGACCTGATAGATTCAGTCGCTGTAAAAATTGTTTATTGAAATGCAAATCCTATTGCGCAATGCAATGGGAACTGTAATACTCCACACTGTAAATGATGTTTTGAGTTTGGATCTACTCCATGTGTACCTGAAAATGCGCAACCGCACAATTAGGATCAAGCAAGATAAAGCTTCTAAATCTAAAATATTTCACTAAACAAATGTAGCTCAAGCCTCTCATCAAGTATAAGAATTAGCATCACTTGACGGTTAGCGGCACAAAAGAAAGAAAAAAAAGTGCTCGGCCTCACCAGGGATGTTGCTTCATCTTGTGATTGGAAAACAAAAAGGTAACCGGCTCTTGACGTCGGTTTTGATGGTAAGATAACATGAAAGATGCAGCCTGGGGGGCTTTAATGAACCGCACAATGGTCATTCATCGCCAAGAGTGTGCTTATTGCTTTTTGTGAGATGAGTATACATTTGCTTGTGTCACAAATGTTTCTTTTACGAATTTGGATACAATAACATTGACAAAATCAAAGAAATGGACGCACATTCTATCAGAAATGTCAACTCATATGATGTAAAATCAACATAAAAGCAACACATGTTGGCTTTCTGGACCTGGCAAAATGATGAGGCCATCTTTTTCTTTCAGATAATAGTTGCGATAATGCAGCTATAAGACCATTTCAAACAAAAAAGGGTGGTTACATGATGACTTGGTCAATAAAGTTGTGTGTAATCTTTAGCCAGTTTTGTAACTCTGTTGTAACCTTTCTGTTTTATTTTGTTTTACTTTGGAATCATATCACAAACTCACAACACCCACCCTGATTTTTGCTTTTGGATGTTTTCTTTTCTAAATTAGAAAATGAAACTTGGTTTTCTCGATACCATTCATAAATTATGTTGGGTCCTACTATACACAACAAAACCATACTGGAAGAAGAAGAAGAAGAAGAAGAACAAGAACAAGACATGGATAATGATGATCACATCTTGAATTATCTGACTGACGCTACTGTCCACGATAACATACGCTACTATCAAGACATCACAAGGCTTCTGAGGCACAACAACAATAGAGCGCCTGGAGAAGCTGAGCCAATGAATGGCGATGATGATCATTATTTGTACACTAGCAGCACCAGTGTTGATCTCTCACCCAACAGCAGCTACAGCAAAGCAAGGCGAGAGCAACAAGGCGGAGTCTACGCTTCTGCTTCTTGTGTTGATGCTGATAGCATTGTTGATGCTGATTTTGATGCTAATTATGCTTCTCTGGATGATACTACTGCAGCATTTCAACATCAACAACAACAATTTGGTATTAATAGTCTATTGCCTTGTTCCTCTTCTTCTTTAAACATGTATCATCATCAACATCGGCGTTTACCCTCCACATCCACATCTACTTGCTCGTCTTATACATCTCGTATGATGCTGCTCGATGAAGACATCCTGTCGTCTGCCATGACAGCCGCTACCAGTAACGCATCTACAGCTACTTCAAATGCACATCACGATACCAGCGACAGTATTCTCATGAAACAAGCGCTCAAGCAGGCACAGCAGCGAAAAAGAAGAGAAAGCATAGGTGAAGTGGTCACCATCAGAAAGAGACCCGCCTCAACATCTGTTGTACCCAGATTAACAAAATCATCCGTTTTGCAGACCAACAGCACTATCAACAGTGCCAGCAGCAATAGAAAAAGATCGCTCTCCAACATACATCACAACAACAATCGTAGAAAGTACTATTCTTTACAGCAACCACTCAGTCAATCCGAGCGTAATAAACTAGCTTCCTTGGAGCCGTCGCTATCATCATCGTCGATAACTCACAGCACATTTGCTGCTGCTGGTGGCGGTGGAGTTCATTGGGACCCTCACATAGATGCTTTCGAAATTCTCAGAGCCAAAATCACGGGGATCACGCGATCCATGCAAGAGTTTCATGTTCAGGAACTCTTCCATGACGAGATTATGGGACAGAAAAGGCGTCAAATGGTCAGACCATCAAGGACCATCTCTTCGCCCATCATCACAACAGAGCATAGAAGCAGCAACAATAAACGAGAGCTCAAGGGAAGACGCTTCAGTATGGCCAATTTGAATGAAAACAACTCACTGTATCTCGGTCATCGTCGCATCAAATCACAGAGTTTTTTGCCGAGTGATAAAGATGAGGATGAGGAGGATGACAACAAACAAGAGGATGAAACATTAACACGATCGCTTAATCATTATCGGATGCACCAAGACCATAGCAGCTACAACTACAGCGAGGAAGAAGAAGAAGAGGAGGAGGATGAGCTCAGTGAGAGACAGCTGAAAAGCCCCAACTTGACAGCACTGTTTACCACTACCAACAGCTTGATAAACTCTCGACTCGATGAGTTATCTGAAACAGCCAGCATCAAATCCAACACATCTCAATTAGAGTGGCAAAAGCAATTTCTAAGCCTTGTCACCAGTTGTATACACCAATCCGAAGCACTTGAGTCACTGTCTACTGACGTCCTGAATGCGGAGCACCGTGTGAGAGAACTGATGCTGGTGAATGATACCCTTCATGAACAATTTCATGAAAGAGAAAAGCAATACGAAGAGCGCATCCGAGAGTGCCAACAAGTAGCTCATCAGCAACTCGTCATGATTGATTCTCTGGAAGAGTTGACGGCTGATATTAACATGAAGATGGAGTCGCGTAGACGAGAAATGCACCGGCAAGAAGCGCTGAGAGCACTGGATGCCAACAACACGCTGCAGGACCAAGAATTAGAACTGCAACATCAACAAAATGAAAGATGGAACTTCCAGAGATCAGTAGCAGATCTATTAAATATGGCCGATAAACATGATGTGATTCAAAAGATGAGATGGGACGTTGGCATGTTTGTTGGTGGTGGTGTGGGGACGGGACATGTTATCCACTCGTATCAGGACAAACTCAATGGTATCGACATGATGATAGCAGGGACAGGCACAACGACAATGCCTTATCGAGGAGGAGATATCCAGTACAGCGATCAAGAAGAAGAAGAAGAAGAAGAAGAAGAGCAAGCACAGACAACCACCTTCTCCATATCGCCATCCATACATCATATTCGACTTTATCAACATCAATACATTTTGCATCTCAGTAACAGAGACAGACAAACAAGGTTCTCTCTGTTACCCAAGTGTCTCTGGGTGCCTGACCATGAAACAAACCAATGCCAATTTCAACACACCAAGCGACATTTGCGATGTAGCACAAGGTTCTCCTTTTTTCAAAGAAAGCATCACTGTAGACGATGCGGCTCCATCGTCTGCCAAAGACACAGTGCGAATAGATTACCGCTATTCAACACTTCCAAGGCACACAGCACAACCGGCCAATGGAGCAGAGTATGTGATGGTTGCTTTTATGATTTGATTATGCATAAATAAACAAATAAAATCTATCCCTTTCATTCTTTATTAATTTATTCTTTCGAGTGTGTACGTGCGTATGAATTGAAGAGTATGTTTGTATCTGTTTATGTAATTGTATGTATATGCGTGTATAGATTGAAAAATAAAAGCAAATAGCTATTCATAAGGTGTGGTTCATAATAATGTACTGTATATAATGTAAACTGTGTATATGATGGATGAGGAAGGGAAGGGGGATCTTTATGTAAAAAAAAATGATATTAATAAAAAGGGGTGGGGGTATATTATTAAATCTAAAAGGCATAGTATTTATGCTTGTAATGGGTGTAGTTGCGCGTGTGTGTGTGTGTGTGTGTGTGTGTGTGTGTGTGTGTGTGTGTGTGTGTCATGTCTGTCTATAGATCATGGTCAAGAAAGTCCAAGTCATCTGCTTCGTCCTTGTTTGATACTTGCTGTGATGGCTTGTCGTCTTCAAGACTAGACACTTCCATCACACCGTTGCCTCTTTCAAATTCATACACCATGACAAGAAGAGGATCCGCCTTGGAGTCGACATCTTCAAAAGACTATTGAAACAAAGTATGAATAGGATGCTTATCATTGTGAATTTAGTGCATTTCTTACCTGGACGATACACAGGTTGTTGATGGCTATATCCACTTCATCCCAAGATTGCAGCGATCGGATACCCTTCATAAAGGCATCAAAGAACTGATTCACAAAGACAAAGCTGTACATGTATTTCCCCTCGTTGACCCAGAGAGCCTGTTGTACTTCTTTGGATTCCAACACAACATTACCAAACGAGTAAATGGTGGTTGTGCATTCAATGGTGCGACGGGTTTTTGTCTCAAAAAACGAAGTATTATTGAATGCAAAGTCTGCAATAGAGAGATTCAGATCAAGCTTAGTCTTGGCCATCAGTGTGTTGAGGGAAGCCAGGGTGGAGATGATGGGGCATTTCTCTTTGGAAATTGTCTCTTTGGAAGAAACAGAGGGGATGCCAGTAGCGTGACAGTGAGGCAGTTGCGATAAATTGTGCGATAATGGACGACATGAAGGATCGTAAGGCAGGGCATATTCCAAATATAGGCACAGATAGTTTGGCCACAAGGGGTATTGCTCTTGCTCTTCACCGTGCAATGACTTTCTTTTCAAGCAACTGGAGGTGGTGATATCTGTGGTTGATTTATCCTTGAGCATATCCAAGCTATTGATTAATAGTTCTTGCTCTGCTGCTGTAATGGCTAATTGCTGCTCTTCTTCCAGCAAAGGTGTAGTGAGGATATCTGTGTTATTAGCAGTTGTAGAGCCAAAGAATGGATCCGTCATCAAGTTTAAATCAAGGGGGTTCATGCTATTTGCAGTAGCGAGTAAAGACTGCTGCATGGGGTCATACACATTTTTGAATTGGAGCATGGAAAGCACTTGCTGCTGCTGTTGTTGATCATTGTACATGATATCAAATATGTAGTCTGTAGGTGAAGGCGACGAGTTGATGGAGGAGTCATCGGATGACAAGGAATCAATGGATCTATACGTCTTCATTTTGACACCCATGGGATGATGTTGAAGGGGATGGTGATGGTGATTTGGCATATGCATAGGATGATGAGGATGAGAAGGGCGAGTCTTGGGTTTAGCTGCTGCTGATGTTGTTGTGGAAGCATTATTGCTATCATCATTATCAACGGAATCAGTCAATAAACGCATGACTATATAATAAATCAATCAAAACGAACAGCGGTCATCAGTGTGCCAATCTTACAATGCGAATCTCCCTTGCGAGTATTCTTCAATACTTGAATATGGGATGATACTTGCTTTCTTGTACGAATTTTGCAAGTTTTGCGATAGATAAAGTCTGAAATCAGCTCGTTGCGGCCACAAGGCTTTCCGTTGACGAGGATCTTTCTTCTGCCCAGCTTAGGAATTGATTCCAATGCTAAAATTAAAAGGGGTTACATATATGCGATTGATTCATGCAAAACTACATATATGGAGTGTACCTTCGACAAATGCAGATTCGACATCTGGGGGCCATACTTGCTCTTCTTTATCTTTGTTATTATTATTGTTGATGTTATTTGACATATCATTGGCATTTAATCCGACCATGAGATCGCTGCTTGTGCTCATCATGGAGTCTTTTCTCAATGACTGGTGATGGAAATGTCTTGATCTCTTGTCTTTGTGATCATTGCTGTTGTTGCTGTTGTTGTTAAAGAATAAATCTTGAGGACAAGAAGCGAGCATAGTATATAAAGGAAAAATAAAAGGATAAAAATGATGGGGTTAAAGAGAGAGAGAGAGAGATGGAAAGAGAGAAAAAAAATGGTCAATTGAATTGAAAAAGTACTTCTTTTTATATGGTAGTATGAAAGAATACTTTAGAATGAAACGCTTCTCATCCAATTTTTTAATGTATTATTATTTACATTAGTTTTTTTTTAATTAAAATCATAATCATAACAACCTTTATTATTATTTACTGTTGAAACGGATCAATGTCTTTATGCTGTGTTATATATGTATAGATGCGTATCATTTCAGTAGCTAGAGATGGCTTTGTTGAGAGGATTACACAAAATGGCATGATACACACGTCCCTTTTTCTAAATCAAAGCTTGATGTGATGGTTGTTGTTTGTGTGTGGAATGAATTTTATATGTATAAATACGGCATACATGGCTCTCGATCACTTCCATGGGCACCCGAGCGAGCAGAAAATCAAACCCTTTTTCTAAATTAAGCGTTATTAAACCCTTTTTTATATAGAGAGCCTTTTTCTTTTTTTTTTTTTTTTTTTTTTTTTTTTTAATTAACCAGCCAAATGATACACACTATTACAAATCCAGGGGTAGATCAGGATCTATTAATGCGAATCATCGATACATCCCACATAGAGAGAAGAAAATCAAGGAGAACAAGAAGAAAATAATATAAAAAAGTGGCGGGTAAAATGATGTGAGGGTATGTACTACATTTTACCACCACCACGATGCATGAATCTAAATATTTATCTACTGTCTGTTTCTCACTTCTCTGACTCTTCCCCCAAAATGTGATATATTACGATACTATTTATTTATATAGGTTAGAGTGAGATATATAGAGAGAGAGAGAAATAAAAGGTGGGTATATCGCAAAAGCAAGTCGAAATCAATCAGCAATGTCCAAAAAGGACAAATGATTTGTTTGTAAATATTTTGAAATCAAAATTGACCGTTGCTCATGTTGTTGTTGTTGTTGTTGTTGTTGTTGTTGTCTCTCCGAAGACTAATCTTCTTCTTTTGTGATTTTGCAACATAGTACTTTAGAAGATTGAGTTGGTCTTCCCTAAAATCTGTCAAGAACTGGTACATGTCGTCTCCAATGATTTCGTGAAAGGCGACCATGGCATCCACACACGATTTTCGTATATTGATAAGAGGGTGATTAATGGCCTATATATCTGAACGATGAGATCAAACAAGTCAGTTGGTTACCATGGTTACACTTGCCTTGAATATGGCATTCACGCCACCTCGCTTGGATAACCATTCATCAATGTAGAATGTCTCGTTCATCTCCTTCACCCATTTACCGAGATATGTAAATGCAGAGCCTACAGGATGGTATCTGACGTCGGTCAATTCCTCGTTACATGGCAATATTAATAGTCGATAAATAATAAATGCCATTAACATCTCGAAAGCCGTGGGAGGGTTCAATGTACCCAAAACTGCGTCTAGTGCATCTTCTGCAGCAACGCAAATCTAAACCCGAAAACCGTCAGAATTGCGTACGATAAACAAAGGGCCGCATACACGCTTACCGTAGGATTATCGTTGCATCGAATATCTAATAGTTTCTCCATGAGTTGCGATTCTAAACTCTTGCCCTGATCATCTAATTTTCGTTCGTAATAACGAAACAAGCCAGTTTGAGTTACTGCTAGTTGACGGATGCACTCCAATGCAACAGTGTTGTTGTCCAAATGGGGTAGGATCGCCTGTACTGTCTCCACAAAGTTCCCAGCATCACCCAAAGCACCAGCCCATGTCTCGCTCCCGGTTTCTTCTATGCCTCCTTGATCCCAGCGTCTTCGGATAGGCACTTCTTTAAACAAGCGAGTTAATTTACGAAATGTATCGGCATGTGTTGTTGTTGATGATGACGCTGAATTCAATTTATCTATTAACGTATACAGCAATGTCGTCTTATCCTTGAGATGTCTTCCATTGGAAGTACCATTGGTAGTGGTGGAAGTCGTTGTGGTGGATTGAGAGACAGCGACAATGTTGGTTCGCACATTGGATCTGAATACTGGATTTGGGAAATTGACTTTTTCAGGGGCAAAGAATGGTACGTGAGTGGGAATAGGATATGTCTCTAAATTAGGTTCAGAGGGCAGCAGTTGTGTTGGGGGTGCAGGGACATGAGGCGCTACTGCTGTTGGTGCTGGTGGTGATGGCGCCACAGACTCTGCGACTGGCGATGCTGTCTGTGGTAATGGTGTCACTGTCGATGATGGCTCTGACAAAGATTTCTCAGGTTGGCTTGTTACTGGTTGAGGTGCATCAATAGGGGGTAAAAGAGGAGACGATGATACAACCTGCTTTGTTGTTGTTGTTGACGTAGATGTACCAGAGACCGTGCGACCATCTAATATGGATGCAGTAGCAGGACTAGTGTCGTGAGTATACTATCAAAAAGTTTTTTTTTTTTTTTTTTTTTAGCTGACAATAGTAATCAGATGTGTATGCTTGTCATACCATAACTTCGACTACATTCTGTTTGGGGCCAAAGTAGTCAGGGATAGGAACCTCATCTTGTACCTTTCTATGCTCAAAAGGTGTAGCAACGGCAGCAGTGGAGGAGGATATCAAGTGTGCGTCATGATCTAAAATGTCGTTTCTCTCTTGTAGAGTGAGCTTGTCTACCAAAGGAGCGTCGATGAGGGGTTGTGATGTCAAGTCTGAGCTGGACGCATTCAGAGGAGGATCATCGTACAGCACCTCATCAATAGCGACAGGTGGTTCACTGGAATCCATCAAAGGAGCTGGTAGTGTTTCTGCTTCAAATAAAGGCTCGCTGTGCTGTATGATATCGTCAACTGCCATTATGGATTCCTCAGTGAGCTGTTGCTGTGGCACAATAGACAGAGGCGGCTCTACTCTAATGTGAATCCCCAAAACTCTGCATATCTTGTTGACCGAATAGTCATCGTATGTGGTGGTTACCATTTCAAACAATCGCTGGTTAAGTAGTCGGATGTGCTTGATGAAGGTGACGAGCGGAGCATGCCACATGGTGCCTGAAGTAGACGTGGTGATAAGAGGCAGCAAGATGGCCAGACATTGCCGTATATTATCGTCCGATTCAAACCATTCTGAAGTGGCCGAGGCTGCCGCATGGCTATCGTTGTTGTTGACCAGATCCACATACTCTGTAGGTACTCCTTCAAAGGCTCTGGCTGTAACGTCTACATCTTCGCTTAATCCAATTAATGGTGTCACAAGCTCGTCCATCCATTCCAAAAACTGTTTAGTGAGTTTTCTTCTGTTTGCTGGTAACCGAGTAATGTCCTTTTTGCTTCCAATAGCCACTCTATCAAACGAAGAGGTGGTAACAGCTAACGATCCCGGCGTATTTGCAATAGCAAAATTGCCGTACTGGATCAAACAGTTGAACAAGGTATCCACGAGCGCAGGATGATGGGATTGCAGGAATAGTTTTGCTCTCACAAGGCCCATTTGAGCCAGCTGCTGCTTCGCTAGATCGTTCTCTGATTTACCATCGGCATTGGCCTCCAGTATTAGCTTGGGAATGTATTCTTCAAATGTCAGTAGTCGAAACATGATGCAGGTGACGGAATCCCAGCTAAACAGAGGCTCAGGGTAGTGGTCCTCCCACAGCTTGATGACAATGACTCGTAGTTGTTCTCCATAGACGGGCGGACTGTTGGGGACATCCAGCTGGATTTCATTATTGTTGTTGTTGTTGTTGTTGTTGTTGTTGTTGATATCAAATGAGGGAGGGAATGGGGCTAGTTTCTTTGCTAGTAGTACAATGCCCTCGCATCGTTGAAACATATCATCACTTGTGATCAGATTCATGAAATTGCTGGTAGGTTTTCGCTTGATTAAACTGACAGCTGACTTTTTTCGACTCAATGTTGGTACACGCGTTTTGTGTGTAGGTTGATGTTGTGTAGGATCTTGCTGCATTTGAGACGAGATGGAGGAAGGCGGTGGTGGCGATCGCAGATGGGGTGGCGACACGGCTCGGTTGTTGGATGGCGACATGGATCGCTTGAGTGATCCGTTCGAGGCGCTGGAAGTGGAAGGCGATAGGTCCTGGTGGCGATGTCTGCCCAAGGAACTGGATGCTCGAGGCGATATAGTAGGGCTATGCATGGATTTGGCAGTACTGGCTTTTGTGCTGGTTTTCGACTTTTCCAACTGTTTCTGTGCGGCTGGAGGTAACTGTCGCAAGATGCTGTGAATTGTGTTAGTACTGCTCAAATATGCACCAAGATATAGTTACCCCTCGCCTCTGTCTCTCCAATGCTCCCAAAATATCCAAAATGCCTCTCTGCACACTTCTTTCACAGCCGGGATTGGATCATTTAACCCCTTGACAATAATGTTCTCAAATTGCTCTGTGCTATGACTACGATCTATTGTTTGCCGAGTGCGGTCATGATGCGCATGTGTCTGCAACAGTGTCTTGATATAAGTCATGGCATACAATCTCACCTGGCTATTTTTTTCGTTCATGGACAAGTGGAGCATGTTCATGATCTTGGGGTAGAACTGTGTGTGCTTGAGAAAGGATTTGGTTGTTTCCAGCGAGGCACTGGCTACCATCTTTTTGGTCAAGCTAGAGCACCGCATCATACACAGGAGGATCTGATCTGTGGTGTAGTTGTCCAAATGCCTGCCAATGTAGATACCAATGTCTGTAACCAACAACAGGGCCTTGACTGCCAGTTGAGTGCGAAGACTCTCGACCTGCACTTGGAGTGAGATTCCATGGTATAGCAAATACATGGCACACTTACGGCTTTAACAATGCCATCCACCATCTGTTTCATACATGGCATCAAAACTTCAAGGTACGGTGATTCCGTTGCGTTTCCCCGAAGAATACCTCTCAAACGTGTTATGGATTGATCTCTTGCCTCCCAATTAAACTCTGTTTCCTTGTCGTGGTATGCTTTCAGCATTTTGCTGAATTCTGCTTCTAAATCTTTGGCACTCCATATCTACAAGTGGGTGTGTTGGTGTATGCTGGTACCTGAAGGATTTTTTCAGTGTTGGATTTACCTGTACAGGATCTACGTCTGTGGATTCGTCTCTGTGGATAGTCATGCTGCTTATTGATTGTTATATATATATATATATATATATATATATATCAATACAATGAAATAACAAAATAGCGAGAAAGAAAGAAAAAAAAAAAGAAGAGAAGAGGAGACAGAAGGAAGGAGAAAGAGAGGCAACTAGACATATAGACACACACATCTGTATGTCTTTCTCCACACGTGATGAGACGGAGATTATAGCACAATGGAAACACTTGCTAGAGCATACAGCAATGGTAATACCAAGGTCTTTTTTCTTCCTTCTTTCACTTTTTCTTGTTATCAGTACATATATATATATATAATACAACATGGCATCTTCTGCTGGCGGTTCCGAGCTCTTCTCCAGCTATGAGCAAGACTTTACATCCATCACAGACTCCATCAAACAAAAGATAGAGCACCAAATCCCAAACCAAAAAGGAGGTTTGTATTTGCTGACCACACTGCTGGTTGCCAATGTACTTATTTGAGTGTGCTTCACAGAGGAAAGGAAGGCTGTTATCCGTGCAGTTGAAAGAGAGATTGATGAAGCTGATGAGATTGTAAGTTACATTCATAGGCTCCTCTACAGTAGCAGCATACTGAATTAGCACATATAAAAGCTTGGCCAAATGGAAATGGAAATTTTGAATATTCCTACGCCATCACGCACTCGTCTACAAGCCAAATTGAGGCTTTACAAGTCCGAGGCAGAGAAGCTCAAGAGAGATTTGGTAAATAAGGGGATCTTCCTGTAACGCCAAATGACATAATTCGCTTACAAAGACGTACAGAGAAGAACCACAGCCATTGTGCCCAAGAACTCAGATCGAGATGAACTGCTTGGCGGGTTTGGCTCGGGAGAGAATGACGATGGAAACGACTTTGATGCATCCACCATGGATCAACGTCAACGTTTATTAAGCGGCACTGAAAGATTAGGTCAATCCAGTCGTCGTTTGGAAGATAGCCATCGTTTAGCTTTGGAAACTGAAGGCATTGGCATTAACATTTTGAGCACATTGAAAGGACAACGTGAGACTATGGTCCGGGCAAGGGATACTGTAAGTGTGCAGTATGATTTATGTGTGCGATGATATTAAACATTGGTTTCTACAGCTTGCAGAAGCCGATTCGCACATTGACAAGGCATCCAAGACGCTCAAAGGCATGGCACGTCGGTACGTACTGATAGAGAGAAAGAAAGAAATCAACACGATCAAAAGCAGACTAACACTCAACACAGTATGGCCACCAACAAACTTATTACTGCTGCTATCATTTTAATCTTGATTGTTTTAATCGTGTTGGTTATCTGGAGCAAACTATTCTAACTAACTGGCACATTGTAGCTTCTTTTGAAAATAAAAAAAAACACACACACAAGGGCTCTAATCATCATTAGCATCTCTGATACCTTCTTCAGCAATTGCAAATGTACATTCACTTTCTGGCAAAGAGGGCGAGTCATACACCTTACAGATGCGGTTGTCTCCTCTTCCCTTCTTAAAATGTAAACGAGTGCAGCATGAATGAGCCATAATGTTGCCGCCTGTAGGCTTTTTTGCGTCGGCTGTAAACATGGATGCGGAGCCATCTACGTTGGACAGCATTTGATTTGTTACTACAACAGCAACACCAAATTCATCGGCAATGCGCTGTAGACTTCGTAAAAAGCGGGCTAAATGCATTTGACGTGCTGATAGCTCGCCACGGCCCAGGTAGTCGGTACGATAGAGTGAAATGATGCTGTCCACAATGAGCAATGCAAATCTGTGTAGATTTTGGTTACTTGGTTTCAGTACAAACGCACATTTAGCTTGACAGACCTCGTTTCAGACATCATGGCAGCTGCCTGGACCAAGAGAGATGTTTGATGGTCGGTGTTGTAGGCACGAGCATATGCAATATTATCCAAGCAAATTTCTGCATCTAGACCAAATCTATTGCAGCAAGAAATGAGAGTGAATATCTTGATTTAGCGATCAAACATGTGTACCTGGCTGCAATAGATAGTATTCTACTGGATCGAAAAGTGCCCTCTGTATCAATATAGAGGCATTTGCCTTCCGCGCCACCCTGTTCCATTGAAAGCTGTGTGCTCTTGTGTCAGTGAAGCTTTCTCCTTGGTAACGTACATGTTGTACTGTACCTGACATGAGACGGCGAGTGTATGGCAGAGCTGCGTTTTACCACATCTAAACTCGCCAAACAGCTCAGTGATGGAGCCAGTTTCTATGCCACCGCCCAACAACGTATCAAGGTCTCTGGATCCAGTCGTGATGTAGATGAGCTCGTTTCTTCTCTGCTGAACATCAAGCGCAGTTGTAAAGCCAATGTCAATGAGGCCACTGACTAAAGTAGAAGCCATCAGTGTCCTCTTTTCAAGTGCCTCCTATATGTATACTACCTTCCTTGATGATTTTTTCTACTTTGGCCTCTGAAAGACCCTTGATGGCCAGCAAAGACTTTTTGGGGGAATAAGCAATAGCATCTACTGTGTAGAAACCAGCACTCTGGAGCTTCTTGATGTCTGTTTCTTGGATGCCATGTTTCTATAGCAAACATTGGCAGATGTGTAACAGTGCGATGAGGAACCTTACCTTCAATGTAGTGACGAGAACAGCAGAAAAGCCTTCATCATCCTCTTCTTCCTCCACCTGCTGTTCATGCTTTTGGTCCTTTTGCTTTTGCTTTTGTGGTTGCTTGGGCTTCTCCTGCTCCTGCTCTTGCCCCTCCTGTTCAAAGAAAGTGTCATGCTCACTGGCGTCACTTTGGACAAGCTGCTCTGGCGATGCTTGTTTGCTATTACGAGTGTTTGTCATGATGGCTACGCTGTAATGAATGGCTTAAATACGAACAAAAGGAAAGTTTATTGTATAAATATAAAAAAAAAAAGAAAAATAAATATAATAAATAGATGTAAATCCAAACAATCAACAGGTTCTTTTTTTTTTCGCTTTAATATTCAAATCTGAAAAATCAAGGTGATCCCATCGTTTTGGAGTTTGTAGGAGGCGTGATGGGGTAGATGGGGTAGTGCACTGTAGTGTAGTCCATGGCAGTGGTAACAAAGGTGCATTTTGACAGTTGATCTACATGTCAGGTTGTGAGTATAAAGAGCTAATGAAACATAATGTCAACTTACCCATCAAACTAGGAATTGGCGATGACTGCTTCCACTCTTTTTGTAGAGAGGAGGATGCTGTATTGTGATGTTGATTCCAGGCATGTGGCTGCTGCTGATCACTGACAGAATGGTGAGCAAGGGGTGAGGTGGGTGTGGAAATAGATGGCTGCATATAAGAGGAGGAGGATGTGGATGAGGATGATGGTGAGAGGGAGAGATTCAGCATGGAGGAAGCAACTACATTGGTCGAATGCTGTGATGAGCTTTGCTTCAAGATGCGAGGTGAGAGGGGTGGAGAGGGCGATGATACAGAGTTGTGATTTGTGGCAGCAGAGGAGGAGGTTTTACTGCTGTTGTTGCTATTGGGTGGAGAAACGTAAGGCAAGTTATCTAAATAAGCATGGATTCAGTTACACACGTGTACAAACCAATTTTACACAACAATTTTAAACTTACTATTACGATGGAACTCACTGTGCTCTTTTTTCAATGTAGAGGCAGATGACGAAGGGGAAGACATAGAGTGTATAGAGTGTCTCTGTTGACGAGCGTGTGTGGGGGATCGAGTGGAGGCGTGCTGCAAATGTGGAGATGACATTTTTCTAAACCCTGATGCTGCGTGCTTGAGCTCTTTGATCTCTTTTGTGAGGGGCGATTGAGACAGTGGACTGGGTGTGAAGGCTGTCATGAGTTTCTCGATTCTACGAAGGCGATCTTCTATACGATCAATAGCTTCATTGTCTCCTGCACCACCTGCATTTGTAGTGGCAGTAGTAGCAGAAGATGATGATGTAGTCGTGCTGGATGTGGTGGAGTTTAGGGCTGTGTTATCAGATGAAGTGGCTAGCGAAGAAGGTGTGATTGGTAGATTGGACGGAGACGAGAGAGATGAAGCGACTACGGATCTCTTTCTACGCTCTGAATTATTGACACAATCAATGCCATTGCTAGCACAAAAGCTACAAGGACTATTGCCATCACACTTTGTTTTACGTCTTCTACATGTTTCACAAGCAGAGCCCGAACTTAGGCGACGAGCAGTGTTTGTTGAGAATACGCTTCTTGGATGATCTGACACTACACTATAGACACAATCATGAAATTCGTCTATGCAATGTGAGCATGGCCTGCCTCCATTGCAGATGCGCTTTCTTCGTTTACAAGGCTCACATCCTCGGAGTGTTGAGCAGCGTTCCACAAGTTGGTTTCGGGTAGGGCTAGGATTGGATAATTTGCGATTGGTGGGTGAACTGGGAGGCATCGTATAAAGGGCTTTTGGTTCAAGTGTGTATACTGGGTGAATGAGCTGGGGCTTGTAAAGGTATGTGTGAGATGTCTCTTCTTCTTCTTTCTCTTCTTGATGTGAAATGGCAGAGGATGTGTAGTGTGATTTCCCGAGCGATCCTTGTCTAGTGTAGGTTCAATAAAAAAAAAAAAAGCAGATCAGACAGGTACAAAAAGCAATGCTGAGAATAACCAAGGAAAGAGGAAAAGAAGTAAAGAAAAAGAGGAAAAAAAAAGAGAGAGAGAGAGAGAGAGAGAGGAAACGGAAATTAAGATGGGAGAAAAGCCTAAAAACGATAGTGCAAGTCTATCGGTGTTCCCTCCGTCGTGTTCCTCTCTGTTTAGAGTGGCGATGGACCCAAATTTGATGATTTATTATGTGGGAAAACAAAAAGGGGTCATATCCAGGGCGAGACATTTGATTCAGACATGGGTAACTATCAGTCGGATTGGACGGATACAAGTAAAAGAGTCAGTACCGAACCAATCTCATTACAGGAAAATACCAAATAAACTATAATTCGGTACATGCTCGGGCGAACCTTTAGGTATATATATGGGGATCAGCCGTATGATGTACTTGATAGCTATATCCATTTTGTGCGTTCTTTATTTTTTTTTTTTTAGAGAGAGAGATAGCCACCAAGCAGCAAGATATACTATACATTAGATGCGGCATCCCTTGGACTACTTTTGATCATAATGTGGATATAAATATACAAACAACAGCAAAAAGGAACCCCCATCTCTCATCATCTCACAGGTTCACATACCCGTGATTTTCTGTTACAACTGTCTGTGCGTCCAGGAGATGCTCTGTTGTTTTTCCCATCACGTATGACGCTATTGCAATCAATTTGCTCTTCAGCAATAGGTGCAATGCTCTTTAGATTATATGGCGGACTTGTGGTGCTGGTTACTATAAATGATGGGCTCTGTGTACATCAATCACATCTTAACTCGGGCTTCTCGCTTGCATTATTTATAGTAGATGACACTCATTAGAGAATATAGAGTTAAATATATCGTGCATATGGTACCTGAACGTTTGAGAAACATCATGGCTGATGTCGAGCAAGTCCTTGATATGTCGCATCACTCTTTTAGTGTTATTTCTACACGTGAATCTTGTCAGAAAGATAATACGTTACTATACTTTCCTGCGCCTGTAATAAATAGAATGAATCTAGTTGGTAGGAACAAGCGAAATGACTAGAGTGGTTCCTATGATGCTCCAAGTTGTCTCTTCAATACCATCATTGCGGCCCGTTCGTTGTCAAAAGATCCGAAACTAGTTGGCAACGCATCACTATCTCAAACAACTCAAATGATCCATAGCACCAAGCAAGCTTCAATCCAATCATGCCGTTGTGGATGTATCGGCAGCCCTACATCACTCTGAATAAATGACACCAAATGCGATTTTAAGCTTTTGTGAGGTTACAACGATTCTTAATATCTCGTGTCTTGCAACCTCATTGCCAATCTCGTAAAACATACGAGACGGATATCGCGTGCAATCATGGTTGATATAATTGCAACGATTCACATGAGAAAAATGAAAGCTCAAAGTCTTTATTGCTCTTTGCTAATGCCACTCATCTCTATCTGCCATTTTCCACCTACACCATCATAGCGTTCTCTGTTTCACAAGGTAAATGATACACAATAAACTCGATCTCCTTTCGAAGAGAATCACAGAACGTATTTAGAGGGAGGTCATTGCTGTTGTAGCCAAATGGATTGTCTAGAAACACCAAAACATGAGCTTAAGGTGGTCAGTGTTTTATGCAATGTATCAAATACCTATTTGAGCTCCAATCGCATCAATGCCGAACAATGTGAAAGAGGCCAAGATGATGGTGGGTATAATCCACCACTTGAGCTGTTCCACCAGAGTAAACGGAATAGCCAATATGTACAAGGCCAAAGATTGTTTCCTATGTTGTATTAGCATCTTGGCATTCACACCTTACCGATGGCTTACTTACAAATGAACCACATACACAGCGGGGATAGGCGTGTTGACTATACGCTCCATGCCTGACAAGGAGTCATTCAAGTTATTCAAATGGGTGATGATGACATTGGAGAAAGCGCCATCAATTTTCCCGGCAGTTTTAGCTTGTGCCATGTACAAACTCATGCGAAAGATGATCTCCAGAGGAAGCGACATGTCCGAGTTACCCTCATCAGGTAAATCCTCCTCACAGCTGAATCTCGCCTGCCGTTTTTTCTTTCTCAATGCGCCGTCGGCATGGCTGTGGTTGGCGCTACTAGCACCATCGAATGTGGATGTGGCAGAAGAAGATGGAGCAGTGGAAGGACATTTTTGATTGCCCAAATCATGAATATCATCACCTCCTTGGTTAGCATCCAACAAATGGCTAGTGCTACCTTCTGCAACATTGGACACAACAACGGCATCATCATCCGAGCTATCATCCTTGATGATAAACAATTGGTCATCGGCAGCTGCAGGAATCCAATTTGGCGGTAGCAAGTAGTCTAAATCATAGTAATCGATGCCATATTCTCGTCTCAAATAGTGTTTGGTGGATACAGCAAATGCCAGCAACAACTTCATGCATCTCATCTTTTCCAGATGGTCGTTTTGTGTACGTTCTGGAATGCTGCACCAGATTAAGCGCGCAAGGTTTCGTGTATTGCTGGCTAAATCTTGCCACAGCTGTCTGCCCTCATAGTAACGTGCGTAGGATGTGTTGGCTCGGAATGCCAATAACAGACCAAGAACCACAGACAGCACAGGAACTACAAGTTGTATACAGATGGATCAACCGAGCTATTCCATTGCATGGATGGAGCCATATGATACGTACCGACGGAATTGCTGAGAGCGACGTGTGTCCAGCCCCAGGATATATACATGACACCAATAAAGTACGCATAAAGGGCCGTCAACGCAATCAATGGGAAAATGGAGGGTAATACCTATGTTCAAAACAAAAGATGAGCTAGGCTGGTTACGGGTACGTGTACACGAATACGTTACTGATCCTTTCAATCTAAAGACGTGCGTGTTGTGTGAGTGATGGAGGCTTTGAGCATGGAACAGGACGAATATGTATAGTTACCGAAGATGATCAGGGTATGATTTCAAGTGTCGGATCCAGCGTTTGGTGTAATATAGCGGCTTCAAATCATTGCTCAATGATTGACTTTTACTTGCTGACGAGGATGTCATGTTGAAATGCAATGGGTAAGAAAAGCCTCTAATGCAACTATATAAGCCTTCGTTAAGCAAAGAGTGAAAAATTGTTACAAGAGATGAAAACGCCCAATAGTTCCACTTTAGTTCATTAATTACGGTTACTTGTTACACATATCATGACATGACGATTGAATGCCTGTAAACACAAGCCTCGCTCTCGTTGGAACAGAATAAATGGCACAATGTCTATGTCAATGTCTTTGTTTATAATCGTGCTTCTTTTTATGTCACCATGGTGTACATTTCAAGTATTGCATTACTGAGCGCAGTCATCAAAGCACGTTGCTCTGTTCACTTGTATACATCTTGACACTCAGAATACCACAAGATGTATTAACCATTATTGATCGAACCCGCTTGCTCATTAAAGGCTATCCAAACTGATATCCATTAGCTTTCAGAACCTATCCAATTTGAAGATATTGAGATCATTTGGGCAACCACATATCGCTTCCTGAGGGCACTGATGTTGAGATCAAAGTAGTGTAACATTGTAGGTGCCTCAAAGATTAAATTTCAAATGGCTATTCTTTCCTTAGCCAGCTGCTACATGCGATAGCAGTGGGAAGGATATTTATAATCTGACATGTAAAGGGTAGTAATAGAATTAGATTTATTTAAACACTAAAATATAACGTCTTTTGATAAAGCATCGTGAAGAGACATTGATGAGAGAGTGCCATAGTCTTGGAACATCTGGTGCCTGGATCGAGAGTTCGCACTTTGGAGGCTTAATCTCCTCCGCCGCCTCCTCCGCCGCCTCCTCCACCGCTTCCTCCTCCTCCACTGCTATCACCACCACCACACCCACCGCTATCGCCACCATATCCACAACTATCGTCACCATATCCACCACTGTCGTAAATATATCCACCCCTGTCGTAACGATATCCACTGAATCCATTGTATCCGCTATTGCGATAACTGCCACCACCACTGCCACTACCTCTAGTGGGTCCAAGGTAGCGTTGTGTAGCCTCTCTCTCTTTATTTCGAGCCAGTCCTGCGGCATATTTTTCTTCAGCGCGCCACACGGTTACGTTGAGCAATGGCAAATGCTTCATTGAAGGTGATCTTGATAACATCTAATATCATGGGCGAGCCAATGGTAGCTGTACTGTTATACCAACGACTTTTGACGCGTTGAAAGTCCTTGACATCTTCAAAAGCTTTACTCCATGCAATGTTGGCATTATGCCAATTGAATCTTTGATCCCTAGAGGTGTAAGGGTAGCAGGGCAGATTGAGACATTTGCCTTCCATCAACTTGAGTCCTGAGCCAGCTTTGTTTCGAATAGGCAAATAATTAGACGCTTGTTTAAAGCATTGCATTTTTCATATAAACTTACATGTTGGGAGCACTGTTAATGGCTGGCAATGTTAGAAACCTAGAACTAGACAGTAAATTCTAGAACAACTCATCTTTTGTGAAGCTAAACACAGACCAGTCAGAGGCTAAAAGCAAATACGATTCAATCAGGCTTAAATAGACTAAAAGCAAGCTAGACATACCTGATTTATCCAATGATCTTAATGTTGAATACTGAGACATGAACTTTAAGTTTTCGAAATCCTTGTAGCTGTCTATAAGGACTGTCAGATTAAGCTTTTTGACAGTTCATAACATATCAATTACCTGACTTTCAGATGTAGGCTTCTTTGACATCATATTTATCATACAGGCGTGCTAGATGGGATTCTCATTTAGTATGATTGATCTATTTAATCCCTAAAAGAACGAGTACCTGTCTTGGCAAATGAATCTATTCTCAAACGCAATGTCGAGAAATCAATGTAATGGTGCTGAATAGCTTTCTTGATTGATTGCATGGTATCATGATGCGAGCGCTTTGCTTTTAGTATATCCCACTCACATTTAGTGATTTGTATGTATTTGTCTTCTTGGCCATGAGGAATTACAGCGTTAGCGCCCGCTATCTTTCCGTTGGCATATGCGTGGCTCTTGACTCGAAATTCGTTGGTTTGCAACAAATGTGTGCGCCTGGCAGTTTCTTTGGCAGTAGCTGTTAGTAGTTGTTCATACCTGATTTTAAGACAGCTACACACTGGCTTTATACGTAGGAACAAGAATGACATTTGGTTTCTTTGCTGAGGCTTCATTCAGGCGAGCGAAATGAACGTAATCCAAAGGCATTTTGGAGAAATCGTGGGCCGTCCATTTCACTGTCTGGGTTACTGTATAGTAGAATGCGTACTGTCCAGCCAAGTCTTTGATCAAGTCGGCCGAACTGTAAATATAAGGGCTGCTGAAATAGGTGCCTCTGGCTGCTTCAATGAAATCTATAGATATAGCTTTCAGCATCGTTTGACTGACGTTGAATAGAACCACATACCATCTATGGACCCGTCATCCTTCTCTCTCTCGCTTCTTTCTGGTTTTTGACAAGGTAGCCTTTGATAGCATTCAGGCCTGAATCAAAAGGCAGTGCCTTGAGGTCGTCAATCGATTTAATGTACTGTATGATTTTTGTATGCATCTTTCCGATAGTTGCTTTCGTGTATTGTGAGTTCCTATACAGCATTGACTTGTGCAAGTCAGTGATCAAGTTGGCTTTTCTCACATGATCCATCGTGAATTGCGAGTTGCAGCGATAGCAGCAAAGAGCTACTTTGTGATCCAACCGCCATTCAGCAAAGTCTTGCCTGCAGTAGCAACACAAATGCATATGATAAGTGTGGCACTTTATGAGTCAAACGTGCGCAATACATACCATTTTACCTGTAGATCAATATAGCAGACGATGCAGGTCAATTTGGCATATTCTTTTTGACTCGAACTCAATATGTTCTCTTTTGTCAAGTACGTAGGTTCTTTAAATCCCAATCTGTCTTCCCAATAATGTGGAAGCACCTTCTTGCTATGATTATTTACCTAATGTTATGTGAGCAAGTGGATGGCAATCTCGTTTAAGCGCGCAGTAACTCACTATTACATCAAGCTTGGTAATCTTTACATGTTTTCCAAGACAAGGAAACTCGCGGTTACAGTCATCGTCAAAAGTGTCTGTATTTGCTTTGTGTTCTTGCATGCATATCGCAATGTCTTTTTCAACAAAATCATTCAGTGTAAGGTCTGTGCATTTGCTTACATTGCATCTTACCAAGGGGAGGACAATTTGGATTGGACAAAGAGTTTTTATAGGTGGCATGGTGAAAGTACCTATATTCAGCACGGACCAGAAAGAGCTTCATCTCTGCCTCTGTCATGCCCTTGGTGACCTCAATGTACTTTGCAAGCATTGAAAGGTAAGCATAGCATTTATACTGGTCGAGATAGTTGAAAGAGTGACAATAGGAATCGATTGCTGGCAAGGAGACCCGCCTGCCAAGGTCAGGGTTACTCTTACCGAGCTCTATAAAAGTAGGCTGATGCATTGTCAACAAAAAGAGGTGGTTGACAAATGAAAACAAAATAAATATATAGTTTTTCAAGTGGCATAAATGTAACATGAAATACTGAGGAGGCTGTGCTCTGTAGCAAGGATTCATATGATGCATCGTGGGCTACAGGATGGCTTCTTTAGCCAATCTAAAATTAGTTGATTACAAACGAGCCTGTCGACGCTACGGATGACTCTCTACCTTTGCTTTGCTTCGATGAGAGTCAACCTACGCAACTGCAGTTCACGCAACCGATTATCCTTGCTCATCTTATTCAAACACTGCTGCTTTTATTTAAACCTTCCACTTATACATGAGAGCCCATCATATTATTTGTGGATCGGACTCTTAGTGATGGTCCACGTCTGTATACACGTAGCTACTGCGTATACGGGTAAGCAGCATACCGGCGTGTCCCCTTTTCAGTCGAGTGCGTGTCTTGCGCAGCAAAAACTGGGTACATTTAAGCCGTGTTTTCTCGCGTTAGGAGCCGTTTTAGATTGTCAGAATAGCACCAAACAATTGCTCTCAGCTGGCAGTTACTTATTGCCACTATTGCTCAACTTTTTGGTGATGGTCAAAAATCGACCAAAAAGCATGAGGTACTTTTTTTTAAAAAATTGTTTTTATTGATTGCTCCGTGTAAGTAGGTCCCTAGGGCACTACCAAGAGGCGGGCGCAATTGATAGATATTCAATTGTATTTAGGATAAAGCGATAGATGACAGGAACAGATGATAGATGACAATTGTGATTAGAGAATTACACTTGTTTGTGAATTTCAGTTTGGGCATGTAGTTGAAGGAGCTCGTTCTTGATCTGCTGGACCACATCGATCCATGTAAATGGAATCGAGTGAAAGATCATACGAACTTGAGCTCGCCAAATGTTGCCAAGTGTTACCAGTACGACCATGTGAGCAGTGGTGTACGATTTGGAGACATATTTGATGTTTTCAAAGTCAAGAGAGGAACAGGCTTGGATAACATCACCAATCGAAACGGTTGGCCACAGGAATTCAAAGATGATAGCTTTCCAGATGGACACCTTACTGGAACAGAGGAAAAGCAAGTATACAGCATTTTCTTCTTTACCACAGATCAGGCAGAGAAGTGATTCAGCTATCTCAAAGTAGTGTAGCAGGCGTTTGGTCGGGATGGTGTGGGTGAGGAAGCGATAGATGACATTACGGTGGACAAGGTTCAGGGACAGAGACCAGAAGAAATTCCAGTTGGACCTGGCGATGCTGGAGGTGTGAGCCTCGATGCATGCTGTGCGGAATGTTCTGGTTGAAATCTGTCGAGTGAGGCCTTGCTGGCTGTTGAAGTCATAGGAGTCAATGAACGGTTTGAAGGAGATGTCGGTTGTGCGGTTGGTGCCATCCTGAGGGGGTTGTAGCATGAGGCTAAAGTACGGCTGGATATGTACTTTGTTCTCGTTGATTTGCTTCAGGATTTTCTTGCAAGCGCGTCGAATGTCAGCTGGGATGGTTGGTGCTTTTCGTGCTTCTAGTTGCAGAGGTTGGTTAGGATTGGGTTGATAAAGATCCTTTACTTGCAACTGAGTGACCCTAATCGGCATTTTGGAGACAGTGGCAGACGGCTGCAGAATGGCTTTGACAGGTAGGATGGAGGCGGTAGCAATGTTGAGGTGAACTGGTTCATTGATGCGTTTGAGGCGGTCAACTGATTTGTAGATCATTGTTACCGTGTTGGTGCGTTGTTTGGTGAGACCAGTGGTTCGTGTGAGGGGAAAGAGCAACGGAACCTGCACATGCGCACTCTGATTTTGCTTATTCACTAGCATGACCAGCATGAGATCTAGGATGTGGGGCGAATCAGAGGGATGGAGGAGCGGTTGAACCCAACGAAAGTATAGGGCTGATTGTTGCAGAGTAACATCCAGAACACCTAATCTACCTCATGGCTTCGGCTTGGTCCATGTGGCCCAAGGGATAACAGGAAAGATACCTTTTCGTAGAAACTTGGTGCAAATGGACTGGATAGCTTGGACATTATTTTGAGCAAACGGAGTTACTCGTAGTACATACCAGCATTTGGACAAGATCAAACTGTTGAGCATTGTAGCTTTGCCAACGACGGAGAGACTTCTTACACTGTGGATTTTGGTAGTTGTCCGGAGATTGTCGACAAGACCACCGATAAATACTTCACGTTGTTGAACCGATTGCAGCGGAGGAAACCCAAGATAGATCACTGGATTGGAATCCATATTGGATGTGAATTTTGTGATATTCATTTCTGAGAGTCGTGCTTGCCAATATGACCGCGTTTTTTGACCAGAGAACGAGATAGCTTCGGCCTTGTTGTAGTTAATCTTGGCATTGGTTGCATTGCAATAGACATCTAAGTGGTACTCGAGTCTTGCCAGATCAGGAAGGTCTTGAACAAATGCAAAAGCATCGTCAGCGTAACATAGGATTTTTGACACATGAACTAAAGGGTCATTAGCATTATAGTTGGGATGGTTAGTTGCATACTGCATTTGATAGCCGTGGTATAATGGATCATTGAGAATAGACCGCAGAAAGGGTTCAATAGCCAAATTGTACAAAATAGAGGAAATGGGGTCACCTTGCTTTAAGCCTCGCAGCTTGGGAACATCTTCGGTAAAGTAACCATTCACATTGATGCGCAAGAGATTTTGGCCCATCATGTTGATGATGCAGCGGACAAGATTAGCAGGGAAGGCATAAGTAATGAGTGCAGTTTGAAGGTACGAGAGGTTAACTCGATCGTACGCTTTTTCCTGATCAAGACTAAGGCCAATTGCTTTGGGCATTTGGTGTAACACATTGTTCTTCTTTGCCAAGTTCATGGTTCGTTCAGCATCTTCCATTATGACCTGACACCGCAGAGCATTTTGGGCAATGAACCTCCCAGGTATGAAGCCCGCTTGGTTCTCGTTGATCAGTTGCTTAGCGACTTCCATCATTCGATGATTAAACAAACGTGTCAAGAGTTTGTAGTCAGTGTTGCAGAGGGAGATAGGTCTATAATTTGCCATGTCATTGGGGTCATTTTTCTTGTAGAGGGTTGCCATGAGAGAGACGCTCCAAGACGCAGGAAATATGTCTTTGGTGAGGGCATCATTGTAGACCGTGGTGATGAGAGAGTGGAGGGGCGGGAACTTGAGAATCAGTCGGAGGAGTTGGTAAGGGATGCCATCGCTGCCGGGAGACACAAATTTAGGCGATCTTTTACATTCAAACAACAAATCATCTAGCTCTACTGGTAGTTCGAGGAGTGATTGCTGTTCACCGTCAAGTTGCATGTCAGGTGTGATTTGATTCAACAATAGCCGCATTGATCTGGCATTGGGTGGAGTTGGTGTGTACAAATTCGTGTAAAAGCTGCCAACGATCTCGCTCATAGTACCTTGATCAGCATGCAATTCTTGAGTAACTGGATGCCTTAGTTGTTTCAATTGACGTTGATTCTGTCTAGATGCGGTGAGTTTCTTCAAGAACCCAGCATTTTTCTCTCCATTTTCTCTCCAATACTTCCCTAATTTGAGGATTTCAATTTCGGCTATAGAGTCTTGTAAAGCACCAATTTGTTGGTTGATGGTGTCCAGCCCTTGAAATATCAGTCCCCGGTTCTTCTTTGCTCGCATACACCGATTTCGTTTTGCTTGTAACGTCTTCAGTGCCTTTCGACGCCAGTTGACTTCTTCCAGTTGGAATTGTCGGACATGTTCCTTAAACTCGTCTTTGATCCAGTCCCAGATCTCTTGAGGGAATTGGGTGGCTGTCTTGAGCTCAATTTGCGGCTGTAGACCTTGCAAGAAGATCACTAATTCACGACGAAACTTGTGGTTGTTGGCCAAAAAGGGATTGCATTTGTAGGCGCCAGGCCCCTGTGTTGCATCCTTTTGCAGTTGCAGAGTAATGACCAGCATTTCATGATCTGTCCATGTTGAGTTCATAAACTCCTGAGTACACTCTGTAACTGTTCCATAGGAGGTGTTGTTGCAGAAGATGTAGTCCAAGATGTAATGGAGATTGTTGGACCCATGAAAAGTGGCGCTCTTGTTTTCCCAAAAGCAATTGATGAAATGTTCCTCCAATAAGGCTATCCATTCGACTGTAGTTGCTTCGACTGTTCCATTAGATCGGCGAGACTCATATTTGTAGTTGAAATCTCCCAAAATAATCATGTTGTTCTGAATAGTTGTAATCTTGTGTATCAAAAATCTGTGTTGCATCAATTCCGTGTAGAATTCCACGTTGTCTTTTCTTGATGCTGCTTTTCCGTATATGTTAAGTATTGTGGCGATGGAGTTGGAGGAGTTTGGTTCCTCTTCCGTCGCATAGTGTATGTGTGCTAGTATAAATCTACCATCGATGCCAGTGTCAATGGGTGTAATAATGTATCTGTGGTTTAGTGATATGATTCCGCAATATTTTGTGTAGGTGCTGGATTTGCTGGAAAACTGCATATCTAATGTGTCTTGAGTATTTTTTTTGTCAGCATGAGATTCTTGGATGGCAAGAATATCAATGTCTGATGTTTTGAGGTATTTTATGGATTTTTTTCTGCGTTTATTGTGTTTTTTGTGTGTCAGACCACGACAGTTGAGAGTTGCAATCCGCAATCGATGATTAGGTGCTCTAATCATCATATTATTCTAAATTTTGAGGGTTGGACTGAGCAGTTTCTGATGTTTCCTGCCCTTGGGAGTCGTCTGAAGCTCCTTTGTCGTCCTTGTCGGTTTCCGTGTTGTACTTGCTGGCTGCACTGCCTCTGGTAAAGCGCCTGGTGGGATTGGCGCGCTGTTCCTGCTCCGTCCTGAGCTTTTTGCCATCTCTGTCATCCTCTAGATCTGGTCGTTCCTGAATAAGAGGCTCCTTCATATTGTCGTTAGGCATAATTTGCTTGATCAGCTCTTGTCCACTCAGAATTGATTCAGCTGCATTGGGTGATGTCAATGTTTGCGTGTTGTTGTCAGATGTCTGTGCGCTCGCAGCATCTGCATTTGGTGTAACGCCATCATTGTTATTTTTGGGTTGAGGAGTGGGAGAATCAATACTCATGTTGTCCTCATCAGTACCTTCTTCCTCCTCCTTGGTGGGTTCAGGTTTGTTCTGTTGCTGTTGCTTCTTGGCTGGCTCAGTGTCTGTGGTTTCCTGGGTCTTGACTACTACCACTCTAGGGCCAATGGGAGGGTTGGGCTCTCGGGGAATGATGGGAGTAGGTACCTTGCGATCTTTCCTGGGGATCGTAGCGGGCTTCTTGTTGGGGGTGTCAGTGTTATCCTGTCTAGGGCAGTTGCGACTGACATGTCCATGCTGGTTGCAGTTGTAGCATTGCGTGTACTTCTTGGCATCAGGACAATTGGCTTTACAATGGTCCGGTTTTTGACAGAGACGACAAAAATCTGGCATATCTTGCCATTTGAGAAGGACCTGACGGTTGGTGCCATTATCCAATCTGAAGTAGATAATTCGATCCAAGGTTTCATACGCAGGCTCATATGGCTTGGGGGTGATGTTCAGAGTGGCATAGCCTTGTCCGACGTAGTCGCCCTGAGTGAAGGAGATGCCATAAGACTTCTCCAAAATATGACAGTCTATCCTTGATCAAAGATTTCAGGACAGGAACTGGCTCCATGGGTAGTCTGTCTAAACGAACACTAACAATAGTACCATTAGCTGGAAGAGAGGGGAAACCCTTGACAAAGGTCCCATCCGTCAGGTTGAAGCCCTGCAGGATTGCGGTGTGGCCAGGACTGTCGTGGATCCAACATGTTTCCATGATCTTTCGATTCATATACTTGCGAGTGCGAGATGCTTTGCCGATATAATCGTTGTAGCCTTTTCTGAGATGAGTACCTTTGTTGAATACTTGCAGAGCCTCTCGTAAGAGCTGTTGATTAGGCAAACTAGTAATGTCGATGAGTACAGAGTTGTCTTCAATGCCTTGGAGGAAGGGTCGAACCATTTCCACACTTTTGCTGACGGTGGCATCCTCGGTCATCAGAGACTGATTCGATTCACTGGTGGTGGTGGGAGGTGTGATGGGTGTCTTTACAATTGTTGGATTGAAGGTCATCGTTGTATGCTTGATGCCCTTCGTTATCTTTGCCCATGACGCGTCAACAATGGTATTTGTAGCCTTGGAGGTGCTACTTTCTGTCGTTGAACCTGTTTTCTGTTTTTTGGCGGAAAGAGCCATGACCATGAGGTACCCCTCATAGTTTTCATCGAAAATCAAACGATCGCATTTTCCACCTTGATAACGAAGACTTTTACTATGGTAAATATTGATTCAAAATGCTTCTCTCGATCCAAAGCAACTCCTGAAGTCATTTTTGTGCGACCTTGATATGTAAAATCTCGACTTTTTGGCCAGAAACCGCTTTTCATATTTTAAAGATAGCTCAATAAGTTTATTTAAAACATCTATCTTACTTGGTACCATTGGATGCGCCTTGAAAAGCACTCCAAGGAAGCTTAGAGAAGTACGAGGTTATCATCACATTTTTTATAGTCGAATCTAGAAAAAGAGATCAATTCAGTCGAAAACCATTGATATTTGGCCAATCTAGAACAGACTATGAATCTGGGTTGGAGTTAATTTTGACTAGTGGGGCAGGCTGACAAACTCAATGCCCTTCTAACCATGAAGGCAATACAGTAACAGATTCTTTTGAAGCGTATTAAAAATAGGTGGCAAATTATACAGCACTATTGTTAGGCATGTTATCTTCTATTCATTCTATATCTAATAACGCTAGTCTATCAAAATACTTGTTAGGTCAACTCCTTTCCTTTTTGAGACTTTGAAAATGTCTAGGGACCATAAATTCATTACGTTATGATGAGCATCTCGATTCTTTGGTTGGTTTCCTAACCTATGATTCGCTTTGGTAGAAGTCAACCTATGTTCAGGTGGCTCACGCTGCCGCAGACCTTTGGCTAATATCGTAAGAGTAATAATAATAGCTAAAATGTTAGAAGAAACTTGTATGTAGATTGATAGCAAGTGTCTATGAGATATAAGTATATTATGATATGATGATATCGAAAGTACTGTATTTGAATGATTGCTATTACAAAACTTTTAAGAAGATCTTGGTATATACCTTTATATCTAACTTGGCGTACACTTTAAGAGCAGCGTCAATGCAAGTCTCTAAAGTAGCTCTTTCATTGATTCTGATATCGACAGCAATCTGTAAGACGAGAGGAATAAAGTAGAAGCGTTGATTACAGACTTATCAACCGAAGCAATGGCATCATTGGACACAAGAGGCGACGCGAATGCACAAGAATAGAGAGAAATAGCCAAGAAAAGAGTGGAAATAAGTGAAAACTTCATATTAAGTAGAATTAGGCAGTAAGCTTGTCGATAATATTCGAAAGATTACATAAAACACCATCGCATTTATATGTCTTTTGATTTTTGTTCTTGAGTACTGACCTTGTCTAAATTGAAGAGTTCTACCCGATATTAAATCATGGAGACATTGCTATGATGGTGTTGCAATTGTATTACATATTGGTAATTAAGTGCTATCCAACAGCTTATAGAGAGGATTACACTACCAACGAGTTAATAAGATGATATTAGTATACAATAACAGTATCTGACCACCAAGTGTTAATGAAGGTATGTATGTGGATGCGGAAAATAGATCATAAAAAGGGTCTTTCTGGACAGAACTGAATCTACCATATTAAAAAAACGTTTTCGTATCTGAATATAGCATTACATGGGTGGGTGGTATTGCAACTAAAGGCTACGTTTATCAGCATATGGAGATCTTGGATCTTTCCACGATAAATGATTTATTTTAGAAACTTCTCCTTTCACTCCTTGGTATGAATGCCGTATATTTTTAGACATTTGAGTCCAAGAGCAGCTGAACCTCTTGGGAATTCTCTTTTTATACATTGATCCGTTCAGGGACACATCCTGCCGTTGTTGTGTATTGCGTGTATTTTATGCTACTCTCGATATCACTCTAGTTTAAGCATATTGTTGCAGGAATAGCATTGATACTTTTGCACATGGCAATCTGGTTTTTGCGTTTACTAGACAGAGCGGCCTCAAAACATCACAGCGAAATTTTATGGATAATGCAGATGAATATGTCTCGACAACTCTATTTATGCATGTAACCGATGAAGAAAAATGCCAATAGGCAAGCTGAACTATTGGATAGTTGTAATTGGTCAACCTGGTGACATTGCCAACCGGAAATGTGTTACTATAACTGATTTGCTAGCGAAAGAACTGAAATCAGTTGGTGGTTTTACTATGTAATACGCCACGATGAATGTACAACATGTGTGCGAAATACCTTATTTTGGATATTTCCTTTGAAATGGCCAGTGATTTGGTTGGTGTGATACGTTAAATATATGCTCATAAATTGCCAAAACATTAGAAAATTGGAAGACTCCGTATTCCTCGATTCCTGAGCAATTTTGGCAATAATGTTTAGCACATGAAGGATACCGAGCCTTGCAATCCCAGGAAGATTTACGGCAACTGGTGAGAATATGAGGACATGGCATGGTTTGACTGAAATTAAATAATTGTGATTCATGAGAAAACTCAGGAACCATTCAAAATGTTCCTTGGCCGCATGAGACCTCAAGCTACAGTGCTCCATATCCCCTGAAAAACCTGTAAAGCAGTGCGAAAGAATAAGCAGCATCAGTGATGATAATGAGACGACCGGGCAATGTAACTTAAAAAGTAAAAAAAAAAAATATATATATATATATATATATATATATCAGCTAACTCGTTGGGTAAGCCAGCTTTACAAATCAAGCAATTTCCGCACACAATACACAAACAATTGTGTGCTTTTTTTTGCATGACGTTCTTTATGTGTGTTATCTGTGTTGGATATAAATACACAGGTTGCAAGAGACATGATGTTATTTGATTAAGACTCCTCTTTTTTTCCTCTACTTTCTCAAGCTCTGCTTTTTCACATATCTTCTTTCTCTTTCTTTTCTTAGAAATTATATGGCTGATTTCATTTGCTTAGCAATGGCATCTCAATATACCGAGAACAATAACAATCAAGAGGCAAACAACACATCATTTAGAAGATCACTCGGCAGCTCCACATTATTCGGCAGAAGATCATCTAGATCAGCAACATCAGCAACGACAGCAATCAATACTCCGTCCAGTACAAGGCCAACAAGCGACTCATCCATCATAACGCCAGAGAACCCGACAATGCACATCCGTATTGTGCCCAGCATTGAGAATCCAAGTCGAAGTCTTGTGTTCAGCATCATTGAGCGTGATTTGGAAGCTGGTCGCATTATCAAGATTGGAAGATTTACAGACCGATCCTCCATCCAGAACCACATTTCATTCAAGAGCAAGGTGGTGTCTCGATCTCACTGCGAGATATGGCTGAATAACGAAGGAAAGGTATAGTATTTGTTTGTCTCTTTTAGCCTTTTTAGTGGGAAATATGATGTCTTTTTGTTATTCTCTTTTTCTCCAAATGGAGAAGAAAGGGATATTGTACAAGGGGGGGGGGGGAGGAGTGTAGTGCAAGGAATTGTGCATGTGAGCTAGAATGATTTATTTACACACACTTTTTTTTATAACATTAGGTTCAACTAAAAGATACAAAGTCTTCATCGGGTACCTTTGTAAATCATGTCCGTCTTAGCCCTGCAAATACAGAAAGTAGACCAGTGGAAATTCGGGATGGTGATTTGGTGCAATTAGGCGTGGATTACCAAGGGGGATACGAGGAAATCTATCGATCTGTAAAGATGAGATTCGAAGTGAATCGTCCTAACCAACCAAGACCAGTATCTTATAGCATGTCAGCTTTCAACAACCTTCGCAATTTGACTAGTTTACCCTCTCATACAGATCAACAACAGCAACAACCACAGCAACAACCACAGCAACAACAACAGCAACAACAACAGCAACAACAACAGCAACAACAACAGCAACAGCTGACAACATCGCCTTTGTCATCTTCTTTGTGTCACGAACAAAACGTAGAAGTAGAAGAATGCTGTATTTGTCTGTACGCTTTGGCACCATTTCAGGCTCTGTTCGTTGCTCCTTGCTCCCATTCATATCACTTCAAATGCATTAGGCCTCTTTTTGACAGTTACCCGGGTTTTCAATGTCCTATTTGCCGTACCTACTCTGATCTGGACGCTAGTGTAGCCATTGAAGCTGAAGAAGTGATTGAAAAGTTTGGACTTCGAAAATCATCTACATCTGCCGAAGCCACTTCCCCAGTCGTTGTTACTGCTGCTTCTAGTAGTGGTGCTGAAGTCGTATCCACATCAGATGAAGACGAACAAGACAACGATGTGGTGGATGATGAAAGGCTTGTTTCCTCCTCATCATCTGTGCAACCCACAAATGTTATTTCATGTGCAATGATTTCTCCAGCTCCTGAACCGCCTCTTTCGACCACCTTGGTTGCTTGTACGACAAGTTTATCAGGCATCATCTCTTCTCCAACCTCATCGTCAAATGTACCTATTTTAGAAAACCAAGGTAAGATGCAATTTTCATCACCTTTTTTAGTACATCAGGTGTTAATAATACCGTCTACTAGCATCACGAGGTTTTAATGCAAGAGATCATCGGGCTACCATCATTTTCGAGGATGATAATAATGTGATACAACAACAGCAACAACAACAACATCAACCAGCTCATCAAAGATCCACCTCAGGCACAGCAACCGCAGCTGGTAATATAAATCGACAATCCAATAACCTAGTAGAAAAGATCAAAATGGCATTTTCAAATGATAGGCGACACAAGAGCAAGCAACGTACTCACAGTAGTGGAAGTGCTAGTAGCGATGATGATATCATGGAGAGATCAGAAACGTTTTATGACATGCCATGCCCCACATCTTCATCTTCGTCACCGCCATCTAGTCCTAGATCAACTGCATTACAGCCTATTTTATCTCGTCAATCAACGCATTACAATCCATTGAATGGAATACTGGAAGAAGCATCTCAAAGTGCCATTGAAGGAGGATCATCAAGTTGATAGCCTCGAGAGTTGCGCATCAATTTTGCTTCGCCCCAGCTTACCCTGTATTCAGAATATTACCTATTTTACTTTTATTTCTTATACACCTTGACTTTCTCCCAAAAATAACAATGTAAAAACCACTGTTACATTTTGTATGCTTACAACTACATCTTTTTATATTATAAATACATATCTTACAATTATATCACTTCCCTCATCATATAAATATATATTCATTAATGTAGCTCTGTTCACCAGATGTTTGTTTAAGCTCGGTTGTACATGTACAATAAACTGAAACTGTCTGCCATACTCTTACCAAATTTATAGTTTTCGAATACACAGTGTGGTCTCCCTCCTCCAGAGTGAAATGTCAAATCCATATGTCTCATTTATGCAGCAATTAGCCCATACTAAATGCTTGAATCAAGTCCTGAACAAATCGAGGATGGTATATCATGCGCCCTTAGCTGCAAGTGTCTTTAGCTTTAACGCATTGAATGTGGATATTATAGCTAGGCGATGCACGAACTGGTTTTGACACATTTAACTCAGAAAACGCCCCCTTACATATAACGTGTTTGTTGAAGTAAGCATCTCCTGAAATGTGCTAGAGCATTACGGGTAGCATTTGCTATAGGTGCGTGTTGTCATCACACTTTTAGCAGCAGAAGTGCCATGTTGTCGAAATCATGCTTTGTATCGTTGCAAAAGTTGATGAACCGAAAACTAACAAAAGGAATATTGACAGCCGTTACAGAACCTTACATCGTATAGCAATTCGACCAATTTATCTCTCGTTATCTATATTAGCTGTTAGTTTTAGTGAAATCCGTAGTTCAAGACAAAAGCTTCAATGGGTAAGATTCCTGCTCGATAATCATATGTAACCTTGAGCAGAAGTTGTGCACTTCGCATAGGATACGCCTGTGAGTCAGCAATTTTTACCGATTAAATCTATTTAATATAAAAATATCTAGCAAAAGTAGTCTAATATATACTGTAAAACATTCAACGAAGTTTTCATATGCAAAATATGGCTATTTTCGCTAAAAACCTTATTTCATATTTTACCAAATTTCTCAACAATTTCATTCAAAACACCTATTACAAGTAGTACCATTGGAAGCGCCTTGAAAAAGTAATCCAAGAATGCATTAGGAAGCATAGGGGTATCATCACAGTTTATATAGTCGAATCTTACAAAATAGATCAATCAAGTTAAAAAAGACGAGGTTTGTCCAATATTAGAACAGAAAAAGCAATATGTGTTTGAATCAATTTTGGCTCTGCTGTTGGCTGACCCACCAAATGCCTTTCCGTTGGTGACAATGATGATTGCGATGCTGATTAAATGGGGATCATGGAATTGAAAGGACAATTATTTAGCACAAATACTTTTTTTTGGGAGGCTTTGCCTCATGGAGGTGTCTTTCGCAATGACAATATCTCAAAAAAAGTCGCTGTAGATCTTACACAAGTCCTGTATTTACTTATGACCAGCTTTATGTCGCCATCTTATTAAAAGCATCAGCAACAGCAAAAGGTATGACAATCCTACTATCAGAAAATGACAACTGTGGTGTACAAATGCTGCATAATAAAACTTGAATCTTCTTTCACCTTGTCCCAATAATAGGCTTTGTTTGAAAGCAAAAAGGATGCTGAGGGAGATACCTCCTCTCCTCCTCCAGACTCTAATATAGCCTTTTTTTTTTACTAATAATAACTGGTTGTATAAAACCTAATTAATATACCAAAATGTTATAATATCTTATTTAAAATGTCTTTGACGAGAGCCCACAGGGTGACGCTGACATCGAGCGTAGCGAGATAGATCAGCTAGTAAATAGTATGCAGAGAATCCACATGATGCTGTAGCTTTTTTCAGTTCGTATTCCCTTCTTATTAGCCTCAAAAACATCGTTCGCCTTGATCAGAGATGCAATTGCCAGCCAAATTTGGTTTACGCTCCGCTCATTCTCTGATTTAAATTGGCTAAATTTAATTATTTTGCGACTTGATTGATCTATTTTGTAGGATTTGACTATAAGAAATGTGATGATTTCCCCATACCCCTTTAAGCTTTCTTGGAATACTTTTCAAGGCGCATCTAATGGTGTTAAGTACGATACATGTTATGAATGCATCTATTGAGCAATTTTAGAGAACATAAAACAGAGTTTTTGACCAAAATGCTGAGATTTTACATACCAACACCTCACAAACAAAGGTTCAGGAGTTGCTGGGATCGAGAGAAACATTTGAACTAATATATGTCATAGTAAAAGTCTTCGTTTTCATGGTGAAAAACACGATCATTTAATTTTTGATAATCTTCATAAGATACCCCTTATGGCTTTTGGTCGATTTTTCGAGATGATTTTTTGGTCCCTAAAAAGTTGAGCAAAGTTGTCAGGAAGTCAATGCTAGGTGAAAGCAATTGTGTGGTGTTATTCTGGCGGTCTAAAACGGTTTCTAGCGCGAGATAACGCGACTCGAATGAGTTCAGATTTTGCTGTATTTTGCCGATTATCGAGCAGTAAGGGGTAATGCAACAATGTAGTCAGTTCGTATATAGGTTGTTCCTACTACTACGGACGTAGCAGAACAACATAGGAAAGTCAGTTCCGCATTTACAAACCTTCGAAGAAGTTTCCCGCCTGGTAATGCAAGTTGAAAGTGTATATCAGGAAGATACTTGAGACACAAGCTTGGCCTTCAGCGTTATGTTTAGTTATAGACATCGCCTCACTTTAAGGCGACCCTACAAGAAGAAGAGTTCAATTTGCTGTCAAGGTCGTACATTGGACTCAAATGTAGAGGAGTTCAAGATTTTGAATATATGAACGTGTAACCCCACATTTTAAATAGCCTTTTTTATACATTTTGAGGTGCTCAAATCAGTACATAAATCCTTTCTTTTCTTGCTTTACTTTCTTTTCTCCCTCCTTCTCTCTCTGTCAGTTCTATTGTATTCAAAAAGATGTACCAAGATAGCTTTTATCAAATGTCACTTGTGGATAGAGAAGACTCTTCCAATCTACCTAGAAGCATCCTCGATCGCTCGACCAATGCCAAATTAAGAATTGAGAATAACTACAGAACCATCTTACAACAAGCCATTGAAAGAAACGAAAGGTATATGCGACATATACTATCTGTTGTTATTATGTAGACCACTAAGATCTGCTAGTAGAATTTCTTTATTAGAAGAAAGATTGCAAAAAGAGCATTGCAGCGAGGAAAAGAAGACTAGGCAGCTACTATCTTTGGGCAAAAAAGAATCGCAGTACTTGCGGCTACGTAGAACGAGATTAGGCATACAGGATTTTCAGACTGTAAAAGTGATTGGTAAAGGCGCATTTGGTCTGGTAACTACATATATATGGGTCCATCATCGAGGGAGGAGAATCATGTTTTTTGATGAATTTGATCATGATTAGGTCCGCTTGGTTCAGGCTTGTGACACAGGAAAGATATATGCAATGAAGACTCTGAAAAAGTCTGAAATGTTGAAAAAAGATCAAGTATGTGTATTGCGTTTGCAGGAAACAAATGCTTTTGGCTAACGATCAATTTAGTTGGCACATATCAAAGCAGAAAGGGACATTTTGGCAGAAGCAGATTCACCTTGGATTGTTCAGCTTTACTTTTCTTTTCAAGATCCTACGTATCTTTATTTGATCATGGAATTCCTACCCGGAGGCGACTTGATGACCATGTTGATCAAATATGATACTTTCAGTGAACCTGTTACTCGATTTTACATTGGCGAGATCGTGTTGGCATTGGAATTTATTCACAACCTCGGATTCATTCATCGGTAAGGACACGCACAACTTGCGTAAATGTAAAACTAATTGATGCCACTGACAGAGATATTAAGCCAGACAACATATTGATTGACAAAGATGGACATGTCAAATTGTCAGATTTTGGCTTATCCACCGGTTTCCACAAGACGCATGATTCTGAATATTATCAGCGGTTAATGGACGGACTGGATCAAAAGAACCGAGCTAGTATGATCAACTTGAACCGTATCACTAGAGAAGAGAAGATAGCCACATGGAAACGAAACAGACGCACATTAGCATACTCTACTGTCGGGACACCCGACTACATTGCGCCTGAGATATTCATGCAAACAGGTTATGGAAAGGGGTGTGATTTCTGGTCTTTGGGTGCCATCATGTTTGAATGTGTTTGCGGGTTTCCTCCATTTTGCTCTGATCTGCCACATGACACTTACCGCAAAATCATGGACTGGCCTGACTATTTAGAGTTTCCTGATGATCGTCCTATGAGTGCAGAAGCAGAGGATCTAATTAGAAGGTACATTAAATATGCTTCATTTGACAGCTAATTTACATACACTAAGTTGCTCTCTCTCTCTCGTAGACTGATTTGTGATGCAGATTCAAGACTAGGTACAGGCAAGCATGGAATACAAGAGATTAAATCGCACCCATTCTTTTATGGATTTGATTGGAGCTCAGTGAGGGATACCATGTCGCCACATATTCCCCAGCTGAAGAGTATCACAGACACAAGCTACTTTCCAGTGGAAGGAGAGCTTGGTTCATTATCAGAGATCCACCAACATTCCTACTCTGAAGAGCAACATGGTCGCAATAGCATGGATGCAGATGATGAGTTTGATCAGCAACAAAAGGATCTTGCATTTGTGGGATACACCTATAAGAGATTTGATTACCTGACTAGAAAGAATGCACTTTAAAATCAATATAGAAGCTTTTACACTACATCATATCAACTATAGGTATTTACTGCAAAATTGACATTTGGAGGAATGCCTCTCCCAAGAGCAAGGCTGGGTTTTGAGCTTTGAACCAGCAGCAGCTTGCTTCGGACTCAGTCTGTTTTAAGAAACCAGTGTTCAAAGCTTGCCTGCTTACTGCTCTGCCGCTGTGGTGAAGTATATGTAGTACCCCCGCCTTTTTTTTTGTTGAACCAATTTTCCCTTCCATCTTCTCTTCTCTTTTTCTCTCTTTTTTTTTTTCTGTTTTTCGAAAAATACAAGATGAATGACTTGATCGAGTTGACCAACAAGCTACAGACTGTAGTTACCTCGGTTGGAGCAGACAACACACTTGACTTGCCCTTGATTACCGTAGTCGGTTCTCAATCGTCAGGCAAATCCTCAGTCCTCGAAACACTCGTTCAACGTGATTTCTTGCCACGCGGAAGTGGCATCGTCACTCGAAGACCACTTATCCTCCAGCTCGTCACCTTGCCAAAGCCGTCTGATTTGGAGTATGGTGAATTTCTGCACATCAAGGACAAGAAATTCTATGAGTTCAGTGAAATTCGCGAAGAAATTGAGCGTGAAACCAGTCGTTTAGCAGGAGGCAACAAGGGAATCTCCAGAATGCCTATTCACCTCCGAGTCCATTCACCCAAAGTGCTCAATCTCACACTCGTCGATCTTCCCGGCTTGACAAAGGTATGTTGCTGACGAGATGGTTCTTAATTTTGGATATTAATTTATCACATTTTGGTATTTTCAGATCCCTATTGGTAAGTAGCCATGGTAATAATGACATACTGTCAGATACTAAACTTTCCATTTTCTTGTTCATCTATAGGCGATCAACCAAATGACATTGAAAAGCAGATCCGTAGTTTAGTGATGGATTACATTTCGAATCCAAACAGGTATATTTTGGGATGGTGGGTTTTCGTTGCGGAAATGATTTTGACTCATTTCTATTACCCGTAGTATCATTTTGGCTGTAACACCGGCTAATTCTGATCTCGTCAATTCAGATAGTCTCAAAATTGCCAGACAAGTGGATCCAGAGGGTAAAAGAACTATTGGTGTGTTGACAAAGTTGGACCTGATGGATGCAGGCACAAATGCTTTGGACATTTTATCAGGCAGATCGTATCCCCTGAAGCTTGGGTTTATTGGTGTTGTCAACAGATCCCAACAAGACATTCTCACAAACAAGCCAATGTCGACTGCGCTTGAAGCTGAAAACCAGTTTTTCCAGCAACACCCTGCCTATAGAAGTGTAGCTGCTCGCTGCGGTACGCAATATCTCAGTAAGCAACTTAATACCGTGAGTGCTTGTTCATTGCTGTAATAGATGGATTACTGATGTAACGACTGTAGATTCTACTCGCTCATATCAAAGAGAAGCTGCCAGAATTAAGGACGAAGCTAAGCACACTCATCAGTCAAACACAACAAGAATTGAGTCAATATGGCGAGCCAAGCAGATCCACCGAGCCAATTCATCGAGGACCTCTGATTTTGAGAATGCTGACCAAATTCGCCAATGATTTCGTTGCAGCCATCGACGGCACATCAGCAGAAATGTCTACAAAGGAGTTGTGTGGTGGTGCTCGTATTTATTATATCTTCAACAATGTGTTTGGACAAGCACTAGATGCGATACCCGCTTGTTCTAATCTCACCAACCATGACATTCGCACTGCCATACGTAATTCCACCGGTCCCCGTCCTTCGCTCTTTGTTCCTGAATTGGCTTTTGATCTGTTGGTAAGACCTCAGATCAAATTATTGGAAGCACCTAGTTTGAGATGTGTAGAGCTGGTGTATGAGGAACTCATGAAGGTGTGTCATAGCTCAGATACAAAGGTAATTTATGCATAGTCCATGTTCGGGGATCCCATGATATTTATAGGTGCAAATAGGAATTATTGAGATACCCACGACTACATCAAAGATTGGTAGAAGTTGTTTCAGAGCTACTAAGAGAAAGATTGAGCCCCACTTCCACCTATGTCGAGAGCTTGATTTCCATCGAGAGAGCCTACATCAACACCAACCATCCTGATTTCCTGGGTGCTGCAGGCGCCATGGCTAACATAGAGACAGAATCCAAAAAGAAAAAGAAGATAGACTCCAAGCGCAAGGTAATTGTAAGGGCATTGGGCTTAATCCTGTATGCTGACTGGCTTGTTAGAACCGCATGTCGCCACCTACGTCCTTTGATATGAAGATGAACGGAAATATTAGCAGCAATCGATCTGATGCTGGGGATAATGGATCGGTTGTAGGAACAGAGATGGATTTTGACACATCCTCATCAGCACCCAAGGACTCGTTCCTCAACTACTTTTTCGGTGGAGCCAGTAAAAATGAAAGACCAGCATTGGGGTCCCAAGAAATGATGACCAAGGTTCAGTATGCACCACCCATGTCTGTCAACAGTATGATGGAGAGCGAGATGGTCAAAAAATTAGAGCAGGCAACATTGAACAATGAGAACGGCATTGTTGCCACCGATAGAGAGGAATTAGAGACACAGTTAATCCGTAAGTGAAGAGTAGCATACATGTGTGGAGATCTGCTCATCGAGTTTATACACTCAGGTACATTAATCACAAGCTACTTTAATATTGTAAGAAAGAATATTCAAGATTTAGTGCCAAAATCCGTCATGCATCTGCTCGTCAACTATTCTCGGGAATCTATTCAAAATCGACTTGTTGCTGCACTTTACAAGGAGGAACACTTTAACGAGTTGCTACAAGAAGATGATACCATCTCTACCGAACGAGAAAAATGCAAAGCCATGCTGAATGTCTACAAACAGGCATTTGAAATTATCAAAAATGTCATGTAACACTACAAATAAAAAGAAATGATTGAACCAGGGTTTCTTTTGCGGGGTTATTCTGCCTCAAAGGCACATTGATTGTAAAATGGCTATTCTTTTTTGAAACAGGCCAGTAAAAAATTTTTGTTACAAATATATATATACACAAAGAAAAAGTGTGAGTATTTCAGATGTCTTTTTTCTCTGCTTATTACCCCCCTCTTTTTTCTCTTTCTTGCAAACTTACATTAAATACTCACAATTAGAAATGGTCGCTACATCAGAAGGGAAAAAGACATTTGTCATCGGCTCTCGCAAATCACAATTAGCTCTTGTACAGACTTACATTGTCCGTGATACACTCCAGTCATTATTTCCTCAGTATGAATTCAAAATTGAGACCATGTCAACCACAGGTGATAAGATTCTGAACCAGGCTCTCAGCAAGATTGGTGAAAAGGCACTCTTCACAAAGGAGCTGGAGATTGCTTTGGAGAATGGCACAGTTGATTTTGTCGTACATAGTCTGAAAGATCTGCCTACAGTCTTACCAGAAGGTATGTGTTTGGGCGCCATCATGGAGCGCGAGAATCCAAACGACGCTTTGGTCTTGAACGAGAGAAACAAGGGCAAGACATTGAGTACTTTACCTGCTGGCTCGGTTATTGGTACAAGCTCACTTCGCAGAGTCGCCCAATTGAAGAGAAGATATCCCCATTTGTCCTTCACTGATGTGGTAAGCCGTTTGTTTTAGTTATCCTTCAATATCTAATGTATCCATGTATATTATAACTGCTATTTCAAGAGAGGAAATTTGTAAGTACAATTTAGTCTGTGTCCAGGGGGTGGCGGTGGTGTGGGTGGAGGTTGGGGATTAAAAGGGTTACTAATGCTAATTCCAACTTATTTGTAGAAATACTCGTTTAGCCAAGTTAGACGATGTCGAAGGACCTTATAGCGGTATCATTTTAGCTGTTGCTGGATTAATGCGTCTTGGTAAAGGGGATCGTATATCAGAGGTGTTGTCTTCAACAGATTCACTCCATGCTGTATCTCAAGGTGCTCTTGGTATTGAGTGCCGTAAAGCAGACGAGGATGTACAGACTCTGCTGGAATCTTTAAATCACAACAACACTCGTATCACTTGCTTGAGTGAGCGTGCTCTGATGCGTACCCTGGAAGGTGGCTGTAGTGTACCCATTGGTGTCAATACCAAGTTAGATTTAGAAAACAATACTCTTTGGATGCATGGTTTGGTAGCAAGTTTGGATGGTCAAAATGTGATTGAGTATGAGCATGAGATCAGCCTTATTGGTGCTGATACCAGAGACCAGAGAGAAGCGTTAGCTGAGGGATTAGGCATTACAGTGGCAAATACGCTCTGTAAGAATGGTGCTGACAAGATTTTGGCCGAGCTATCCCATCACCTCCCTTAAATATATCTCTTTATCTTTTGCTTTTATGTTCCTTTACCTTTAAAACACATTAATGTTAATAAATTTGTAACAGTATACACTCAACATCCTACATCTTACATTGCGACTGTAACAATCAATCAAAACTTTATTTCAAACTAGTGTGGGACAAAATATACCATTCAGATATTCGGTTCAACATTGTTGCGCACTGTTTATTGACCTATAGAAATTGCGTGAAAAATTCCTCTGTACCAAATCATTAAATTATCGCACTAATTGTTGCGACGAATAAATCGTCTCGCAAATAAGCCTGTAAAAGCATTGGGCAATCTACACATATTTCAGAATCAGTTGGTAATTCAAGCTGTATCCAGGACTCAAGCTGAGCGACTAAACGAGATGAGACAAGTTTTTGATGCTGGATTAATATCTTTAGTAATGTAATGGCAGCTTTCAACTGATTTTGATAGCTTTTAATTATTGCTACCGAGTACGATGTTCCTGCTGCTTGATTCACTTCAGTCGATGCAAAAAAATTCATGCGTCTCAGCATTGCTACACAAGTGTAGTATGTGTCGCTGTAATTGGATCTGTTAGATTCAATAACTCATTATCTTTAAGAGCTTTATATATTGTGTATAGAATAGATTGGTATTATAAGAGAAAATGAGTTCAATATCGCTTCTAGCGCTGTTTCTGATATCTAATACTTGTTAATTCTGTATAGTTTTCAAATCAAGTATGATAATTACGGTGAAATCTACTAAGATGTAATATGTACACTTTTTGTCAACTCGTCAAGCCTCTGATTTTATGCCGTTAGCCCACTTCTGGTGGTTATAAACGATAAAAATGCCAGGCGACTAGCCATCACATTTGATTACTGACATTTGGTTATTTCTTTTAATGTAACTGTTTTTTCAAGGTGGCCAATGCAAACTTGATATATTGAGTGCCAATTGAAACTGACAGAATCGCAACTTGACCTACACAAAGGTGTATAGCAATGTTTAATGGTGAAATCTGGGCAGAAAAACGTATTGCACAATGATATAAATGAAGGCAATATTCACCGCCAAATACACCCCTAACAATCTTCCATCAGGATGGTGAAATTCATGTAGAAAACATGTTGTACAATCATACAAATGTGGACAATATTCACCGTTAAATACACTCCATATTTGTATAAAATGCTTGGAAAACATCAAATGTGGTATAAACTTGACGTCTTTTGACTGAGAATGCTTGTGATTTGATCGCATTTTCGTTTGGTGTTTGGGAAAGGCTCTCATCAATATCAGATTCGTAATAATAATTGACCCTACAACTAGTTCAGTAGTGCGATGGGAATTGTCTTTGGTTTATTTGTCGCTGCATGATCTGATTCAGAGAAGCTAACGGGATAATATAGCCCCAAACATCGAGAGAGTAAAAGTACAGTAGGCTCAACTATTCTTCCTTCCTAGGAAACATCAAGTGTCTTCAGTGAAAAAGTGCAAAGTAAGATCAAAAGCAAGTGTATCAGATAATATCAATCATGTTGTCAACAGAATACAGCATTGCGAGTCGCTTGATTGATCTGACGTGCTCAAAGACGCAAAAAAAAAACGCCAGCGCCCCGTTAAGCATTGACATTATGTATTCCTTTGCACACTCGGACGTGCTCCATTAGTCATTAGCTAGGTGTATCAAAAAGCAACGTTGTACATTGGTACGAGAAAAGTATAAATACAAGGACACAAGTCAATCATTTCGTTAATATCAAAAACAAAGCAATTAACAATGGCTCCCAATACTACTACTCCCACTGAAACCATCTCTGAACAATTCCAAAAGCTTGATTTGAAGGCATTGGCTAGAGAAAAAGGTGCTTACCAAGTATACCCCAAGATTCATGTAAGATGACACTCAACATGCCAATGCAGCCTTTATCTAATCAACCTCTTTACGTAGTATCCCCCTCTTGAGGCTTTTGAGCATGATGATCCCGGAAAGCGTGCTGATCCCAAGAAGGCTTCTTTGTATGACAATGCTACAAAGATTTTTGATATGACTCCTGTTCTTGGTACAACTATTGAAGGTCTTCAATTGTCTCAGTTGACTGATCAGCAAAAGAGCGATTTGGCTTTGCTTGCTGCGGAAAGAGGCGTTGTATTCTTTCCCAATCAAGACATCGATCCTTACCAAGGCGTTGAATTTGGCAAATACTTTGGCCGTCTGTAAGATGCAGCAAACATACACCATTAAACCTAAACTAACCATGGAATAGCCACATCCACAACACCACAGGACACCCAGAGAATTTGCCCGAAGTAACTAGTATCTTCCATGATGAAACCAAGTACGTTTTACTGTAATGTCTATGTCGCATAGAAACTAACGTAATTTTAATATCATCAATAGTCCTCAGGTTGTAAAGTACCTTGAAGCTAGATCTGCTGATGAAGGTAGGTCCACATGTATTCCACAGTAGATGATATACTAAGACGTCAAATACAGCTTGGCATAGTGATATTACTTACGAAAACCAACCTGCAGGTTTGACATTCCTTAAGGTGAGTCCAACCACCCTAACCAGGTGAAGACATGCTAATAACTTGCACAATAGATCGATACCTTGCCTCCTATGGGCGGTGATACCCTCTGGGCTTCTGCTTATGAAGCCTATGATCGCTTATCTCCAGCAATGCAAAAGTTTGTTGAAGGCCTTGAAGCAGTACATGATGGCCAAATCCATCAAGATAGGTCCAGACGCGCAGGCACCTTTATTCGCCGTGATTTCGTCGAATCTATTCATCCAGTTGTTCGCACGCACCCTCTTACAGGCTGGAAAGGTACTGATTTTGATTATGGATTGTCACTATTGCTTCTCTAACATGTCGCATAATTGCAGGTCTCTTCGTTCAGCCAGGCTTCACCAAGCGCATTGTAGGCCTTAGCAATAAGGAGTCTAGACTCATGCTCGACTTTTTGTTCAAGCATGTCAGTGGTGGACACGATTTCCAGCTTCGTTTCAAATGGACTGAGGATACCGTTGCTGTTTGGGATAATCGCGCAACTTTCCATTGTGCTATCTTTGATTACTTCACTGCCAAGTTGGGCCGTCGCCATGGCTGGAGAGTGACACCTACCGTAAGTGGTCATATGTGATTTCAGTTGATAGTGGTTCTCATTTTATTGCACGTTTTCAGGCAGAGAAACCTTACTTTGATCCTAACAGTAAGTCCAGAAGACAAGATCTTGCTGAGAAGGCTGCTTTGGCTACCTCCACAAAGGAGTAATTTTATCAGAAGCCATTCAATAAAGGCTTATCCATTATCATGAAATTATTCAATAAAGGCTTACTTATTATCATGAACTATCATATTGCATTACAAATCATGCTAACATAAATGCTACACTGTGCTGTACAAATAAAGCATCTTCAACTTTATTTGCCAATGCTTCAGTTGCTAAATTGATAAATAAAAACTCTCAACCGCATTTTAGTCAGTGCAATCAATGGCGAGAGTCTATCCATTTGACAGCTCTCTCTTTAATTCATGCTTGTACCTGTAATGCAAGCTTTTGACATTTGATCCTTACGTTTGAGAGTAAATTTGATGGACTGCCTTAATTTGTATTACGCCCCCCTTACAATAGGCAAATTCATGTCAATGAAAACTTCTTCTTTTCTTGCAAAATGAGTGCACTCCCTCGTTTACCGTCCATTAGAGAGCTAATCAAACTCTATGGTCTCACTGCAAAATCACAACTAAGCCAGAATTTTATTCTTGATAAGAACATCACAGGTAGAGCATTGATTTATTTGAAAATCTTTTTATTAGCGCTAAGTTGTATTTCGCAGACAAAATTGTAAAAACTGCTCATGTCACCGATCAAACACCACTCGTAGTCGAAGTTGGACCTGGTCCCGGCCTACTATCTCGATCTATCTTGGATGCTGGCGCTAACAAAGTGATTGCAGTAGAGAAAGATGACCGATTTATACCTACACTCCATGTAATGTGATGAGCAATGGTAGCACTGATTTGACGTTAACCGATATATCGTAGCAATTGTCCGAAGCTTCAGGAAAAAGATTTGAGGTCATTCAAGGCAACATGCTTACGATCAGCCATCAAGATATCATTGACAAGGCAGCAGTGACACATGTAAATCGTTCACAACCTTCCCATATCATGGGTAATCTGCCTTTTAATGTTGCCTCACCGCTTCTATTGCAATGGCTACATCAACAGGCTGGTCAGCAAGGCTTATTTGGAATCAAGAGCGACATTTGGATGACTCTGATGTTTCAAAAAGAAGTTGGAGATGTAAGTGGATGTCGCCTTATCTATCGTGCAGACGGCTAATTTATGGGGAACCCATAGCGCATTGCAGCAGACGTTTCCACATCAAAACGAGGCCGACTTGCAGTGATGGCACAAAGTTTATGCCATGTCAAGGAAGTGTACAAAGTGCCTGCGACTATCTTTGTTCCTAAACCCAAAGTAGATGCCAGTGTAGTTCAGTTGCGGCCCAAGCCATTCTTTACCGATGCAAAAGATATGCCAGGAACCTACATGGCACTAGAGAACATCCTTAGATTCTACTTTACGAAGAGAAGAAAGACAATAGGGCACATTACAAAGAGGCTCGGCAAAGAGATGCACGCAATCACGCCTCTGCTTGTTGAGCAAATAGAAAGTATGATAGATTTCAAGGCGAGACCTGAAGATATTCCTACAGAACAGTTTTGTGATTTAGCCAAGCTTTTATACAAGCATGATATTGTCGAGTTACCATTGATCTAATTGGGTGCGGACTGTCCTTTCGAACATATATAACCTTCCATGTACATAAAATAAACTCTTTTTCTGCATCTCTTTCCATTTTTGCACATGAGTTATCCATATTCTTTACCTACAACTGGGTCACTATCTTTTGTAGACTATTTAGAGGCAGCTGGCCCCTATACATCCGAGATTTCAGATGCAACAGCTCAAAGAGGTCGATTGAGAACTGTGCTCAAAGAGCTGAAGAAGGAGACACATTCCACGCGCGACTATCAAATCATCATCAATGTACAATTTGGGTTGTAGTTACAGTGAACATGTTCATTTACATAGCTCTTTTCTTAGACCATAGAAGAATATTTACCATACTTGGTAAGTATTGTAAACTGCATCGAAGCGAAAGAGCTCATCTTAAAAAAAAGCATAGGTAAGTAATTGATGGATTCCGTAGTACAGACACATCCACATCTAATACATTACACATAGAAACCTCTTGGCGTTCGACCTTAAGTGACCATATAATTCACACTGGTAGCAATGCACCCAGAATCGCATGCAACGATATTCAATACGAGCTCATCTTTGTGCTGATGACATACGCCTACGCTTGTACGTTGCAAACGAACGATCTGCTGAAAGAGTCTTCTACAAACGCCAATATTTTCAACAAGGCAGCTGACACACTCAACACGGCCGCTGGTCTCTTTGCATTCGTCGCGAATGATGTGATACCTACTTGGCAACAGTCGCCTGACAATCGCCCTGTTGAGACTGTCCGAGAGTTCCCAGTTGCACTTTCAAAGATGGCTTTGGCAGATGCTCAGGCAATTGCAATCAATAAAGCTCTGGTCACTAGCAATATTTCGAAATCATTGATTGCAAAGCTGTACATGGGTGTTGCTGGGCAATACGAGATGGCTTATGGCTTGATTTCTTCTATCAGCGGTACACAAGATGTGTCTACAGACTTGAAAAAGTACCTGTCAGACGGCACTTTGTTCTACAAAGCCATGGCAAAGAAGTATTTGGCCATGGATGCAAATGACAATCAGTGAGTTGCATTAAGCTGGATGGCAAAGTAGCTGTCAGACTAATTCATCAGTAGAAAAATGGGACAGGCCGTAGGATTTGCTCGAGACTGTAAAGCTGATTTGAAATCCATTCAACATTCGAGTTTGTCAAAGGCACACATTCGTAAATCAGCCATTGCAGCTAGAGCAGCCAAAGAAGAGGAGATTGTAGTGGAGTTGCTTCAGAAATACACAATGATCAACGATACCGTATCATACGAACTTGTACCATCCCGACAAGAGTTACAGAAATTGATACCTGGTGGAAGAGGAGTCTTGGAGCTGAAATCATACAGTTTGCCTAGTCCTGTATTTGGCCCTACGATCCAAAAGGGTGAAAAGTCTTATTTGCTGGAGGGTCGATACTTTTAATACTTGGGAAAGCGTAAAAATGAAGAGAACATTTCAAGTGTAATAAAAGAAAGCTGGATGGTCGAGATTTTCATTGCTTTTTTCTTCACTTAAAGAAAACCTTCAAAATGGGATTAAATTCAGAAAGGCGCCAAAGCAGAAAGACACGACTCAGAAGATGTCAAGCGCAATTATAAGATAGTTGGACAAGGAAATTGCAATGAAACCAATATAAAAAGAATAGCCTGTGAGCGTTATTTCTTTATCAACTGTCAACGCAATTCGGGTTCTCGATTAATTAAACTTTGATCCCCTGTGTTTACTCTACAAAATGAGTATCTACTTGTACGAGTTCAGTACAGTCAAGCTGAATGACGGTGATGCTTTAATTAAGCACACTGAAGCATACAGGATGTGGATTTTTACATGGTAAAAGGATCTGAAACTTTGAGCATAAGCCGTAAGAATGATGTCCCAACAATAACTGTGGCCCAACTGACTGCAAAAACGTTCATCATGCCTGCAGTATAGTGTAGCTGTTCAATAAACGATAACATTGGATTGGATATGCATTATCAAGATCATACGGGGTAATTTAAGATGCGGTGCCTGTAGGAATACATGGTTTTTAATTGATTATGTATGAGTTTTATGAGACTGTATGGCCTAGAAAAATGTTTCTATGTAGTCAGAGGCACTTGTTATATTTATAAAGTACAAAAATAGAAAAAAAATTCAACAAAATTGTCGAAGCCTCCTGGTCCTATATCTCGAACGCAAAACTCGAATTTTCATATGGAGTGTAACTTTTATAGAGTGTAACTTTTATAGAGTGTAACTTTTCTATAATGCACGTTTTATATAGTGTACCTTTGAGTGACAATAAATCCAATTCTAGTAGAGGTAGGCATGTCAAATAAAGCTCAATGCATTGCTGGAGGCTTTATAAGCATAGCTTGTTATTACTTGAGCACAGCTTTACTATACCAAACTCTTGGGAAATACTGTACCAAAAAAGGAAAACATCCGTGTTGTGCCAGAAGGGCTACAACTGTCTATAAAGATTAAGGTATTCTTGATGGGTAGATATGTCTGTGTTGTGCAACAACATGGACAAGCTATGATAAGTGAAGTGCATCTCAGCTATCTAAATACTGAGGTTCACCAGATGTGATAAGCGTTGTACAAGATAAATTGCTACTTTGGCATTCAGAACTTAGTATAAATAGAATAACTCTTGTCTTCATCAATAAATCTTTAGTTTTTGTGTCTGATCTTATTCAAATAAGTCTTTTCTTGTTTTTATAATATCGAACATTTTTTATAAGCTACAAATAATAATCCTTTTATTCTTTGTGCTTAACAATCCGCAAATGTTTTCGAATGTGTTTTGCAGCGGAAACAGATTGAAAGACATCACAAAGAATATCAGCAGTAGAAATTAACTGTTATGTACTTGTATATCAAAATGATATAGAGATTCTAGAATTGAGTAAAAAAGAAGGGTATCTTATAAATTTTGCAATCAACTTGTAGTGTGTGTGGAATTTGAGGCTTTTGTGGAATACATCCACTATGATCTGCATTCCGACAGTTCATCCAGTTACCATATTTAGATATAAACTGTATGTACACTGGATTAGATGTACGATATCGATTTATACTATAAGAAGATATGGACTTCAGATACGCTAGTACTATAAGATTCATACTATATAAGATATAGGCTATAGATGGCACCACGGACATGGATGGCACTACTATAGACTTATACTTGTATTCCGACATTGACTACGGATGTTTACCATATCTGGATAGGCACCAAGATTAATGCAATATGAGCTTGTTGCTTTAGATGTGCACTTTATGATCCACGCTATAAGACACATGCTTATATCCGTGATACTAGCTACAGATACTTTATGTACTACAGACTTGTACTATATATGAGACATGCTATAGACATGCATACGATATGCTATAGACATGCCATATATCCAGATACATGCTAAATATGTATGCTTAGCGATATACACTCAGATATGTACTATTAATATAGACTAAGAAGACTGTACCTATTGGATACATGCTACTAGATCTATATTAATTATCCTTATAGAAAGGATAGATCAGGGTACTTCGGATGAGAGTCTAATTATTCATCCAGACAGAGCTAAATCATGATTAGCTTGCTGGAGTTGTCTTTTAGCATGATTAGACATTAGTTGATCTGAGTTGACTTATTTGTTAATCTAATTAATAGAACTTTTATCCATTGTTATAGTATATAAGAAGGATCATCTACCTGGCCAGTAGAGAGACTTCAGTCTACTTTACACCTGTCAGTTTGATAATAAAACATACCTTTATCAAGTTGACTTTACTGTTTTTTACTCTTTTTTTCCGTGAATTTTAGTCTATAAAGCCTCAAATTCCACATCTACTGTATTCGGATAACCTTTATTACAAATTCAAGAACATGGACTGATATGAAATCAACTAGCTAGAACTCTTCGGTGCTTCAACCTCCGAGCCAATCAAATCGCTTGAAAACTCCGCTGACCTAAAAAAAATTTTGCGAGGGTTTCCCCCTGTTTTGATGTGAGGCAAAATTTTAAGCGCCGCTAGGTATATCAAATCTAGCAGTGTGCGCTGTCATCAAACTTCCCCCAGGTGCTAGAGCATGCCTTACTTACACCACCTAGCTTTAAATACTGGCATTGAGACCCTCAATCATCACTAAAGTAAGTAGCAATAACCAAGTGGAGGCAGCCTATCTACCTCCTAGCCTCGGATAGAGTCTTGTTGAGCTTCAGGGATAGGCACATCCACACAACGTAAAAAAGGATATGCTTCAAAGAAACAAAATAATAAAAGAAAGAAGAAACGAACATACTACTATAGGAGTATAGTAGTACTTGGGCAAAAAATGGATACTCACACAAAGTGATTCAAAGAAAAGTATAACAAGTACAACATCAGAGACGTTCAAAAAAGCTCGTTGCTGTTGCAACAAAAATGCATACATGAGCAACATGCATGGTGGTAGTAATAGTCGGATGTAAAGCAACATGGCACAAATACGCACAACTGCAAAAGCAACAATGGTATTCTAAGTTTGCAGTACAACATAATGGCTAACGTTGTTTCATGTAAAGTTACAGAGGAAACACTACCAACAAAAGAAAAAAGAGAAAGAAAGCGCAACAAGGCAAACATCAAGAATGCATTGCCACGAGAAAGGAAGCAATGATATAAACATTCAAAGAAGTTTTATATCATCGCGATCAGAAGAAAAAAAATACTTACCACTTACCACTACCATAAATAGACCAGACAATAGGCAATCACCGAATATAGACCAGAGAACGAGCATGCACCAAACACAGTAGACCGAGAAAGGCCATATTAGCAGTAGTAGCAGCAACACCAGCATCATCGAAAAACCAGAGAACGAACGCCATCAGCAGATCCCAAACAAATACCAAAGAAGCAACCGCCAGATATGATAAACCAAAGCCGCAGGCAGCAGAGATACCAAAGAAGTAGTGGCAGCAGTACCCACGTCAAACAAGCAAAAAAACTATCAAAACCTAATAAACAAATTCAATTAGTCTTAATTCTACGCCTTCCAATGCTCGTTATCGAATGGTACCTGATGTATTCCACTTCAAAGAATCAGTATCAAGCTCTTCTAACAGCACAAGACAATGCTATTAGAAGCTACATTGCTAATACCAATCAAACGGTTTCCAAAAGAGCCATGGTTTGATACTAAACGCGTTTTGCAAAAAGGGAACAAAATAGGAGTATGGAACAATGAGAGGGCGTCCTATCCGACGTCACGGCTAGTTGATTTGGTCTCAGTCCTGTACCGTTGCAGCAGTAATTGCGGCAATTTAATTTGAATTTGTGCAATGGTATTTTTGTGTTCAAACTTGACTTGACCTCACATTCTTTAAACGTTTTTGTTAAATTTAACAATGAAAACTGTCGTTGCCTCTCCCAACTTTCTAATACATCTCTAGAGGTTTAAAGAAGCCGCATCGAATGGTGCTAATCACTTTTAGCTTTCAGACCAAAAATAATGAGCGGTTTGCAAAAATATGAAAACAGGTTCTCTGTGAATATGTCAAAATTTAGCATATGAAAGTCTTATAGAAAGAGTTTCCAATGTTGCATTTCATCTTTACGGTCAATTTGATTCAATATGTATCATAGGAAAAGTCTTCACTTTTGACGTGAAAAACGCGATCGTTTGATTTTCAAAATTTTTCCCTTGCTAATACTCATGGAAAAACGATGATTTTCATGAATTTGCAATGACTCAAAAAAATTGAGATAAAGCAACAGGAAGTAAAGCGTGGTCAAGAGGAGGCGTGTGGTGCTATTCCAACAAGCGCTCAAAACGCTTTGTGGCATGTGTTATTCGTGCTTGAAAATGGCTAGATTTGAACAGAATTCGACCTAAAACGACGGCGTAATGGGTTGCGTTACCAGAAGAGTAAGTAAATTACATTTCTATCAGATGACTCAGGTGTTCTGCATTGTAGAGAACTCAACTTCCAAGTAATAGACGAAGTATATTCCAGTTCCAAGGCTCAGATCTTGCTTTTTGAGATGCGCGATTACAGTAATCTTGACACTGGAGCGTCAATAATATTATGCAAACGAGCCTTTCAGCACTTCGGGTGGTTTCCTGACCTACGCTTCGCTTCGGTGGAAACCAACCTACGTTCAAACGGCTCGCGCTGCCGCGGGCCTTTGGCTAACATCCCAAAATTAATATAGCTAAAATGTTAGAAGAGGAACCCTGATTGTTGATTGATATGTAATCACTAATCGTATGAGTGTTTATGCTTCGGATGGTTCTCACCGAAGCGTAGCAAAGGTAGAGAACCAACCTGCGCAGCGGCAGCTCGTGCTACTGATTGCTCTTGCGTATTTTATCAAAATACTGCTACTTTCATTTTGACCCTCCACTTACACATAGTAACCCTTCATATTATCTGTGGATCTGATTCTTATGTGATGTTCTACATCCATATACACGTAGCTACTTCATATACGGGCAAGCAGCATACTGGTATTCCCACTTTTTAGTCCTTAGTGTCCCTAATACAGCAATGTATGAATGCATTTGAGCTGAATTTTCTTGCGTTCAAGGCCGTTTTAGATCGTCAGAATAGCCCCAAATGGTTGCTTTCATATGGCAGTTACTTTCTGACACTTTTGCTCGACTTTTTGGGGACCAAAAAAACATGGTCAAAAATCGACCAAAAAGCATGAGGTATCCCTCATGGTTTTCATCGAAAATCAAACGACCGCATTTTTCATCTTGATAATGGAGACTTTTACTATGGTATATCTTGAATCAAAATGTTTCTATCAATCCAAAGCAACCTCTGAAATTATCTTTGTGGGACTTTGATATGTAAAATTTCGACATTTTGGCCATAAATCTCTTTTCATATTTTTACAAATCATTCAATAAGTGAATTCAAAACATCTATTTTACTTAGTACCATTGGAAGCGCCTTGAAAAGTACTCCAGGAAAGCTTAAGGAAGCATGGGGTGATTATCATACTTCACTTAGTCGAATCTGCAAAAATAGCTCGATCGAGTCCAAAATTATCAAAATATGTCCAATCTGGAACAGACTATGATTCTGGGTTTGAATTAATTTTGGCTGGTAGGGCCAGCTGGAAAACTCATGCCCTTTTCATAAGGCAATACAGTAGTAAATGCCCTTGAAGCGTATAGAAAGTAGATGGCAGGTCATAGCACTATCGTTTATGATGATATTTTATTGCCTTCTATATCGTTCATAATGACATCGTCTTGCATTCTATATTTAATAACGTTAGTCTGGACATTGACAATGCATGGGTTGCATAAAATGTCTGCAGTAAGTAATGAAATCTCTGAGGCTCTGAGACGTCGCTCAAATAAAACATTGACAGCACTGAGCAGAGGAAAGAGGGTAGAAATTACAGTGGTTTTTGTTGATTGATTGTAAAATCATTATTCTCATATGAGCCAGGTCTGATAGATGCCTTGAAACTCAGGTTCCATATTAGGATTGTAAAGTGCAAAAGTACTGAACATTTATTATGTTATGATATGAGCCAGGTCTGATAGATGCCTTGAAACTCAGGTTCCATATTAGGATTGTAAAGTGCAAAAGTACTGAACATTTATTATGTTATGATATGAGCCAGGTCTGATAGATGCCTTGAAACTCAGGTTCCATATTAGGATTGTAAAGTGCAAAAGTACTGAACATTTATTATGTTATGATATGAGCCAGGTCTGATAGATGCCTTGAAACTCAGGTTCCATATTAGGATTGTAAAGTGCAAAAGTACTGAACATTTATTATGTTATGATTTGAAGCTAATGACTTGCTCGGATTAAATTAGATGCTCATCAGGTTAGCAGGTCACTTTTGATTGTTCTCCACAAGAGAGACGCCACACCTAACCGTAAAACTAAACTTAAAGTCTATCCATAATGTTAAACATTCATAATTAACGAGTGTTGTGCCAGAAGGGCTACAAGTGTCTATAAAGATTAAGGTATTCTTGATGGGTAGATACGTCTGTGTTGTGCAACAACATGGACAAGCTGTGATAATTGAAGTGCATCTCAGCTATCTAAATACTGAGGTTCACCAGATGTGATAAGCGTTATATAAGATAAATTGCTATTTTGGCATTTAGAACTTAGTATAAATAGAATAACTCTGGTCTTCATCAATAAATCTTTAGTTTTTGTATCTAATCTTATTCAAATAAATTTTTTCTTGTTTTTATAATATCGAACATTTTTTATAAGCTACAAATAATAATCCTTTTATTCTTTGTGTTTAACACTCCTGAAGCCACTTTCACAATGTAGCAACATAGGTGATGCTGGCCGTATCACATCACATCCGTATGTTTACAAGTTCAGTCAGTTATGTGTGCACGAATACCTCAGGAACTACAATATATACTACTCCATGAATACTGCTACAGGTACATTGTTGCGGGCTTAATACATGTTCTCCTTTAGACACTCTTTAAATATCTGAAAAGCAGGTTTGTTTTTTGTGTACAAGCTGTAACAACAGGATCACTTTTAAGAGAGGTACCATTCAATACGCGTTTCAATTCTCTACAAACTGACCGTGGACTGGAAACAACGGTTACTGTTGAGAAGAAGTGCTTAGTTTTTAATTCTTTAACATTCTTTCTACTACTAATTTCCCTGCAGCAGATGGCTTCAGATATAATTATGTAATTGTAAATCAAAGCAAAACGCTTATTTAAGTGGACTAGGCGTCTGTCATTGATAGAAAATGTTTCAAGTTCAATCCTTGGTAGTCGCATTTCATTTCTTTGCTAGAATGGCATGAGATGTTGTGGTATTGAGAGAGTTATTAGTAGACGTTTATTGTGGAGGGTAAACGCAAGATAGTTTTTTTTTTTTTTTTTGAAAAGTGAAGGTACATGCAAACTTTGTGTGTAGCTTTTTTCATCATTGCAAATGCTGCATTAAGTTGAAAAGTAATAAACATCGCCATTTACCTCGTATCTATTCAAATTAATCGTAGGTTAAGCAGCTCACGCAATTTATGGAAAAAGAAGTGCTACGACCATCCTAAAAAGGTCAATATATTTCAGAATGCATTTCTCTACAAAGTGCAGAAAGGTGTCACCATCACATCTCTACTGTTGACCGCAGCTGGAGTTCACCTCCAGCAATGTCTATTTAAAGCCAACAGAATATCAACGATCTTTTTCTTCTCTTTATTGAATTTGGCGACAATCATGAGCAAAAAAAGACAACAGAATCAACCCATCTGTGTGTTTGATATACCAAAGGATCTGCTTGATCAGTTGGAACTAGTAGAGAAAGACACAGAAGCACTTTGGAGCCTCGCTGCCGAGAATGACCAACATACAAACGACAGCATCAACGCAAAAGCGTTGGAACGCTTGCAAATCCAGGAAGAGCGTCTTGCAAATCAGGATAACGAATTGACTTGCAACACTTGCGCTACCACCTTTCAAGATAGAGAAGAGCAACGTCAACATTTCAGCACAGACTGGCATAGATACAACATCAAACGTAGTGTGGTGTTGGATGTGAAGCCTGTCACTTTATCAGAATTTGAGATGTTGTTAACGGGTATGTGCACACAGCACCTCTTAGGGAAACAATCCAAAGTAACATTACGTCTTGTCCATAGATTTCACCGAAAGTATATCTGGCTCCGAGAGCGAAGACAGCGACGACGAGGATGATACCGAGGGGGACAAGAACGAAAGACGTATTGACCTAGACTCAATTGTAGATAAACAAAAACAGCAACAAGAAGAGCAAGAGAAACTTGCCAACGAAGCCAAGCAAATTGTTTTGCCCATGATGAAAAAGTACTCTGCGCTCACTTGGTTCAAAACACCCAACAAAGGCTCCAACCATTACGGTGTTTATCGACATTTGCTGCAAGACAACACACTAGCACAGCTTCAACGATCTCAACACAAGGGCAAAAAGCGAACTTGGACTATTATTATGCTGGGAGGTGGTCATTTCGCAGGATGCGTCATTGATGTGAATGCGAGCATAAACGATGTCAAACTGATCCAACACAAAACATTCCATCGCTATACAACTCGTCGAAAGCAAGGTGGATCTCAATCAGCAAATGACAATGCAAAAGGGGCTGCAAATTCAGCAGGTGCTCAAATACGTCGCTACAATGAACAGCTATTGCAGCAAGAAGTGAGAGCAGTGCTGTCACAATGGCACCAACACATTGCCCAAAGTGAAACTGTGCTCGTCCATGCACCAAGCGGTAATCGTAAACTAGTGTACAATTATGAAGGTGCTGTGTTGGATACAAGCAATGTCAAATCCATTCCTTTTGCTACCCGTCGACCCACGCTCAGCGAATTGAAGCGTGTATTCACTGAAATGACGACTGTGAAAGAGGTGCAAGTGGATGAGCAGGCGATTGAAACGTACAAGCAGAAATGGATTGAGAAGGAAAAGAAGGCCAAGGATTTGCTGGAGAGATCGACAGTGAACACCAAAAGAGTAGCAACCGTGAAGAAGGACACAATCAACCCTCATTTGGAGAAACTGTTGAGTTTGGTGCGACAAAACAAGACAGCTGTGACATTGGCCTACTTGGAGAAGCATCTGAATTTGCCCGTGAATGGCATCTTACCTGCAGAAGAGCTCTCTGATGACGAAGATTTGTATCATTTTCCTACATTATTACATATTGCAGCTAGCGTGGGTGGAGCAGCTGATTTGGTAAAAACACTCTTGACTGAGTACGACGCGGATCCAACCATTGTCAGCAATGCAGGAAAGACAGCTTATGAGGTCAGCAAGGACAAGGAGACTCGAAATGCTTTCAGAAGATGTATGTGTGATTACCCCGACAAATGGCATTGGTTAGAAGAGGGCCGCGTACCAAGTCCGTTGACCGAGAAGCAAGAGCAAGATCAATTGGCTAAAGAAAAGAAGAAGCAGGCAAAGGAACAAGAGAAGAAGCGATTGCTTGATTTAGAGCGTCAAAAGATGGAGGCTGCAAGAGAGGCCAAGGAAGAGGAAGCCAGATTCGAGAAACTGCAGGCTACCAGAGCCAAGAACAACATGATGCCTATTGTTCAGCCTTTAGGAGGTGACTCAGTGATTAACACAGCCAACATGACACCTGAGGCTCGCATGCGTCTTGAGAGAGAGAAGCGTGCCAGGGCGGCAGAAGAGAGATTGAAAAGATTCCAGTAATAAAAACTCAGTTGTAGCCATTTTGGCTGCTTATTGTTTGTTGAGTAGAATGTGTATTCTTTTTCTCTTTTCCATTTTTCCATACAACACATTAAAAAAATGAGCGAACTACATACTATCACTACGGATGCGGCAAAATACGACCTGGCGAGATTTCCCACCAAAGACACAATAAAAATGATGACATTTCTGCTGGAGAAAGTCATTAAAGCGAATGATAGTCTACAGCAACAGCAGCAACCACCCATTTCACCACACACTGGCGAGAGACGAAAAAGCGCAAGCCATTACTCTACCTGCTTTCATGCTCGCTCGATACCAAGCATAACCATATATGCCTATCTTACGCGTATACTGAAATACTGTCCATGTGCCAATGAATGCTTTTTAGCATTGTTGGTATACTTTGATCGTATGTCAAAATCAACCAACACGCGTGCTGCTAATCTACGTATCGACTCGTACAATATCCACCGCCTCATCATATCTGGTGTCATGGTGGCAAGTAAACTGTATTCCGATGTGTTTTTCACAAATACTCGATACGCAAAGGTATACATGGCAACTTGATAAACGGGATCATGGGCAGGGAATTTATGGTCATTCATGTAGGTTGGAGGGTTGCCCGTATCAGAACTGAACATGTTGGAATTGGAGTTCTTGTCCATCAATGATTTCGCACTGTTTGTGTCTATAGAGGAATTGCAACACTACGGCGATCAATTACTATCGCATTGGACAAAGGAGCACGAAGAGTTTGCTAAGAACAATGTAAATGATGATATGAAAGAGGAAGAGCTAGCACCGCCAGTGAGAAGACGAGCTCGACATTTGTCGATAGACAAGCATGGAGACGAGATTGATGTGAACAGCTACAATGACAGCGAAAGAGTATATAAAAAGCCAGCATGTCCATAGCCCAAATATATATAAATTTATATTACTTTACAAACAATTTCTCTCTTTTACAAATGATGGGTTCATCATGCATGACTGACGACACCCAATTCTGGTCATTCAAAAGTGATATATCGCCTCTGCCCAATTTCTATTACAAATCATCAGTATGCGACATGCCTGTCAAGTCTGTGCGCCACTTGCCTGTCTGATTTCGTTGTAATGGACCTCTTTGGATGTGTATTCACGCACAAAATACTCCTTTCCAAACTCATGGTATAGCCTGGTGTCGTTTATTCTGAACAATACATCATCCACCCGTAAAAAGAATCTCTGTAAAATCAGGAAACAGCGAGGCATCACTCTCTAAAATACCGTTTGTCAATAAAATAAAAAATAAAAAAATCCATTTCCTTGCGCAAATCTACTTTACCAATCGAATTGTCAACATGGCAGTGCCGTTATCGGCTAACTCGTCCTCGTATAGTATGTTTTCGTCGTAAAACAGAATGGGATCCTGCTTGCGAAGTAGGTCCATGTCGATGAGTGACGGCCCGTCATTGATCTCTAGTTCAGTGTTGGTTGTGCCTCGATAGTCGGTTGTGTAAGTCCAATCGTATGGTTTAACAACGTCTTTGACGTCTGTATGGCTGGCAGAACTAGGAAGCATCTTATCAGATCAAATGCGATCAATAATTCAAGAACCGTACACACCTTTTTCTAGTCCATTCTTCAGAGTAGGCGACTTTGATCTTCTCACTACTTGTAGAGCTTGTATCCACTAGCGCCAATGCATCGTAGGCTCCAAACACAAGTTGGAAATCGCCATGTTTTACAGTGACATGGTTGTTGCCAAACACCATCTCTGGTGGTGGTAGACCAAAGTCTTTTTGAATTCTTTACAGCAACAATTAATCACATCTGCCAATCTTCTCATTAGTGTTTTTCCTTACTTTTCCATCTCATTTGAATTACAAATGGATGCTTTCTTGCTTGCAATGGTCCAGCCGTTCAGCGTAATACCCTGGACAAGGCCCTGTTTGGGTGTTCCTTCCTTGATATATACAGGTGCTGACATGAAAGAGAACAAAAAAAAAAAGTAAAGATACCAAATGACACGGACAGTGACCCTTTTTATATCATTTTCCCGCATATAAGACAGGTGCTCGATTGATGCTCCGAGCCGCTTGTTAGCCTTCTTTACGTGGCATTATTGCTTTTTCCTTTTCATTTCATATCATGAGCAGAAACAACGACACTAGTAGCGAAGAAGAAGAGGAGGAGGATGACCTAGGAGACTTTGGATTGACAATGATATCCATTGCTGGCCCTAGCGAACATGATTGTGGCTACTGCAAAGGAAAAGACACCTCAATATCTTTTGGTATATGGGCCCATTCCATGACTTGTTCAGTAAGGACCTACATAGCATGGAGATTTTGACGTACTAAATGAACTTTAGGACTACCAAGACCTAATAGACCGAGGCTGGAGAAGATCTGGCAAATATCTGTACAAGCCAGACCTGGAAAAGAGCTGCTGTCCTCAATACACAATTAGGTAAACTGGGTGGAGTTAGATCATGCTTGTATGCTTGTGCTTACAGATGATGCAGACTAGATACCAATCGGTTCAATACAACCAAGAGCCAAAAGAAGGTCATCCATAAATTCAATCGATACATCAAAGGAACTTGGGACCCTGATCCAAAAGTCAAACCCACCATCCCCACTACCAACAGTGATAAGCCTGTTAACAAACCGTCCAACTACGTACAAGTGAAATCATTGAGAGACCTCATACATGAACCAGAGGACACCAACCAAGAGAGCAAGTACAAACTGGAGATCAAACTCGAGCCTGCCTCATTCACAAAGGAAAAGTTTGCCCTGTATGCAAAATATCAAGCGAGTGTTCATCATGATAAAGAGGAGGATATATCTGAAGGTGGATTCAAGAGGTTTTTGATCGATTCACCTATGAAACTGGAAAAGCATGGCAGCAGCGATGTTCAATTCGGTTCATTTCATCAAAAATACCTTGTAAATGGTGAGCTCATCGCATTAGCGGTTATCGATATACTCCCCAAGTGCGTATCCTCGGTTTACTTTCTGTATGATCCGGAGTATTCGTTTTTAGGCTTGGGAAAGTACAGTGTTTTCAGAGAAATCAGTCTAGTGCAAGAGTTTTCCGACAAGGTGGACACGCTGCAGCATTATTATATGGGTCAGTAGAGAGAATGCAAGGTCATCATGTTCAAGTGCTCATATATAATTACTAGGATACTACATTGATTCATGTCCCAAAATGAACTACAAAGGGCAATATCAACCATCTGATCTGCTAGATCCTATTGACTATACATGGCACCCCATTCAAGATTTCAAAGCCAAGTTTGATCAAGGAGAGTCGTTTGTTACATTCACGGATCCTGCACCATCAAGGAACTATCCGCCAGGGTGGGTAGAGCCCGCATCGATTACTGAGGATGATTTGAAAAAGGTGTTTGTGATGGTTGGACAGGGAAGGGTTGCTCCTGTAACATGTATCGTCAAATTTGAGTCTTCTGCCAAGTTTAAAAAGACGATTGTGGATTATGTATGCTCTGTTGGTTTAGAACTAGCGCACAAGATTATTATCTGTTAATAAAGTAGCTCTTTGTTCTGCACACACGCCTCATTTGTATTTAGGAGGAACGTTTGGTAACTCGTGAGATTCCCTGACATCGATGCATAGTGCAACATTTGACAGATGATTCACAGTCAAATCCGCACAGGGTTTAATAGGGAAATAGGTGGCATGATTACCCTTTATGCAACGTGTGAAAATAGTTTAAATCAGGGTCTTGATTCTTATACAACCATGTTCCTTCTTTCCTTCTTTACATTCACATAAAATGATTACTGATATTCACGGTGTTCCCATCCAAGAGGCGCTTCAGACTGAAGGATATGTTATCATTGATAATCTCATTCCAAAAGAAACCTTTAATGATTTAGTCGAAGCATGCGATCGAGTTGTCGATCGAGCTCGTCGAGGAGATTGGAAATACCGGTATGTATCAAGTGCTTTGTAGGATACAAATGACATTGATTCAACTTGTGTCATGCTTAGTCGTTTGGTAGGAACTCAATTTCCACCTTGGACAGAAGGCACTGACGTCTGGGGTGTTCAGCATCTGATGCACCCTGAATTGAAGGAGCCCGTGTTTGCTGAATGGTATGGATCGCCTCGATTGCAAGAGGCCGTATGTCAATTACTGGGAACAAAGCCTGAAGAATTGCAGCTCGGTAAGTCATTGCAAAAGCTGTATCAATACATACAAGCTAATCATCGTATTGTAGAATTGTTTAATTTGCTGATCAATCCTCAAGACTCTGATTTTGACTTGACATGGCACAGAGATTCAGTGCCTGCTGAGACTGATGAGGAAAAGGAACGAGAGATATTAACTATTCCTCACTATGGTACTCAATGGAATACGTAAGTTGGTCACCACATGGGAAAATTTGGAATACCCCAATACTAATAAGTCGGTGTACTGATAGAGCATTGTATCAAGATGGATGTCTGTTTGTTGTACCACGCTCCCATCGCAGAATAAGAACACCTGAAGAGCGTCATATTACCATTCATGACCCTAAAAGCCATGATATGCCTGGTATGCTCAAGGTGGATTTGAAGCCTGGACAGTCTGTCTTCTACGACAGCAACATCCTTCATCGTGCTGCCTATGAAAAGAGTTCCAAAAGAGCCACATTGCACGCTTGTATGGGCACAATCGAAGGAGGAGATCATCGTGCTGCCAATATCTTTCAACATGGGTTGGATTGGATGAATTCAGATGCCTTTAAACAAAGTTTGCCTCCTAGTTTGGATAAACCCTATGCCAATGTACTTGCAATGGCAGAAAGTGCAGGCTTGAGTAAGCTCGAAACTGCACCCATTCACTGAATAAACTTGCATTTATGATGTGGTATTATTATTAAGCTTTATTTTGTGTATTTATGCCAATGAGCTTTCTTTTCCAAGAGTAGCCAGTTGCTCCAAGAATTGGTGAGGGGACAAAATATCAGTAGAGCCATATGTAATCTTTTTACCATTATTTTGCTATAATTTGAATGTATTAGTTTCCATACAACCAACCAATATCAGCCACTTACTGTTGCAAGCTCTTGCAAGTTTTGGTATTCGACATAATTACCGCCACCAACAACGAAAACGATGGCTTCCTGGAATGCAACCTTGTGCTGACGAGGAGATCTAGAGTTCTTGCTGACCTTTGGATCAAAATACAAGTAGTCGCTTGCTTTTGATGCTTCGTTTTGTGGTGGTGTCATGATATCAGAGACAATTTTACTGACCACCAACTCTTTGCTGGTAGGCAGTAAGTTCTTGACGCCTGACAACAGGTTCTCAAAACCACCACCTAAACCACCTTCCTTCAATCTGTCAGTCAACTTGTTACCAATGCTGCTGAAACCACGGAACAAATCAGCTTGTGAAAAGCCAGTTTGTGGTTGAGAGGGTGCTGAAATCATAGATGTCATACGCATCAAAGCGCGCACTCTGTAAGAGCTAGGTTAATGCAAGCCCCAAAACGCACAATTATACACTCACTTTTTGATGTAATTCAATGGCTCCATATCACATCCTGCTTCAGAGAGAGCTTTTTCGTAAGCTTCCATATCGTCCTTTGGAAGCTCCTCCACTGTCGACAAGTAATAAATCAAAAACAATCTCATTTTATCCTCGGGATTCTTCTTTTCCACATCGCGAATAGTTTCCAGTAACGTATTTTTGTTTTGTCTAGTGATGCTTTCCTCGATTTGAAAGAAATTATCCAATTGTCTATCCTTGATATCATTCAGCAGCGCAGTAGCGACATTCATGTGCATATCCAAGGTTGCTTTTCTTGCTGTCAATTCAGGCAGAGCAGTGATGGCTGATTTGAGCAACTTGGTGTTGGAAGACATGTCAATATTCCCAACATCTTCTAAGGAAGACACGCCACTAATGCCAGTGATTTCAGCAGCGTCCTTTTTGTATTTGTTCAACTCAATGTCGATATCCTCAGCTACTTGTGGGAATGGACTGGATGCATTTTTGGACCAAAAGAAATCTTTGGCATCGAGATCATAACTCTTCTTTTTGGATCCAGGTTCGCCGCCTTCGATAGTGATACGATTCAGCTTCATTGAGAGTACATCATGAATGAGTGCTTCGTAAGTCCAGGAATGACTCAACATAGGAGTCAAATCCATGCTTCGATCCAACAAAATGAGAACAGGGCGTTGCAAATTGGCAGAATTGTTTTCTGAAAATAAGTTGGTTCTGCTGTTCATGACATGATCACGTAGCTTGCTATCGAGTTTGTTGGCAATGCTCTCAGCGGCATTTCCTCTGGGACAACGAATGATGGGAATGACGCCCATGGTAACAATGACTGAGAATAATGCATTGACGGTCTTGTCGATTGTTTCTTCAATTAACGATTCGCTGGCAGTTGGGTTGTTCAAGTTGATGAATGTTTGTGGTTGATTAAGAGAGAATACGTTGGGGTTTGTGCAAATAAAATTAAGATATTGATCATAAACCTAAGAATTGATGCATTAGTAGGTATTTCACATACATGCCGTTTTAGATTGCATTACCTGGTTCACCATGTCTGAGGTATTGTCATTGATTGTGGTTGTTGCGAATTCTTCCAAGACAGGGCGAGATATAGTTGAGCAAAAGTTGATGTAATATGAATCATACAAATTACGACTCAAATCCTAATTTCATGCCTAGTTAGAAGTTGGGTTTCTGTTCATTCAACAACTCTCATACCTCACAAATCTTCTTAATATTTTCTGAAGTAGGCTCTACAAAGTAAACAGCAGGTACATCGGGCAAAGGTGATCTGTCTTGGGACAAAAGCCTAGTGATAGTGGGTTTATATCAGCTTCTCTGAGAAGAGTATAATGAAATTGAGTCTCTTTACTTTACATGTGTACTGTCACTCCATTTTCGCGAAGATCATTCACACGCATGATCGAGGAAATGATGTCTTGGCCAAATTTATCGAAGATTAACACTTTCCAGACGATATTTTCAGGATTATTGCTCTCAGTTGGTCCACCTTCAGGTGAGTTGAGGTGCAGCATATTTGCAACAGCGGCTAGAAATCAACAAACGCTTCAGTATGTATATAGAGAGGTAAATATGCCTTGTATCAAATACCGTATTGTGCTGATCGTAATGAATTGGCATCTACCAATGGAATAGTGTTTATCTGATTTTGCATGTTCGCGTCTGAAGGGATGAAAGAGAAACAGGAAACAAGACAATCTTGAGCTTTTTGAGAGCCAATTAGTGTGTACTTCGTGCTAGATTTTAGATTGATTATGAAGTTGTGACGGAAAAGACATTACCATAAACAGAAGATAGGGTGTTTGTAGTGGCACGTGATTATAATTTATACTTAGATTTTTATAAATGTTGCAAAAAAATTAGCATCTGAAGCTTCCGTGGCGCAATTGGCTAGCGCGTCTGACTGTTAATCAGGAGGTTGGTGGTTCAAGCCCACCCGGGAGCGTTTTTTTTGCCAATTTTGGCAAACAATCGGAGACACAAACGGAAGTTGAATAGTTTATGTCTGGTCTTTTGAGTTGTAGTTTTCAATGAATGTAGATGGCTTCAAGCTCTCACAACTAGATCAGAAGATTTGCTATCACGTTTATTTTATGTAAACGTATTTTTTTCTGGGGGGGGTTTTTTTTTGGCTAATTTCCTTCAGTTCAAGCATCTCTAAGGAAGCTGTTTATAAAGTCCGACTCTTGGATATCATAGCAATTTTGTAAGGATTTTATATGATAGATCATAGCTTGAGCTTTTGAACCGCCTCATGTATTGAATATTCAGACTGAATTATTAGCATTGCATAAGCATTGATCAAGCTTTTAAGATTTATACTTTGTTTGTTCTTAATTGGTCATATACATTTATCAAATCATGAAGATCTGTGCCAAAAAGGCCAATCACTCATGTACAGACACAGGATATACCTTGATAGACATTTCATGTGGTAATAAAATTGTTACTATTGTGGTTGATTGCAATCAATCTGTACCTGATATCTCTCAGTTCGCATTTTTGAAGAGCAATGTAGGAGCAAGCAACAGTCTAAAGCACATTGGAACTCCCTCTGACATTTGCAACTGACTAGTTACATTTGCGACACGCGTCGGGCCTCGTCATCTAGGTCTCGAAGTTTTGATAAAGGTTCACTGTATAGCTGTGATATAACCTTTTTTTTTCATTCTATTTAGTCATAAATTCATACATAAAGCAGAAATGAACAGATTTGTATCTAAATATTCATCATCTCCTTTAACTTTACCTCAAGAAGAGAACTTTGGTCAGCTCTGTGGACGTTGGGATGCTGCTCAACAACTTGCATTCCCTTCTTTTGATATTCCTGCTATTCACAACGTACGTAAAGACTTTTCTTAACACAAACGCAGCGATGATCGTGTAAATAACAAGTTATATAGCCTGTCGATTTCTTGAGAAATGTAACCGATGAGAAATCTGCCGATTACAAAATCAAGATTCAACACGGTACAACCACACTTGCTTTCCAATTTCAAGGTGGTGTTATTGTAGCTGTAGATTCCAGAGCTACCATGGGCAATTATATTGGTAAATTTGAAGATGCATGCTCATACGGATAGCTATTAAACACAACACTATATAGGTTCCCAAACTGTAAAGAAGGTCATTGAAATCAACCCTTATTTGTTGGGTACCATGGCAGGTGGTGCTGCTGATTGTTCGTATTGGGAGCGTGAGTTGGGAAGACGTTGTCGTTTGCACGAATTGAGAAACAAGGAGCGTATTTCAGTTGCTGCTGCATCCAAGCTATTAGCCAATATGGTTTATGCTTACAAGGGCATGGGCTTGTCTATGGTATGTCATAATTACTATTTGTTGCAGTTGTGGTTTTATTCATAGTGAATATTAGGGTACGATGGTTACAGGCTGGGATAAATCTGGACCCAATCTCTTTTATGTTGATTCTGATGGCTCAAGATTGAAGGGCGATATTTTCTCTGTTGGTTCAGGTTCAACATTTGCTTATGGTGTCCTTGATTCCGGATATGATCACGATTTATCTGTCAAGGATGCTCTTGAGCTTGGAAGAAGATCTATTTACCATGCTACACATCGTGATGCCATGTCTGGTGGCTCTGTAAACTGTAAGTTGGATAGATTGATTGACACTGCTATAATACTCACATATCTTATAGTATACCATGTTACTGAGGAAGGTTGGACATATCACGGTAACCATGATGTTGGCAATCTTCATTGGGATTATCAAGATGGTGTCGCAAGTGAAATCATCTAAGCAGGAAGTTGATTGTCATTTCTTATTATACATTACAAAAACAATAATAAAAAAAAAACTGAATATACAAAATCACTCTCCTGATATCGCGTACATGATCAAGGAAATAGATGATGAATCATGAACAAGCATCTGCTTGAAGACTGAAGATTGGAATCCTGCAAAGAGAACATGGTGTAAAGCCGTTAATTAGAGTAAAAGGTTGTCAGTCGTGCGACATGTGCTGAATTCGCATGAAAATTTGAAAAATGTCATGCAATCAGAAATCACATCACTCTAGCATATGTACCCATTGAAGCTCTTTAAGAACATCTCTCATATTGCGTTTAAAAATGGCATGAGTGGTACGTAACATCGCTGACTTCAATTCTCGTGTCATAATTTAAAGAATCCCACAGTTGCATTTGTGAATAGATCTTCTACATTTGCAAAGATATTTGGTGCTACTGAAAGAGCAAATAACCAGAGAAATTACGCATTCCGTAACAGATACGGTCAATGGTCTAACACGACCGACGAGTACGATGCGCAGCACATTGTTAGCACTATCATTGAAACGATAAAATAGTATATTTATTTGAATAAAATGGAAGATGTACACTTGTAGCAGAAATTGCAAGATGCAGAGGCTTGTCTCGTTTACATGATTGAATAAAACAAGTTGTTTGATTGATAGAGACACCAAATAAACGAATTCTACTTTTTGCGAAGATGGATGTGTTTGTGTTTGTGAGGGGTGTTTGAGTCTGATGTGTATTTAATAACCTCCAATTTGCTCAACCATAACATCAATACTGTCTCCATCATCCATATCCAACTAAACAAAAGAAGGGTGAGTATTTTATGTAGGCAAACAGTGAATCCGCAACCAACACATACATCATTAGGTGTATCTCCTGGCATAACACGAGTACCGTCATATAAGAAACGCACAGATCCAGGTTGTTTACCTTGACGTTCACAATAAGCATCCATCAACTTTCTGAGTTGAGTAGAACGCTTGATCTTGAAGAAAACCTCATTGGCATCCTTTACAATAAAAAAAACAGAGGAAAAACGTGAGCCCTCTGTGCTTTAGCTTATCATTACCACTAGGGCACTTACACTGCCTACAACTTTAAGATTGATGTGTTCAACGGCACCCTCCTTCTTTTCAACTTTCTCTGCTGCGGCTGGTTCAGACATGATTTAATACGCGAATGTAGTATAAAAGAGAGAAAAAAGATCCTCTTGTTTGAGATGGCGTTCAGCTGTTTAAAAAACCTTCATCCACACAAAATTTTTATCCTTTGAATTCATGTACATCACGTGTTTATTCGAGTCTTTCAGAGATCCTGGCTCGTCCCGGGGGGTTGGAGTGGCATAAAAAGAAAGATGTCTTCGTTTCTCTCTGAGTGTTGATCATTGTTACCATGTCGTTCGTTACTCGCAATCTTCTTAGAACCAACATCAAGGTAATGTATATATGATTGAATGCTCTATGCTTATTATCTGACAATGGACATCAGCCTTTGCCATCCCAATGTTGGGCTGCAAAGCGTCAATTCTGCAAGCCTACTGCATCTCTCATGACAGCTTCCTCCAATCCTGTCAAAAAGCCCTCCATCAACACCATGACAGCAGGTCGCTTTTATTCCACTTCTACATCCAAAGAGGAGATTCGTGCCAAAGCAGCTGTTGGTGTAAAGTATCATTTGTATTAATGTATTTGCCCAAAGACTGACATTTCTGCATAATTAGCCATTTACATTCAAGGCAGCAGCTGTATTTCTCGGCGTAGGTGCAGGTCTACTATTGTACTTTCAGAGCGAGAAGAAGAAGGTTGAAGAGATCCGCAAACAAAAAGAAGCCGAGAAATCCAAACCACAATCATACGGAAAGCCAAAGCTGGGAGGTGATTACACTCTGACTAATGCAGAGACCAACAAGCCATTTGGCTCTGATGATATGAAAGGAAAGTTTGCTCTGATCTACTTTGGATTCACGCATTGTCCTGACATTTGTCCCGAGGAACTGGACAAGATGGCAGAAGTGGTTGACATGACCAAGAAGGACATTGGAGAGAATGTACTAGTACCAGTCTTCATTACTTGTGATCCCAGACGTGATACTAGAGAGATTGTCAAGGAATACGTCAAGGACTTTCACGAGGATCTGATTGGATTGACAGGAGATCAAGACGAGATCAAGCGAGTCGCTAAACTCTTTAGAGTATACGTATCCTCTCCTCCTGACATTAGTGAAGGTGATGACTATTTGGTCGATCACTCCATCTTCTTTTATTTGATGGATCCAGAGGGTAAATTCTTGGATTGTTACGCACAAAACTCAGAGGCCAAGGGTGTCAGTGAGAGCTTCAAGAAATACTACAATGCTTACATTGAAAGTGGTGGTAAATTAGACAAATCGCCCATCAATAACAAAAAATAAATTCATTTATGTAAACTATACAATGATTGTGATGACTACAGCAAATAACATAACCACTTTTTTTTTTTTTTTTTTTTTTTGCTATTTTTTGACGATGAATATAGGACCGGCCGATATCTTGTTTGTATGGTTAATTTGCAGTATCATTCAAGGCAGGAGAAAGACAAAGTTGTACTTGATGATTTATATAGTCATCCTGTTCAATGACTGAAGAATCGATTGAATTTGGCGTTGAGGGAGCAGAAATCAATGAAGGAGCAGTTTGTTTGTGGTAAGGTGGAGTTTCAGGGGCGGCATTCAAGAGCAACGTGTTGCTGTGTGCAACAGGGAACTTGCTGTTGGCAGATGTAGGAGTACGACATGTGGCAATCTCGTTCTCGGTAATGATTTCCAGCTGTTGTTGCTGTTGGTGTTTTGATTCCACTTCTACCGTCGTTGCCTCAGAGGGAGACCGTGCACGTAAAGAAGTGCGAGGTTGCTTCTTGACTTGGTATGACAGGTGTCTATTATGTGTCGACGTACTAGCTACGATGGCTTCGTATTGAGTTTTGTTTCTCACAATAGCGCTATCAGGTTGTTGCTCAAAATGGTCATCCAGCTCGCGAATGTGGGCGATAGGTTGAAGGGATACTGCACGCATCTTTTTGCCCTCCAATGTCATCATGGCATCTTGTCTGGATCGATCATTGAAAGAGTAGGCAAGTGTTTGCTCTAGAAGTTGTTGGCGCCATGATGGGTTATCTGGCAACTGCTGCTGCTGCTGCTGTTGCTGTTGCTGTTGCTGTTGCTCTTCAATTAACATTTCATCGAGTGCCAGTGTCAATTGATCCGTGTTGGGCATGGAGAGAGGGCTACGTCTGCGTCTTCTTTCTATTAACGTCAATTTGTGTTCATCTTCGTCGCTTGCAGTCATAGAAATGGGAGAATCTGTCGTTGCGGTAGCTTGTGATTGAGGTCTACTTTGACCAACTGTTGGGTCAAGGGGTATATGTAAAGGTGGTAATGGGGGCGGTGAAGAGGGTAGTGGCTGCATTGCATTACTATTAGCCCTAGAATTATTAGTGGCGCCCAATGTACCACTGCGAAAGGGCACAGAAGGTGTAGTTGTTGGAGTGATTGAAGCGCTGCTTGTTGAATGTCCAGTTTTGAATGTGATGAAGCTGTCGTTATCGCCGTCAGGAGACTGTAATAATTCAGCGTCTAATGATAGACGTAAAAGAGAGGGCTGCTTTCTAGTTTTAATAGATATAGGCTTAACTCGTGGTGTCAAAGTGGGGTCTATCAAAGGACGTCGACTGGTGGTTGTAGCAGTTGAAGCAGTGTTGTTGTAGCTGTCTCTTTTGGATTTGATTTGTCTTGGCGGCGGAGAGAGCGATGGAGGAGGCATTATAGGCGAGGGTTGCTTCTGCTGTACAAGATATTGATGGTTCCAGATGATCATGGAGGAAGAAGACGAGGATGATGATTTTATTTTTGCAACTAAAATAAAGGATGAATGAGCCAATCTTTTCACTACGCTAACATATCCTCATTTACCATCAATTGTCTCTGACAAGTCATTATGCCTGGTATCAAAATCCTCGTAGGATTGAGACAGTCTAAGTTGTTGGTTTGACGATGATTTATTGGATTTTCTTCCTAATTTACTAGTAACAAATGAAAAGCAAGACGACCAGCGAAATTTGCGAGATTTATCATTTAAGTTTTTCTGTTTAAGAGTGCTTGATCGATATGAATTGGATTCATTTAGCATGAGTTTGACAGGTAAATTGGCGGTGGGGTATACGAAAATAAAGGAAAGAAAGAAAGAGGGAAGAAAAAAGGGGAAACAGAGAAGAAGAAGATAAAAAAAGTGCCTCTTGTCGATTGCAGCTATTGTTGTAGTAGCAAAAAATGAGTGAAAATTGCTACCATGTACCCAAAGGGGGTAAGTTTGCTTATAACCCCAAGGTGCTCAGTCCGAAACCTCCGTTTCAATTCGTTCTTGGTTTCCATACTGTTTTGGTAGCACATCGTTTTGAAGTAGCAGCAACTGTATCAAAATAAACAAAAGTATAGTTGCATTTGGCCTATTCAAACCTTTATCAGTATGCTCTCTATATAATGCCTTGCATTACTGATGAAAAAGATCATACCACAATCTGCGGTATCGGTTTTTTTTTTTAAAAAAAAAAGAAGAAACCAAATGTATTCGGTTACATTGCACAAACTTTTATACATTTATATCAAGTATCAAGGTTTCTGTTGCTGTTTCATTATGTAGAACAGAGCAACATGCAATTTAGGAATGTTTTTTGAATACAAAATGCTACTTGTGAATTGACTTTTTTTTTTTTTTTTTTTTTTTTTTTTTTCAAGGAGATGATTCTCAAAAGATAAAGAAATCAACAATTTTGTACAGTTCCTGATAACCGTGATACAACTGCTTTGTGTTCTGGTCCTTATTTAAGAAGGAAGTCTTTCTAGAGAATTCATGATGGAGTTGATATGGTATAATTCAATATGACATACGCTGTATATAGGCCAGATGGATGGATGATATTGCTGTATATTTTACGTGATTTGTTTGTTAATCATCTAAAAAAAAGTTTGTTTTGATTAAGCTTCGTTCTCGTTGTTGTTGTTGTGTGTGTGTGTTGTGCGTGGGTAGCTTCTTTTGTCTTGATGATTGATTATTTTTGGTGCAACCCGTACTAAATGTGAATCATTGTGTAATGTATCCTCGTGGCAAAATGATTCTAACGCATCATCCCCTCATTTTTTCTCAAGTGATTTTAGTCCAGGGCCGTATGTATTCAGCTCGAACTCACATACTTACTAGACATTTATCAAATTTAGCTTGCATAGCTAAATTCTAGTACCCATACCTTGTTTCAATATATACAACACATTATAGAGTTGTGAGCTAAATGAAATAAGTAAAGTGTCTGAGCACTTGTTGTGAAAAGAGGAAATACACATGCCAATGTTCATGTCTTGTTTCTTTTTTCAACTAAAAAGATACGCATTTGTCCGATTAAGAAAGAACGCAGGGTCATCGCTGTTTATATGATTGAAAAGCTAAATCATAAAAGTATTGTTATAATGATGTAAAGAAGAAGAATTTTCAGGAACCAAGAAATGAAACAAACATCTCATGACTCGACGCTCTCCTTTGAAAGCAAACAAACAGTGGACGGCATCAGATCAAGAACAAAATTTGCATTCATGTAAACACACATGATGTAGCAGTTCACACACACACACACACGCACACACACCTATTTGCATACAATTCATACAAAGCGACTTTGGATTGATGGTTTAAGAGAATTCCTCATGTTAAAATGAATAAATGAGGTTTACAGGCAACTTCACGGAACCTCAGCATCCGAGATGCCAAGTATATTTTCATTTGTCAAATTCAACATCAACAACACCAACGACATCAATGAGAAACACACATTTCAAAACTTACTAATTTAGTCCAAAATGTTTATTTTTAGTGTCATGTTCCTCTCGTTGTTTTATGGGAACTGGCATCTCATTGCAAAGGTTCCCTTTTAATTTAAATTGATCCAAGAAATTTTTGGTACCTGAATGAGTTTGAAATATTGAACATCAACATGAGCAGTAATTAAGATATCGTTTGTCAAGAATCGTAGTCATGATGCTTTAATTGAGTTGCACCTGTAGTTTATGTGCAATATATCAGCGAATTTTGACTATAATAATTCTCTATTCAACTTGATTGCTCATTGTAAGGCACTTGCTGTTTGATCGGACATGCCCCATCACTAGGAAGAGAAACAGCAAAGCAGATACTCTATTTGGGTGCTCAGAGCATGGAGATCAGATCTTGATATTCAAATCGACACTGCTTTAAGAGCCAAACTACGAAATTTAGATACCTAATCAAGATAAACCCGAAGCACCTTATCAATCATTAATTCTCAAAAGCTGAGAAGAATGTAGAAAAGCACCACGCTGCACATCGAAGATTATCCTATTTCGCTTGAATTTAGTACGCGATTTGACAGATTTTCGAGTTATCATCTTATATAATCAGAGTCCTTCTTGTCAAAGTAATGATATACCACGTTCTAAATTCAAGCAAAGAAGAAATTGAAAATTACATCTAATTATATACAATGCTGGAAGAACTTCTTGTCAGCTGGCAAAGGATGCTTAATACATGTGAACTTTGCTTTCCTTGTTGAGCGCTATAAGTATAATGGCATCAACATTACTCCATATACTCAATGTGCTCTGTGGATCGGAAAACTACACTCTGTCTAAATTCGATACTATCACATAGGCCGAGTGATAAAAGGCCTATTCAAATTTACGAAAAGTTATCTACATCTGCTAAGAAGTGCATTGATTCCTTTCTGCTAACGGAAGTCTGCTTCAATCATGGCGCAATTAGATGTGATAATAATGCTTCACTTTTGATTCCAAACTTTTTCAGTAAAACGTATTAATCTTCTACGAGCTGTATACCCTTGGTAATTCATAGCGAAGACCTTGATTTACATTGTACATAGTTCTATTATTTGATACGAGTGTTTATGCTTTGGAAGACTCTCTACCTTCGCTTCGCTTCGGTGAGAACCAACCTGTGCAGCGGCAGCTCGCGCTACCGATTTCCCTTGCGTGTCTTATCAAAATACTGCTTCTTCCATGTTGTCCCTCGACTTACACATAAAAACCCTGTATATTATCTGTGTATTTGATTCTTATGCGATGTTCTACATCCATATACGCGTAGATATTTCATATACGGACAAGTATCATACAGATATTAGCCCTTTTTAGTCAAGAGTGTGCCTAATACAGCAAAAAATGAGTTCATTTGATCCGCGTTCTCTCGCGTTCAAAGCCGTTTTAGATAGTCAGAATAGCACCAAACAAATGCTTTCACATAGTATTGACTTCCTGACACCTTTGCTCAACTTTTTAGGGACCAAAAAAAACATGGACAAAAATCGACCAAAAAGCATGAGGTACCCCTCATGGTTTTCACCAAAAATCAAACGATCGCGTTTTTGACCTTGATAATGAACACTTTTGCTATGGTATATCTTGAATCAAAATGTTTCTATCGATCCAAAGCAACCTCTGAAATCATTTTTGTGGGACTTTGATATGTAAAATTTCGACATTCTGGCCAGAAACCTCTTTTCATATTTTCATAAATCATTTGATAAGTTTATTCAAATCATCTATATTACTTAGTACCATTGGATGCGCCTTGAAAAGCACTCCAGGAAAGTTTAAGGAAGCAATTTTTTTTTTTTTTGTAGGGGAGACGAGCTCCAGTTTTTATTTAAAGTCCTGTAAATGTCGTTATGAGTGATAGACAAGACTGTTGGTGGACCCAATGTCAGTCATGATGGGGAATAAATTATGGAAAGGAAGTTGGGAAAGAAATCTACTACAAATAAGGTGCGGCACTTAGAGCCAATACAATCATGCTAAGTTGTCATACAGAGATACTGGATAAGAGAACATTCACCAAACGAGGACATCAGTACGACCGTAAATAATTAATCAAAATGCGTTCACTGGGATTTGAACCGGGATCCTCCCGTTGGCATACGGGAGTTTTACCACTTCGCCCTACCACCACGGGCAGTTTAAGGAAGCAAGGGGTGATCATTATATTCTACTTAGTCGAATCTGCAAAAATAGCTCAATCAAGTTCAAAATTATTAAGATTTGTCCAATCTGGAACAAACTATGATTCTGGGCTTGAATTAATTTTGACTTGTGGGGCCAGCTGGCAAACTCAATGGCCTTTTCATACTGCAATACAGTATTAAATGCTCTTGAAGCGTATGAAAAGTAGGTGGCAGGCCATAACGCTATTGTTTATAATGATATTTTATTGCATTCTATATCGTTCATAATGACATCGTCTTGCATTCTATATTTAATAACGTTAGTCTGGACATTGACGATTCATGGGCTGCGTAAGATGTCTGCAGTAAGTAGTGAAATCTCTAAGGCTCCTAGACGTCGCTCAAAGAGAGCGTTGGCAGCATTGAGCAGAGGAAAGAGGGTAGAACTAACAGTGGTTTTTGTTGATTGATTGTAAAATCATTATTCTCATATGAGCCGGGCCAGATAGATGCCTTGAAACTCAGGTTCCATATTAGGGTTGTAAAGTGTCTAAGGACTGTGATTCATCAGTAATGATCTCTTATAAATAGGATGTGTTTGAATCAGTTAATAAATCTGAAGTTTTCGTATCTGGTTACTTTTTATAGTCTTCCTTTTTTGAAATCTATCTTAATTTGTTGATACTGTATCTTTGAATACAACAGACTGAACATTTATTATATTATGATGATATTGAATCAAAATGTTCTTCTCGATCAAACGCAACCTCCGAATCTTCTTTTGTGAGATATTTGTATGTAAAATTTTAATATTTTGGGCAAAAACCTCATTTCATATTTTTTCAAATTGCTGTATATGCTCATTTCAAACACCTATTATAATTGGCACCATCAGATGCGCCTTGAAAAGTACGCCAAGAAAGATTACGGAAGTATAGGGTAATCACCGCATTTCTATAGTCGATTTCTGCAAAATATATCAATCGAGTCGAAATTTAATTTAAATTGGCCAATCTGAAGCAGATATAGAAGAAAGCTGAGTTTAAATGGGATTGGCTACTTCTGCTGCTGCTGGCCAAAATGCCCTGCTAATAAAGACAATCGATGTGTCTGGTGCTTTTATGAAGGTGGTTACGGTTTGAAAATCGCTGTAGCCCATTCCAACTACCTCATCTTGCCTCTGTTGCAATTTTTTGCTTTTGCGAAATTAAACGCTTCGAGTTGTGAATACAAATGCGAAGCAGACTGCAGAATGTAAAAGTGTCATCCTATTTCAAATTGCTTGTAAGTCTTCGAGTTTAAGTCATGTTTAAATTTTGAATTAATACCTTTCACAGCAATAATACAATTGTATATGGGGCAATTGAACAGAGCTATTAGTTTTGAGTTGCTTTATTCCCCTGTGATGAATACCACTCTCTTAAGTTACAAGTGATTTTCAGTAGACCGATACCATACATCATAACATAGTAAATTTATAGTCCCTAAACACTTCTACAACTCTTTTATGAAGACTGAGTTGCCAGGCATTTGCCAGGCATGGTTCATATCATATTATAATAAAGGATTATTTACCAACTCTCAGTAGTGGGTGCCATTTGGGGTTCCCTGCTATTTTGGGACCCAGATTTACATAACACATTTTAAGCGATTTTTACAAAATCCACAGGAAAACAAAGATATTTATTAATGAAAATGCAACTATTGATGGTAAAAAAGGCTCAGCTAGAAGTGTTGCAATTTTCTTCTTTTCGTTTCTTCGTAAGGAAAAAAAGCGCCTTTTTGGAGCTCGGTGCCCAAGCGATCCAAAGACCAGTGGCGAGTGTTGAGCACCTTTTGTAGGGCGCCTACAGCAGAAGTGGGGGAGAGACCAAGATCCAGCTGAAGGTCTTCAACGGAATCAATGATTTTTTTACGGATATTGAACCATTTTCTGTCGTCTTTTCTCCATTTAGCGCCCCACTTGTCTTCTAATTCTTGAACAGACCAGAATCCATCTCGACCTATTGTCCACTCGTCCCAAAGATCACACACAGTTGTCACTTGTCGACTCATTTTGTATAACGGTACACCTTCTTGATTGTATGTAAGTGAAATAGTTGCAACTGCGGTGTTGTTGTAACCTGGTGGTGGTGGGCTTTGTTGAGATTCTTCCGAAAATTGTTTTGATTGCGATACATCTTCTGATCTTGGCAAGGCAGAGGTTTTTGCGACAGCGCCTGTTGTCGCTACTGCTCGGTTCCCTTGGTCCATTCTAAAAGACAGTTGCAGTTGCTGCTTTCCGGTGACTATATTGTCAAACACTTTTTGCATTTGCTGCTGGATTTCATCCGACTTCTTTTGACGTTCTTTCAATTCTCGCATTGTATTTGCTATACTTCGGTTGATGCTGGAAAGCTGCTCTTGTATTTCAGGCGCAAAACTTTCAATAATTAATGAATGGGGCACTTCATTTTCTTCAACGTGAGCTTTTGCTTTTCTATAAATAAAGCAAAAAGATCAGACACACAGTTTTCATTTTGAAAAAAAAAAAGCTTTATACCTTTGAAATTCTAGAAAGAGTGGGTTTCTGATTAAATTTCAGGAACATAAGTACAAACTAAAAGCGAAAAAAAAAGTTCTTTCAGGTGTTAATTAACCAAAAGAATACATGTATTTTTTATGATAAGGCCTTGGATAACGCACATATCATTAGAATGTATTAAATCCTAATATTTTTTATGTAAATGTCAAATATACACACTTGGAACGAAAACTGGAACCCAAAGATCAATAACAATTGTTATTTGACAAAGTATTGGCTTATAACAAAAGTTATCACTCCAATCGGGTTCCAATTTTGCTGGGAACCCAACTTTTTTTTTGGAACCTCCAAAAAAAATAATAAATGTTCAGTCCGTAGACACTTTCAAAGCCTCAAAAAGGAAAGAAGTTGATCTAGAAAGTATTTTGATAGACCGGTTCTATTAAATATAGCATGCAAGAAAAATAGCATGGATAACGATAGTGCCACCTACTTTTCATACGCTTCAAGAGCATTTAATACTGTATTGCAGTATGAAAAGGCCATTGAGTTTGCCAGCTGGCCCCACAAGTCAAAATTAATTCAAGCCCAGAATCATAGTTTGTTCCAGATTGGACAAATCTTAATAATTTTGAACTTGATTGAGCTATTTTTGCAGATTCGACTAAGTAGAATATAATGATCACCCCTTGCTTCCTTAAACTTTCCTGGAGTGCTTTTCAAGGCGCATCCAATGGTACTAAGTAATATAGATGATTTGAATAAACTTATCAAATGATTTATGAAAATATGAAAAGAGGTTTCTGGCCAGAATGTCGAAATTTTACATATCAAAGTCCCACAAAGATGATTTCAGAGGTTGCTTTGGATCGATAGAAACATTTTGATTCAAGATATACCATAGTAAAAGTCTTCATTATCAAGGCCAAAAACGCGATCGTTTGATTTTTGGTGAAAACCATGAGGGGTACCTCATGCTTTTTGGTCGATTTTTGTCCATGTTTTTTTTGGTCCCTAAAAAGTTGAGCAAAGGTGTCAGGAAGTCAATACTATGTGAAAGCATTTGTTTGGTGCTATTCCGGTGGTCTGAGACAGCTTCTAAAGCTAGAAATGTCTGCTCAAATGTATCTGTGTTTTGTATAGTATAGAGCAGTAAGAGGCAATATCAGTGTGCTATCTGTCTGTACAAGGCCTAGTACGATTGATGCAAATGGGCAACCTCATAAATGAGTCAGATCTACACTTGCAGGCTGTATACCAAGTGCTTCACATAATGGGAAGCTGAAAAGTGTAGTATATATAGCAAAGGCTCAAATATTTGAACAATAGGCGCGCATTTGAGGCTCTGGTTATACAAATGGTGGATATGAAAAAAAAATATAAATGGGATATACAGATGCTTGGCAAAACAAGTGTTTGCGTGTATCAACAAAAAGTGATATACAGATATGCTCAACAGATCAAAATGTAGTGCAACCTGGGCACGTTTTTATTGAACAAGTGGTACAAGGCCAAGGCTGAAAAGCAACATCTCTTCCCTCACTAAACTCCGTAAATGCCTCGTTTTTTTTTTTTTTATGAAAAAAAAAAAAAAAGTTTGTTGAGAGAGAGAGAGAGCTACTGATGATGCTAGTTTACTACACTTTCTTTTCCTTTATTTTTCGTTTAATTCTATGATAACACTTTTCTAAAGGAAAAATCATAAAATGGAGGATGAACGATTCCATGCCAGACCATTCTTGGCTCCTTCAGTCTCTCAAGACTACGTTTTGCAGATGGAACCAGTTGATTCAACAGCATCCACGCCTCCACCTGTGCCAACGACTTCTACTGATACGACAAAAGGTCGAAAGAACTCTGCTGATGTCGAAGTATGTTATCCGTACCCTACACAACGACCAGATCAACACTCGACTTTGGAGACAGAGGTGTTGAAATCCTATATTCAAAACACCAAGGATGACGAGACCAGCGATCCTGACTACAAGTTGGAGCGTCAACTTACCGCTAAATTGGATGATTTGCTGGACAGTGGCCAAAAGGCCCCAAGCTCTGCTTCAAGGCGGTACAGCTTCTATGGCGATCATGTTCGGGTAATATACGGATCAGCAGTTCGACTGACCTAGTGATATTGATATGTCTGCATTAGGATCCATCTGAAGTGAACAAAAACATTGACAGATACACCTTTTACTCTGCTGAACTTGGATCATTAAAGCATCGATCGTTCCGTCAGCTACTGATGATGAAGGCGCCTACCGACGACCAGGAAACAGTGGCTGATTTGCTGATGGAAACAACGAGTTGGTGGATTGATATCTTTGCGCCCTCAAACGAAGAGATGCGAATTATTAGCAAAGTGGGTAGAAATGCGTTAGTGGAGGGGTTTTACAGTGGATTGATACGGCTTAAAAATAGATTTTTCGAATTCATCCACTTACCACAGAGGATATCCAAGCTCAAGAATCCAGAGAGAAATGCGAGATATTTCAAAACTACATGTTTATCAGCTTCAGAAGTTTCAATCATGACTTTAATAGCCCTGAATACCTGGAGGCAGTTAATTTCTATATTGTCATTTTCAAAGATGGTGTCTTGACGGTAAACTTGAACGAAACATGTTGTAGCCGTTTATCCATCAACTAACCTGATCCCCCCCCCCTTCTCTCTCTCTCTCTCTCTCTCTCTCTCTCTCTCTAGTTCCGATTTCAGGATTTACCTCATCCACACAATGTGCGTCGACGCATCCATCAACTCAAGGACTTTATTCATGTTACACCCGAGTGGATCAATTATGCTCTCATTGACAATGTTACAGATAGCTTTGCTCCGTTGATCCAGCACACGGAACTCGAAGTAGACTCAATCGACGATCTTGTGCTTGTGCTGAACGGGTCAGAACAAAACGACATGCTGAGACGTATTGGCAGTTGCAGAAAGACGGTAATGCAGTTATTGCGTCTACTAGGACCCAAAGCAGATGTCGTTCGTAGTTTGATCAAACGATACGAGGATAAGGCAAAGGAAATTAACTATAACAATATACGCCTGAGAGAATCAGCAGCCACTAATGGCAACACCGCCGCACTTGGCACCACAACAAACAACACAACCGCCACCGCAGCAACAGCAGGCGATACTACTATACCAGAGCAAGACGAAGTCAAGGTGCATCATGAAGTGACACTCTATCTAGGAGATATCCAAGATCACATCCTTACCATGTTGCAAAATGTAAACCACTATGATCTTATCCTGGGCAGGGCACATAGAAACTACTTGGGCCAAATCTCTATTGAGCTATCTCAAGCAGGCAATACCACCAACGAAGTGATCAATCGACTCACCTTCTTTGCCACCGTCATTGTACCACTGGTAAGTATCTTTATATACTGTGTAATCTGAATATTCTCCTCACATGTTGATAGAATCTGGTGGGTGGTTTATTTGGTATGAACGTTCATGTGCCAGGTCAAAACAATGACGATTTGGTATGGTTCTTTTGGATTGTATTGGGCATGCTGTTGTATGTTGTAGCCATGGTGGCTGTTGGCAAGAGAACAGGGTTCCTCTAGATTTTATTTATTTACCCCCTTCCAGCTATCTCATTTGATCTTCCATCAATAAAATCTCTACTATTGTACTTTTTAAATGACACTTTTGTTAAAACAGCAGTACACTAAACACAAATGCCAGCAGAGACTTGACATGCCATGATTTATGCTGAAGATCAGAAGGAACAATCAACGATGGTATGTTTAACCAGTCACCGAAATGTACGAAATACGATGCCAAATTGCCATTTCCAAAAGTTCAACTCCATTTCTTTTTCTTTTTGTCAAATCCAATCAATCACTGATTCATCATGTCCACTAGCAATGACCTATACAGCAAGTTTGCCAAAGTGGTCGATGGATTTGGGCCTGATTCAGCTAAAGAAACAGCAGATCACTTTGCAGATTTGACTTGTCTACACGACGAGTAAGTGGGCTGTAAAAGACGAGACCGTGTACGCATCGCTGTTACTGATCGAACGCCTCTAGTGAACTCAACCATTTCATGTATTACGAGAATGCGACTTGGAGATTGCTGTCTCTATTGGCAGAGTAAGTTGTGTGTATTTGTACTGTGCTCATCTACGAGAGACTCATGCTTTCATGCAACTTAGAACAAAGAACAAGTCCAAGCTTCATCGACTTGCTGTAAGTAGGTCTGAATAGCGATGCCGAACTCAACTCACTATAAACCACAGGTATTGAAACAATGGGTATCGCAATTGCAGATAGACCAAGACTTGAAGGATCGAATTGATGAGTTAAACGATGTGGACGACGAGATCACCAACCTGTTTAATCATGTTGGCATTATCCACAACAAACTTGACAGACAAGAGCCACCGAGAAAGAAGCGCATTATTACAACCGAGCAACAAGATGACGAAGCTATATGCAAACAGCACTTTGAAAAGCTTCGTTCCAACGATTTAACACCTATTGCAACATTAAGTCAGAATGTGTCTCTGTATTACATGGTGAATGGATACGTGCAGTACCAGAACATGGCATTGGGTAAGGCATTGTCGTATGCCTGTATGTTTGCTTGTACTTACTTGCGGTTGTTTAGTGGATGAAGGGTCAGATATCATCGATAGAGAGCGCCGAGTTTGGAAAAAGGCAGTGTTGCACGCTTTGAAGCAAGTATGTGTTTATAGATGCTTTATAGCGAAATATCATTTGATTGACGCATGCACCATAGGAACCAACAGATAGATATAGAAGTGCATTGCTCCATGTGCTGGCTGGAAAATCAAGGGAATTATACGACACAACATTATGCAATACGTGGGAGGATGTCATCTGGGCTTACTTGAACGAAAAGACAGAAGCCATGCTGGATATTCCACACGCAAATTCAACAGGAGAGGATTTCTTGACGGATGAGATAGCCAAAATAGCCTCATCCAAAGATGGCATCATGGACAAGTAGGTGGTGACATGGCGGGATAGAGGGAACAATAGACTGATATTGGGCTTTTAGAGACGATCCTCGTATTCTGTTTCACTATATTCTGTCAGGCATACTATCAGATCAACCACAATGCATCATTCACAACATCTACTCGGTTTACAGCGGCAGCTCAAAGCAGGATCAGTACAACCCAAGCATCTACATTAGCGATCAACCAGAAGAGCGTGCACAAACATTGCGATTCTTGTCGACGTTCATCTTGTACGGTCGACACTATTTTGGATGGCAAGAGAGCGCAGATTCAGCATCACTCTTATCCGCCTATTCCGAAATCAATGCAGGCCCAGCTATTGCAAGACCCACTGTCATTGCTGCCTATGCTGCTAAACAACCCCCAGATCACCAGATGAGGATATTCTCCAACTTTCTGCAAAGCTTTGACGGTGATGATGAGGAATGCTCCATCTTGATACAGGTTGGAAAAGAGTATGGCTTAGATATGCCTCAAATTTTACAACACACATATACCCATTTATTCAAGAAAGCAACCTCTTTGGTGGCCAACCCATTTACTGCAAAGGCGCCCGAGAAACTGGATCTTCAGCTTCAAGGGGACATGACTGAAAACGATACTGTCTTTTTGCAGGCCATCAAGTGGTTGACATTGGATGAAAACATGTGTGTTGAGGCATTTGAAGCAGTCAATCAGACAATCCGCTATTTGCTGGGCATCTACAAGATCTATTTGATCCAGGAGATCTTCAACTTGGTCACAGATGCTCTGATTCAATCCATGTCGGTCAGGGCGGAACAAGATGATAGTTTGCAAGCCATTTTCAGTGAATATGACTTGCACCGTTGTTTAGTCAATGGCTTGGTAGACTATCACGATTGGGAGCAGCTGCTCAAGAGGAAGCCTGCGGATGAGTAAGTGCTTGCATTTGATATAAAGGATGTCTACTCACTAGCAAACAGCGGTTCATTGGAGTCTATCATGCGGATACACGATTGGAGCGATCAAGTGCAAAAGAAGACTGTCGATTTGAGCAATCAAATGTCTCGAGTGTTGCGCGGAAAGTGGCTCACAACAAAAGGTACGCATACCCTACAATGGCAATAATGACACTCATCGCTGATTAACTTGCACAGAATCGGACGAAAGCAAACATAAAACAAAAGCATCACTTCGACAATTATATATTCCAGAGTTGGTCATTCGATATCACCATGTTCTCTACTCGACCATCTTTGTCATGCCAAGGTAATGTCAAATGGGCCGTCAAACTAGCCCTAAAACTAATAATCTGAGCGTCTAGTAATGAGGAGCAATGCAAAGAATTAAGCCAACTGATCACAAACAACAACGAGCAGATCTTTCATGACATCAAGAAAGCAAAGAAAATGGAGCAGACTATCAAAGAGCTCAGTAAATCACTTGCTTAAAAATCAACAACCCACTTTTCATCCTTTTAAACTAATGCTTTTATTGCAATATAAAATAAAGAAAGTGTGTTATCTATAGCTCTACTCATTCTTTTCGCCAGTATTGAAGGCATCTCTACCCTTGACATAGGCACGGATAATCTCACCAAAGTTCTTGCCTTGATAATGAGCAACAGCAAGTTCCTTTTCAGTAACATCTCTGGATCCATCACCGGCTGCGATGGCACCAGCACCATAAGCAGAACCGCCCACAATCTCTTGCACGTTGCTCAAGGAATCAGATAAAGCAGGAGGGTAACCGAGAGGCACGTAGGTCATACCTTGATGGACAAAGTAGGGAATAGTGGTCAATGCAGTAGTTTCTTGGCCACCGTGCTATACCATGTGTATCCGTCAGTTTACCATTAACACTACCCTTCACTTGGGTATGATCACTTACTTGAGAGCCTGTACTAAAGAATGTACCAGCAAACTTTCCGTTAAGAGCTCCCTTGGCGAATTGAGCACCTGTAGCATCCAAAAGACTATGCACAATAACGTTAATTGGATATGTCTACTATTATATCTCCATTAACACATACCCCTTGACTTGGCTAGGCATAGAACCAAATCTAATGGATAAAACACGCAGCGCATTGGATCAATAAACCTCTTCATGACTATAATTACTTTGTTACATTACCTAGTAGGAAAACCAAAGATGATACCATCAGCCTCGGTCAATTGCTCTGGCTTGATGATGGGCAGATCAGGCTTTGGGGGTGCCTTGATAGCCTTCAAGACGTTTTCAGGCAGGGTTTCTTGGACTAGGTATTGGGCAGTGCCCAATGAGCTTATAATGAACTGACTTCCATGATTGCAAGAAAGGTTTACCTTGAAACATCTTTGCAGAGACGCCAGTGGATTCCAACCCCTTTTGGACTTCAACAGCCAATTTGTGGACGTGATGATAGACAGTGTAGATGACTACGTAGACTTTGGCAGGTTGAGGCATTTCGTATTAATAATCAAGAGTTAAGGGAATGCAAATGAGATGTGCCTCTCTCATTTTATATTTATATTCATGCGGGGAAGGCTGCTTATGCCATGCTGACTCAGCCCCAAGTCTTGCTGATTAAAGAAGGTTTCAGCCTTTTAATAATCGGTGTAACTCTCTGGATTTGCCACTGGAGATCTTCTACCATCTGGGCTGTCTGTGATGTCCCGGCCACTCTGTCTGTCACTATCACATGGAATCTGCTACTGTCATTATGCTAATCACCTTGTACACGAGTATGAAGCACGGGTCTCCTTTATATAAACAACTTGATATATTCAATTGCTAATAAAGATATGTGAATTTTGAGGCACTGTCAAGTACAGAACATCCTGTTCATCACTGTAATTCCATGTGAAGGAGCATAAACGATCAAATTACTGCTAGTCTTCACTATATATGCTGTAAAACATTCAAAAAAAGTAGACATGCCAATCATATCCTTTGAAATTTTTAAAGAATTGTGTACCGTACAAGGTGAATAAAACCACCAGCAAAGCCGGCATTGGAGAGGGGGTTTGGGGAACAACATAACGCATCTAATTCAACACTTGATAGCATTGATCTATATGAGGACTTGATCGCAGCGAAGCAAAGGTGCAAAGCCTATGACAGCTAAGCATCTAATCCAACATTAGGTACAGCAAATTTGGGTTTTCATTTCCGTTGTTAATAATAAGCTTACCAGCAACATATCGCTCCAAAATTTGCATGAATCAGTTTTATCGAAATCAATATGCTTCCTGTTCGAATTAGAAGTTGCACAGACTGCAGACCTGCCCTTCCAGAAGACTTCAGCTACCAAAGATGTGATTCATGCCGTGTAAATAAAAGCCATAAAGCAAAACATAACCAAATTGTACCGTCTTCGAGCCTTCATATCTTGACATACAGGTCTTTCTGAGTCACCGGAATGACGCCAAACAGTTGTACTTGAGTAGTAGTAACTGCCTGACATGTTTGCTCAACTTTTTGGGGACCCAAAAAACATGGCCAAAAATCGACCAAAACCCATGAGGGGTACCTCATGCTTTTCATCGAAAATCAAACGATCGCATTTTTGACACCAAAAATGAAGACTTTTACTATGATGTATATCAAATCAAAATGTTTCTCTCGATCCAAAGTAACTTCTGAAACTACTTTTATGAGGTCTTTATATGCCAAATTTTGACATTTTGGTCGAAAACCTTATTTCATATTTTTTGCAATTGCTCAATAAGTTCATTCAAAATACCTATTACAATTAGCACCATTGGAAACGCCTTGAAAAGTGCTCCAAGAATGTATTAAGAAGCATTGTCTGAAAACCACATTTCATATAGTCGAATATCACAAAGTAAATTAAAGAAGTCGAAAAGAGACAAAATCTGTCCAATCTTGAGCAGAAAAAATAAACTGAGCTTGAACCAATTTTGGCAGCGGCATTGCTGCTGGCTAACCTAAATGCCTTTCTGTTGATGACAATGATGATTGCGATGCTGATTAAATGGGGATTATGGAATTGAAAGGACAATTACTTAGCACTAATACTTCTTTTTTGGGGGAGCTTTGCCTCATGGAGGTGTCTTTTGCAATGACACTATCTCAAAATAGTCGCTGTAGATCTTACACAAGTCCCTGTATTTACTTATGACCAGCTTTATGTCGCCATCTTATTACGAGCATCAGCTGCAGTGAATGATATGACAATTCTATTATCAGAAAATGGCGATTGTGATCTACAAATGCTGCATAAAACCTGAATTTTTTTTTCGTATTGTCCCAATAATAGGCTTTGTTTGATATCAGTGTAAGCAAAAAGAATGCTGAGGAAGATACCTCCTCTCCTCCTCCTGGCTCTGATATAATCTTTCTTTTACCAACTAGTAATTGGTTGTTTCCAATCTACTTGATATACCAAAAATGTTATAGCATCTTATTTAAAATGTAATGGCGAGAGCCCACAGGGGGGACACTGACATTAAGCGTAGCGAGATAGATCGGCTAGTTTTATATACTAAACAAATTCATGGCAGCGCGAGAACAAAACAGATGGATCTGGGGAGCTATTGATTTTGCATGCCATTTGTTGCTTATCTCATTCTCCTTCTTTTTTGTCACGTCTCTTTTGAACATGGCTATGCCATCAAAGGAATTGTTCATCCTGCTCGTTGCCATGTCTTTCATGACGATCATTACTTTACAGCTAATGCACTGCATCGACTGATTTACAATTTATGCTATGTATATGGCCGTGCTACTCGTTCTGTCACTACGGCGCCTGCTACCTACTATGCAGATCTCATCGCTGTTCGTGCTCATCTACATTGCAAAAGTGGAGATTAGAGCGATGCCACATCCAATGCTGCAGATCTTGATACACAAAGAGCCTCTTATACGCTATTCCGCTTTGGCTCAGTGAAACTGCGTATGTTATGTAGATATCTCTCTATCAGTCCTATGGTCTGCTCCTCGTTCTATGAATAAAGTCTGATATATACTTTTTGCTTTAAACATTTCCTTCCCCAGTTGATTTGTTCGGCATGTGAAATCGAATTAAAGGATGTTTGTCATACTTTTTCTCTTCATTGCCTCTCTTCTCACACACACACACACACACACACACACCTCTTTTCCACGACAATGCTTCGCCTACCTTCACAAACCACTGACACTGAATGGACCTCAAATTGGAAAGAGATCCAGCCTGCTTTGCGCAAAGTGAGACGATCCATGGCATCTCTGAGAACCTCATCTCTCAAAGTCATGCGAGTCAGCCAACTTGACTCTGATATTTTGGACACTGAGCTTGTGGATATATTGAAAGAACAATTGTGGAGTGCACTTTCTCTCTTCAAGGTATCTATACTAACCAGACCTAAGCAGATTAATCTACAGTGATTGACCTGTGTCTATAGCCTACCATTAAAGAAAGCCTTGAACCAGAACTCGTGGCCATTCTCAACTTTGTCTTGTTCAAGCTATCCATCTACGACTCGTCTGCTACCTACGGTGCTCAACTCCAAAACTTAAAGTATAGAAATGAATGGAAACATGGTGGCGCATGTAAGTAGCTTGGGTCAGGATGACTATGGCTATCATATTCACAGCACCATCTGTAGTTGAATCCATTGCCAAGGATGCACCATTGACACAGACACAAAAGATGCTGTACGGATTGTTTACAGTAGGAGGGCAATACGCTTGGACAAGAGCCAACAGATACATCACATCCAAAGGCTGGGGAGAATTAGATGAATCTGATGTGCGCAACAAAGTATATCGAGTGCTGCAGACAGGTGAAAAGTACTGGAAGGCATTTTCGCTGATCAATTTCCTTGTATTTCTATGGAACGGAAAGTATCGCACACTGATCGACCGTGTGCTGGCCATGCGACTTGTATATTCAAAGAAATCCATGAACAGACAAGTCAGCTTTGAGTTTTTGAATCGACAAATGGTCTGGCACGCATTTACTGTAAGTAATATAGATACGGTTTGGCATTGATCCGTCGTCTAAACACATTTGACGCAGGAATTCTTGTTGTTTTTGGTGCCATTAATCAATGTCGAGAAACTAAAGATGAAGCTGATGCGCATGCTGCTACCAAAGTCATACCTTGTTTCATCGAAGGGATACGATAAACTGCCTGCCAACCAATGTGCCATTTGCCATGATACCACATCCACCGAAAATGTGCCTGTAGGGCAGGTCCAAAACTTTACTGTCCACAACCCTTACGAAACCAACTGCGGTCATCATTATTGCTACTACTGCATTCAAAGCAAACTGTCCGTGTTTGGTGATGAATGGCCTTGTTTGCGTTGCGGTGAAAAAGTAACTGACATTCACAAATACATTGAATTGGTGGAAGATGAAAAAAGAGAGGCATTAGATGAGAAAGAGGCGTTGAATGAGAAACAAGAAATAAAAGAATCTTCATCCTGAAGAGTGTAATTATGCGATTAAACCTGACGTTTATTTCAACTAGTGGTGGTGGTATACAAATGTTTATTATTTACACGGCATCTTCTGCTTCCATCTCCTTTTCTTCAAACAGCTGCTTGGCTCTACGAATATCTTCACTCATGTACAATAGTTCTTCAACACGAGCAAGCTTCTTTGCATCTTTACGCAGCACAAACTTGAAATCCTCCACTCGCACTTTGCCTCGATTCTCTGCAACTCCTGATGCTTTCTGACACTGTACAATTGATGTGGTTAATATGCATGCCTCTCTCTCTTGACGCCATCTACCCTAGTACCATCTCTGTAATATAGTCAATGACCAAATCATCCATGACAGCAATTGAATCAGCAGCAGGGTTGGCAACATCTCCAAAGCCATACATTAAAAGTTTTACTAGCAAGTTGTATCCATGATTGAGCACATGTACATGTTGGATGGTGATACTACGACTTACAGTCTCTTGAAAACATGCCCTTGCGCACTGTCTTTCTTCTACCAGGCCCAATTCCTGGCTCACGTTCTTTCAGCTCCTTGGCTTCTTTAGCGTCGCTCATAGTGTGTGTAATGTAGATGTAGGAAAGAACAAAAGGACATGTCTGCGTTAAAGTGTGCTACTTTTGTCACTAGTACAGACAGTCACCTGTATAAAAGGTGTCTCTCCAAAATGATTGTGATGGGGATGCCAACAGAAATTCTTTTTTCTTTCCTCTAGTCAACATGTTTCAAAAGACGACCTTACCACTTCACGCTGCACCCAGTGAGGTTTCGTCTAGCAGACAGCGCAACAACTTGACATTGGCTGATGTTCAGTCTGATTCCATTGCTCGCATTGCCGAGAAACATTTCAGCAGTTGGGATCCTCAAGTAGTTGAGAACATCTTCAAGAACGAATTGGAGCCATCTTTGTTCAGTTCTCGTAAATTGCTCTTGTTGGAGTACTGCCAGTACCTGGAAAAGGTAATCTGTTAGAGGGAGTGAAAATGGACAACTGGAACTAACCTTGGCTTTGTTTGGCAGTTCTTGTGGCCCAACTACGATGAAAATGCATCATTGAATCATGTCTTGTCCATCTGCTTGATGGTCAATGAGAAGGCTCGTCAAAACATCTCACTTTGGGGTAAGGCATACATAGCATAGGAGCAGGCACCAAGACGACTCAATCACTGCTTTACGTAGACGCGTTTGAATCGGATACCAGCAAGTTTGCCAGCTTCTTTCAACGTGTTATCCATTTGATGGCTGACAATCAATTACCGTTGCTCTTACGCAGACAAATGTTGGTTTTTTTGATCCAATGCTTCCAAAGCTTCGAGAATAGCACTGTGCGTACAGAATGTTTAAAGTTGGTGACCATCGGCATCTGGAGTCACTTGGCGCATCAAGGCAAACGAGAAGAGATGTTTAGCGAGTATCCTGCGCTCGAGAAACTGTGGAAATCCAGCAACAAAAAGATGGTCGCTGCCAGCGAGGAAACCAGAAGACAGATGGAATTTGAAAGAGATTTTTTGAGCACGCTGATGAGAAACTATGTAGATTTAGTGTACAAGATTACTGCAGAAGGAGAAGGTAAAGCAACAAGCGATTATTACGGATTATACAGAGCATTTGACTCATCAGAAGGGGGGGGGCGGGACTGAATAGCCGACCAAGAGTTGATCAAGACAGCTGAACGTTACTTGGAATTCTTCACTGATTTGGAGGCACAGTTGCCCACTCGTCGATTCTTCAACACTTTATTGGACGATCATCAAGTTGTCGTGTTGTCTCAGATGGCACCTTTGATGCGCAGAGCGGATAAAGATGTGGATCTTATCAAGAAATTGTTGCAGAGACTCGAATTTTACTCTAAATTTGAAATCAACGATCAAACCGGTGTGGCATTGACAGATCTCGAGATGACTGAAGCACACTGTCAGCAACTGATTCAGTTACAAGTAAAAAGCACAAGCGTACAGTTGCATACAGCAGTTTACTCACATGCCACTTATATAGCACGTCGCATTCCGCCATTTCAGAGAAGAGATCAAAGAACTCCCATTAGCCAACTTAGCCTCCATCGAAACACGCCAAGACCTTCTGTGGCACTTGGAGCCTTTGTCAGAGGACGTCTTGACCCGTCTTTGCAACTTGCTGAATCTTCGCAGCGCACCTTTAGACATCACCATTGGCATCGACACCAAGGAATTCTTGATCAATGTCCTTATTTCCAAATATCAAAAGAGAGCAAGCCAGATTGAAAGCATCAACAACCAACCCTTGTATCCTGATGAAAACACACTGTTTGATGACAGCCTCGTATCAACACAATTCTACGCCGGTGATCGTTCTCTCGCTTTGCCCAAATTGAACCTTCAGTTCTTGACATTGTTTGATTATTTGCTTCGAAATTTCACCTTGTTCAAATTGGAAAGCTCGTATGAAATTAGACAGGACATTGAAGATGTAGTGAAGCGTATGTCGCCCAGACTGACATATCCTGACCGCAAAACTGAGTTTGCAGGATGGGCTCGTATGGCAGTACCCGTTCAAGATTTCAAGTAAGCCTTCTACACATTGCCCTACCGAAAAGACTGACTGATTCATTTCGTCAATAGTATTGTGGATGTTGGAGAGGCCAATCTTGGCGAAAGCAAGCCTTCTCGTGTTAGAGCTGATGTTGGATTTGATGTTCAAAAGTATTCTCAAAACATCCGCAACGAATGGGACAATTTGCGCAAACACGATGTCTTGTTCTTGTTGACCATTGAAGCCACTGAGGAATCATCCCACAAATTAAAAGACGACGAGGATTTCAGACAGCATTACGGGATTCGACATGTGCGTGGCTGTGAGATTGTGGATATTATTGGCGCAGACGGTCGTGCCATTGATGAAGCCACTCATTTTACACCAGAACTAAAGCAGGCCAGATGGAAGGGATCTCGTCGCACACTTCGCGTTGAAATGGACGCCAATCAGTACAAGATGGACATGGACAAATTCAACACCAAGCAAGCTGGAGACATTCACACCACATTCAACGTGCTCGTGCGTAGAAAGCCTCAAGAAAACAACTTTAAGTCAGTTCTGGAAACCATCCGTGATTTAATGCAAAGCGATCTTGTGGTGCCTGACTGGCTTCAAAAGGTCTTTTTGGGCTACGGTGATCCTGCCAGTGCCCACTATAAAAAGATGCCAAACCGTGAACACAAGGTCAACTTGTGCGACACATTTATTGATTTCGAGCATTTAAAGACTTGCTTCGAGGGCAAGCAATTAGACATCGTTGGTCAAGAGCCCCTGGAACCACCGTATACCATCACATTAGTGGAAGATTCCATGGATCAAGACAGTAAACCCACCAAAAAACATAAGAAATCCAAGCAGCAGCAGCAGCCAGCAGTCGCCAAACCAGAAACTCTGCAAGTATCTTCCTACAAGCTACCCAACATGGGTCCTTATCCTCAAGATGTTCCCAAAAAGAACCGCATCAGATACACTCCTGTGCAAGCTGAATCTATCTACGCTGGCATGAACCATGGTCTCACTCTGGTCGTTGGTCCTCCTGGTACTGGAAAGACGGATGTCGCTGTTCAAACCATTGCTAATCTGTACCGCAATCACCCTGAACAACACACACTGATTGTCACGCACAGCAATCAAGCCTTGAACCAAATCTTTGGCAAGTTGATTGAGCTGGATGTGGACCCCAGACATGTAGTGCGTCTCGGCCATGGTGAGCAGGAATTGGACGCCAATGTCAGTTTCAGTAAGTATGGTCGTGTGCTTGCAGCATTAGAACGTCGTATCGTACTCCTACAACAAGTGGACTATCTATCACAATCACTGTCTGTGCCTGGTGCACATGGCTCTACTTGCGAAACGGCCGACTATTTCTTTCACATTCACGTACTGCCTCGTTGGGAGTCATTCCAATCCACAACAGCTACAGCCGAGTCTGTGCAGCAAGTGCGCGATGCCTTCCCGTTTGCGCAGTACTTTGCCAATGCACCTACACCCATCTTCACCGAGACCATGACGCCTGCGGAAGCGATTGAATCAGCCACTGGATGCTTCAGACACCTTCAGCATATATTCACACAATTACAAGAACTCAGACCTTTCGAGCTCTTGAAGTCTGGCCATGACCGTGCCAACTACTTGGTGACCAAGGAAGCCAAGATTGTTGCCATGACCTGTACACATGCTGCTCTCAAGAGACGTGAATTGGTGAAACTCGGCTTCAAATACGACAATATTGTGATTGAAGAGGCAGCTCAGATTCTAGAGGTAGAGACATTCATTCCTTTGCTGTTACAAGAGCCCAAAGACGGCCAAAACATGTTGAAGCGTGTCATGCTGATTGGCGACCATCATCAACTGCCTCCGGTGATCAAGAACTCTGCCTTCCAGCAGTTCTGCCATTTGGAACAAAGCATGTTTACGCGTTTTGTGCGTCTAGGTGTCCCTACATTGCAACTGGATCAGCAAGGCCGCGCTCGTCCTTGCATTGCTGATCTCTACAACTGGCGCTACCACGACTTACAAAACTTGCCCAAGGTGACTGAGGGTCCTTACACCAAGGCCAATGCAGGATTTGCGTTTGATTACCAGATGATTGATGTGGGCGAATATCAGCAACAAGGAGAAACAGAGCCTGTGCCCTACTTTTATCAAAACTTGGGAGAAGCAGAGTACGTTGTGGCTGTCTATCAGTACATGCGTCTTGTCGGTTATCCTGCTGAGAAGATCTCCATCCTGACAACTTACAATGGACAAAAGGCTTTGATCAAGGATGTGTTGGACCGTCGATGTGCATGGAACGCCTACTTTGGCACACCTGCTACAATTGATACAGTAGATAAATACCAAGGACAACAGAACGACTGTAAGTGTGGTTATGAGAGATGGTGGTGTGTGCTCGTGGCTAAAATTTAAATCGTATAGACGTCTTGCTGTCCCTTGTCAGAACAAAGGCTGTGGGTCACATCCGAGATATCCGTCGATTGACCGTCGCCATGTCTCGTGCCAAGTTTGGTTTGTACGTCTTCTGCAACAAGGCCCTGTTTGAGAACTGCTATGAATTGGAGCCTGTCATGAAGCAGCTGAACACGAGACCTTGCACTTTGCACCTTGTAGATAATGAAAAGTACCCCTCAGAACGTTCATCCAACAGCACTGAGCATGTCATTGACATTGCCAATGTGGAAGACATGGGTCAATTGGTGTATAAAAAGAGCCAAGAACAACTGAAATCACAAGCAGACAAGCTTGCTCTACAACAACAAGAGGATGCTTCCATGGACACGGATGAAGAATAATTATATATAGTAATAAAAAAATGCCCTCTCTTTATTTCTTTCGTCTCGCCAACGCTCTTTGACGGATCATGTCAATTTCTTGTGCTCTACGTTTTTTGGACTCTATTTCCGCTAATGCAGCGGTTTCTTTTTGCTGCTGCTGTTCTATGGCTTGCTGTCTATGTGCTGCCTCCACGTCCTCTGCTTCCACAGTAGGTTGTGCCTCTCCGTTCAATCGCGTGTGTGGTAGTTTCTTGATTCTTGCCTGGCCTTCGCCTTGCTTGACCCAATCCCATAGTATTTTACTCACGCCCTTCATCACTGCTCTGTTTGTGTAAGTAATGTTGGTATACATGACCCAATCCAGTTCCGAGTATTGGACCTTGGCCTTATCCAACATGTTGGACAGAGCACACAAGGGATGTAGATAGAGCGCCACCAGTGCTGTGGACGACACGCCGGTCGATGTCTGTCCCAAATGTTCGTCAGGCGCATAGTGTGAGAACACGGCACGATGAGCAGCCTTGTTGGCGATATTGGTAAAGTAGCCCGTCAAGAAAGATTTGAGAATAGGCACTGGATCTACACTTTCAGCATGGTCATTCTCTCCAACACGACGCTTGCTTGATTTGCTGCTCTTTTTGCGTTGAATGAGTGCGCTCTTGATCACCTTGAGATCCAGTTTATCCATGACATCCATCAGCTGCGATCGCACACTGGAAGCAGTTTCCAATACCTTGTAGTTGATGTAATTGTCTTTGCACCACTGTCGACTCTTGTTGTGCCATTTCCACTCATGCCAAACGTTCAAGCAGGTCATATGATCGCCTGTATGATGTGCTAGCTTGACTTTGCATTTCTCTGCCTCAATAGCGTCTTCCTCTTTGCGTGGTGAGTTGAACAGCTCCATATCCCCTGCCAGCATACTGATGATGATGACCACTTCATAGCTGCATTTCAAACTGACAGATGCTAGCAACACGCGAGCCAAAGAGGGTGATAGTGGGAAATGGTTCATGCGTGTACCCAGCTTGGTGATTTTGCCGGCTTCATCAATGGCGCCTAATAGATATAGCTGTTTCAGTGCGTTTCGTACCAGCGTCTCTTCTGGCGGATCAATGAACTCAAAGTTGATGACATCCACAATTTGCATTGTCTTGAGTGCGAGCACAGTTCCCAGTAGAGAACTGCGCTGGATCTCGGGTATGGTGTTAGGCTCCATGCGCTCAAAGCTCTCTTCGTTGTACAGCCTGTATGCTTTACCAGGCGCTGTACGACCAGCACGACCTGCTCTCTGGATAGCTGCTGCCTGACTGATTTCTGTTACCAGGAGTGCATCCATGCCAGTGTTGGGATCAAATGATTTTTCCTTGACAAAGCCTGAATCGACGACATAACGAATACCAGGTATTGTCACCGATGTCTATCAAGGAAATGGTGAGCAAAAGACACGGCCTTTGTCTATTCACGAGTACGCTTACCTGAGCAACATTGGTCGCAAACACAATCTTGCGGTCACCTTGACGAGGCAATTCGAACACTGCCTTTTGTTCAAACGTCTCCAAGCTTGCATACAACGGATATACAGCAGCACGCACCACACCATGGCCATCATCGTAGAATTTGACTTGTCTGCGATAGTCGCAATGTGCCTCCTTTTCTGCAAATGTTTTACAAGCTCTTTCGATATCCTGCTGACCTGTCAAAAACACCAAAATATCGCCCTCGGGCTGTTGTGTATGAATGGTCCACGCTGTCTCTACTGCACGATCCACAAAGGCTGATTTTAGCGTGGCTAGTTTCGGCGCATCCAACGAGTAAATCACTTGCACAGGAAAGGTTCTTCCAGGGATCTCGAATATAGGGCACTCGTTGAAAAAGTCTGAAAACTTGGCTACGTCCAGCGTAGCAGACATGATCAGGATCTTGAGATCAGGCCGCTTACGATGTGTTTGCTTCAAGAGTCCAAACAAGACGTCTGTTTCCAAAGTGCGTTCGTGTGCTTCGTCAATGATAATGACATTGTACTTGGTTAAGCATGGATCCATGGTAGCTTCACGCAACAAAATGCCGTCTGTCATGTAGACCAGCCGAGTGTCGGCTGATGTGCGATCATCAAAGCGAATATTGTAACCTACACGAGACCCCAGTCGGTCGCCTTGTTCCTCGCTGACTCTTTTTGCCACTAGAATAAATCATCAGTGAGATGCCGTATGGTGTGTGCCTGCCTATGCCAGAACTTGCCTGTGATGGCAGCAATGCGTCTTGGTTGAGTGACGCCCACCTTTCTCAATTCTGGTAATTCCTCTAAAATATACTGCGGTATTTGCGTCGTCTTACCAGAGCCAGTTTCACCAATAATAACAAGGATACTGTATTCACGGATAGCATCAATGAGGTCTTGTTTGTATTCAAATGTGGGTAGCTGGGCCCGTTGATCCTGCAACTGATTGTATTTTGAGGTCATTGTGCAAAGTGGAAAAGTTTTTGATACAGTCTGCATTTTCAGGCGGTCATTTCGTAAGGAATGATACAGCCAGCCAATCGACATGTCCATATCCCAAACCTATAAACCCCTCTTTCTCTCGGCCAGATTCGTGTTTCTTTCTTTTCTTTCATCATGTTTGAAAAGTCGCTTACAGACCTCATACGAGGCATCAGAGCCAACAAGAAGAACGAGCAAAAATATATTGCAGTCTGTTTGCAAGAGATTCGAAATGAAGTCAAATCCAACGATCTCGACATCAAATCCACTGCTGTTGCCAAGTTAACTTACGTAAGTTCTTTTGTTGTTGGATACCGCATGACGCTCACCACGAGACATACAGTTGCAAATGCTTGGCTACGACATGTCATGGGCCTCCTTTTACATGGTGGAAGTCATGTCGAGCCCCAAGTTTTTGCACAAAAGAACGGGTTATTTAGCTGCTACACTCAGTTTCCAGCAAGATACAGATGTGCTCATGTTGACGACCAACCTGATCAAAAAGGACTTGGCTTCACCTGCCCCTGTGGATATTGGTATTGCACTCAACGGTTTATCACATATTGTCACGCCTGATTTAGCAAGAGACCTTTCGCCCGATCTCGTCAGCATGTTGAACCACTCCAGACCGTATATCCGCAAAAAGGTGGTGCTTGTACTCTACAAGGTCTTTTTGAAATACCCAGAGGCACTTCGTATCAGCTTTCCTCGTTTGAAAGAGAAATTGGAAGACCCTGATCCATGTAAGTGTTGGAAAGAGACTTGTGCGCAGATACTGATATCCAGTAACAACGACCAGCCGTTGTGTCTGCTGTGATTAGTGTGATCTGCGAGTTGGCCCGTAAGAATCCCAAAAACTACCTGTCTCTTGCGCCACAACTGTTCAAGTTGCTCACCACATCCTCCAACAACTGGATGTTGATCAAGATCATCAAACTGTTTGCTGCTTTGACGCCCTTGGAGCCTCGCTTAATCAAGAAGCTGCTGCCTCCTCTTACATCGTTGATTCAAACAACGCCTGCCATGTCGTTGCTGTATGAATGCATTTACACGGTGATTACAGGTGGATTTCTCGAGGCTGCTGGTGATGCTGGACATGCTTTGGCTGCCACATGTACAAACAAGCTGAGAAAGTTTTTGGAGGACCCCGATCAAAACTGTAAGTAGCATCATGGGGAGGGAGGGTATGTAAGAGTAAGGGCAGTAGACTGATAGCAATACCTAGTGAAATACGTTGGCTTGCTGGCCATGAGCAAGCTATTAGCAACACATCCTAGATTGGTCGCAGAGCACAAGGATTTGATTTTGGAGTGCATCGACGACGAGGACATCAGTATTCGTTTGCGTGCCTTGGATCTTGTTGTTGGCATGGTACACCGCAAGAACATTGTGGAGATTGTCAAACGCCTGATTACGCACATTATGCCCGAGCAGCCTGAGCAGTCGTTGCATGATCCCTCCACCATCTTTGACCCTGTTTATCGAACCGACATTATTCACCGCATCATCTTTATGTGCTCTCAAAACCACTATCACCATCTGAACGATTTCGAGTGGTATATAAGTGTGTTGATGGGCATCACTTACAAGGCGGGTGTCAACGTAGGCAATGTACTCACCAATCAGCTGATGGATGTCAGTGTGCGTGTCAAAAGTGTGCGCGAATATGCCGTCAAGCAAATGTACCATTTGTTGCAAGACAAAAAGTTTCTGGAAACAGCCAAAAGACGAGATGCCAACATTGAAGTCCTGTCAGCAGCAGCCTGGATTTGCGGCGAATACTGCAACTATTTGGAGGACATTCCATCCACGCTGGAGTGCTTACTTGCTTCTCAAGCAGCGCATTTACCCGTTAAAGTGCAGGCCATCTATGTGCATAGTGTCATCAAGATTTTCGCCTATTGGACCAGCCAACTAACATCGCAATGGAACACAGAACTCCAGCATGAATTCGTCAAAGTAACTCAGGTCATGTGTGATAAAATGGACATGTTCATCCACAGCACCGATCTTGAAGTACAAGAAAGAGCCTACGACGTCAAATCTCTGTTCACCATCATTTTGGATGCGGTCAATGCACAGGACGGTGTGCCTGCTGTTTTGGAAGGTCTCCCTGAGCTGTTCTTTATGTATGAACTCAATCCTGTTGCGCCGAAAGCGCAATCCAAAGTGCCTATCCCTGAGGGTCTGGATTTGGATGCCTGGATCAATGACCCCCTGCCTGATTTAGTGGAGGACATGGATTCAGATGATTCCAAAGAATCTGCTCAACCCTTTTACCAACACAAGAAAAAAAAGAAGCACAGCAAAAGGGACGCCAGCGATGATGAGGATACCAAGGAAAAGCGTCGCGCAGCAAGAAGAGAGGCTCGCAAGAACGATCCCTTCTATATTCCCAGCAGCGACAAAAAACTGGTTGACTTTGACAGCGACATTGACAGTATTCCTGTAGTTGAATTGCGCCTGGATGATATCAAGAAGCCCAAAAAGAGCAAGAAAACCAAGAAGCCCGTGGTGCAGCCTATCTACGCTGAAGAGGAGATGCCTGAGAATGCAGCCATGTCTGATGAAGAGAAACCAGCCAAGAAGAAGGGATCTGTGTACACCAAAAAGTCGACCCGTGATATCTTTGAAAGCGCTGAGGACACAGGTCTCAACAATGTGGATTTGTCAACTCCCTTGGGCGAAGATGAGAAGTTTGAGCAGCCCAAGGCTTATTTGAGCCCTGAAGAAGTGCGCATCAAGGAAGAAGCTCGCTACAGAGCAGAGCGCAAGGAATTGAGAGCACTCCAGGTAGTTGTATGTAGCACAGATGATTGTCGACAATGACCAACAATGAGTTGATAGAAAAAGAACAAGGAACTGCTAGAGTCCAACAAAAAGACAAGATCAAAAAAGGCTGAAAAGCAACCCGAAGCATCTGCCACTGATAAAAAGAAAAAGAAGAAAAAGAGCTCATCCTCTTCATCCAAAAAGACAAAGGTGAGTGTTTGAGTGGAGAGGGACGGCAGGAATAAGCCGTTATTGACCTTCATGATAGGCACCTGCTCAAAACGATGAATTGGTGCCTGAGGAATTGGGAGTCAACATGGATGATATCAAGGAGGCAGTCAATGAAAAGCAAGAGCCATCTATCGAGATCTTTAGTAATGATCAAGTGTCATTGGTAAGTTACTATACATGCAGGTATTAAAGCAATGAGTACTCACTGAGGATAATAGATGGGATTATTGCAATTAGATGCAGCCAATGAGACACCTACTATCGGCATTCATTTCACTGTTGAGAACAAGGACCAAGCCATGCTGCCCAGTCTCCACATGGAATTTGCGCAATCGTTTGATCTCAAGAACATCTCCAACGAGGATGCCAATGTAGCTTCAGCGACTGAGCACTTTGAACTGCAAGCACATGAGAAGGTTGAATGTGAAGCTTATTTCCAGGTGCAAGGAAATCCTCGTCGTGGCCTCTGTCTTCGCGGTGATTTGTTCTATGATATTGAGGTAACTTTGATTGGTAACATAAGCTTACATGAAATTAAATCTCGTATGACACACTTACATCATAGGGTTCGTCGGCTATTCATCAACATGCTATTGAAATACCTATTCCTGTTAGTCTGTTCCTAGTCGACACACCAATGGATCCCACTTCTTTTGCCACGTTGTTGGCAGAGCATGGCAGTGAATTTGAGTACCATGGCAACGTCCAAGTCCAAGTGGCCCTGCAAGAAGAGTCCTCCATTCAAGAGGCCATCATCAATGCATTTGAAATTGTCACCCGCACCAGTGGTTTAATGGTGGTGGAAGTCATTGCAGGTGCTGCATCCCTATACGGTAAAAGCATCCAAGGCAGCCAAGTGGCCGGTCTTCTCAAGTGCAATTTGGACATGGAGGACAAGATGGCGACATTGACTGTTGATCTCAAGAGCACTGATGACGATTTATTGGATGGCATGATCCACCAACTAGAGACCATTCAGAATAGCCTGTAATAAACATGTGTGTTTACACTTGACATTAAAAGGGGCATAATGTTTAGATCATCGATACTACTTTAGATTAAATATAAATATGCTTGTATCTTGAGTTTTCCATTTACTCTTTACTCTTTACTCTTTACTCTTTACTCTTCTCTCTCTCTCTCTCCCTCTCTCTCTTTTAGCATCCTATGACAAGATTCTTGATATCTTGTATTTCACTCGTTTTACTAGTCGTATGCACATGGCAAGTCTCTGCCAAAGCTACAGTCGAAGCCAATGGTGCTCCCGGTCAAATGTGTTATGCAGATGCCTACAATTCAGTTCATGGTGGCTGGAATAGAACTTATGCGCCCAATGATCCTCAGCAAATCTACATTTCTTTGACAGATGATGCCGATTTTGCACGTGTTCAATTTGCCACATTGGGTGAAATTAAGCAATCGACACTACAGTATTGGCCCAAACATAACAAGAGAAAGAGTGTTACTATCCAAGGACAGGTAAAAAAAAAAAAAGAGAGAGAGAGAAAATAAGGGATTTGTTTGTTTGTTTGTTTGTTGATAATAGTATACTTATCAGATGGTTTTGAGCAGGATTGGACATTTGTGGATGGCGGCCTTGCTCAGCGCAAATTATATCTTCATAAACTCAAGACAAAGGCACTCAAGGCAGCGACAGTGTATCAGTACAAGGTCGGATCCATGAACGAGTCGAGTGTGAAATGGTCCACAACGTATGAATTTCATACTGCACCAAAGAAGAACGATTTCAGTTTTATTGCAACTGGTGATGTAGGTGCCTGTAATGCTGTTGCTGTGCCTCACATGAAGGACCTTGCCAAGACGCATAAATTCGATTTTGTAACCCTGGCTGGAGACCAGGCTTATAATTTGGACGACTTTAATGGCACTAAAGGCGATGAGTATCTGAACTTCATGCAGGATTTGTATGCTCAGGTGCCTTACTTGGGTGCAGTTGGCAATCATGAAGGAGCCTATAATTTCAGTCATTACAAGAATCGGTACGTCATCTATCTAGGATGAAAAACGAACAATCATGTCTGATTACGAATGGTATATAGATTCAACAGTGTGCCTTATGCTGAATCGAAATTCGACAACTCACTCATGTATTCCATCAACTACAAATCATTGCACCTTGTGTCCTTCTCCACCGAAGTTTATTTTACAGGCACCACCGAGGAGATCAAGACTGCCATCAACTGGTTGGACGCTGATCTTGCAGAGGCCAACAAGCACAGACACACACGACCTTGGATCATCTTTTTGACACATCATCCTATTTATTGTTCCGTCAACAGCTCGGATTGCTCCACCAAGGCAGCTACAATTAAAAATGGACCGGTTGATCCTGCTACAAATTTAACATGGGGTGGTTTAGAGGACATTTTGCTGAAGCACAAGGTTGATATCTACATGAGTGGTCATGTTCACAACTATGAAAGAACGTATCCAGTGTCCAAAGGAAATCTCATCACCAAATCGTACCACAATGCACCTAGCTTCTTTCAGATCGTGATTGGTAATGCCGGTCAGCCTGAAGGGCCCACTCAGTTTGGCGATGGTCCATTCCCTGCTTGGTCTGCTAAGCGTTATGGTAGCTTTGGCTTCTCTACATTCAGAGTGACACCTACCACCATGAATATTGTTCATCACCAAGCAAATGTGGATGGCACTTTGGGTGGTGTTATCGATCAATTCACAGTGTCTAAGGATTTGCCAAAGAACAGCAATGCAAAACGAGACATTTGCGTTGTATAGAGCAATAAACCGATTGGATTTTGAATCCCTGATAAGTTGATATGTTTCATAAGAGAGGCTTTAAAGGTATTGTACATTATTCGTTCGAACATGTAACATTACAATGAGTGAGGAAAGTTCAAATACTGTATCGGAGAAGGTCTGCTTTACACTCCAAGCATTGTACGTATTATTTGAGTTTGGTGATATTTCTCTATTTCCCGTTAGGACTTACATCTGGGTACGCAAACTGCAACAATTGAAACACACTGTTACAAAGATGTACATCAGAAGCCGATAAAGTATTCAAGCCAAGTGGAAGCTTTTTTAAATTCGCAATGGCCCTCTTATTAGCTCCTAAAGCATCGATAGCCTTCATTAGAGAGGTATTTTGGCAGCCAAAACAAATTGGAATCCCGCTATACCCACTTTTTAGATTGGCCAAATTTTGCCTTGTTTTCGACTTGATTGAGCTATTTCAAGTGATTCGACTATATAAACTGGAATGATCATCCTATACACTCTTAAGCTTTCTAGAAGTACTTTTCAAGGCGCATTCAATGATGCTAACTGCAACCATTGCTTATAATAATACCATTGAGCAATCTCTGAAAATATGAAATGAGGTTTTTGGCCAAAATGTTGAGATTTTACATATCAAGGTCTCTCAAACAAAGTTTCAGGGGCTGCTTTGAATCGAGAGAAACAATTTGAGTTAATATATGCCATAGTAAAAGTCTTTGTTTTCATGGTGAAAAACGCGATCGTTTGATTTTTAATGAAATCCAGGAGGGGGTACCTCATGGTTTTTGGTCGATTTTTGGATATGTTTTTTTTTGGTCCCTAAAAAGTTGAGCAAAGGTGTCAGGAAGTCATTACTAGGTGAGAGCAATTGTGCGATGCTAGTTTGGCGGCCTGAAACGGCTTCTAGCGCGAAAAATTACTGTTCAAATTTGTCCAATTTTTGCTGTGTTTTGCGTATCATTGAGTAGGGAGAACTATTGCAACTATGGTGTATACTTGGATACGTATTTTTCTCGTTGATGCGGCTTTTTGGAGCATCGTAGAAAAGCCAGTTCCCGAGGTACGGATGTGTGATTAAGGAAAAGAGATGAAATACTGAACAAGAGCAATAGAATGCAACGCCTTACAGAGCTGGCGAATGGATGATCGCTGAATGATCCAATTTTCTTCAATCAGTTAGTAATGTATGGCTTAGTCTTATGAATCATTCTACTAGATTCTAGCCAACTACCTTGAAACGGTACCGATTCAGATCATAAATGCACTTCACTGACTAATCGGCTTCATGCTGGAAATAACACATATGGAAAGAAAATTATATCTTTATTGTTGTTACTGTATTATAAAAATGGAGTATATTAAATCAGATAGTTGATAAGGATACCGCAAGCAGCTAAAATGGAGCTAGCAGCAGCCGAGAAAGTAACGGAATTTGCAGCAGAGATAGCTTCTTGCTGTTGATTCTTTTCAGAGTCTGATCCAGACTGTAATCCAGAGGCAGCAAATGAGTCTTCTTTGATCTTTAGAGCATCTTCGCTGTACTCATCATCGTCGTCCTCATCATCGTCATCATGATCATGATTCTTCTCCTTTTCTTCCTCGTCGTGCTTCCTCTGTTCTTCCTCGTCGTGCTTCTTCTTTTCTTCCTCCTCGTCATGCTTCTTCTTTTCTTCCTCCTCGTCATCGTCATCGTCATCGTCATCAGAAGCATGAGGCCTTCTATCACCTACGCATTCAGCAGCAGTGCTCAGCTTGAATCCCTTGGAACGGAGAGCTTCAATGATCTTGGACACTTGTCCAATGGATGTTGGATACAAATCTATATAGCCCGGTTAGACGATGTCAAATTTGTAAATATAATCACTTGCCATGTTGTAAACTGATGAATCCACTATCGTTATGAGCGTTCAAGGGGCTAGGTTTACCAGAAGCAATGTCTTCAAAAGCACGTTGGATACGTTCAGCACCGTCCTTGAGCATATGCACATTATAGTCAGTGGGATCCACATTCCACATCAAAGTCTTGTAGCCCATTTTCTTGAGGATAGACTTGACGCGAGCATCAGCTTCACCATAAGGAGGACGAATGTAACGAGGCTTGACACCAATAGCAGCCTCGATTGCTTCTTCAGTAGCTCTGACTTCATACACAATCTTCTCGTTGCTCAAACTCATGAGATGAGGATGGGAGTAAGTGTGAGAGGCAATCTGGTGGCCAGCGTCGTAAGCACGCTTGATGATTTCGGGGTATTGCTTGGCATGAGCACCCATAACACAGAAAGTAGCCTTGACATTAGCCTTGTCCAAGATGTCGAGCAGATCAGTAGTAAAGTTACTAGGTCCATCATCAAAGGTAAGAGCCCAAGTTTTCTCCGAAGGACAGCCATAGATATCGTCTTCAGTAGCCATGTTGCCACAGCTTTCAAAGCAGCGATCGTTGTCACTACCATCACATTTAGCATTTTCACACACACCAGAGCCAACAGGACGCACACGACCCTCAATGTCATCCAAGTCAAGATCTTCCAGCCACTTTTCATCTGAGGGAGTGGTGAATTCAGGCTCTTCTGTTACAACCTTCTTGTCATCATCGTCATCATCGTAATCATCATCATCGTCGTCGTCATCGTCATCGTGGTGGTGCTTCTTTGCGAATACAGTGCTGACGATGCACATTAAAATGAGGAGTGTAATCCACGCTAATGGAAGTTGCCTGCGAGAGAGCATGTTTTATTGATATTATTGTTCAGAGCTGTCTTGAAAGTTTTGTTGATCCACTTGTATTTATATGCAAGCGGATAATTTCAATTGACATTTGGGCTAATGCTCAATAGTACACTGATCAAAATCCAAATGTAACAAACAGTGGCAACTTTAAATTGAAAGATTGTTTATTAGAGAAGTCCATTTCACGATTTAAAGGAGATGGAATAATTCCGAGTGTTATTGTTGTATACAAAGTAAAGGTATTATTAGGTGGAAGAGAAAAAAAGTATGATTACAAGTGTTGTTTGTGTGCTTATTGAGTTTTGGCTTTGATGTCTTTTGCTGTGAGTTTGGGAGTAGAATGATCACTGCAAGACAGGTTAGTTTCTCGGTCAAGGACACGCATTGCTCACTTTACCCTTCAATCTTTTCCATAGAGGTGTTGTATTCGACCTCATCTTCATCGTCTGAACGCACATCCTTTGCTTCTGGCTCGGTCAATATTCTGTAAATGACCTTGAAAATCATCAATGTCCAGAACAGGATCAAAAAGTACAAACCAATCATAAGGCCGGCAATAATGTACTTTACAAAGTAAGGAAACCAGTTTCCGCTGGGAGGATGCAATACAAACTGAGGCACATAGAGATCGGGCTCGGTCAGAGTAGACCAAATGATGCAGCCAAACAAGTAGACTCTGGTGTACAGCCAAGAGACCACCATGATGCCAAAGGTCGTATTACACACAATCCCGGGCAAACAGTAATTCAATGCTTTTGCCAACTACACAGGTCCGTCGTCAATACACTCGCCCCATATTAGGATAAAATACCATGACTTACTGCTAGAATGGTGTCCGGAAGATCCATACACACAAATACGGCATTACCCACACGAGTAAAGTTGCAGCAATAACTGAGACTGATCAAGAGCAATGTGTTGATGTGATGCATAACCAGCTCTTTGTAGTCTTTTCTAGGTGCTTCGATTTGCAAGACAAAGATTTGCTGAAGCCAATAAGCGAATTGCACCAAGTAATAATATTTAAATGATTTTGTGTAATCCGTAACGGGATAATCGCGCCAAAAGTAGGTTGTATCGAACCACCAGGGAGAATCGTACATGACATACTAACGAAAAGGCGAGGGTCAGTCAAAGTAGCAAGATTTTCATCCATCCACCTACCACACCAAAGCCAAATGCAATGCCGTAATAGAAAACAGAATAAGACTGCTCAGCAAAGCGTTGGTACTTCTTCTTTGGAACATTGACAAGCTTTGCAAGTGGAAATAGCACATAATCCATGGTAGCTGCTCTCAGTGCAGTAAAGACACAAATGTAAAAGAAGAGAAACGGTACATCCCAAGGGCTCTTTTCAAATCGACCATCCTCTCTCTGATTGCTGATGAATATAAAGTGCTCAAACACTGGCAGTCGAAGAAAGTAGCCAGCTAGAATGAATCCCACCACCTTCAAAGGTATCTCTACACACCATGGCTTTAATTTCTCGAGAAATAAACAGCCTCGCCATGTCCATCTTACCTATCTGACGTTTGGCGAGATAATTCGCTAAATCTTGCAAGGTTGTTGTCGTCTTTCTCGCTTTTAGCGAGTCCTTGGGGGTCAGCTTGTTCATGTTCTGTGTACGAGGCAAGTTCCAGTAACAAAAATAAGCTGCTATGAAAAGATGTTTAAACAAAGAGCAGAACCAACCATCTGTTGTTCCACTCTCTGGTTGAATTTTTATAAATTGAAACCAATTAAAAGTCCGACTACTGCCATCTTGGCCACCCATGGCTCCCTGTTTCGATATTTTCACCGTTGACAGACATTGGATTGTTCCCTAGGTGAGTAAAAAAAAAAAAAAAAAAAAATGAATGTTTACGGCAAACGCTTAGAAAGAGAGAAGAAAAAAAAAAAGAAAAAGTGAATCAGAGAGCATGGATCATGGAAGAACCAAGGGGATGGCATTTCATTGGATGTTTCATCTTGATCTTTCACACTGCAAAAAGAAAGAGTAGCTGTAAAAGAAACCAATGTTGTGATGAAATTGCGCAATCAGGCACGTTTCTCGAAAATGGGAAGGCGTACCTAGATGTGCATTTCTGCTTTTTTTTTTGCCATTGCGACGTATTCGAAAGCATGACATACAAACTGAAATTGCGGAACGAAAATGCGAGATCAGTGATTGCTGTTTTGCTGACAAATGCAAACCTTGCATTTTTACCAGTGCAAAGCACATCATGGCGGGATGTGTGGCTTTTAAAGCCATTAAAGGGAAGGAGATGTGAGAGAGAGAGAGAGATGTGGGCCATCATGACCCGTTCTCCGATCTCAGCTCAGGTATCAAAAAGCAAACTGTCCACAATCACATTTCCTTCTTTTTCTTCTTGTTTAATCTATACATTTTGCATTTTGAATTAATATGGGTCTCTTATCTCTCGGAACACCACTCCATTGGAACGAAGCTAAAGGCTATGCTGACCATGTTCGCAAGCATGGTATCGAACAGTTTCTTCACATTTACAACTATCAAAAGGACAGGCAAACGCAATGCTTGCTCTGGGGTGATGAGGTAGGAAAAGCTGAGCTGTGTGCCGCATGGACGTGAGGCTGACTACGGTCTGTGTAGATTGAATACATTGTCGTAAAGTTCAATGACGAGGAAAAGACCACCAAATTGTCCCTTCGCGCCTTTGATATCCTTGAAAAGCTGGAGAAGCCTGAGCATGACTGGTTGGCAGGCATTGAAAAGTGAGTATATCTCTGTCTATGGATGGACTCTGGGGGGACTCATGCGAGATATGAAATAGGGAGCCACCAGCTGCGTTATGGAGACCAGAGTACGGTCGTTATATGATTGAGGGCACACCTGGTTTACCTTATGGAGCCACCTTCCGTGATTTAGTGGGGGTAGAGGACAACATGAAGTTGAGACGAAAGATGGCACATGCAGCTATGGATCCAGACGAGCAGGCAGTATCTTTGGTCAACTACCCTCGCTTGGGCTGTCCCAATCAACTGTACCCTGATCACGAGCCTAATGGCCCTGCCTGTCAAAGTATGTTTGTGCCTGACCAGATTATTAATCCTCATGCAAGATTCCCGTGAGTGCTACCTCATTGTATCAATGATCTATGGCTAACGTATGTTCCACTAGCACATTGACTGCAAACATCCGTCGTCGCAGAGGATCCAAAGTCCAGATCAACATGCCCATTTTCCACGATGTCAATACACCCAAGCCTTTCATTGATCCCACTATCCCATGGGATCGTGATTTATTCAAGCACGACAAAGAAGCCAAAGAGGGTGCTGCGTTGCCTGACCACATCTACATGGATGCCATGGCTTTTGGCATGGGCTGCTGCTGCTTGCAAATCACTTTCCAAGCATGCAACATTGATGAAGGCAGAAGACTATACGATCAGTTGGCTCCTGTTGCACCACTGATGATGGCCTTGTCTGCCAATTCACCCATCTATCGTGGTTATTTGGCTGATGTCGACGCTAGATGGAATGTCATTTCTGCCAGTGTTGATGACAGAACACCCGAGGAAAGAGGACTCAAGGTAAAGTGTAGAGTGATGAATGCAAGTGGATCAAGTCGTAAGTAACTCGCTGTCATTAGCCCTTGAAGGACAGTAAATACGTGATTAATAAGTCCCGTTACGACTCTATCGATTCCTACCTCTCCAATGACCCCACCTACAAGTCCAAATACGACGATATTGATCTAGTGTACGACAAGGATATCTACCAGAAGCTGAGAGATAGTGATGTGGATGAGAAGCTCGCTAGGCATGTTGCTCACTTGTTCATCCGCGACCCTCTGGTCATTTTCAAGGAATTGCTGAATTTAGATGACTCGCAATCCTCAGATCACTTTGAGGTAAGCTCCAGCTGCATTCTGCTGAAATCACCAATAGACTAACATTGACCTGCTGCTAGAACCTTCAATCCACAAACTGGCAAACCATGCGTTTCAAGCCACCACCACCCAACTCCTCCATCGGATGGCGTGTTGAATTCAGAAGCATGGAGGTGCAGATCTCTGATTTCGAGAATGCAGCGTATTCTGTCTTTATCGTGCTACTCACTCGAGTGATCCTCAGCTTTGGCCTCAATTTCTATATTCCCATTTCCAAGGTGGACGCCAACATGCAAACTGCTCATAAGCGTGATGCTGTATTGAACGACAAGTTCTACTTCCGTAAGAACGTATTCACCTCTCGTACACCTACCGGTAACGCACAACCCAACTCAGAGAGCGTCGAGGATGAGGATGCCTATGAATTGATGACATTGAATGAGATTGTCAATGGCAAGGTACGTGCTTTGATTTGAACGCGAGTCTATATGTTCAACCGACTCAATGTCTTTTTTTTTTTTAGGAGAATGGATTCCCTGGTTTTGTACCCTTAATCCACAGCTATTTGAATAGCACCAACATTGATATCGAAACGCGCTGCAAGTTATCCTCCTATCTGAGTCTGATCAGCAAGAGAGCCAGCGGAGAGCTCATGACAGGCGCTGCTTATTTGCGTCAATTTGTACAAAACCATCCTGCTTACAAGAAGGACTCTGTCGTGTCGGATGAGATTACGTATGATCTTGTCAAGAGAGCCGATCAGATTGCCAAGGGCGAATATCATCCCAAAGAGCTGCTGGGAAACTTTACTGCATAGCAATAAGAATAAAATGATTCGTATAGTATATTTTGTAATACCTTCCTAGTATGACATTCTTGCTATTCATCATGACACACAAGCATCATTTAAGGTTTCTACCGGAAAAGGCAATTTTCGTGATGAAAGAGCACACAAGTGGCATAGTATACAAGGGATTTATTCAGATATATACACGTATACAGCGAGGTTTATACATGGTGCTAATAGGTAAGCTGCTGGAATTGCTTCTTTCTCAGTAACAAGTTGATGCCGTACTGAGTGACGTTTGTATTTTGAGCAATATCCAAATGCTGTACCACCAAACAGCCAGCTGCTATGGCTTCCAACGTCGTATCACTGATCTGGGTATGACAGAGTCTTAATGTTTTCAATTGGGTGGGTATATTAAACATTTCCTTTAATCCTTCGTCGTCGATTTCAGGTCCTGATAGTTCCAAGACGTCCAATATAGGCAAGTGGCCAATCAATGCAGCGAAATCCTTGTTCAGATGTTTACAGCGACGCACAGAGAGAGACACCAATTGCTGGTGGTGCTTGAGGAACCTTGCAAAGTCGTCATGTTCAAGAGCATCCATTTGTGAGATCTGCAGCTGGCTGATGGACCGAGGAATGGTATTCAGAGAGGCAGATTGCAGAGGTGTTGTAGAGAGAGACAAGCTTTCAAGACTCAACATGCCAGAGAAATCACATTCAAACATGAATGGGAAACTCTGCATACCTCCCATCTGGAGGATCTGTACATTGTGGCAGTATCTACCCATGAGTTGGAGAGTGTCTGCCTTGACACTGGTTGCTTGGCCTAGCTGGATGCTGGAGAGATTGGGGCAGTGTTTGATCAGTCGTCGCACTCGAATATCGACGCCGTATTTGTTGACAGGCGTGAGATCAATGTGTCGAACGTATAGATTGTATGGTAAAACAGGGTTTTTGAGAGCAATGGTATTGATGAATCCAATAAACTGAATGTAGTTCTTGAATTGAAATTGTCTGTTACATAGGTTAGGATCTAAAAGAGTAGGAGCAAGGTGGAAAGAGGGAGGGAGGGGGGGGGGAGGACTTACTTGTACATTCTTTCACAGATGAAACTAGCCCATGTTTTGCATACCCGCATAGCAGTTAGTGCAAATGGATTCGAAGCATCATTTCCTAGCACCATGGAGCAAATGATTTCTTGGATTTCAGATGGCAACTGCTTGCAGCTGCTTCTTCTAAGGCGCTTGTTGGGCTTGGGCTTTGCTCTACAAGAGCTCTTTCCGAAAAGCGGTAATTTGATTCGAGAAATAAGAAGCATGATGTGTGTTGTGTGGTAGAGAGAAAAAAAAAAGAAGAAAGAGAAAGCATCACATTTGGGGGGGGGGGAGGAATTCATTTATATAGGGAAATCACATGAAGTGGGATATAGGATGATGATGATGGCTGTAACACAAGAGACATCACCCATAGGGTCTTGTCCCGCAAATAAGGAACGCATAGACTCTCAGGCTGTGTGATGCCTCCGCTTGAAATGACACACGGATTAAGAATTAGCACATTGTTGATATTGAATGATAAATGGAAAACATAAATCGCTTAATAGTTTTTTTTTTTTTTCTCATATTCGGCTACCCTTGGAAAATAGAAATTGGAAAAATCATGCATGTATTTCAATCTTGATCCATGGCTGATACTATGGATGCTTCAGGACACAACTATAAATACATTGCCACTAATTAAGAGTGGGTTGAGTCGAGTTTCCCGCAAAATGCCAATTTCTGCACTTTGCATAAGCATTCCATACAAGCTACTTGGCACCTCCCAATGCAAACCTAAATGTATATCCGTCCAACGGGATTCTACTCATCCAAGCTATGCATGTTCTTCACGCTGTATTAACTCTCCGTTCAGCACTTGAAGGTTCCCTGGGTTGCTGTGTGCTAAAAAAAGCGCCATTTTATTCATGAACTAGTAAGATGCCAGATCCCAATTTTGTTGTTGTTGTTGTTGTTGCTGTTGTTGCTGTGATGGTTGTGCTTGCTGTAGGCTTGGATGTTTATGGTCATGTTCATGTTGCATAACAGGAGTCGTAGGTGTACTACTGCCACTGCTGCTTTCATCAGTGACACTACTGCAGTTGCTATGGTTCGGTGATTCAACATCTTCATCTACTTCATCATCGCCATCGTCACTGCTATGATCGCTGTCTGCCGCGGCAGTAAGCTGCTGATGGCTGTGGGGCTGTTGCGGCTGCAATGACCAGTCTGAATCAATAGACTCGTTACTACACTGTTCATTGAGTAACAGCAGATCGTATTCTTGCTCTGCATAATCACACCATGCACCAAGCGAAAATGGCTCTTCAGGCTCCAATGGCTGAGGAGGAGGTGGTGATGGCTCATTTGGACCACCATGACCCATCATGAAATGCTGCTGCAACCCCATCCACTTTTGCTTCTCCATGTCATACTGCCTCTTTTTCTCCCTCTCCAATTGCTGATTTGCTCGAATTAACCCTTGATATGTATCGTGAATTTGAAACTTTTCAATGTTGAGAAATGTATCAAAGAACCGCTCAGCAATAATACCATTTCGTTTCAAGTCGCTGAGTCGGAACTGCCCCGGTATTTGCGGCCTTATCAAGTCGTTCCTTATTAGCAGCACAAGGGATGAGTGTCTGTGTGCATGTGTCTCCTTTCATATATATATATATATATACTCACAATTGGCATATCAAATCATCAAAGCATATAATGTCTTCAGTATAGCCGTCTATCGTCTCATACAGTCTAGGTATCATACATGGAGCTTAGCATTCAAGCAGTTGTGATGCATCATGTAACGTACTTTTTCTCCTGCTCTTCCCAGTATTCCTCCAAATCAAACGTTGTGATGATACCATCTCCGTCATCGTCCATACATCGAAACCTACCAAAATGCTCATCAGATCAGCCATTGCCCCTTCCATACCAAAATGGGTTATATGCTACTTGCCAGTATTCAATGGCCATAGGCGTGCTTTTATCCGTTTCAGACATCAGAAACCCTACATCAGATAGATCAGATCCCATGTTGGACACTATCAGTGTGACATGCACTTACAAATATAGTCAATGTATGTCAATGTCCTTGCTTGACTGTTCGCCATGCGTGTGCTGTCACTTGCAAATGCAGGAATGCGTCCGTGTTGCATGATTTGTCTTGTAAGCCTCTGGGAGAGCAGCCCATCATTGTAGTTTGCAAGATCGCTTTCGGAAATTATCAGATCATGATCTTCGTCCAGCACCCAGAATTTGCAGTACAATACATAAAAGTGCTTGTATGAAAAGCAATCAAGAGTCTACGGATCCTATTAGCAGTGCTTTTTTGTTGCAAACAGCGAAATCGCCTTACATTGTTGAGATCGACATAGGGCCCAAGATTCTGTATCATTTGCGTGAAATTGCTCTTGCGAAAGTGGGATAGACTCATTCTACCAGAAGCACACCTGCCATCATAGTACAGCCTACTAATCACTGTTTCAACTACAAGAAAAGCCGTTAGATGGCAGATGGGTTGACACTCGTACACTGTTTACAACTTTACTGTATCGTTCCTGAAACATGGGATTGTCTCCTAGAAACTTGAGTCCTGGATGGTTCAATACAACATCTAGTGAGAAGAGATTAGACTATTTCTCTCAGGGAGCTCGCACAGTTATCCAGCATAACCTACCTTCCAACACGGGTAGAAAGTCCTCTGGTGAAATCCAGGCACTGTTTGATTTTTTAAGAATGCTGAAGAAGAGAGAGGTATCATCCAGTCGGTCTTGTTGAACCTGTATATATCCTCTAGATACAAGAAGAATGAAGAGATTCAGCATGGTATCTTTTTGTTCATTGCTTGCGTACAAACTTGCACATACTCTACAAATGCTGCAAGAGGCACTAGTTGATCTACATTTCCAATGGCTTCCAGTTTACGAAAGAATGCCATATTCATGTAGCGTGGCAGTCCGCACGCTTTTAACACTGGTATGAATTGTAATTCTGTTAAATAGGGGCGATTATCATAGATGTGTTTCACGGCTGCAATTGTTTCAAGTGTCTGTGTGTCATGTTGACGTGCCGTGGATGCTTTCTGTGGGTAGAATATCGGGATGGCCATGGCGTATAGTAAGAGAAAAAGAGAAAGAGAAAGACTGGTAAACAATAGAAAGAGAGGGAAAATACCGTTGCAAAAGTGGATGCAATGTCATGCAACTTCAATATGTCTGTTTTTGACATTCAAACATTCCCAATGCTGAACATTGGTGCCACAAGGGCCTCCTTAAAATACAATTACTCCTTCCTCTTGCTGCTGTCTTTGTGTGCCGCTGATCTTTTCTGAAAGAAATACAGAAACGCGGATTGCAGAAGCGCACGTAAAATCAACATGACGCCCCTCCTCCCCCCCCCCCTTTTTTGTGTTGTCAATCCATGTTGTATTAGCCTCTATTGACATGGAGCCTACATGATAGAAGATGGCGATGGTCAAATCTGTATAGATACATACATGCACCCAGTGATGCTCTGATTTGGTGTGCACTATATATAAATCAGCCATCGCTATAGTCTGTAATCATCATTCGAGTGATATCATGCAACTGATTGATGTATCCTGTATCGCCTTCATCGCGGTCGTTGAATGGATCATTTAGTGTGCCTGAATCATCGCTAGCAACACTAACATGTGCGTGTAATCATCTAGTTTAGTGTATCGAGTAAAATTTTATTTCCTAATACGTGATGTAATTGAACAGGATTTCCTTTGACATTGCTGAAATCAACGCCTTCATCATCCAATACACCTCTAAGTCTATTCCAGCAGGGCTGTAAATCAATGTGCGTGTATGTCTTGTGGCTTTTGACAATCTTACCTCGAGTGACCAGCAGAAGCTTCTCGAGGTGTAGCCAATTAAACCTCTAACACTATCGGCAATGGCATTATTCTCATCTCTGCGTATTGATCTGCGCCTTTAAAGTGGTGTTTGTTTGATGTTTCGAGAAATTAGACGGGTTTCTAACATTATAATGCCTTATGTGCATCTGTATCTTACTTGATACGTGAAGCAATAAGCATTTTATCGATCACCTCCTCGCTTGGCGGTATAAATGCCGCATAGACAGAGAATACTAGCGAGAGAAAAGTGAATGCCATCACACCTTTAATTAGCGAGGCATGATATTTGATTGTAGCATACAAAATGTTTTATTTCTGTCTACGATTGACCAACAAACAAAATGTCCCATGTTTACCAAGACGGATATTCACTGATTGGCATAAGATGCGGTTTATTAGGCATTGAAGTTTTTCTCTAGCTCAAATTCAATATAGATGTTGTAAAGGTATGAATGATACTCGCTCTAAAATTGCAATGTTTGTGGACTAGGGATTTTCTAAGCCAGGGGCTGTTGTTTGCTCTGTCTCCATCCTACTGCTTCTGGCTTCAACACAAACACAACAACTAGAATGATCATGAGAGCAACCGTGAAGATACCAAATGCAATGCGAGAGCGACGTCTCCAGATATGATCGATTCGATTGCTTGCTGACGTTTGTCGTTGTGCATAAGACGAGATGTAGAATGCGCCCCATAACCACAAGGGAGGGAAGATGAATCCGAGCATGAAACATATAAATGATCTACGGCAGCAAATCTTCTTGGGCTCTGTGTCATCTGTTGCTCCTGCAGCAGCAGCCTCTACATCTTGTCCTACGGCCTTTTTCTCGCAGCTGATATCAGAGGAGCTGGACGACGAGGCCAGGCTTGTATTATCCACTTGTGCTTCTTTGCAAAACTGCTTGGCTTTTTCTGTAAATTGTCGCGTCCAACGAGCTGTAGTTGTAGCAGCAGCGTGCTCACCTAAATCTTGTTCATTTACTTCCGCGTGTGATGGATCAGCATCAGGCTGAGCACGAATCTTCTTTAACAACTCTAATCGCTCAATCAGGGTCTTTTCATCACGGGGCTCCCAGATTTGTTTGTCCATAGACGCACTGTTGCTATCGAGGCAGGGTAGAGAAGGTGTCATGATACCAGCAGTGGGTGTAGAAGCTCTTGACACATCGTAGCTAGGTCTTGTGCTTGATCTAGGTGATTTATTCGTCTCCAATAAATGGTTGCCATCGTCAATGAGCCGATCTAGATTCTTGGTGTGTTCTTGTGCATTGTCCAGCGGCTGATTTGATCCGTGCACAAAAGAGCCAAATGAATACTGTGGCTCAAAGAACGCGTCCCATCTCTGTCGCTGTATGTGAGCATTCACGGAGCTGCCATAGTTTTGACTAGTGCCTTCAATCAAGTCCATGCTGTTTCGGCTGGACGAGATCTCGTGCAAGTGGACACTGTAGCTACGGCTGTTGTTTCTCGAATGTGATGGCGTGGAGGATGTGGATGGCTCCATATAATTCCGCTATTTTTTTATTTTTTTTTTGGAATGAATGAAGAAAAAAAAAAAGCTTGCTTATTGCAAGAGAAGTATTATATTGTACAACGGAAAATTTTACATTTGTTTGCTTGAACTGAATGAATCAAATTGACATGTGTGTGTGTGTGTGTGTGTGTATGATTTATTATAATATGTACAATACTGATATGATGGAAAAAATGAAAGGAGTAGGATGTTTTAGTTGTTGGCTTGAGTTTTATAATGAACTTCAGAAAGTTCTCTAAGACGAGCAGCAGCTTGTTCAGGTGTCAAATCACGTTGAGGCTCACCCAGCATCTCGAAACCAACAAGGAACTTGCGGACAGTAGCGCTTCTAAGGAGAGGAGGGTAGTAATGAAGGTGGAGATGAGCATAGTCGTATTCGCCGTTCAAGGGCTTTTGATGAATACCCATAGAGTAAGGGAAACTGGTCTTGAACAAGTTGTCATAGCGGCATGTGACACGACGGACGGCATCAGCGAGATCAGTCTTTTGCTTGTCATCCAATTCGGGTAAAGAGCCAAGATGGATCTTGGGTAGAACCATCACCTCGAAAGGCCAGACAGCCCAGAAGGGAACAACCACCAAGAAGGTGTCATTCTCAAAGACGGTACGCTTGCGCTCAGGGTCGGCCATCTCACGTTGAGCGTAATCACACAGCAAGCACTTACCATTATGCTTCTCTTTATAATCTTTCAAAGCAACCAACTCCTTACTAGGTTCCTCAGGAATACGCTCAGTGCACCACATTTGACCATGAGGATGAGGATTAGAACAGCCCATAGCAGCGCCCTTATTCTCGAAAATCTGAACATGATTGACAAACTCCTTCTCCTTCATCTCCAAATAACTCTCAGTCCAAATATCCACAACCTTCTTGATATCTTCCACAGGCATCTCGGCCAACGTCAAGTCATGACGAGGGGAAAAGCAGATAACGTGGCACTCACCACGGACACCTTCGACCTTGATCAAATCATCATCATTCGCTTCGAGATCGGGCTGGTCGGCCTTGACAGCAGCATAGTCATTAGGAAAACGGAAAGTAGAGTCATACTTGGGATTGGATTCGCCACTAGCACGTTCATTTCCAGGACAGAGGTAGCACTTGGGGTCATATTGAGGTCTTTGTTCCATGTCAGCACCTTCTTGCTGTCCCTGCCAAGGTCTTTGAGTACGGTGAGGAGAGCAGAGCACCCATGACTTGGTCAAGGGGTTGTAGCGACGATGGGAATTGTTGTTGTAGTCAAAGCTGGACATGGCAAAATATTAGTATAGAAATGTAAATACACAAGATTCAACTGTAACCTCAATCAAAAGGCTATTATATATAGAAAACTAAAATAAAAAGACCGCGGTGTTCACTTGATTATGTAAACAACTGAGTTGGTGGTCTTCCCGTCAGCTTATGTAAATTGCAAATCCGAATACTTGATTCTACTATAAGGAGTTTATTGGATCGAGTCGATAAAAAGAAGCTACTGTATCATATTAAGCCTGGTAACCAGTCTCTGCCAATAGTTTAACCATTTCTAAGAATTTACAAATGAGTAACACACAATATAAATCCTCAAATGCTGCCTCACCCTGCCATTCAATGCCGCTTGAAGCACCCCATAAGTTTGCCTGATTGTCACGGATCGTCCCATTCTCGCTCGAGTGCGAAGATGATTCAGCTGTTTCATTGGAACTGGTCCACTCGCCACCTATGACATTGGATAAAACATCGAGAAATGGAACAATGGAAGGCTGAAAAGCCAAAGATGTTTAGTGTGACGAATGAGCATCATGTTATCCACAACATGTCCCCTACCTCGGTGATGTGCTCGGCCAAAACGTGATGCCGATTTTTGAATCTATGTGCTAATGATTTCGATTCTGCTATGAGGTTGGCATCCGCATTTCTGAAATTGAGGAATAATAGCGTTTGATTTTGCGATGTGCAGTAGCCTGCATTTAGAAATAATTTGACATATGAGCTTCTTTTCCAAGATATGAAACCCTCCTTCCTTTCCGAATTCCACCCACTAGGAAAACTTACTGGAAAGCGACCAACCACACAACAGGTTACTGGGGTCGATGACATCAAAAATGTCGACAGACGCCTTGATTGCCTCTCGGCATTCAGCAGGCATAGTGACATTGGAAGCATTGCCAATGCCCAACGAGATGAATGGCCGCTTGATCAGCATGTATACCGCACAGTAGGTCAAGTGTAATTTACCAGCTGGAAGAAATTTGAACAGAAAACAAGATCAACACCAGCATCCCGCCGAATGATATGCTAATACGAACCTCCGTTATTTAATTTCCAATCCAAACCTGAGTCTACCTCCTTCCGGGAAATCCGGGACAGCTCTTCTTCTGTGAACTTGAGGTCTGCAGGCAAAGAGCTTTGCCATTCCAGTAGCATTTGTTCCAAACTACGGGAAATGTTCTCCAACCCAAGTCCTTTTTCGGACATCAGACGAGCTCTGGGTGAACAAAGCGCTCTCAGAACATCACCTAAAATGCATGACAATCTCACCAAATAGATAAACATGGAGTACTTTTTGTCCTGGAGATCTGGATATTCCAAATCGCAATCTGCATCCGAGATAGTTAAGGGCCTATAAGCAATGGGATGATATCAGTTCAGCACCCAGAAAAAAAAAATTACATCTATAGTGCTGACCTTCCTAACGATGCACAAACCCAGCGATCGATTATATAAGCAGACCACCACAATCTCTTTTTAGCTTCCATCACCTTTTTAGGTATTCCCTCCTGTTGCGTATTTGCTCTATGTAATCCTAAATCTTGAGCCATTTTAACAGCAATACTCGTGGTGATCCAATCGGTGCTTTCCAAGCCCCATTTCTCTGCATTTGACGCATTAAGTAATAACACCTGGATGGTTTCAATCTTGGGTTCAAGGAAATCCAGATCGAAATAGAGCCTGATTTGCTTGCTGATATCTCGAAAAAAGGTACTACGGTCAACCTCGTACTTGAGCAACAACGGATCGTCTTTCTTTAAAATTCGACATGTAACACGGCACAGGGTCATGATGATGGGGATAAATGTATGTGCATGATTCGCTTTGCGGTACTCTTCATAAAACAAGTCTTCGTCCAAGATGGGCAGCATGGGATTCATCTTTTTAAAATAGACGTCTATCAAGTGATCCGTTAGGTCCTTTGGTGGCATTTTCCAATCAGGGTTCAAAATTCTTCCAAATCCAAGCTTGTTCAGCGGATCTCCACCGAATCTGACAATCATCAAATCCTCTTCATGGCCATCCAAGGGCCTAGGTAACGCCTGCTTTTCCTCCGTGTCTAAGTTGGTGGTATCTTTGGTGAATAGTCGGCTCAAAAGGTAGATCCCTGATGAGCTGCCAACGTACGAAAATGGCTCTTTGATTCGATCTCTATCTTCTGCAACTACCTCAATGGGTTTAATATCTTGCGCATGTTTGACTCTATCTAGATCGTCGGGTGAATGCTCTTTTGAGGATGTGGGTGGTCCTGTATCATCAGAATGGCTTGTTGCATGGGAATCATCACCATCAGATCCTTCCTCTTCTCCACTTCTTTCCTCCTCTCCTCTGGAACTGCCTTCCATTACCGCCTTCATCGTCTCTTCGGGTAAGTTGCCGTTGGCCGCAATGTTCATCAACAACTTTTCCATGCGTTTTAATCTGCTCTCCAATCCCTCTACATATCCTTTGGGTGGTCCTCTCTTTTTAGCTGCCTACGTATGAGAGCAATCATTACCAGTTTGAGTCAGGTCACTGGTTCGTGTCATTCACAATGAATACCTCTTTGAATGCACACGTCTTGTTGTAGCTCCTGCAAGAGGTGCAAGAATTCTGTGGGTATGCTTGATCATAATCGCATCTACAAAGTCAATTTATGTTGGCATGAGCTTTTTCTATGTTAAATCTTGGTATTTGCCTTATTTTTTTGCGTCTACATAAATCACCTAGTCAAACAAAGTAAGTTTTTCATGATGTTTGATGTCTAGCAATCAAGTTATTTACATGCTCTGTCTTTTTTGGTTCTCTTTTTGCCTGAAACTTCTAAAGTATTGGGTGGTGGAAGAGGCGGTGGTAATGGTGGTTGTAAAGGAGGAAGCTGTTGCTGTGACAAGTGTTGCTGAGGGTGGGATAAATGATTTGGATACATGTAGAAAGAGTTGTTCAATTTGATAGAAGCGATAAAAGCATGGATAAAAATTCAAATATTAGTAAACAAAGCGCGGGAGCAAAGTTTTTCCTGAGGGCATAGTGCATTATCATTTGCCATTGCAGGTTACATTCGCCCAATCAGTTTCATCTACTGCTGTCCACCAGAATGATGAATCACCACCTCATCCAAGACACACCTTGAGCATTTAAACATGTTGTTTTCATATCACATTTAGTGTGCCAATGCGAAGCTTGCCACATACAGCCTTGTTGTTTAAATGTTAGAGAACTATCATGTCCTTGGCATTTGTAATATTATATCACGTTTTCGTTTAAACTGACGCACCGAACCGAACCGAACTCCCCGTATTTAGGAAACAGTGGCTGACCAATTTGAGGACAAACAAAGTAGATCTGACGGGCACTGTATTGTAACCTAGTCCACTCAACCCGTACATCATTGATATCTCTATACTATGCTTATCCAATGTCCATTAGTGGGGCTAGTCGTAATCGTACTCACAGGCTTAACAAACGGCCTAGTTGCGATTCAGGTTAATCTTCACCATGATACAATAGCAATGTCACTAGAAACAAAGGCATGGAATGAGTTTCATATAATCTAGCCATTACAGATGTCTTCACATCTCCTATTCTTTTGAGGAAAAAAAATTAAACAATATGTTCGAAACGCAACAATGCATACTGGAGATAAAATATAAACGAAAAAGAGTTGTTCCCATAGCTATATAGGTGCAAAAATGTCATTTTATATAAAAACAACAAAAAAAGGACGACAAATCGCTACCGGCACTACATTTTTTGTTGGCAAAAATTCTCTCCGGCGGGGAATTGAACCCCGGTCTCCCGCGTGACAGGCGGGGATACTCACCACTATACTACCGAAGATTTCATATATTTTGACAAGCATGTTATTTGTTATGTATTATTAGTTTTACTTATCCTTTCAGGTCACGTGCGTACCTAGGTTCACTACAATAGTATGTATAGGCATCATTCTGAGAATGTTGAGTTACAGTAATTCGAGATGAGGGAGGATGATCAATACAAGGCAAATAGCTGGTGCTGGCAAATCAATGAAGGTTTATTCAAGTATGGATGTGGAATCATCAAGAACATACGACATGATTGCATCAGTATTTGGTGGATGTATTTGAGATTATCAACCTATCTTCAATTAGAGGAATTCATGTGAAATGTGTGGGGATAGTTTAGGTCCACGCATGGAGATTACCAGTATACACATTTTATGACACCAACAGCATCACATAAGGAAAACAATGTAAAACCACCAAACTTATAATTAGCAACACATTTAAAAGGCTCTCATCTTCTCAGCAATTTGGCCTTAGCTTATTATCTATTAAACATCAATATTTATACAAATCAAACAAGCAATCACTTCAAAAATCAATACTCACCCCCAACAAAACCAAGCACTAACTGAAAAACAAGATAAGCAACACATGGATCAAGACTCTCACGCCAAACTAGACACTTGGCAATGCATGTCAAGATGAATCATTATTCCCACATCCACATCGACACTGGAATAAACAACATGCGAAGAGATTTCATGGGCAACCTTTGGAATTGAACAAGAAGCAATGAAGTTACAACGATACAGAAATTGGAAAGCTATAAATAATCTTGAAGTTTTGAATAAATGAACATATTATCTTTACTAAGAAATACTTTATTTCGAACACCCATCAAAGTCTTTTCTCTAAATCTACATTTGACACATCAATTTTTGGTACCTGTTATTGTAAGTTGGTTTTTTCAGTCGGCCAAGGTGCTACGATTGAACAGAGATTAATTGGTTGTCATCTCCCAGGTTAATTGATCCGAACCTACTCATCTGCTCCCTCATTTTTGCTACCTCAACAACGTATCGGTTTATCAATTTGATACGTGTGTATCTTTCTCTTGGTTACTTGGCTCTATCTCGATTTCCTAAAAAGGCAATATACAGTATATGGGAAAGGCGCAAGGTGGTGAATTCAAGGTATAATTCTCTAACTTATCTACTATGTCTTACTTGAAGGGTTACTCCTCGTTGGTGCGGTGTTCTGATGCATTGACACACTGATATAATTGTTGTAAAACTGTATGTTATCTCTTGATGGTGCGTTGATACTGTTATTCTAGTCGATGTGGTCTCTATTTGGTGTATTGCTAATCAATGTTGGTGCTTACTCAATTGGTGTCGCTTCTATTTTGTTGTTGTGACATATTCGTTTAATCGTGGTGCTTCTTGTCAAGTTTAGCCGAAAATCTAATTAATATTTGGAGCCAATATTGTTGAATCGATGAATTAGTCAGGGATCTAAATGAGATTGCGCGCTAATAGCCAAGTATTACTATTTTGAAATGTGGATTTGACTCTAGACTTTGACTCAGGATAGATGCAAACCAGTTGATGTCGAATCGATGCAAAATTCAAGTGGAATTACAACAATGGAATTGGGGTGGTGTTACTATTTTAAACAATGGGATCGACTCAAGAACGCGGGTACATGAAATTGACATTAAACTGAAAGCAATCCAATCTGGGGTTACATTTGATCAGGGCACTGACATTCGGATCTGAATTGAGTCTGACAGGAGAATAACAATCGAACAATAGCATATATAAATAGTATCTTGAATTGCATCTTAATAAACATTATCCATTTTTTTTCTTCTTATTCTAATCTGGAGTTTAGTTACTAGTGCCAATATAGTACGAATAAACCTAAAGAACCCTTAAATTCATCTCTTATAATTATTGGGATAGTTCTTACAGTCTTTCTTTCCACACAACAATACTTATATCTTGATTGCCAACTACCAAGGTGATTTATCAGAAATAACTTATTTATAAAAAGAGTATGAAATTAATCAGGTAAAGAATATCGTTTATTACATTGGAAATAAGAGGGTTTATATACTATTCGAATTGAGGGATTTGATGTGAGGATAAGGTATTAGATGGGTTGATTTGGGTGATAGGATAATAGATCCAATCTATTATCCTGAACATGCCATTATTCGGATCGTAACTGAATCCTGTTTCATGTCAAAGTTTATGATCTGATGTGATCTGTGCTTTAACTAATTGCTCCTACGCATTTGGAGATCCGGTTTAGAAATGACACATCATTACCCCACACCAGCTTGGAGACCGTAAGTCGATAGCGAAACCATAAGATAGCACCTCTTGATCAGTGCTTGTGATGTAAGTGATAAACCGTGAAAAAAAAAGAAAAGAAAAAAGAAAAAATAAAGTGTATGTTCCTGAAGCATTGATATAAATTTGCTGCATGATGGAATCATTGATTCGCCAGTAAAAACCTCTATACATTGAAAACCAAATATGCCAATTGGAAAAATACCAATGTACTTTACAAGGGAAAAAGGCAGAATCTATTTACAAACATCTATAACGATGATGGTCGTCTGTTCTCAATCAACCGCGCATGTCTCTTTGTAGATCTCTCTTCACGCGTTGCAATCTTTCTTTTGTTGATTGATTTAGGTGCTCTTTGCTTCTTACCAGAGCTCTTTTCAGGTGCTCCTACTCTTGCCCAATATTGTTCAATAGGTTTCTTTGAATCAAACAACTCTGGGGTTTCCCATGAATCATAACTAGAATTGTAATCCTTCCAGGTAACGAGATATTGATAGTTAGGCGCTTTACCCTTATGTTTGAGGATAGCTTCAACTTCATAACGTTTATCAGCAGGTTCTGGAGGAGGTGGATTCTCGTTGATCAATTTAATGTGAGATGTAGGAACATCTCTTGATAAGAATGTATCGGTTTCATCTTTTAGAATGTAACTGCCATTCTTTGTATAACCATGAATATAGAACACGCCCTCGTATTTAGGGTCAGTTTTGCTGTTCTTGCTTTCTACATTCTTAATCATGACTGAAGCTCCTATGGGGAATGGGTTCTTTAGGATTTTATGCCGCTTCATAAAATAAGCATTGTCAGCTTTCTGTGTTTTGACAATCTGCTCCTTGATTGCAGGTACAAGAATCTTGTCAATTCTCTTGATCTTGTCTTTCAAGGCCTTGGCATTCAATGTTTGTTCTGGAAGACTTATTTCGACCTCAGAATAGTCTTTTAATTCATTAGGTAGTCTGGCAAACATGACGACAAAAGGTTTCATACCGTGTAACCTTGATTTATGTAAATTTAAGCTATAGGCTGTGCCATCAAGATATAAATCCCAATTTTCGGCACACCCATCCAGCATTTTAATGATGATCGCCTTTGAGCTTTTGACCGCGGCTTCACAAGCGCTGTTGCCTAAAGGGCACCACGGAAGTGAAAGCCTTTGCTCTATCTGTGCATTGGCAGCAATGCTCTCCAGTAATTGAGAACTAAACTCCTTACCATTATCATGAGAAAGGATTTTTGGGTAACCAAAAAGACTAAAAATAGAGACAATTTCTTTAGCAACTGTTGTTGCAGTTTTGTTTGGTAAAGCCCGTAACACAATGAATCTTGAGAATAAATCCATTGCTACCAAGATAAAGTTGTTACCCCTAGGAGTAGTAACATCAAATGTGCCTAGGTCAAAAACCCAATGATCTCCAACAGAATCCGCAGTATGATTCTTTGGTGGATGATATACATGTCTTCCTATGTTAAATACCCTGCATTTGCTACAGTTCTTGACATATCGTTCAATGTCTTTTCTGAGCCCCTTCCAATGCATTTGGTAATCCTCATGTATAACCTGCTCCATAGCAGTAATCCCATAGTGTCCTAATAGGTGAGATTTTTCTAATAGTTCTTGCTTTTGTGCCTCACTTTTAGGTACTTCATAAATATCCAAATGTGATGCATAAATGAACAATTCTCTATTGTCCTTGCTGTCAGAATTTGCAGTTTCTGTGAGTGCACTGCTTACTGTATTACTGTTTGTATTTTCCTTATTAACATTATTCTCCATGTCATTGATTTCGGTACCCTGAGTACTCTGATTGATAGGATGTAGAATAATGTCCTTTGATTTACTACCCTTCTTTTGCTTCTTAGCTTCGTGAAGGTTTTTATTATTTGTAGACTCGATTGGATCCAATGTCCGTTTAATAACAGTAGCTCTTCTAGCGAGAGAACCACACCCCTCCAGCTTCTTTGTCCCAGGTACAAAGATGCGAGAAAGTCGATCAGCTAGAATATTGTCCATACCCATACAATATGTGATATCAAAGTGAAATTCAAAAATTGTATCATAAAAGTTCTCGATCATGCGAGTAAGTTTCTCTTGAGAATGTAGGTACAATAGACCACGATTATCCAAGAATAAATGAAACTTTTCACCCCATAACCATTGGCGAAACTTATTGAAAGCATAAACTACTGCTAAAAGCTCGCGCTTGGATGATCCATAGCGTTGCTCACTAGCTGATAATTTACGGGCAATGAAGCCATTATAGTAAATACGCTTCTTGATAACTTGATATAGACAGGCACCAATGCCATAAGCACTAGCATCAGTGACAAGACAAAATGGATAGGCTAAATTAGGTGCTGAAATAATAGGGCTACTAACAAGCAATTGTTGAATGTTGGTCATGGCAATCGTATGATCCTCTGTCCATACCTTGTCAATATCTGGAGCATTTTTAATAGCATCCAATGGTGCGGTTAAGGTAGACAAACGAGGTAGATTGCCTCTAAAGTAATTAATCAATCCTAACCGAGATTGAAGTTCTTTACTATTAGCGACCTTTGGATCCCAATCCAAAACATTGCTTACTTTACGAGAATCAAGGGCCAACCCCTTCTCGGATAGGCAAAAGCCTAATATATTGATGCTACGCTGAGCAAAATGAGTCTTTGCATGATTTATCTTGAGATTAGCCTTTGTTAAACGATCAATAACTATTTTGACGTATTTTAAATGTGTTTCCATGTCTGCTTCTGTGTGCACCGTGATATCGTCTATGAAATTGGTGGTGACAGAGCTTAGATCAGAGAACAAATTAGTCAGATGCCTTTGCACAAACGAGCTAATTGGTAATAATCCCATGGGGCAGTTCCTGAAGCTCCATTGCAGGCCAGTTGTTGGATCAATAAATGAAACATATTTGCGAGATGCGCTTTCTAGCCTAAAACTATGGAAACATTGTGAAAGATCCAACACCGAAAATATAGCGTGTTCCGACATCTTTCTATGTAATGTGCTAATCAAAGGTAGTGGGAATCGATCTGATTTGTCTGGATCTAATGCAGCATTGACAGCTCTGCAATCCACAACTACTCTATAAACACCAGGAGCATACTCACCAGTGCTAGTCTTTTTACGTACACAAAATATAGGTGAATTGTATGGCGTTCCAGGTGGTGCTGGTTGAATGACACCATTACTAATCCATGTGGCCATTTGTTCCTTAATAGCTGGTAAAAACTTTTCTTCCAGAGGCCATTGAGGTTTATACATTTTATTCTCATGATGTTTCAATATATGCAACTCTAGGGTACTACCTGGTATATTGCAATATGCTTTTGGATCAATGTTTTTGTTAGCCTTAATGTACGGTTCAATTTCTTTCGTGAAATGAGCTCTCTCTGCCTCTGTACCATAAGGAGAATCATTCGGAGTGTAGGGATTTGGATCAATTGCGGGAATCTCAGGGTTATTATCATCATCCCAATCCATAGCCATGTTGGAGATTGTAATACCAATTTGCATGATCAAATCCATACCAATTACTACATCAATGTCACTAAAGATATCAAAAATCTCCAATTTAGAGTAACATTGGCGAGAATTATATATAATCTTAATGTCCTCTTCTGTAGAACCAATTCTATCAATTACAGTGTCTTTTTTACAAGTTTTAATGGTGCCTTTAATGTCTTTATTTATTTTCACTTCTAATATTTTGGCTAACTTGGGGGAGATACAACTAAATGAGGAGCCTGTGTCCAGAAGAAAGTAGGTTCGTACCTTGATGTCGTTGTTCTCTAAAGTAATTGGCAAAATAATAGAGTTTTTGTTTAGTAAATTGCGAGGTGGTTCATTCATGTATTGATACTCACAATCTTTAATGTTCATGGCTGCGAAGGTCATGTTCTGCTCGTCGGATTCCGTATCCGTATCCATATTGTCATCAGAGTTGTAATCAGCCTGCTGATTGGGCACAGGGACGATCGTCTTTTTGACAACCTTGTTTCGAAATCTTGGTTGATTGTTTTTCATCTTGCAAACAGCTCTATGCGCTGGAGTCCATCCTGGTTCCTTGCAATCGTGACATATACGAGTGTTGACCTCACCAAACTTTCTTTGTGCAGCATCAATACGTTTTTTCATGTTGTCTGATGCCTTGCAGTCCTTGGTACGATGATTGTGGGCATTGGGATGGTAAATACATCGTTTGGTTGAGTGACTGGTGACCTTGGTGCCACTATTGTTAATTAAAATTGAGGCTGAGGATGTTACTGAGGTTGCTTTCTCTCGTTCTCTTTCCCACTTGTCCTTAAAGAGTGCGTTGTAAATAGCCGTGATCTTGTTGACCGCCAAATCCACAGTGATCTCCTCCTTGTCAGAATTGGTGTTGAGGGAGAACTTGGTGTAGTTCGCCAATTCCTCTGGAAGGGCCTTGATCAAGTAGCGAACAATACAATCCTCATCCTGGATTTCAGCCTGATTGCGCAATTGTTGGAACTTGTCAACAAATTGATTGAACGCCTCTCCCTGTTGATACACTAGTCGTTCCAGCTGCTCTCTTGCTTCATCTCTCATATCAATGCTTGATCGACCATACTTGTTGATAACTGCTGTACGGAATTCGGACCAAGTTAAGCGACCTTGTTTAGCAACCATGCTTGTATACCAACGAGCCATTCCAGTTGACAATTTGGCTGGCACAATTCTTTCCCAATTGTCATGGATTGATAGACGATGAGCTTGCAAAACCAGTTCGAAATGATCAAGACAATCATTTGGTGTTGCGAATACAGCCCTACGCTTGTTGAAGAAGTGTCCACGCCATTGGAAGTAGGGTGTTTCATTTGGTACCAAGGTACTCTCTGTCTTGCCAAATACCAGTTCATAGGTGCGTTCAGCCATCTCAAGTTGATTGCGCAAGACACCAAGATTTGCAGGTATGATTGATCCTTGTGGGCATCCAATGCTTTGAATAGTTGTTTTGAATACCATCAGCCTCAGCCGTTCAATTTCATTCATCAAGGTCAATCTTTCATCACTTGAGATTGGGGTGGCAAATCCTATATCCACATGATTGGTAAGTACATCATTATTCCCTCTACTAACATTTTCAATATTGTAGTTACCTTGAGGTACTGGAATATGATAAAAGGTGGCAGATGCATTGTCAACGTTCGCATCACCTACAGAAGCAGCAGTATTCCCATGAATGTTACTACTAGCCCTGACACTGCTTGCTTGACTCCCATGAACCTCAGCAAGTACAGCAAAATTACCAGATGCATCACCATTGATAGCATCGGTTGAAACAGACGTTCTAGGTATATCCCCATGGATATTACCAACGCTGGAAGAACTAGCAGATGAATCACCATTGATGGCATCTTGACTAGTAGTGACGATAGGATCATCAATCTCCATCAGAGTGGCAGCAGCTGAGCCTTGAGCATCAGTACCAACAGGAGCAGCAGAAACAACCAGATTGGCAGCAGTGAGAGCTTGATCAGTGGACGTTGGACCAGCAGTGAGAGCTTTATCAGTGGACGTTGGACCAGCAGTGGCAACAGTAGCCTCACCAGTAGTAGCAGTTACACCAGAAGCTTCTTGATTGATGACCTTATGGTTGGATTTCTTGGGTGACATAGTAAGTAAGACTTGACAGCAATAAGAGATCCAGAGTAGATAGAGTTGTAATAAACGAGATTTGTTGAATACAGATTAAAAAATGATTTATCAGAAATAAATTATTTATAAAAAGAGTATGAAATTAATCAGGTAAAGAATATCGTTTATTACATTGGAAATAAGAGGGTTTATATACTATTCGAATTGAGGGATTTGATGTAAGGATAAGGTATTAGATGGGTTGATTTGGGTGATAGGATAATAGATCCAATCTATTATCCTGAACATGCCATTATTCGGATCGTAACTGAATCCTGTTTCATGTCAAAGTTTATGATCTGATGTGATCTGTGCTTTAACTAATTGCTCCTACGCATTTGGAGATCCGGTTTAGAAATGACACATCACTGCAATCACAATGCTTCGAAGCGGTGTTTCGATTCGGAAAATTGCTGAAAAACTGTCTTTGGGTAAGTCTACTATTGGGCGAGCCAGAATGGAGCATTGTCCGGGCCTGGAAACCTCGAAAGGTGGTCGTACTAGGGTGTTGTCTGAAGCCGACAAGCGCTACTGTGTTCGAAAGGTAACCAAGGAGCGGGTTTTAAGCGTCGTCAAGGTCACAAAAATCTTGAAGAAAGATTTCCAGATGAAGGTTCATCCGGAAACCGTTCGTAGAGCACTCCGCACTGCGGGCTTAGGGGCTTTCGAGAAGGAAAAGAAACCTTTGCTTAGTGACGCTAATGACAAAAAGAGACTTGCGTGGTGTAAACAGCACAAGGACTGGACTGTTGACGACTGGAAATGTGTTGTTTGGACAGAAGAGACCAAAATTAACCGTTTAAACTCAGATGGGTGACAGTGGGCCTGGATCTGATCTGGTGAACAGCTTCAAAATCACCATGTCAAGCTCACGGTAAAACACGATGGTGGTAGTATCATGCTTTGGAGTGTCATTACGTATGCTGGTGTTGGCTGGATGTGCAAGATAAATAGTAATATGGATAAGACACTCTTCTACAAAGAAATTCTGCAAGACGAATTGGAAGAGACTATCACTTTTTCCATCGAGAAATTGTGCTTCCGCAGTGAACAAGTGATATTCCAGCAAGACAATGATCCAAAACACACCTCAAATTTGGTCAAGGATTACCTTCAGGAACAACCATACCAGGTCATGGAGTGGCCCCCACAATTTCCAGACTTGAATCCCATTTAAAACATGTGGGCTTTGTTGAAAAGGCGTCTTAATGAGTATGAAACCGCAACCAAGGGTATGAATGAACTGTATGAGCGAGTAATCGAGATATGATATGACCAAATGAAGCCGGAGGAGTGCCAAAAGGTTATAGAAAGCATGCCTCGACGTATTGAGGCCGTTATCAAAGCTAAAGAAAAATGGACAAAGTATTAAGATCCTATAAAATAATAAAACTTAATTTTTCCAAACATCTCACAATACTGTCCCAATGTACCTAATGACTTTGGCCAATCACAGCTTGTGCTCCTACAGCTGTATGCTTGTACAAATTAGAGGATATAAAGAAAGCAGTTTTAGCTCTTCTCAGAAAATACTAAACTCATTATTATTGAATAATTTCTCGTCCGGCGGTAAGGTCTGAAAGTTAAAATTGCTAAACATTGGGACAGTTTTGTGGGTCACCACGGTATATCCATTCACACGTACTTTCAGACATTTACAACAATTATGAGGGGTTTCAGTACGCTTATTAGAAAAACATCATCTCATGATGCTTGGACGTTTTCTCGCACTAGCATAGTTTTAACTGAAAAAGATAGCAGATTATATGCTAATGTAGATAAAACATACTTTATTATTCAGAAGTTGGAAAAATTTAGTCCATGAAATAATCGAAATTGGAGATGCTATTTTTAGGCGGACGAATATGCATACACTGAATTGGAAGATTTATTGTAATCGAACAAGAAAAACTACAACTGTCTAGTCTTAAAAGCAAGATTCCCCAACATGTCAAGTATCCATAGATAATTTGAAAATAGCAAGTTAATATTATGGCCCTTTTCATACGCTCCGATTTTTAAAATGCTCAGTCAAAATTCATACATGTGCCGTGTACACATGCAAAGGCTAAACGGAGATTCAATCTCTATTATTCTGAATGATGATCCATGGGATTCCGAAATCTATTGACCTTAAAATTACGCGTTTCTTGATAGTAAACACCCCTTCAAATTTATATAAAACTTGTAGAGAATTCAAAGGAAAATATAATGGTATCCACATCAAGTGTTTGCTGTACATTGTTCAGCTGATATTTGATAAGTTAAATATTGCGACTTTTTCACTGTTCTCTAATGATTAATCAGTATCTGTCATCAAAACATTTTGTTAAGCATTACTAAGCATTGTAGACCAAAAAAATTCCTATCGAATGAGCTATTGCTTGAAGCTCTGGCTTAATTCTATCATAAAATATTGACAATATTGTCCTGACCAAAGAATCGTCACCAGATTTTTCGCTTGCTATCACAGGCAGATTTTGAAGGAAAATTAGTGAAATTGCACGATACCCTTTTTTGGCCGTATCTCGACAAATACTCATTGGATTCAGACAAAACAAAAACAATTCAATAGCTGTACGTTATATCTATTATTATGTAAGGGTTTCAAGTACCAGATGTGTGCTCCCTTTATAAATTTGCTCAAAATCTTATATTTTATGAGCTACAAGCAGGGGATAATCAAAACTTTTTTTATTTATCTATAATAACCATACCATCATATAGAGAATTGGAAAAGAAGCAGAAGCTATTAAGCTTTAAGCTCACGTTCACTTAGTAAACTTCAGCGGTACGGCCATTTGAAAATTGGTTATTTACACTATTTTCCATCATAATTAATCGACATCGCCCTCAATAACCCCACATCAAACATCCCCTAGTCAAATAATGTAACCTCTACAACTTTTACTATACATATAGTCCACATTCATATAGTAATCAAAAAAAATTTCCTAGTAGCTTCTTGTTGTGCCAGAAGGGCTACAACTGTCTATAAAGATTAAGGTATTCTTGATGGGTAGATATGTCTGTGTTGTGCAACAACATGGACAAGCTATGATAAGTGAAGTGCATCTCAGCTATCTAAATACTGAGGTTCACCAGATGTGATAAGCGTTGTACAAGATAAATTGCTACTTTGGCATTCAGAACTTAGTATAAATAGAATAACTCTTGTCTTCATCAATAAATCTTTAGTTTTTGTGTCTGATCTTATTCAAATAAGTCTTTTCTTGTTTTTATAATATCGAACATTTTTTATAAGCTACAAATAATAATCCTTTTATTTTTTGTGCTTAACACTTATCAAAATTAACCATTTTCTAAAATCTCGCTTTTCTCAACAACCATGCTACTTGGCCCAAATCTGGTTTGCATCATCGTATAATTGGCACAATCGGAGTTTCAAACTAACCAAAAACCCGAAAGCGGAGTTAGAATTTACGAATGCATCTTTTGCTATTTTTGGGAACGATTTGGTAACAGAACGCTCGTTCTGATTTTTCAACGTATCAATCTTGCACTTATTGTTGAACATAAAGGCATATGCCGGCTTTGTAACCATGACTGATGCCCTCTCGTCGTCTCTTATTGCAAGATTTTTCTAATAATCAGTGACTCAAATAAGCGTCAATAGTCGCTTAGATGATAATTTTCATTCATGACGAAGTAGCTCTCTTTCTCGAAGTTGTTGAAACAAGACAATACCTAGATATCTAACTTGATATGTATGCCAGGAGACTAAATGTAATCTGTCTTGTAGATTCGTCTCTTGACAAAGTTCGGTACATATGTATTATCGCTTGCAGTTAATGCAACACCAGAGTAAAGTTGTTATAAACCGAGTATTTTCTTTTGTGGAAACACATTGATTTAGAATACTTGGATAATGACAGAAGAGGGCAAGCGTGCAAGCCAACATGGCCAATGTTATCATCAGCAGTAGCTCACCTAAGCGTGCCGTTAGCAATCATCTATCCACTAATACTTGTTTAAAATATTATTGTCAATCTAGTATCTAAATAACGTTTTTGAAGAGTGATTCGACAAAATTTTGAGCCATCCATTATATTGTTAAATGATAATGTTTTTATTCTTCTAATAATGCTTCTGCCAAGTAATGTTCTTGTAATGGTTCGATTACATGTAACAATGCTTCGCCCGAAATAATTTGCTCCAATTCGTACAAAGTCAAGTTGATTCTATGATCTGTAACACGGCCTTGTGGGTAATTGTAAGTTCTAATCTTTTCCGATCGATCGCCTGTACCAATCTGCTTATTTCGAGAATCTCTTCGTTCGTTTTGTGTCTTGAGTCGTTCTTGTTCAAACACCTTGGCTCGAAGCACCTTGAGCGCTTTGAGCTTGTTTTTGTGCTGAGATCTTTCATCTTGCATAGCCACCACTAGACCTGTTGGTATATGTGTCATTCTTACTGCACTATCTGTTGTGTTGACATGTTGACCACCAGCACCGGATGCACGGTACACATCAATCTTGAGATCAGATTCTTTGATTTGAATATCGACTTCAGTAGGTTGTGGCAGAATGGCTACCGTTACTGTAGACGTATGGATTCTACCCTGTGCTTCTGTGGCAGGCACTCGCTGTACTCGATGAACTCCTGATTCATACTTGAGCAGACCAAACACATTTTTACCGCCAATGTTGACTGTGATATCCTTGAATCCTTTGTTTCCAGTTTCATCTGATTTGGACAATACCTCCCACTTCCAACGCTGTAATTGCGCAAACCTTTCATACATGCGAGCCATGTCTGCTGAGAAAATGGATGCTTCATCTCCACCAGCACCAGATCGAATCTCCAAAATTGCACTGGCATCATCTGCTGTATCTTTGGGTGCTAATTCAGTGATTAACTCTTTTTCTACTTGCTGAATGCGGTCCATGATATCAGTGTATTCTTCTCTAGCAAGCTCTATCATGTCATCATTGTCTTCACTTGTGGCAAGTAGTTGCTGCAGTTCGCTGAGATCAGTGCGGTTTTTCATCCATTCTTCAAACAATGCTTTAGGAGATGTCAATTGAGCCAATTCTTTTGATGCATTGGTGAGATCAGAAGGACTGAGGCTGTTGCTGTTCAGTTGTGATAGTAAGCTGTCATGACGCTGTGATAGTGCCTCTAGTTTCTTCTCCAATGGAGGTGTGATTTTGCTGGATTGCAGTGTTGCAGGTGAAACTACATGGCAGCAAATTAAGTATGCTTGATTTTTCGGGCTGTTTCCTAGATATACCTTTTGTTGAATACCTCGATATTTGACCAATGACTCTTTTAAACATGATACATGAACAAGGGGGTTGATAAAAGACATCAAACTGAATGTGGGGGACCATTAGTTTGTTTCCTCAAGTCACATTTAGAAGGCTTCTTTACAAGAGCCGCAGAATCATTGCGTACTCGTTGGTGATTCATTTTCTCGCTAGAGAGTTTCTTTCGCCTATATATACATTACATTATGCAAGCTAGCGCGGTATTCATCAGTGCCACTTTTGAGGAGATTCTAGACGATTTATCGAGGTTTGATCATAACTACATGTGCGACGAACGGCACCAAGCTAATCTATTGCAGTCGTTTCATTATCAACGTCCCCGAGGCAGAGCTTTCATCTGTCGAGCGTATTTGTTTTCAAGTAGAACAAGCGCATTGGTTTTACGAAGATTTCATCAGAGAGCTTCGACCAGAATTGCCTTCGTTTCAGCTCAAGACATTTTCTGCGAGAAATATCCTTTTTAAATGATGGTTTATGCTGTTTTTTTTAACACTATAGTACTAACATATATTATCCTTAACTTCTGTGCACTTTTCAAGCATTGCCCTCTTTTGCACCAGTGGGCTCATGAACATGAACGCGCTTATGCTGATTTTATGCAATATCGTTTCCGCATCCCTGTGTGTGGTGCCATTATCCTCAATACCAATCTTGACAAATGTGTCTTGGTGAAAGGCTGGAGCTCCAAGTCAGGCTGGGGATTCCCCAAAGGCAAAATCAACCAAGATGAAGAATACGACTGCTGTGCGATAAGAGAGGTAAAGAGTTTGATGGATCATGCCAGCCAGCGCATGTGCTGATTTTCTTGTAATAGGTTTTAGAGGAAACAGGGTACGATATTGGACCTTTGTTAAAGAAGCCAGATTATATCGAATTAACTATGCGCGAACAACGTATTCGACTGTACATTATTCAAGGCGTTCCTGAGGACACGCAGTTCATACCAAGAACTAGAAAAGAAATTAGTGTAAGTTGTGTTTAATAAACGTTTGTGCGCTTGATTGTTGACATTAGTATGTGCAGCAAATTTCATGGATCAAGTTGGACGATTTGCCCACCTACAAGACTACAGAGCCAAAACCTGGAAATGGTAGCCTAAATTATGTCAAATTAGGACCTTATCGATTCTATATGGTTGTCCCATTTATGAAGTATGGCAAATGACACGATGCACCGTGCGCAACAACTAATGTTTTCTGTAGTAAACTGAGGCAGTTTGTGAATCAACGCAAAAAGTCATCGAAGAGGGATAATCACAAGATAAAGGGGTCTGCCTCGCCTCATCCTCGAGCATCAGCTCAATCCCAAGCAACACCCCAAAACGCAACGCAACAGCCTTCGTTAATGATACCTTCATCTTCCAACAATAAGCCGGCCGAATCATCCAATGCGCTCAAGTCTCTATTAGGCGTGAATCATGGTGACAGCAACAATGAATTTGCAGCTTCTCCTGCCGTATCGCAACCACAACCAGAGAACCAGCCTCCTCAGCCTAATAACAACAACTTGCTGGATCAATTATTTGCTGCAAATGCTCAACATCAACAACAGCAGCAGAAACAAGCATCCAGTTCACAACAGCAAAGTCCTAATCTCTTGCCAAAGTTGCAATTAGCTAGTCAGCAGGCACAAGAAACATCTAATCCACAATCTGGAGACGTTCATCATGCTTCTTTTGTTGAGGAACTACTCAAGCAGCAACAGTACAATCAGCAACATCAGCAACGACAACAACAACAACAACAAGCATCCATCTCACAACAGCAAAGTCCTAATCTCTTGCAAAAGTTGCAATTGGCTAGTCAGCAAGCTAGTCAACAGACACAACAAGCACCTAATCCGCAATCTGGAGACGTTCATCGTGCTTCTTTTGTTGAGGAGTTGCTCAAGCAGCAACAGCATAATGAGCAACATCAGCAACGACAACAACGACAACAACAACAACAACAACAACAGCAGCAGCAGCAATCGCCTCCTCTTATGAATGACAATATGCGTAGAAACTCTTTACTAAGTGTATTGCAAGGCAGATCCAATGATTCCTCACCTGCTCCTATGAACCCTTCGATGAACCCATTAGAAGCTTTTCTTCATGCTCAGAATCAACCTCAACAACAACAACAATCATACTATGCTGAGTAACAAGGTAGTTCTCGACAGTGTGCCTGTCTAGTGCTGGTAGTGTGATACGTTTATCAAACAAGAATAAAGTGCATAGACGTTACATTGAATATTATAAGTATATTGTTAGTTGATACCATATAGATCAATCTTCTTTGCGTGCTCTTCAATGGGCGAGATCATTTTTTGAGTAACATTGTCTCCATTTCCAGACACAATCTGTAGGAGGTCCAGCTAAAACGTAACTGGTGAGCAGCACAATCTTATCTTTGCAAATGGCATACTTACAGTCATTTCCCAGTTCCCAAGAATATCGACATGATCACTTGCTTTATAGCCACCACGTACATCCAACTTGCTGACGCTCACCTCATTCATGTACTCGCGAAGAACCACTGGACTGTGTCCAGGGTTGTAGAGGTCGGCATGCTTTGTCCAAGCACCAGATGGAGAACACATATAGCCCAAGGATAGTAAAGGAACAGTACCGTCGCCATCAGAAAATCGGATACCAGTTTCAATACGTTGAATAGGGTCATTGACATTAGCATCGATATACTGTCGGTATAAAATTAGTGCCAACACATGTACACGCAGATCTGACTACTCACAAGATGAGGGCCTCTCATTGATTTAACTTCCAGATCGTCTTCAAGAGATGATGCGGTATGTTCGTGGTTAACTTCATGCGTGCAACCTGTGCTATTGTGATCTGTGCACTCCTCCTCCAACTGCCCATCAGCTACTGCGTAATAGTAACTACGCTCAGTAGGCACGCCAACACCGTACATACAGTATATTTTCATATCAGGCGCTACCAGTTCGTTAGCAATCATATCCATGTAGGGGAAAGAACACTCACCATAAGGCAAACGAGATTCTAATGGGTTTGACCACTTTGTGGGGTCATTTTCATTCTTATCCAGTTGCTTTGGATCTGTTGTGACACCAAATGAGTAGTTTGAATGCAATTGTTTGCCGAAATTAGCGTCGGCACCCTTCAACAGCAGCTCAAAAGAGCCATCCACGGTGTAATTGCGAATCAGGGGGTCTTCAGAAGAGCTGGGCGTCTCTGTCGAGTTTTCATTGATGCCCTCAGGATGAGGCACAAACGAAATCATGTTGCCAAACGACTCATACTTTTCATCTTCTTGATCATCAGGGGCACTTTTGCCATTTCCCCATACGACTTGGCCGCCCTTTGGTAGTAGACTCGAGCCACCCATCCATGATCGCAGTAAGCGAGTGCGCTCACGGCGAGAAAAGAACTTTTCAAGGACAAAGGCGCCAAAACTTCCCAGAGCCATCGTATCCCTTGTTTCACCAGAGATCAACGAGGTTACCGCTTTAGGAACACCCAAAAGGGGTCCTGCAATGTTGACAAACGATTCAATGTGATCATTCGCCCAATGAGGGCCACCATTGCCGCCTTCTGGGTGCTCGGCCCACTTGAGAAAGTAAGGGAACATGGAGCCGCCTGGTCAAATGAGTTAACAGAGTTTGGTAACTGGTGCAAATACTATATCTTACCCATAGAGTGTGTTACAATAACAGATTTAAGCCCACCCGAGGATAGCTTGCTAAATTCTATCTTGGCTTTTAACTGAGAAAAGTAGTGGTCGCGAATCTCAAGGTTGCCAAATCCTAGACGCCAATCGTAGGACGCAAAATGCATAGAGTTGGTATCATAGCCAATGGTGGCTAAATTCTCAATCACTTTAGCCCACACCCAGTATCCAGTAATAAAGTAATCTGCTGCCTCTACGCCCTGCACAGCTCTAATTTTGCAGCCTGGAGGGTCTAAACCCGTGTGAGGATCCAGCATGAGGTTCTTCATCCAATCCTCTTTGTCTAGTAATACAGATCTCACCATGTCTATTGGAGTCTTAGTGAGGGGCCAAACACTCTTCATTTATCAATCGCTTACTCATGGATCCCCACATTCTCTTGCGGAAGTATTTTCGAGACGCTACCTCTGTAGACCAACTCTCGAGACCAGAAGATACGACACCGGGTATCATGACAACAGGAAAATGGGGCTTCAAACCTAGTTGATCTCTATAGTATCTGGTTAGTTTTTCGTAGCAATTCATTGATGATGTACTCGTTACTTGTATTCAGCTGCTGGCATGAACGAAATCTCTGTAGCAGGCGTGGGTTTCAGCAGGTTTGTAAAGTTGCCCAAAAATTCATCCACCATGTAAGACTGGGGCAACATGTTGGCCAAGTCAATGTCTGCCAATTGCAACATAACATAGTCTTGGAAATGGTTGAGATGCGTTTGAGCGACAGGTGTGGTCGAAGCAGCGTACATGGCGAGCAGACCCACCGAGACACCTACAATAAAGTTGAATCGTTTACGTCTGTAAAATACTTTTGGTTCGATAAAGAGAAGGCCCGAATCAGCCATGATGTCTTCGGGAAGCTCCTTTCCAGCAGCACCGTTGATGGTGCCATTATTAGCTTTCTTGTTTTTTCTTCTTTTGACAGCGGCCATGAATGCCACAAGAATCAAGATGTATTTGTAACTCAAGAAGAAGGAAAAGAAAACTACGATGATAGGTGTCTCAAATAGCATCCGTTTATTGCTTCCTGCCTGTGCGATGGTGTGCGCTTGATGAAATAGTAAAAAAAAAAAAAAAAAAAAAAAAAAAAAGAACTGTATATGGAAATATAGCAAAACATCTCTCATCAAAAACTCTAACTTTATATCATTGCTACGGGAAATTTTAGTTGCAAAATCAACAAAAAAAAACAGGTTCACAAACATTGGAAGATTATTACGTAGCTGGCTGTAGCAATGAGACTAGGTACTCATCGAGTATTTTTAAAAAAAAAATATAATACCCATCACACTTGCTCAAGCGTTGTGTATGATGTGCATTTAGCTCTTTTACAAAATCAAGCATCGTTTGCTTCAAAGCTATAGCTCTTGTATATACATCACTACTGAATTCCACAAGGTTCTGTAGGCACTGACTTTTGCTGCAAGGCCAAATCTTGGGCCCTGAGTCAGCTTCATGAGTGAACGATGTATCATATTTTCTGTAAAACACTCATTATCTTGAGAGACGCACATCTGTGGGAGGATATAACACAAATATATATAATACATATCTCGAAATGGCCTTTGACATAAACTCAACGATACTATACTTACTGCATATCTTATTTAGTTTTTAATTGGATTCACTAAAGTTTAAATATGACAAGCCTTACTTGTGGCGAGAAAATCTATACTGGGTATTCAAGTCGCATGATGAAATGATGCTTGCTACCAGAATCGTCAAGATAGATAAAAGATCAGATGCAAAGAACTACAAACTTATTCAACTGTTCATCAGTCTTCTCAAAACAAAATGTCCAAATGCTGCAAGGCATCTTCAAGCGCTTGATTTCAAAGATACTAGAGCTTGCAATATTCGTCCCTGAAAATTAATTGCAGTTCAAAAGAGGCTTCCTGACAAAGCTTGGTGTGTTTTTCTTGAGGGTGTTGTATGAAACAAGCCTGATTAGCAGAACTATCAAGAATATGCCCTATAGTAAGTTGAGGGCGATGATTTCAAAACAGTAGAGTCTTTAATAGACTAGCCGATCTATCTCGCTGCGCTCAATGACGGTATCGCCCTGTGGGCTCTCACCGAAGACATTTCAAAACAGTGATGTCAAGTAGATCTTAAACAATCAATTGACAGTAAAAGAAAGAATATATTAGAGCTAGGAAGGGGAGGTGTCCATTTATTGATGCTGCTTTTGGGATGGCGACCTAAAGCTGGCCATAAGTGAATACAGGACTTGTGTAAGATTTACTGCGACGTTTTTGAGATATTGCCATTGCATAAGACGCCTTTATGGGGAAAAACTCCCAAGAAGAAGATATGTTTGGCTTAAGCAAATGTTCTTTTAACACCATAATTTCTATTTGATCAGCATCGCAATCACCATTGTCATCATCATTGTCCTTATCAGAAAGGCATTTGGGCCAGCCAGCAGCAATGCCGCCGCCAAAATCGATTCAGGCTCAGCTTATTTTTTCTGTTCGAGATTGGCCAGATATTGTCTTTTTTCGACTTTTTTAATCTATTCTATGATGCTCGACTATGTGAATTGTAATGATCGCCCTAAGCTTCCTAATGCATTCTTGGATTACTTTTCAAGGCGCTTCCAATGGTACTAATTGTAATAGGTGTTTTGAATGAAATTGTTGAGAAATTTGGTAAAATATGAAATAAGGTTTTTAGCGAAAATAGCCAGATTTTGCATATGAAAACCTCATAAAAGTGGTTTCAGAGTGTTGTATTCAAAGATACAGTATTAACAAATTAAGATAGATTTCAAAAAAGGAAGACTATAAAAAGTAACCAGATACGAAAAACTTCTAGATTTATTAACTGATTCAAACACATCCTATTTATAAGAGATCATTACTGATGAATCATCAATCTATCTTGTTGTTTCAACTGAGTCAATACATCGTATCATGTTTATCTAATATCAGTCAATTGAAGGATCTGATTCGTTCAATCAGCCATGATGATACGATCTGTAGCCATCATTATCCTTCACTATCAGAGACCATCATAATCGATTATATGATTCACTTCTGTGTCGAACCTAATGTCCTAATGTAGACAGTGAGAAACAATGTAAATCATGATCCGACTCTTGCTGAGTTACTGAATGTCCGCAACCGCTACAGACTCAACAGCCCCCAACCAGGATCAGGATATACCATTGTTACATACCATAATCTCTAATTACAGCACATCATAAATAACGATATTAGATAACATACAAATACAATATATATACAATATTCCACCAAAATGATATGGGCAGCATCCGTCATTAAAAAACCTTTAAAAACCTCTGAAAGGACAAAAATATACAATAAGGTAAAAAGACTAGATCAGACATCATACCATTCAGCCATTAAGACCGATTCTTAGCTGGTCTACCACGTTTCTTCTGAGGACGAGTAGCAGCCTTATTCTGATTTACTGTTGCAGGAGCAATCTTGCGCTTGCCAACAGCCTTTGCACCATTCCTTCTACCCCAATATAATTCAATACATTCAGTAGAGTTGAAATGTTCAATAGGTTCCCAAGTAGGTTCATCAAATCCTTTCCACTGCACCAAGTATTTATACTTGCCCGGTGAGCCTCTATGGTTGATAACCGCTTGAATCTCTTGATGTTCGCGAATAAAGTCCTCTTTAGAAGTTAGCGTAGCATTAGCCGCAGCATTATACACTAATTTATGCGTAGGTACATCATAACTCAGGAGATTACCTGTACGATCCATCAGAACGTACGAGCCTTTGCTAGTAATTCCGTTGATCAAATAGGGACCCTCATATCGAACATCCAACTCGTTGCTCTTATTCTCATTCACTACCATCACCTTACTCCCAACGGGATAAGGCTTCTCGATGATCTTGTGCTTCTTAGCAAAATTGGCATGATCCTTCTTCTGAGTCTCTAAAATACGTTTCGAGATAGCTGGAATAAGAACATTTTGAACGAAGCTATACTTCTCATCAATCTTCTTCTGATCCACTACATCGTAACTACGAGTCAAGTCTACCTTTGAATAATCCGTCAAACCATTAGGTTGGCGATTAAACAAAATCGTATAAGGACGAGACTTGTGCAATCTAGCATACTTGACATTCAGACAATAATTAACCCAAGGAATATAGTGTTCCCACTGATCACGTTTTCCTTTAAGCAACTTAACTGTTGTCGACTTTGCAAGTTTAATCCAACTCTCCGCAACACTGTTACCCAACGGGTTCCATGCTAACGAGAGACGTCTGTCAATACCACTGATCTCGACCATAGCTTCTACAACCTCATTGATGAATTCCTTTCCTCTATCAGATGTCAAGATCTTTGGCCAACCGAAAAGAGAAAAAACCTGAAGTAATTCACGAGCGATAGTAGTAGCATGCTTATCTGGAATGCAGCGAATGACCGTAAATCGACTATAAATATCCGTCATTACGAATATGAAGTTGCTACCGAATGAACTTGTGACACCCATATCACCAAGATCCATACACCAATGATCCAAAGGTTGATCAGCTTTGGCACTTCGGAAAGGATGATAACCTTCTCGAGCAATGTTGAACTTGTTACATTCAATACAATCCCCCAAGATACGTTCAATATCCTTACGAATGTTAGTCCAATGGAATCCTTCATGATGAATAGCAGTTTCAACATGGTTGATTCCGAAATGACCGACCAAATGTTGAGAAATAATCATATTATCTCGTTCAGTAGCAGGTGGGGTAACATAATCGCGAAACTTCATAGTACGTAAAATTAACTCTTGTTGTTGCTTTGACGAGGCAGCTGATGAGGTGCTAGCTTTCATCGAAGAATGCTTCACATCAACCAGGCCATCATCACCAATACTAGTATCCTTTCGTAAAACACGAGTAATTCGAACAGGAATACGTTTCATTTGAACAGTTGGTGTGGTAGATTTCAACTTAGAACCCATCTTTCTCTTCTGCTTCAACCTTTCACCTCCATCAGCATAGTACCTGCCCCCCAGAAGATGGCGTGCGGAAGCATCGTCATCTTCATACAGCCGAGATAAAGCATCAGGAATGACATTCAAAACACCAGGTAAGTGAACAATGTCAAAAGTGTAAGAAAAGATGTTCTCCCACCACCCAAGCATCAACGCATTAGGAATCTCTTGCGTATTCAAATAGATCAAACTCTTGTGATCCGTGTGCAGGGTAAACCGACTCATATACAGAAACCGATGAAACTTTTCTAATGAATAACAAATTCCCAAAAGCTCACGTTTCGTAGTACTGTAATTGCGTTTAGAAGGAGAGAGTTTACGCGATACCAAACCAATATACCGAATTTCATTCTGAATCACTTGGTACAACAAACCACCAATTGCAGTGAGACTAGCATCAGTAGCTAAATGAAATCGACATGAGAAATCAGGGGTGGACATAACCAACGCATTGGTAAGTGCATCCTTCAAATTTGCAATAGTTCTGTCATGTCTTGCCGTCCAGACCTTCGACAAATCTTTACACTGCTTCAACGAGTCGAGATCACCCGTTAAGCGAGAATACATCGGAATAGAAGATCGGAAATAGGACATCAGACCCAGAAACGAAGCAAGCTGTCTACCAGTCTTAATAGGAGGCCACTGCATGATATTGGTAAGTTTTCTTCCATCAGGGACTAACTTGCCATCAATTACACTCCATCCTAAAAGGTAAATGCTTCTCTGAGCAAAGACCACCTTCTCTGGATTCAAAACCAGATTAGCCTTTGTCAAACGACGAATCACTTCAGCAACAAGTTTAAAGTGATTTTCCAAGCTACCCGAGGTACTACAGATTATATCATCAACGTAGCAGAACACTGACTGGTCATCCTTGGTAGAATTGGGAGTAGCAGCATTGGACGTATTCAGATCTGACAACAGATTCTGCAATGTACGAACAACTACTGAACCAACATGACGAATACCGTACGCAGCCTTCCGAAAGGTGTACTGAGTATTGCTAAACGGCGAAGTAAACGAAACCTTATGAGCTTGCGAGGGATCCAATCCAAAACTGGTAAAACAAGCATGGATATCCAGACAAGTATGAATCGTTTTATTCCCAATATTCTGATGAATAGATGAAATCAACGGCAACTGTTGTTTGTCATCAACCTCCAAAATCGAATTCAACTTACGGACATCTAACACCACACGAGGCTTAGACATGTCATAATTGCCATTCGAATCTTTCTTCTTCACCACCAACAACGGATGATTGAAGCGGGTATGACTCGCCGATCGTTCGATAACGCCTTCATCAAGCCACACTTGGATCTGTTTATTAACAGCATCCCTATAGGCCTCCGCAAGTGGATATTGAGCACGATAGGCAACACAGCCAGGCTTAGTATCCAGCTTGATAACAGAATCAGGCAAATTACACTGAGTATTTCTCATGTCAATTTGCGAATTCTCCAATAACAGTTCATTCAATAGCCTAACGTAAGGAGCACGTTCCTTATCACTACCAAATGGATGGTGATTAGGTTCAATCGAGTCGTCAACAGGATCTGGCTTTCTGGGCCCAGTCTGAAAATCATGCTGACTCACTAAACCACTAATACCAATACCAATCTTAGAGAGAACATCCATTCCCAATAACACATGTACATTTTCTTCCGAATAAAATGTAAAAACTTCAAATGAATGTGAACTAACAACTTTATTATAAGTAACATTCAAGACCACAGAACCAACACGAGGAACGGTAGTCGCTTCATGTGCCAACTGTACAATACTGTCAGCAGCAGCAGCTTCAAAACCAGAATGAGTACGACCTCCTAGATGATCGAAAAACTCGTCAGTAATGCAACTAAAAGTCGCACCAGTGTCTACGATGCCGAAACAAATGACATTTTGTACCACAATTGGAACACAAATGGCATTGGAACGCAATGTAGGAGGTGCACTAAATACAGCATCAAACTTACATTCTTGAGCAGACAAATTCTGCACCAAGTCAACATCAGACACAGAAACACTGTCCATACCATCAACAATCGAAGCCTGAGCTCGACCACACAGGTCCTCAGCATCGGTGATAGTATGACCATCTGATTCCGACATTTCCACATCAGAGTCAACCTCAGTGTTCTCAGTCTCCTGAACAGAAGACAAACCAGGACTAACTTCATCCCGCACGGGAACAGAAGCAGCAACGACAGAAGCAGCAACCGAAGACGCAGCGGAACAGGCATTGATCTCCCTGCTCTTTTCCCGAAGTACGGCAGCACCAGCCTCAGACGCCAAAGCCTTGTTCACCATGGATTGTACTGTTGGACGCTTCGTCATCATGCGAACAGTCTTCGTAGGACCAGAAGAACCACCGTTGGCACACGAATGGCCCTTTCCGTAGTGTCCATTGCATTCCTTGCACGATTGCTCCGCACGATGTTGAGCCATGGTCTTGCCAAACTTCGAAACCCAAGGATCCCTGACACCAGAATTAGAACGACGCGAAGAAGCCCCACGAGCACCAGAAGAACTCGGTTCCTCGTACCATCTTGACTTCTTAGCCTCATTGGATACTGGAAGGTGTGAAGCATCCGCTTCTCTCTTGCGAGAGCCCAAGCGATCAACACCCTTACCGACCTTCTTCTCAATAGTCGCATCCAGACGGCGGGCCACAGAAGACATATAGTCGATATCATAGAACGAAGTTTCGGAAGCTTGGCTCATTGCTACAGTAAGCAAGCGAGAAACAGAATTCGGGAACGCATCGAAGAACACCAGAGCAGCCACATGCTTGTCAGACACCTCGGATCTTGCTCTCAAACCCTTAAACCGTTCCAGGAAGGAGTCAACAGACTCACTGTCTTGCTTCGTGCAAGCCAAGAATTCACGGATCCGAGCAAACCAACTTTGCTCCCTAGGAACACCGTAACGAGAGATGATCGCCTTCTTCACAGCGGACCAAGAGATCTGCGCATCCCCTTGTCCTTCGACAAATTCATTCAGCCAGTTACGCAGGTCAATACCTAAGCAACGGGGCAACAAGCGGGACCAGTCGGTGTCAAGGCTCATTTCATGAGAGATGAGTACATCCTCAAACCGACGAATACATGCTTCAACATTCGGAAAACTTTCCCTGTTACTATCCCTAATCAGGCCGGTCCATTGGAACAAGGGAAGACCGTCAGGTACAAAAGAGTTGACAGCCTTGGCAGCAGAGCGCAACGAAGAAAAACCAGGAGGCAATCCAGATCCATCTGATGTCAAGACAACCAGATCCAACAGAGATTGCAAGTCAGCAGCCCTTTTGCCCAGCAAAAGACGTAGGGGTTCCACCTCCTTTTCTGGCTGACCGCCAGCCTTCGAAATTTCGACAGCCAGACCACGAACTTCTTCACGCAAATCCGCAATTGCGTTTTCCAAGGAGCCAGCAGGATTAACAGCAACAGTAGTATGTTCTTGAGACATTTGAGATAAAATGGAGTAAACGGTTGTAGTATAAAATCAATAGTGATCCGGATTACACGGTTAAAAAAAATGTTGTATTCAAAGATACAGTATTAACAAATTAAGATAGATTTCAAAAAAGGAAGACTATAAAAAGTAACCAGATACGAAAAACTTCTAGATTTATTAACTGATTCAAACACATCCTATTTATAAGAGATCATTACTGATGAATCATCAATCTATCTTGTTGTTTCAACTGAGTCAATACATCGTATCATGTTTATCTAATATCAGTCAATTGAAGGATCTGATTCGTTCAATCAGCCATGATGATACGATCTGTAGCCATCATTATCCTTCACTATCAGAGACCATCATAATCGATTATATGATTCACTTCTGTGTCGAACCTAATGTCCTAATGTAGACAGTGAGAAACAATGTAAATCATGATCCGACTCTTGCTGAGTTACTGAATGTCCGCAACCGCTACAGACTCAACACAGAGGTTGCTTTGGATTGAGAGAAACGTTTTGATTTGATATATACCATAGCAAAAGTCTTCATTTTCAAGGTGAAAAATGCGATCGTTTGATTTTCGATGAAAATCATGAGGGATGCCTCATGCTTTTTGGTCGATTTTTGGCCATATTTTTTTTTGGCCCAAAAAGTTGAGCAAAGGTGTCAGGAAGTTACTACTACTCAATCACAATTGTTTGGCGTTATTCCGGCAGCTCAGGAAGGCCTATATGTCAAGATATAAAGGTTTGAAAATCGTCCAATTTGGTTGTATTTTTGCTTTATAGCTTTTGTTTACACGGCATGAAACACATCTTTGGTAGCTGAAATCTTCTGGAAGGGCAGTTTGGCAGCCTATGCAATTCTTAATTCGAATAGGATGCATAGTGATTTTGGTAAAACTGATCTATGCAAATGTTGATGCGATATGTTGCTGGTAAGCTTATTAACAATGGAAATGAAAATATAAATTTGCTGCTTGAATACTACGGTTTTGCACCTTCGCCTTGCTATGGTAAAACCCCCTTATAGGTCAATGTTACCAAATGCTGAATTAGATGCAATCTCGCTACGCTCAACGACGGTGTCACCCTGCGGGCTGTCGCCGTAGACATTTCAAATCATCAATGTCGCCTAATGCTGTATTAGATGCTTAGTTGTCATAGGCTTTGCACCTTTGCTTCGATACGGTAAATCCTCCCTATAAACTAATGCTATCAAGTGTTGAATTAGATGCATTATTATGTTCTTGGAGATAATGAGGTCGCATTCTTCTTAGCTCTGAAATGAAAGCGGCAGGTGCTCTCGGTGATCTCAATGCAGTTCTTTTTCATTTCTTTTGATATATTTATCAAATTTCTCAATTTACTCGACATAAATCACATTTTCGAAAATTGAAATCTTCAGGAAGAGTAACTCTACAGGCCACACAGTTTCTAGCTTGAATAGGAGGCATGGCAATTTTGATTTGATTTTAACAGAAGGTATTTCATAAACTTTATGCAAATTGTGATGCTTGATGTTCTTGTATATAGACATAAATAAATTAGGTTTAGACATGGAACATCCAGCCCTATTTAATCAGCAAAGATGCATTTTATTATGCATACGTTAAAGTGCTTCTGATGATATCAGACTCTACTCTCTAAACTTCATTGCATGATCCAGCCAATGATCTCTCTTGCACTCCAATTTAATTTCAACGACCTAAATAAAGTAACCTCTTTCATTCTTTCCTCTTGATTAACGAAAACGATGTTCACAAAGTCGTCCAAAGATGCTAGCCAACAGCAGAGCAAGCTAACACCAGCAAAAAAGCATCATTCACGAAGCCAATCATCGTCATCTGCTTCAACATCTGCTGCTCTCAATATCAATACGTCTAATAACAGCACTAATGATTCCTTCAAATTGAACGACGCTAATTCAAGAGGTTGGCTAGAATCATCTGGCGTACAGGTGAATCCCTCTCGTTCACTAGAAAAGAAATCGCATCACCGAAAGCAGGCAAAAGAACTATCGCAGAAAGGTATTTGTAGATACACATCACTGATGAGTAATGTATTGATGATGTTGGGTAGATGTCTTGGGCGCTGTGTCTGTGGAGGATATATTCAAACTGACTGAAATGACAGCGAGATTACCTGAAGTGACTCCACAGGCATCAACATCAAAAAGCAAGAACAAGAACCACCATCGACATACCTCAGAACCCGCATCCACCACCCAAAAACCGCTAGAAATGCCCACCACCTCTCCACCTACAGCTACTGGTGCACCCACAGAGTTGCCTGTTATCACCACATCACCCGATCTCATCACAAGTTCATCTTCTAAAAGCAGTCTTTCATCCTCATTAGAACCTGTTCAAGAGCAGAAACGTTCTTCCTGGTTACATCGAAAGAAGAAGGACACAAGCAAATCAGCTGCAGCATCCATTGTGGACGAATTCTATCAGAAAAACCCCAAGGAAGACAATGTGCTTTCCCGCATACATTCAATCAACATTACGCCTCTATCTGATATCAAATTTGGACACAAGAAAGCATCAAATCTGCAAAAGGAGTCAGAGGTATCAGAGCCAGAGAGTCGCAGGCATTCAGCTGATAATCACATCAATGCTCAAGTGGACACACGGGAGGAGGCTGTGTTGGGTGAAGCCAAGAGGGACGTGCATGAAGAAAGACCAGACCTTTTTTTGCATGTATCAAACGAGGGGCTCGGTGAAGAGAGAGATCAAACACATGCAGTCATTGAGAAACGGCAGCCTGAAGAGCAAGATGATGATCAAGAGAAAGAGGAGATCATCACCATGAAATTTGACTACTTTACACTACCAACTGAAGTGAAAGGCTTGATTGATGCTTATGAACATAAGGGCAAGGTAGAACGGAAGCGGATGGTTGTCAAGTTTAGAAAAGGAAGTAGCCTGGCCAGCAGCAGTGATAATACCAGCAGCTTCATGCATGAAGATGGTGACGAAGATGACTATTATGATGATGAGGAAGAAGAAGAAGATATCGATGAAGATGACAATAGCAACAAAAATGTAGTTTATTATCGAGATCTGATAGTGGGCGAGTACGAAAAGATCAACTACAGAAACAATCCAGTGAGGGATATAGCCATATTATCAACATCACTGTCAGACAACATTGAATTCATAAAACTGATACAACTATCATCAGAAGATCCTCCAGATCAAGGACCTTTGCTTGATCTACATGTATCTATGTTTGGGGACCAGAATAGCGATATGGACATGAACAACGAAGCAGAGGAGCTTGATACCGTACTCCAGAACATACAGAGCAGACTGGTCATACTGGACGCTTTTAAAAAGGAATCAAATGTAGGCTGGTAGTGTATATTATTCATCTTTCAATGCTAACTACTGTACCTTGTAGAGCTTTCTCCAGGACCACATCAGCACCATGGAATCTCTCAATTTATACCAGCGCCATAACAATGAAATACCCAAACTTTCACGCACATATTCCCAACCTTCATTTACGCCATATACCACCGAAGATCCCGACTCCATATCCTATACATCATCATCCTCAGGCTCCTCATTTGTATCTACCGACTCCTCTTCATCATCATCGTCAGGCGTTATCCTTCGACCCACGCGAGAAATGCTATCGCATCGAAGTTCGTTCAATAGACATGCCCAATCCATGTACATTGAGCATACAGAAGTGAAAACAAGCGACCCATTCACGTATCGCCAAGAAGAGATCAGCTGTTTAATTAAATCACTCGAAGCAGAATTAGTTGAATTCAAATCATCACTACAGAATACAGAGGATCTGGTGAATGATGTCCAAGTAGATATGGATGACTTTAGAAATCGAATGGAGACGTATATCAAAGACATTCCTGAGTCACATTATTCAGCGGTAAGTGGCTGTTTTGTCATATCATGTGTCAGTCGCTTATACCGCGAGAACTTAGCTCAAGAAACTTGAGGTCGACATTGAGTCCATTCTGTCCAAAAGAGCCAAGAATCCTTGGCTGGACACAGGCTATGCGCTGCTATCCTATCTGCTGACATGTAATGTGCCGTGAATAACAAAGTAACTGTACGCCACACTCACGCTTGCTACTTTTAGTGTTTGCATTAGTAGTTTGGATCGTCATTTACATTCTGAAGTGGGGCAAAAAAGTAGTGTTGTTCCCGCGCAAGCTATGGAGGGATTATTCAGATTATCTAGTGGAGCGTAACAAGGTTGTCAAAAAAGCAAGCATGCGATCTGTTGCAGCCGGGACAAGCACATCATTGTTTCAGAAAAACAACAACCAAAACAGACAGAGATCTGCTGCTGCATGAAAACAATAATAAAGTCGGTCTGTGCTTCATGCTCTACTGTAACACCAAGCTTAAGTTTATTTTACTTGTAAGGGGGTGGAGGTTGTTGAGGATTTTGCTGGCTGCTAAAAGAGGAATCATTCTTGTTTGGGCTTGGCTTGTAGGTTTGTGGAGCGGGAGGATACCCTTGTGGAGCGGGAGGGTAGCTTTGTGGAGGTGGAGCATAGCCTTGAGATGGGCCTGGAGAGTAGGGCTGTGGAGGTCCATACGAATAGCCATGAGGAGGTCTACTTTGAGGGCCAGATGGTGGCACTTGCTGATATATACTTTGTCTAGGAGGTTTATTCGGTCGAGTAACCATCAAATAAAATGCATGGATATGACCTATTTACTGAACTGTAAATCATGCATGTTTGATTTGATGTGTATGTTTACATACCTGGAAGATAGCCTAGAAATGTTAAACATCTGTAAAAAGAAGGATAAATGAGCTATTTTCTACAGAAAAAAAAAACAAACAATGTGCGAGATACGTTACAGATTGATACAAAGATCAGCACCACATCCAAACATCATCAACACACCAAGAGGCGGAAATAGCAAGGTAAGCAAAATAACGCAGCAATCAACCATCATTTGTACTGGATGAAGAAGAAATGCAAATACAACTTTTATTTAATGCGTTTAAATGTATTTAGTAAGCTGCGTCACTTTTCTCTTGTGTCCCATTCCTATGAACCATCCTAAAACCTGCTTTATGAAACATCTCTACAGCCATGTTACAAATACACACTCTACATTTCAGATAATGACACAATTTGAAGAACAAATGGTGGATTTCATGTTTAATTCATTTAGACTTAAATGGTGTTCGAACTTTAATACAGTTCAGGCTATCCTCGCTCTCTGTCTCCTTTTTGGACCTCTCTTTATCTTCCCTATTTAGGCAAAGAATCAAATCCTTCATTGGACATGTCGTACTCGTATGTCATTGTACACCAGTTGAAAAATACAGAAAAAAGTCCGAATATCAGATCATGATCTCCATGGCAACAACAAAATCACACTGGTTGTCCTAGCTACCATGATACATTACCACTGATGATAACAAAGCTTCAATGAAATGAGAAGCAGAAACGAATGTTTTTATCAACAGATCTGCCTATTTATTTGACACTTTTGTGTGCAGCCGTTTAGGTTTGCTTCGGGATGTATAAATCCTCAGTGCGTTTGTGTCACTTTTTTTCCTCCCTTGATATGCCTTCTCGGTATTCAGTTCTTTTATATAAAAGACTTGTCTATCCGTCAGAATATCGAATCTTTTTTCTCCTTTTTTCAATACTTTTTTACATTTCTCAAAATTTTTTCGTTTGATACCAAAAAAAAAATTGAGACATGTCAAAACGAATATACCAACGAGAACAGCAACAACCTGACGACTTGAACTCCATATCATCTTCGTCAGTATCGCTTACATTGACAGAATCAACACCGTTGATCGGAAAACAGCAGGACCATTTAGAGGATCATACAACTGTGCAACAAGAATTCAAATGGTTGATTTTCAACAGCTTGCCCATTATCGGAACTTACTTGTTACAGAACTCGTTTCAATTAGCAAGTATCTTTACATTAGGACACCTCGGCTCTGTGGAATTAGGAGCCTCTGCTCTGGCTTCAATGTTTGTAAACGTATCTGCGTGGAGCATCGCTTACGGCACAACAACCGCATTAGATACCTTATGTAGCCAAGCATGGACTGGAGCAAGGGATAAAACAGTCATTGGCGTACATCTACAAAGGGCTTATCTTGTGTTGGCGCTGTTATTTGTTCCCATTGCCTGTGTATGGCTAAATGCCACTCCCATCATGCTAAAATTCAATCAGGATCCTGAACTGGCTGAATTTGCAGGCCTCTTTCTCAGATATCTTCTCCCTGGTGCACCTGCTTACATTGCTTTCGAAGCGACAAAGAGATATCTTCAAGCACAGGGAATCATGCATGCCTCGACCTACTCCATGCTGGTTACTGCTCCTCTCAATTTCGTCCTGAATTACATGTTTGTTTATACTTTTGGTATGGGATTCATCGGTGCCCCATTAGCAACAAGTTTCAGCTACTGGCTCATGTTTCTGCTGCTCTTAGCATACATCAGGTTTGTCAAAGGCAGCGAAGGCTGGGGAGGATGGTCTCGTGAATGTTTGAAGGGCTGGTGGCCTTTTATCAAGTTGGCTAGCAGCGGTATTGTCATTATTTGTGCCGAATGGACAGCATTTGAAGTATCGTCGTTGGCAGCAAGCTATTTGGGTACCACTGATCTGGCTGCACAAAGCATTCTACTGACACTTAGTTCAGCAACATACACTATACCCATGGGTATCGCAGTAGCAGCAACAAACCGAGTCGGCAATGCACTCGGCGGCAGTTTCTCTTACAGAGCTCGCATTGCATCTCATACAGCACTCTTGTTTGCTATCGTATTTGGATTGATCAACTCGACATTCTTCCTGGTCACTCGTACTCGCTTAGGTTATTTGTTTAGTTCGGATCCTGATGTCATTGATATGGTAGCTCGGGTGTTACCATTGTGTGCGATTTTTCAAGTAACTGATGGTATTGCATCCGTCGGCGGTGGCGTTATTCGTGGTCTCGGCAGACAGAGTGTAGCAGCATGGATCAATCTAATTGCATACTATCTCATCGCTCTACCATTCGGCTTTTATTTGACCTTCAAGCTCAATTGGGCACTCATGGGCTTATGGACTGGCTTGTCTGTGGCTCTCTTCTTGGTCGCTGCTGGCGAAGTGTCCTTCTTGTATTCCGTCAACTGGTATAACGAGGTGAAAAGAACTCAACTGCGCTGCAGAATGGACGACGATAAGTTAGTGGATACCACTGATCAAACACGCCATTTAGAAGTTTAGGGCACTTTACGTATATACAGCATTTTATTCCCCCCCATTTAGAGTCTCATTAAGGCTTCGTCTTCTCCTCCATACTGGTCTTTTTATATATAGTTTTCGTTTGATGCATCTGTTTCTCTACTCACTTTATTACTTGTATTTGACGTTTGTACAAAAAAAAAAACCCCCCTCTAAAATTTTTTCACTCATTCATCGTTCATCATTAAAAGCAAAAAACTTCAGCTCTAAAAGCAAAATGTCCATTATTCTGAGCAATTGAGCCGGGCTCTACTGGTTTCAATGGCAGTGTTGTTTGTAGCATGTCGGCTGAAGTATTTTGGCTCTACATCTCGGTAGGCACGTCTATGTCTGCCTGCCATTTTTCGTACTTTACCAAAACGCCAACAGGGCAAATAGTAACAAAATAAATAGTCTTTTGTTCTGATTCCAATTGATATGTGGATCAAGTGGGAGCTCTCATTGGCCCTATAAACCTCAGGGTAAGCCTCCTTAATCATCTTAAAGCCATCGCCACCAACACCTCTTGATTGGCACTTTATTTGTAAATTTGAAACAGACTACAATATACTGAAAACTGCCACCAATACACTCGAATACGGAGCATTTTGATTTTTCAACCTAGCATGACTACAGCAAAACTTCGCTCAAGACAACAGAGTTGGAAGCATGTCGTAACATGGATTCTTTTTGTTTCTGATCTCATCAATGGTCCCAAATGTGTCATTAATACGTTTTGTCTGCAGAGCAACATCAACAGCACCCCAATCGCTTTAAAAAGTTGATTCATCACAAATCTAAAATAGCTGCAACCATGAGCCAAAATGTATTTTTACATTTGCAGGATCGCTGCTGGATCTGGGAGCTGGGTGACTGTAAAGCCTGTCAAACTGAGAGCCATGATGGCTTGACAATCCAAACACCCATTACATCGGTAGTTCAATAGATGCGATCTTTTTAGCGCACTTGGCCCCCTCCACATCCCCTTGCTTTTTTCCATCATTACAGTAAAAAAAAAATGAGAAAGCCTATTTACAGTTTATCAAGAAAGTTGGGACGTATGTCCTGGAACAAATACAACTTGTACAATATCGCACACAAAGAACTCCCCAACTTTAACAACAAGACACTTTTCCAGCAAAAATGGGTAGCCAAGAGAGAAACCCGTGCTTACCATGGTGATGAAGTGACAGAACGTCAATTCAAGAATAAATTTTTCGACCCCAAGCTTCCTACTGTTCATTCTTCAGCTGATGCTGGACAAGCTCATCCCCCTGTTGCTGTCCTCTCTTTTGCTGAATTGGAACGTCGCTTAGATTTTGTCGTTTTTCGTTCAAATTTCTGTCCTTCCATCTACGCTGCTCGTCAATTATGTGTTCATGGTAAGGTGTTGGTCAATGGCAAGAAGGTAAGTCAGATCTGGAGAAACACAAAGAGAGGGATAGTGAGGATTAGACATTAATACGTTTGCGTGTAGTTGGCTTATCCCTCTCACAAAGTCAAGGATGGTGATGTTATTTCAGTGGATCCTCAAGCTATTCAATTTTTGAAGGGTGAAAAGGGCCAAGAGCTTGACTTCACCCCCAAGCCATTTTCACAACCCTTCCTGTTTGTGCCAGAATATCTCGAAGTCAACTACAATACTTGTCAAACTGTGTTTTTGAGATCACCCATCTCCAGACCTGGTCGTACAGAGATTCCTTCACCTTTCCCTCCTGAATTCCACTCCCTCGCTTACGAATACTATGCTCGTAGCAAGTAATTTTCTTTGTATCAAATAAAACGATTATATATATATATATTATAGATTTAAACAAAAATGAAAGTATGGTGTCAATTGGATTGATTGATGATGAGATACTGTGTGTTGGAGGGCTAGGTTGTAACCTTGAATTGCGAGATCTCTTTTTAAATTAGCTCTTCCAATATGCCAAGAGCAAGGCTTGATCACAAAGCTGTGAAGCTTATAACAAGTCTCAACAAACAACAAAAGACGTATAAATTCACTCAAATGTAGTATGATTAAGCTAGCAACTGCAAATGACAGCAGTGAGGAGGAGTAGGAGGATACTACTAGTAATGATCTGAACTAACCCACAACATCAAATACTTAATACATCAAAGTTTGAGCCATTTATAACTTCATACAACTTTGCCTTTTTCAGATAACAATAATACATGCGTTCGTCGTTCTTTTGTCTATGATCTTGCTGTCTGAATCATTTCCATAATAATTAGTATCTAACTAGAAGTACTATTTGCAACATTGAACAAAACAGGACTTGTATTGGAATGAAAAATCTGATACAATTTAAGAGAGGTACAGCCAAGCCAGGCAGCAGTACGTTTCAATTTACAATATCCTTCTTATTAGCTTCAAAAATATCAATTGTCTTGACCAGAGACGCATTTTGCCAGCCAAAACAGATTACATCTCTGGCAGTAATTTTTTTGGCTCCAGATTGGTCAGAATCTACTCAAAATCGATCTGATTCACTTATTTAGGAAAATTCGACTATGTAAGTGTGATGCTATTCTTATACTGCCTTAAGCTTTCTTGGAGTACTTTTCAAGGCGCACCCAATGGCGCCAAGCATCGAATGCGTTTTAAACAAACTTAGTGGGCAATTCTTGAAAACATGAAATGAGGTTTATGGCCAAAATGTTGAGATTTTCCATATCAAGATCCCACAAAGATGATTTCAGGGGTTACGTTAGACTGGTAGAAACATTTTGATATGATATGGAAGGCTCTTTCGCGTAACCATCACTACCCCTAAGGTGAAAATTACGCCACTGCTTAAATCACATCTACAACCTTATAACCACCAGCGTTCCACTACCCATCCTCATGGCTACCACCACTGACCTCTCTTGGGTCACGGTCCTCTCTCGAGGCCTCTCCAAGAAGGTCATCAATGCTCCACAACAGCGAGCTAAAGATGACCATTTTAAACTAATTCCTGAAGTTATGTTCGAACACGAAGATCTGAAGGCCGAGGTGCTCACTCGTAAAGCTACTGCCATCCTGCAGCAAGCTTTGACACCGGGATCGGTTTTGTTTACCTTTCCAAACAAACTTTTTGTGCATCGTACAACAGCGTATCGCCTCATTCAGGAACAAATAGCTGCTAATGTCCAGTTTCGCCCCCTTAGTCTGTATCACCAGAAGTCAACTGGAGATCTCTTGGTGGAAGCTAAATTTGACTCCCCTGAGGATGCCAAACGAGCCATCAACAACGGCATCACTCATGGCGATGTGGTATACAAAGCTACTGCTGTCAAGGACAACAGCGAGGGCAAACTCACCCATGTGCAGATGACTATTGTCCGCATGCCAAACATGACCACTTTTCTGGAGGACTTGCAACGCTCGCTGAAATACTATGGTAAGCTATACCAAATCAAGAAGTACACTGTTGATGGCTTCTTTGAGGGTCATGTCAGCTTCCTGATCGACACTTCGGTCAAGTACACTGACGCGGAAGGTCACTCCTACGACGTACAGCCTTTGAGTCGCATGCTTTACCTTTCCGCCTGGGATGTCTATGTGCCAGCGACATACAGAGGAGCACCACCAGTTTGCCATTTCTGCCGTCAGAGTGGACACATTCGCGCTGCTTGTCCTATCCTAGCTAAACGCAAATGTTTCAAATGTCACAAGTTGGGACACACTGTTAAGTTCTGTCGAGAGGAAGAGAAGCCTTTTGACGAAGCAATCGCTGAATATGAGTCGAGCCAAAGGGATCACACTGATTCCTACTCAGTCACTCCAATTGATAAAGTTAACGAAAAAGAGAAGGGCCACAGAGCATCCCCTGCGATCAATGATATTCTCGCGCAGCAACTGCCATCTCAGCCCACCACCACAGACAAGCTAGCCGGCAAAACGACCGAGCTCACAAGTAGCCAGATCAGTACCTTGTTTTCCGCAAATGACAGCCAAACCTGGGACCAGTCTCCGGATGTGATGGAGGTAGATCCCCAGACCCTCCAGCGTTCTCCCAACGGTAGCGATGCTTCTAAGCATGCTCCGTTAGCTTCGTCCTTCCATATGCATTTGGATCCCAAGTTATCTGCTGACAATGTCTCCTCTCCCAATGATTTCCAGACTGATGTGCCCTCTCTCCGCCGTCATTCTATGAGCTCGACGTCTATGTCGCAGCCTCAAGTGTATCATGTCGCCCATAGGGCATAATGATACAACAATCATTGCGCATAGGTACCCTTAATGCCCGGAGCATCTTTAAGGGTTCCTCAAAATCTATACAGAAGGAATTCACTTCCTTTCTGCGCTCCAAAACCCTCCAGCTAGATATTCTCTGTCTGCAGGAGGTCTCTCATTACCGTCAGCAGGCCCACCTCACTGATGATAATGTGCGTGCTTTCTCTTTTATGTTTCCTCGGTCTTCCTTTGTCGTCTCGAAGCATTGTGCAATAGTGTGTCTGAAGCAAGGCTTGGAGCTCGCGGATGCCACCATCTCTCGTGACGAACGCTGCATCACCGCCACTATTAAGGACGCTAATCACACCATATGCCAGATAGCTAATGTGTACATGCCCGTGCACAGAGCCCATCGCTATGCTTTCCTGGAGGAGCTGATGTCCATGCCCTTCTGGTCTGATATGCTTGACTCCCAGTGGATCTTGCTTGGGGATTTCAATATCCATTTGCATGATGCGGTCGAAGCTCGTCTCCCTAGAGTCCAACCTTTTGTTGAATGGCTGAACACTCATTTTTTCAACTGTTTTCCAAAAGGCACAATGACTCTCCCTAAAGCTGGCACCACCATTGACTATGTCTTTGCTCCTCCTCCTATGGCGACTCGTATCATCAACACTCAGACTCACCACATTCCACCTGAGTGGACCGATCACAGCCTCCTCACAATCGATCTGGTCACCTCTGGCGTCCAGTTGGGTCCTGGCAGCTGGCGTTTGAATCCGTACTTGCTTGAGAACCGTGAATTCCAAGCCCTTTTGGATAAAACCGTGGATATGTTTTTGGCGTCTGACTATTATACGACAGATGTGGCTGATATGGGTGTCTCTGCTCAGGAGAAGTGGGAATCTCTCAAGTCGATCATCAAGTACTGTGCCAAACAGTTCACCAAAGGCCAGAAGGCTCGCTTCAAAGCTCGAGTCTCCCACCTCCAACGTGAACGGGAACAGCTACTTGGGACCCCGGAGGAGTCGGCAAGGATCAAAAGACTGGAGCAACTGATTGAGCAACGGATTCAAGATGACACTCGTCAAGCTATGCTGCGTTCGGCTACTCGTTGGCTGGAAATGGGAGAGCAGAACAACAAATACTTTTTCAATGTGATCAAGGATCGTGAGGCGCAACAAACCATCCAGTCCCTGAAAAAGGCTGGCACTGGAGAGAAGCTGACAGACATGGGCGACATTCTCCAAGAAGCTCGTACTTTCTATCAGGATCTCTACACACCTGAAGACATTGATTTGGCTGCCGTCAACTCTCTCTTTGACAATATCCCTGCTGATGCGAAGCTACAAGAAGCTGAGGCAGACCGGCTGATTGAACCACCCTCCACAGACTCTGTCTTGCTGTTACTGGACCATGCACCCAAGAACAAGTCTCCTGGTTTGGATGGCCTTCCGTTTGAGGTGTATCGCTATTTGGCGGCGAAGTTCCCTGCTGTTCTGCTTCTCTTGCAGCAAGTGCTGACTGATGCGCTGCGTGGTGTCTTCCCTGACTCTTGGAAAGAAACGAGGATGGTACTGCTGTTCAAGAAGGGCGATCCAGAGCTCCTCAAGAACTGGCGACCTCTCTCGATGATCAATAGCGATGCTAAGCTGTTCACCAAGATGTTAGCCAACCGGTTCAAACGTGTCCTCTCCCGATTGATTACGCCGTACCAAACAGGCTTTATGCCTCACCGGCTCATCTCGGACAATGCGTGGTTGAACCAGACGCTGATGACCAACCTCCGTGATGCAGCTCCTCAGGATCCCAATGTCGCCGTACTCTTGGATCAAGAGAAAGCCTATGATCGGGTCAATCCGACATATCTGGCGATGGTTCTTCGTCAGTTTGGCTTCCCGGCATCGTTGGTATCCAGTGTGTCAAGTCTGTTCTTTGGTACTCGTATCTCCTTGTCAATCAATGGGTGGTTGGGCGCCCCCATCGATCAACAACGTGGTTTACGACAGGGTGATCCGTTGTCCCCTTTGCTGTTCAACCTGGCTTTCGAGCCGTTCCTTAGAACCATCTTGGCCTGCCCTTCTCTTCAAGGCGTCTCAATGTCTACCGCTGTCCGTGCTCCTCTCGCAGGGCGTATCTCTCGTGCCTCCTCTCTCGTGCCGGTCCAAGGCGACCATGATCTCCTACGCGCTCCGGCGACCCCTCCACGGGTGAAGCTGTTGAGCTATGCCGATGATCTGGAAGTCTTCCTGACTTCTACGGCGGAATGGCCTGTGCTGCTGTCTCTTTTGTCGCTCTATGGCAAAGCGTCCAACGCCAAGGTCAATTTGGAGAAAACCGTGCTGTTGTCGCTGTCAGGCGAGGCTCATGCTGATTGGAAGCGAGTGACGGAAACGTCTAACATTGAGTGGTACGACAGCTCGTCAGTTGGCTCTGTGAGGTATCTAGGTTACCCTCTGTATCATACAGAGGAGCAGTTGCAGCATTTCCTGAATTCCATTACCGTGAAGATTCAACGTCATTGCAATCTGCTCACCAAGCGGCAGCTATCCATTCGTGGAAAGGGTTTAGTGGCGAATTCCCTTCTGCTGTCTCGCTTGTGGCATCTCCTGCGTGTGGTTGTGGTTCCTGACAAGTGGCTGGAGGAGATACAGCGCGTGGTACGCCAGTACATCGTCTCGTTTTGGCCTACTGTGGCTTGGGATTCTCTCTGCCTTCCTAGGAAGCATGGAGGTATTGGTCTGGTTGACATCAAGAAGCAACATCTCGCCTTGCATCTCATATATGTCAAGCGTCTGCTTCGTCCCAGATCCCCAGCGGATTTCCTCACTCCCTGGCTGATGTATACATTCCATGTATACTCAGGTCATGCTACGGTGCTGCCTTTGCTGCTATACCCACGTACCTGCTGGCCGCGTGTGCGGAAATGCCCTCACTTGGAGCATCTGGCTCGTCTACTCACTCGTTTGCCTCCCTTGACTCTCACTCCTGAGTGGCCGTCTTGGTGGCTCCTAGATCTGCCCTGGTTACAAGTATGCTCCCTGTCTCCCACAGCGACTTTGCCTTTGACTAGGAACAGTGACAAACTGCCACCTCATGCCTTGATTGCCAGCCTCTTGAGCGTGCTCCCCAACTCCCACATCTTGGTTTGCGTGCGTCCCCGTGATACTGCTGCATTGCAACATCTGTTCAATGCCTTGTGCCCCATCGAGGGTCCTCCTGTTTGGGCTGTCCCTGCTCCTCTCAGGTCCGTCATGGCCTTCACCGCTCCAGAGCGAACCGCACTGCTGGAGAGTTCCACTACCCCCTCTCCACCCACGGCTAGCTTTTCGCATTGGTTCATCACCACTGGCCCTCGCTCAAAAGCTACAGTGGACAAGATCACTCTCGGGGCGTTACGCCGTTCCTGGCATCCGTCATTTGACATGTTGCGTCGCCCAGCCCATCCTCCTGGCTATCGCCCACCACATCTCCTGCTTCCTCCTCACCTCTGGCGTGATTTCTGGTCTCTCTGTCTCCCGCCCAAGGCATTTACACCGTGGTGGCGTTTGCTGCATGGACATCTCTCGGTGCAGGTTCGCCTGCACTCCATGAACCGTGTGAAGTATCCTTCCCCACTGTGTAAGATGTGTCATGAAGCAACTGAAGATGAATACCATATGGTCATTGGCTGCAGTATGAAGTCCCTCTTCTGGTATGAGTTTGTCTCTCACCTTGGTCTTGCTGATCTGTTCCCTACGGACGAGGCCATCTGGATTGGGTTGACCACCCTTCACGGCCAGGACAACAATCCTCTGGACATTTCCATCTTGGAACTTCTCGGCGCTGCCTTCTCATCTATCTGGCAACATCATTGGGGCTGCACAATTGATGGTAAATCTTGGATCACTCGGGCTGTTTTCTCCTCTTTTCTGGAAGATCATTCCAAGTTAATTTCTTCTTTCTTAGACATGTAAGACCCTTATGGCACCTTACTGTCTATAATATAAATAAAAAACACATTTAAATACAAAAAAAAAATTTTGATATGATATATCGGGCTGTTTTCTCCTCTTTTCTGGAAGATCATTCCAAGTTAATTTCTTCTTTCTTAGACATGTAAGACCCTTATGGCACCTTACTGTCTATAATATAAATAAAAAACACATTTAAATACAAAAAAAAAAAATTTTGATATGATATATATCATAGTAAAAGTCTTCATTTTCAAGGTGAAAAACACGATCATTTGATTTTTGTAAAAAAACTATGAGGGGTACCTCATGCTTTTTGGTCGATTTTTGGCCATGTTTTTTTGGTCCCCAAAAAATTGAGCAAAGGTGGCAATAAGTAACTGCCAGATGAAGGCAATTGTTTGGTGTTATTCTGGCAGTCTAAAACAGCCTCTAGCACGAGAAATCACTGCTCAAATGCACTCAAATTTTGCTGTGTTTCGCTTACTTTTGAGTAGTAAGAGGTAATGCCAATATGCTGTCTGTACGCATACGAACTGTTTTCATTTGAAGCTAGAAAGAGCAAGTATCTATGTTATTGGTATTTTATACGGATAAGTCATTAAAACCAGACTTTAGATTTGATACATATAAAGCACTGAAACCGTTTTATTGATTTATCTCAATTGAGATACTGTAAAGGTATTTATGTTGAAGACAATCATGGATGATATTAAGCAACAAGAGCATTTGGACGTCTAGCGAATTTGACATTATATGCAAGAGGTAAGACGGTCAGACCAGCATCTCTTCCTCCATCGAGGTTGGGGTATTCTCCAGGTACAGCTGGTTCAATGAAGCATCTAGCAAACACCTGAACAAAAGCATAAAAGATCTCCACCTCAGCCTGCGGACATTGCCATGAGTACTCAATCATCAACCTGACATTCGACAATGACTTACCAAGTAGATGCCCGGACATATGCGTCGTCCCCATCCAAAACTATAGGTATCTCTTTGTTCTATGCTACCGTTTGCTGAAGCTTGCATTGTCTTGAGATTATTCAAAAATCTCTCTGGAATAAACTCAAAAGGATTTTTATAACGTTCAGTATTGGTATGCATGCTTCCCATGTTGGAGATCAAGGTGCTGTTCTTGGGAATGAAGTAGCCGTCCACAATAACTATTAGGAGCATCCGAGTCAGCCGCTTTTGTCTGTTATGGCATTATTGGTTACTCACTGTCTTTATCAGTTGTATGCGAGAGACCAAAAGAACTTGTGGGCCTATATCGCATGCATTCCTTCATAACAGAGATACAAAGTGGGATTTCCTCTCTTTCATTAAAGTGAGGGATACGGCCGTGAGTTCTGATAAAGGCATCAATCTCGTCAGAGACCCTTTTTTGAAGATCAGGGTATCTACACAAAATCGCATAGTTCCAGGACATGGTGACAGAAATTGTGTCGGTACCAGCAGCAATTAAATCAGCTATATACGACAGAGGAGGCAATTAGTAGCATTACATTGCCTTGATAGTGATAACTTACACATAAATACAACCATATCATTTTCATCCATAACATAGCCATTTTCTCCAATAGACTTGATGATGTTGGGCCCTTCTTTTGTAAAAGCTTCTCTGATCAGTTTTCTGTAGGTAGGATTTCTTTCGTTATAGATGAAACTCTTCATTTTGGCTTCTGTGCCAAAGAAATAATCGATGACGGAGAGAGCGGGCAAGAAACTAGGCAAATCATTCTTCAACGCTGCTAATTTCATGGTTTTTTCAACCTAAAGGAGCACTATGAATAGCTGATTTGATAGGCTGTCAAGTTGTATACCTACCACATGCGCCAAAGTTTGAAATTCGGGATCATCAATGTTTTTGAAGCTTCTTCCAAAGCCAGCATTGAAAATGACATTCAAGGTCAATAGCTCCAGACACTTTAACGGATCAACGCTGCCATTGATCTCGGTTGCATTGATTAATCTTTTGGCCAACTCAGAGGATTCTTTTAGAATGGAGTCCGTGTAATTCTGGTCAATCATTCTAGGTGAAAGTACAGAGAGAGCAGCTGATCTAAACATCTTGAAGGACTCATTTGGTTGACTAAACACAATACCCCTGAGTTTCTATGTGTGAGTAACCCATCTTGACTTTCTGAATCTTTGCAAATACTTACTTCCCCTTAAAACTGTAATACTCGTACGAGTAAGTGCTATAAGGCCTGAACGATGTATTGGCACCATGGGTCACGAATATCTTGTGCGCTAGGAAAGGATCATCGATAATATGCCAATCTTGACAACCCATTTTGATCTTGATAAGAGGACCCAATTCACGATGCCATTCAGAAACAGTTTTTCCAGGCAATTCACCCAAGGAAAACATATGGCCGACATATGGGTAACAAGCACCAGGTACAGGAATCTCCTTGAAACCTTGTTCTCTCATCTTTTTTTTGTGTTTGCTGGCTGAGATTAGCTTATAAGAGGCAAACAAAACTGTAGTCGCAGCCGCAATGCTGACAATAGGTGCAAGTTTTTCACGGTCAATGCGTTGCGGTAGGCGGATGGCTTCAACAAGTTTTGTAATATGGTCCATTTTGTGATATACAGTATATATAGAGTATATTGGAATGAAAGCAAAATAGGCAAGGCAATCTTAGGTTTAAATAGAACAATAATTAGTTGCTTCCACATGTTTTTCCTTGTTCTACAAGTCAAGTTTACATGAAGGGTTAGATTACTTTGGCTGTTGATCGCATACAGAGAGTATATAGATGCGCACAAGTAATTTCGGTTTTCCAATGTACAACACGCTACACAGAAACTCAAAATGTCAACTCATTATAAACGGATACCCCATCTATCAGCTTGTTGATGTGCAATAAATGCCATCAAAAAAAGTATAGTTGCCTTAAAGCAGTTTTTCAACGCATCCAAATGACTGCAAAATAGTTGCCGTGCTGGCCAGAGTAAAGCTACATGCTACAAATCATCATGTTTTCCGTTTTTCAAGTTACGTTGCAAAGTTCATTAGCAATTCAAATCCCTCAGAAGCACAAATATACGGTGATTCCGAACACATTACATGGAATACCTCAATTTATTGCTACTCGTCAAATCAAAGTAATATTTTCGTAGTAATCTGTTTTCTCTATAGCCAAATCTTTTAAACGATAATGCTCGGTATTACTGTAACATCGTCTATAACGATATGGAATTAATGTTGCACATCCATCGCACATTCAACTTAAAGGTAAGACTATTCAAACAGTTGTTCGGGTATGTATAAATCAGCAACAAATAGCTTACATACGAAATGCAAGCAACTTGATCAGTTTTGGTCACGAATAAAAGACTGGAGAGACTCAAGAATAATATAAACATTCGAAACAAGATACAATATAGAGATCTCACTGCTTCATATTCAAATGACAGCATCATCAATGCAAATTATACGAAATAGTGTGTGTATGAGATTGATTTAATTTGTAAAATGCCATGTGTAGATAATTAATGGCCATAGTATACTTTTGGATAACTTCTAATGATTGTCGATGATGACATGCGCTCTTCTGCCATCAACTTTCTCTCCTGTTTGGCCCATTCTTCAAATTTTCTCATAATAATACCAGTGCTATCGAATTCACCCTCTCGACGTCCATGATCTTCACTTTTTTCGGTCGTTGCTCCTTCTACCATGCGAGTTTGACCCCACGAAAAGTCATCAAAATGCCAGTAAGCGTAAGCAGGTAAAATGAAATTCCAAATGGGTAATGATAGCAAGTACACACCCATCCAGCCAATGTACACCATCTTGCGAGTCGTTAATGCAATGAGCACCGCGGGTAGACCGAGAATAGCTGCCAACAGCATCAATGGAATGATAGGAATAGGTGTGACAAAGAAGGATATGATAATCAAGTAGATAGTGAATGAAATGGCAGCAGGTAAAACAACGGTGCCCACGAGTTCCATAAAAACTACAAATTGCATGGAAAAGCAAAAGGTGCCACATAAATCGCGGATCAGCACGAGCTCCAACAGATTATGTACAGTAGAATTGATCCATCTTCGTCGTTGTGACAGTAACACTTCAAATGTATCAGGAACCACCGTTTTACACACCTGTTATGATATGGTTAAGACAGAATAGTTGTATTGAAGAACGCCCTATACTTACAGCTTGAGGCACAAATATCATTTTGCGCTTGGGGAATGTTCGAAGCATCAGTGTAGTGAGATATCTGTCTTCACCCAAGAGGAGCAAGTTTTTTTTATGAAGCGTATCCACCACGTTTTCGCAGTACATTTCGACAATGTCAGACGAACAGAAGATGGGTACATAACGATCGCCTTTAGGAGCAATAATACGGTACATACAGAAACATCCAGGGAGACAGGTAACACCACCAAAGATGGACTCGAATGCTTTACTCATATGATGCGAAATGTAATATTCAAAGACTATCGACAGACAGAGTGAGTGGTTATTCCCATATGTGTAATCATACTCGTACCTTGAATAGCAGTGACCCAACTATCACTCTTATTGGCAATCTTTGTTTCTCCACATAGACCCATAATATAAGGGTCTCTGGACATGCATGCAATCATGCGTGCTAAAGAATCAGGGTATACCTTTGTGTCAGCGTCCACCTATAAACCCTCGACATATTAGACGATTGCAATGGTTTTCATAAGAATCTGTTCTACTTTACCATTAAGCATGTTTCAAATCTTGAGGGATGATTGCCAGTCAACTTGACAACGGCTTTACAGAACTGATATTCTAAATCACACATACGCTCGCCGTAATACACCTTTTGCATGGCGTTCATCAAAATAACTTGACTATCACGCTTGCCGCGATTACCAGGCTTCTTGTCGCTGGCCTCAGCTTCTGTACCGCACTTGACAATCACAATCATAGGCACTGTCTGTTGTTGATCTTCAGGTATGACCTCCGGGATCTTGGACGCATCTGTATTGTAGCTGTAGTAGCCAGCATACACTTTAGCCATGTTGTGGCGCTTGGTACCATCTGCAATAGCGACATAGGATGAAGGCTGGACTTGCTCTCGAGGTACGAGGTCATCCTTCATCATGGAGAGCACAATATCAGGTGTTGAGCTGCCGTTACCAGAGCCAGTAATGATACCATCACAAATGACCAGCAGCATCTTGTGTGAGCTTGGGTAATCTGTGTTGGCTAGTGAATCCAGCGTAGTGCGAAGGCCTTCTTCGCCTTCAGAGTAGCAGGTTACCACCATGAATGTATGAATGAGGTCAAAGTTAAAGTTGTGTGTCTGTGCTTGCAAGATAGAGGCATTGTTTTGAGACTGATTGTCGTCCATATTACGAAAGAATTGAGAGCTGAGGGTATAAGGTATATTGGGTGATGCCATGTTGCTGTAGCTGCCATCCAGCATGCTAGCAGGTGTGCCAAAATGGCGTGAACTACTGAGCGAACGGGGCGAATTGGGCTGCGTGAATCGGGATGTGGTGGGGAAGAATCTGCGTTTTGCCTTTTGCTGTTGATTGACCTGAGGTGAATTGACAGCGGAATGAGCCATTTCATCAGTGGCGAACGAGTTGCGGACATCAGCCGTAGTCAGAGGTGCTGGGACAGCAGGGCCTGTTTGCTGAACGATAGATGCAATAGGGATAGAAGCAATGCTCTGTGTTCTTGGGTAATGCATTTCTTCTGCATTGTTCATCTCCCATTCCAACACCTTCTCCTGTCGTTTACGCCTGTCTTCATCCGTTTCTTCTCGAATGCTGCCCAATTTCCAAGAGACAAACCAGCCAAAGACCAGCGCCAAAAAGAAACGAATCAACACCACGCCCAAGATGACAGCCAGAGACACCCACAAGACGATATCGGAAATAATACAGCCTGTGGACCTAGTATCGACCACACCCACTTTGAGAATATCTGTAAGACACTTGCCAATTTGCAGTCTATCAGCAGTGGTACTGAGCCAGTAAGTGGCATCTCTGCCGATGAACGCACTTCCAGGGCCCACAATCTGGGCGACCTGAATAGGCAGAGGGATATTTGGCGTGAGGTAACGGAGACGAGAGAGATCCAGCACATTTCTACAAGATCGCTCAGTACTCTTATGTATCCGTCAGCATGACGAACGACTTACCCATTGAAGGCTACCAAACTAGTGCCTGGTTTCTGAATATCTGTCCAGTTGTAGTAAACATCACCCACCACATCCAAACGACGCAGAGCCAGCCGAGAATTGGTGCTGATATGACAGCCATTGCGCTGCGGGTTGTCTGTCGCATTGATTTTGGGGTCGTATCTATCCAGTGTCACACATGGAAAGTAGTTGGCTACATTGCCATTCTGATCATCCGCTTGAATAGGCTTCAAAATGCCTTTGCAGTTGTAATTTACGGTTTGAAACAAAAAGGACAGATCACGGCCGCCAACACCTAATTCTTGTAAATCGCCACTACCAGGCATATCAATCACTGGCGTAGGATGTCTAAATGATTTCAAATCAAAGGCTCTTCCAGAAATGACAATGTGGTTGTACTCGACGCCCGTGGGACGAATACGATTGGCTTGCCTTCCACACACAGTAGCATTGAAGCCAAATGTCAGGAAACCGACGATAGCGCACAAAAAGATGATGACTTGCACCAGCGACACCTTTTCACGCCATGCTTGCTGCATACCTTTATCTTTGATACCTGTATCTTGTGTTAATACAGCTGTTATCACTCTCTTTTCTAGTGACTTTATCTCACCAAATGTTCTCAACATGAATGGAGGTGCCCACCATGTCAGTATCCAACTTGCCGTTGTCCAGCAATTGGCAGGTCTTCTTTTAGATTGCTTTGAAGCTGTGCTGTTGCCAGCATCTTTGGGAGCATTGGAATGGCTGGATGAATTGACCAAGTATTGAGCTCTTCTTAGATCTTCTGGCCTTTGTGCTCTTTCAGGTCGACTGTCTGTTGGCAATTCCGCCTTTCGTGGTCTACTGGCATTGTTGGCGGTCGAGTAGGGTCTCGTGGTATTAGTGGCCGTAGTGGTGGTGGTTATGGGCGTGGCTGAACTGCTCATGATGGATGCTGCTGGGTGCATTCTCTGTGATCCAGTGTTTTGTGATGGCTGTGGCGTACCTATATTGTTGGTCTCTACTCGAAGATTGGCATTGGGCAATGGCTTTTTCTGATTATCATTGCTGGTGCCATCTTTTTCTGATGTTGTGGATGGCTTTTCAGGTGGAGGTGTCTCTGACTTTTTATTTTCCGATTTACTCATTGTAAGTATACGGTAAAAGAGAGAGAGAGAGAGATAGAAAGGAAAATAGGAAGAGAGAGAGAGAGAGAGAGAGAGAGGAAAGAAAAGAGAAGGCAAATTTGCAACAAACATTGTTGGAAAATTTAATATAGAAAAATGGCCATTCTTTAAACAAGTTCTGATTGAAATATCCACGTTAATTTCCTATGGCCATTTACCATAGGGCTGAATTAAGGGCGTCTATTTTTCTATTAGTTATGAGTATGTCTACGCTTCAGACGGTTTTCTATCTTTGCTTTGCTTCGGTGAGAGTCTACCTATGCAGCGGCAGCTCGCGCTACCAATTACCCTTGCTCATCTCTTCAAAATACTGCTACTTTCATTTAAACCCTCCACTTACACTTGAGAACCCTTCGTAATATCGGTGGACCTGACTCATATGTGATGTTTCACATACGTATACACATTAACACTTCATATACAGGCAACCACTGGTATTACCTCTTTCTAGTCAAACGTGTACCTAATACAGCTAAATTTGTGTGCATTTAAGCCGTATTTTCTCGCATTAAACGCCGTTTTGGATCTCCAGAATAGCACCAAACAATTGCAGTTATTTTCTGACACCTCCCCTACAAAAAAAAAAAAAAAATTCTGACACCTTTGCTCAACTTTTTGGGGATCAAAAAAACATGGCCAAAAATCGACCAAAAATCATGAGGTACCCCTCATGATTTTGATCGAAAATCGAACGATCGCGGTTTTCACCTTGATAATGAAGACTTTTACTATGGCATATATTAATTCAAAATGCTCCTATCGATCTAACGTAACCTCTGAAATCATCTTTGTAGGATCTTGATATGTAAAACTTCGACTTTTTGGCCAGAAACCTCTTTTCATATTTTCACAAATTGCTCAATAAGTTTATTCAAAACATCTACCTTACTTGGTACCATTGGATGCGTCTTGAAAAGCACTCCAAGGAAGGTTAGAGAGGCATGGATGGATTATCATATTCTTATAGTCGAATCTGGCAAAATAGATCAATTAAGTCGAAAAAATAATCGAAATCTGGCCAATCTGGAACAGACCAAGAGTTTGAGTTGGAATTAATTTTGGTGGCAGACATACTTATCATTGCCTTTTTACATAAAGGCAATACAGTAATAGATGCTTTTGAAGCGTATGAAAAGTAGGTGGCAAATTACATAGTAGTATCGTTAGCCCAAGTCTTGCATCTTATAGCGTCAGTCCACCGAAATACTTGTAAGACCACCTTCTTTCTTTTCTGAGACATCAACAGTGTGTGAGGACAATTAATTTATTGTGTTATCGATGTTATGATGCGGTTAAACAGCGGAACGTATCCAAAACATCATCTACAGTGGGCAATCTCCATGTCGCCATGGTCTTTCTGTCTTCAATGCCCACCATAATAGTAAACACAGGCAATTCAGGCGAATCTACCTTTTTCAGCGCCTTGAACATGTCTTCGTCTGTCTTGTCATCACCACAACACATAATAAAGTCAATGTCTTGATTTGCAGACAACAGACGTTTGATAATTTCTCCCTTGTTGGTGGCTGTAGGACGCACCTCCAGGTTCTTTTTGCCAACCAGCACCTCCACAGGCATCTTGGAGAGAATGGCGTTTTCCAAATGATTTTGACACTCTTTGGACTGAAATGCACCGTATTCTGGATCTGCTAATCGATAGTGCCATGTCACGGAGCATCGCTTGTGTTCGATAAAGCTGCCTATCGTTCTTTCTGCGTAATAAGTAAAGATTTCCACCACATCGTGCTTCCAGTTCATGTCAAAGTGCTCTAATAGATTGATCCAGCGGTTGCTTGTGGGGTATTTGACAAAACTGCCGTGTTCTGCACTGAGCCCTAGTCCCTTGACTTGTCCCAGCCATTTGTCCAGTGTTGCCTCATCTCGACCTGAAATCACCCAGACCTGGTTCCTGGGATCACTGCACAGTGATTGCAGTGCTTTTAGCATGGCAGATGTGGGTGCTCTTGAGCCAGGTGACTTTTTCACTGCTGATAATGTGCCCTGCCATCACACACAAGTTAAATTTCTGATCTAAATGCTTACGTATGCATCCACTTACATCGTAATCAAAGCATAACAAACGCTTCTTGGATCCATGGTAAAACGACAAAAGTCTCTCCTTCTCCAAAATGGGGGTATAACTTGATTGCTCTGATGTAGCGATAGATTCCTGTAGTACCTTTACAAACGACTGAGCCCAAAACGATGCTGTATGTGTCTTGACATGAGCAAACATTTGCTAATAGACCCTGATTGAGTATACCACTATATCGTTGAAGATGCCTGTAAAAAGAAAAGCTTACCATGTGTCTTGATTGCTTCTCTTCGTCTGACATGAGCAACGCTTCATTCATAGCTTTTGCCACACCAGCATAGTCCCAAGGATTCACCATCAAAGAAGAGCTAAGCGACCCAGCCGTGCCTGTCAGCTCTGACAAGATCAAAGGTCCGTGTTGATGTTCCTGACAGATGACATACTCTAAGCTTGTGGTATTCATACCATCTCTATTTGCTGTGATTACTGCTGCATCAGCAGTCGATAGCAGGGCGTAATATTCATCTAATTGAATTTGGTGGTGAAAATGATAGACTGGTGAAAACTCTAGATTTCCATATTTATTATTAATGTGTGCTACAGTCTCGGAAACTTTGTGTTCCAGTTTAGCGGATTCGTTGGTAGCACCATCCGTCAGCTGAATCATGACCACCTTGTTCCTCCATTCTGGGAAATCTATCAGGAACTTCTCAAACGCAGCGAGTTTCTGAAGCACGCCCTTGACAAGATCAATCTTGTCTCTGCCCACCAGTATCTTTTTACCAGCATACATGCCTTTGATGGCTTGGATTTTGGATTGCACGCTGGGTGCCTGGCATCGTGACGCAATTTCGACAGGATCCACACCGATAGGAAACGTGCCCACATGACAGAAATGGCCATCCAAGCATCTCAGTCCTTCAGGCGTCGATTCGTATCCAAGTACACGTGTGCAGGTGGAGAGGAAATGGCGAGCATAGGCATATGTCTGGCATGAATTTTAGTTGCCATGGTAACGAGGAGGAAAAAAGCAAGGTTTACGTACCTGAAATCCAATTAAATTGGCTCCAATCATTCCTTTCAGGATCTCTTGTCTCTCTATCATTCAACTTGTCAGTATGTCGCTTTCAACAAGCACGGCACACCTTACTTGGCAAACATCTAAAGATTTCAGATGTTGGAAATGGAGAGTGAACAAACAATCCAATTCTAGCCTTTGGATGCTTTTCTCTTATCATGGATGGTACCAGTAACAAGTGATAATCATGCACCCAGACTACACACAAATGTAAAGCGTCAGTAAGCCACGTTCTTCCCCAAGATCCACAGTGATACATTACTGATGTCTCCTTCTTGATATATCTCTGACACAAAATCCGCATAAAGCTGATTGACTGTTGTATACGCCTCCCATTGCTTTCTTTCCAATCTGCCATCGGTAGCATTATTCCAAATTATGTAATGAAACAGAGGCCACAGCACTATATGAGGAGACGATAAGCATCTCTCGACGCTGTGAACATGATGTAGAGTACAAACTTGTTTTGCAGTAACCGTCATAGTGACCAGATACACTTTCGCCATCCACAAACAGCGGTATACATTGGTAGTTTTTCTTCAGCTCGTTGTATAACTCAGCCTTTTGCATTTTGTTGAGATGATCCATGGGCTCCTTGGTGTATCCATCAAATTTCTGCTGGATCATGTTGATTTGTCCCGTCCAGCCAATGTAGAGTATGTCCCATTCATGTTGCAATGAGTGTATACCACCATACATGGCGCCATGGCCTCGTCGAGGTGTATATTGCCATAAATTGCTCTCTGACGACAGTTCGTAAGGTATCTGATGAGTGACATTGATGATGCGTCCCTTGGAGTTTCTTGTCATGTTGTTTTGTGGAAAATGGAGAGGAAGAGAAAAAAGATTGGAGATAACCACCTTTTTTGCACAAAGAAATTTGTGATTCTGGGTGTGAAAAGAGGTATGTACTCACATGAGCCATCTTTTACTCCATGGGCATTGAAGCTATCCTGTTGCTCGTAGAGTGGATTGAATAGAACTATTGAGATGTCTGTTGCATGTCACTGAGATAAAAGTCATCGCTAGCATCTTTTTGATCGGGTGAAAACTCTTCAGATGGCATGATGGGCATAGAGATGGTCATGATAAGCATAGAAATGGGAAGGCTGTTCAGGAACACCCGAACCCCGAACGATCCAACTTGATACATCTAGCCGAGATTTGACCTTGAATCAAGCTGCTACTGGCCCTCGCGTTCATTCTTGATCTCGCATCTCCAGTGATCTTGAAAACGAGAGCGAAAAAGATCTTTTTCGTGTAACAAACCAAGATAAGATAAGACAGCGAATCAATGTTGAGATGGGATGGATACTGATCCATGAACATTGGATCCATTGAAGGTGCTGTGGATGCGGCAGGTCATGGCATACGTGCTGTCCTTGTTGACTGATCCAATGTTTGTCAGTATAAAACATACAAAAACGAAAGAAATGTGTCTCTATTGTGCGGAAGTCGAACCCTAAATCACATCTCTGACTGCAATGGGAGGGAGGATTGACTCACTCGTCTACACCCCCTCACTTTGGATGGTTACATTCACCCCGCTCTCATCAATGAGCATAGATTGTTTTCTTTCTTCTCTTTCGTTTTCTTCTTCATCCAACACAGATTATTCAGCATGCTATCCATTGCTTCGCGCTTAAGAACCATCTCCAGCAGAGTTGCTTTAACATCCATCAAGCCTATTGCCCAAAAGACTGCTGTTAAAAGTGTGCCTATCATGTGCGCTCGTCGCACCTATGCAACCAAAGAAGTATCCTATACAGTAGACAAGTTCCCGGGCTATGTGCGTAATGAGAATTTTAAAAAGGTGAGTCAATGCCACACACCATCAGCAGAGCACACACTCACATGGATTCCAACATTAGCTCACTGCTCAAGATGTAGAGCATTTCAAGACCATCGTTGGTGAGAATGGCTTGATTCATGACAATCAAGACGATTTATTCGCTTTCAATACCGATTGGATGCACAAATTCCGTGGTAAATCACAACTCGTATTGAAGCCAAAGACCACACAACAAGTCTCTGATATCATGAAATACTGTAACCAGCAAAAGTAAGTACTACTGTGTCGCCAAGACAATGCGGATGCAGCGTTGACCCCTTGAATTGCAGATTGGCTGTTGTGCCTCAAGGTGGTAATACGGGTCTTGTTGGTGGATCCGTGCCTGTATTTGATGAGGTGGTATTGAGTCTGCAGGGCATGAATAAAATTCGTAGCTTCGATAATGTATCAGGTAAGTACCCGTTTATTAAAGGGGTGGGAAAATACATTTAGTCATACGAAATTTGCTCTCTAGGTATCTTGACAGCTGATGCTGGCTGTGTGCTGGAAGTGCTTGACAACTGGTTGGGTGAGAAGGGCTACATGATGCCATTGGATTTAGGTGCCAAGGGAAGTTGCCATATTGGTGGTAATATTGCTACCAATGCAGGCGGTTTGAGATTGTTGCGTTATGGATCTCTTCATGGCACTGTGTTGGGTTTGGAGGTCGTGCTTCCTGATGGTACCATTTTGGATAACATGTCTACCTTGAGAAAGGACAATACTGGCTATGATTTGAAGCAGCTCTTTATTGGATCAGAGGGCACCATCGGTGTCATTACTGGTGTGTCCATCCTCACTCCTCATCGCTCAAAGGCTGTGAATGTCGCTCTTTTGGGTTTGAACTCATTTGAAGATGTGCAAAAGGCGTTCAAGCAATCTCGTGTGGAGCTTTCTGAGATTTTGTCTGGTAATTGAAATTTGTGCATCATACAAGGCTGCAAAACTAACCCGTTCCCGTAGCCTTCGAATTCTGGGATACGAATGCCCTTCAAATGTTCAAAAAGCATGCTACACCCAAGGATGTTATGGAGAAGGAGTATCCCTTTTACGTTTTGATTGAAACCAGCGGTTCCAACAAGGACCACGATGATGAGGTAATGGTGTACATGCCGTTCTCTGCTTGTGCATACACTCTAACAACAACCATGTTTAGAAACTGACAAATTACCTTGAGAATATGATGGTCGATGGTGTAGCAGAAGACGGTGTTGTGGCACAAGACGAGACACAGATTCGTGGGCTTTGGAGTTTACGTGAAGGTTTTACCGAGGCATTAGGTAAGGAGCCTGCTGTCTACAAGTACGATATCTCTATGCCAGTGCCCAAGTTATACGAATGTGTCGAAGATATGCGCCAACATCTGAGAGATGGCGGTGTATTTGGCCAACCTGACTCACCTGTTACTGATGTTGTTGCTTATGGCCATGTGGGCGATGGTAACTTGCACTTGAACATTGCTGCTAGTCGTCTTGAGAGCCGTGTTTCTGCACTGATAGAACCCTACTTGTTTGAATGGGTGGCTAATCATCAAGGCTCCATCAGTGCTGAGCATGGTTTGGGTGTCGCAAAGAACGAGTTCTTGGGCTACTCCAAGTCGCCTGTTATGATTCAAATGATGAAGACCATGAAGAACATGCTTGATCCCAATGGTATCATGAACCCTTACAAGTATCTTCCTTCCCATTAGATTTTTTTTTCCTTTAATTATAAAATTTGGAAATCAAAAAAGAATAAAATAAAAAAAAACAATCTCTCTTTCTCTCTCCATGTTTAAAAATCTAGCTACTGTGCATACAGACACGGTCAAGACGCTTGTCAGTCTCCATAAAACAAAGCTCGACTTGTTGGAGCGACACCCACACGATCATACTGCTTGCCTGTCCATCAAAGAGCCAAACACTATTCAAGCTGCTGACCATACAATGCGAATTCAATGGACAATGGACGCTTGTTGTAGTGATCCAGATAAGCTGACAGTAGAAGCAGAGACTCAAATGTTGGCTGACCTGGCTTTGCAAGGTATGCTTGCTAGTTGTATTGCGTGTTCTTGTAAGCTAACCAGCATGCCAAGCAGGGCACGATGCAGCAGCTTTGTATATTGAACTTGGGTGAGTAGCCGTGTATGATGGTTAAAAGTAAGTGTCTAATAAAGTGCATGTTACAGAGGCACACACGCTACTTTCAAGCTAAAGTAAGTTGGACGAGTATGAAAAGTACATTACATTCTGAAGCTTCTGTAGACAAGAGCAAAAGAAAGCTATTCTTGACACATTATCAAACGCATTGGACACATCAAATACAACAATCAAATATGCCTTTTTTGGCTTTACAGATACATACTGCTACGATCTCAGAAGAAACACTGTTTGTTCTAGTAAGTCATTGAGCATGTATATAAACACAGGCATTCACTTGATATGTTACAAATGTAGGTGGCTCATTGATAGAAAACGGGATTGATCATTGGATGAAACAAGTAGACAGTATTGATACTATATGGCATCTCGTTTTGAAAGGCTCCAAAATACCCAGTGTCTTGAAAATCAGCATTTTCAATGCATCTACCAAACGCAGTGGAAACTTGTTTTTATTTGATCTTTTGGAGCCTAAATTCGTAGAACTGTCTAGTAATGCAACAACAGCTGGAGGAGCCACTACAAATGGTATAGAGAATTGCTTTGACAACTTGCGTAAGTCGATGCAATCTGCATATGCCATGACCTTTACTGACTTGATTACCTTGCAGGATTTTTGATCAAAACCATCGTCGAATCAACAATTGAAAACATACCTGGAGAGCCGGTCATCACTGATTATTACTTTCTGACACACATGATGTCCAAGTTTGTATGCTCTCAGGGCCAATTAATCGTGTTTGCGCATTTGAATGTACGTGTCATCTGCGATAACAGTGGTTCTGTTGTTGCTAAAGCAAAAATAGGAATGCCTAAAGTATCAACGAAAAGAGTCTCTGATGCTACTTGATCTGCTGGAATCAATGAGAAAGATCAAGGTTGTGTCTCTTGCCAACAGTTTTAGAATGGTCAACGAAAGCAATTTCAATTACAAAGTAGACGAGTACAAGGCAAGTTAATGGCTCAAGATGGTTTGTATAGTCTCAACTGACTATGCCATCTTTTAGGACAAACTTCAACATGCTCGAAATGTACGTTCGCAAGTGATTTCAAGGGAGCAGCATTTAACCATATGCTACGCATAGGAAATCAATGAGAAAAAGACTACAATTACTCGTTTCAAAGCTATTTGCCAAGAACTGCATGAGATTATCAATGAGAAAGAAGTGCAACAAAGAGACTTTGAAAGTAAAACAGTGCATTGTTTTTAAACTAAACAAGGTGGTGTATACTAATGTCATGCACATAGTACAATACGAAAAGAAGCGTCAAGAAGATTTGGCCAGAATGCGTGCTCAAGCGTACATAAGAAGAGACAAAATGATTGATAAGCACCGCAACACAATCAAGAAGATTCAAGATTTGACACTGTCAACATTAGCAGAGCTAAAAAAGAGAATGGTATAGAATTAGCCTGTGAAATGCTTCGGCATACAGTTGAACTAATTTGAATGGATGTAGAGCAAGGTGTCTAAGGAGAGAAATCACTGGAAGCAGAGATTTGTAGGATAGTGGTATGCATTTCTTTCACTGGCGCTTTACTGAATCAATGGCACACGTATAGAAAGACGAAGAGGACAGAATGAAGCGCTTGGCAATGAAGGAAGAACAGCTTATTAACATCTGGAAAAAGAAAGAGGTAGGGCAGGCTTTCGTTTACACCTAAAAGGATTCCCAACCTTTATTGCTAGTTTGATCTCTTGCGAGAAGTCAACATATTGAGATCAGAGAGAGAAGAGTTTATCAATATGTTTCAGACATTGCAAGCTAGCTTGATTGCAAAGAGCGTTGATCTGGATGCTTGAGCAAGCATAATAAAATTGAATATAAATGTGATTTTTACTTCTTTTTTTTTTTTTTTTTTTTTTTTTTTTGAAATCTTCAAGTGTGTGTTTATATATATATACATCTAGGCAGTTGCCATCTTCTTTTCAGCAGCTGGGACGAAAACGAAATCGTTTACAGTAAGAGCTAAAGCCTTGATCATGCGTCTGCAAGCAGCGAACCAAATAGCTACACTGACTGAGCCTAATACAGTATGTCAACATCTCGCTCGGTTGTATTCTCATTTTCTGTAAACCTACCTGCAGGAGCGAATGGCCATGACAAAATGCGTTGAGCAGGACCAAACCAGCCGGGAGGAAGATAAAATACAGCACTCTTTCTGAACCACATCACCATCACTAATTGCGATCCATGCACCAAAAACCAAAGCACAGACTTTACTTTGAGCTCAAAGGCAGTTTTTGAATAAGCAATGTCAGCATCTAGATCCATACCATATCCAATTAGACATTGGCGCATCCATCATCTTGATTCGTACTTACTCATCTTCTCGAGATCAGCAACCGATTTATCCAACTTTCTTCGTAATTTTGCCCATTTAGCAAATTCATCCTACAAACAACACAGGTTGAGTCCATGTTTTGCTGATCAACGAACAGGCTGCTGTGTATAATATTTACTTGAGAGCTAGTCTGTCCTAGTTCAGACTTTAGTTTGAGTGTATCTCGTTTCATCTTTTGTTGCTTAGCGACTCGAGCATCTTTGGTGATTTTCACATAAAGATCGTATGTCTATCATATCACGTGGGTCAGACTTTTCCACCCAGTATCATTTCAGCTTGACTTACAAGAGATGTAATGTATGAATAGCCCAAGAACAAGATAGATTCGGTTACCAAGACCAGTAAAAAAATAGTTAGAGGTAAATACATTGCAATTGTCAATGAAAAAGTGAAAGAAGACAATAATTCGCGCCAAAAAGTAATTGGTAAACACTTCTTCCAACAGCTTTACTCGTGACTCGTACGAGATTATGCTGGATCAATGAATGCCTTTAGGTGAATGAAACACCCTTGTGCTGCAGGCATGGCATACAGGGTTTGCATTCATGGTTCATCTGGTGTATGCAATGTTATCCCATCATTTACTTGTATCAATGACTGCAAGTAGAATGTAAAAGATGAGCGCATAAAAGTATCGTTTATTGATTGTTCTACCCAATTACATAATCTTCAGTCATCAGCAAGATGTCCTTGGAGAACTCGGCAGGCAATTGAGATTCAAGATTGTATATGTCCTCCACATCCACACCACATATAAGCTTATCGCTGGTAAATGACACTGACGCAGGGAAGAAGTCGTCGACGCTGTCGCCTGCAACAGAACATTCCAATATACCAGATCTGTTGCTGTTGTTGATGACAGGTATAGTCCACTCCAATACATTTCTTTGCGCATCAACAAAATAGGATCCATCCACTTGAGCTATATTGACTTTGGGGCCAGCACTACGCAATGAATTAGTCAACGCTGGAATGCACCCAACATGTAATCCACTTACGGTAAGGGTAAAGTGATCACAACATCATGCAATTCCACATCTGCTTCAAGCTCATACTCAATATTGACATCGCAGGTGCCATCGCCAGCTGGAGATGGCCAGCAATTGACTGTTGTAAGAGTCAGTTATTACACTCCCTCTATTAAGCACAACTTGGACCTACCTGTGATCGGTACATCTGTATCATCTTGTGATGTAAACTTCCATCGCACTACCTCCAAGTTTTGATTCACAGGGAACGGCCTACTGATATCCTTCATCTGGATGGAATGTCCCTGCTTAAAAGAGGATTTGTCTACATTGGGATGTGTCTTGAATTGAATGGCGCTGTCGTCGTTGGCGTGTATCTTGAAGCAAATCCGAGCACTAGCGGGATCTGCAATGCAAAGTGTCAACACACCGCGGATATCCAGTTGATCCAGATCTCCATCTCTATTCGCTGTCATGGATACGCTCTCCTCAATGTTGAGATGGATTCTAGAAAGCAAAGCATCAGTAATGCTTCGACAGGCTATCATCACTCTACTCACGGCCATTGATCTGTGTTGTGTGTAGCAGGAGCAGAACTCGAACGAGATGGTAAGTGAGCTTCATCCACAACGTCAGTTTTGAGTACTTTGAACAGAGCAGATGCCTTTGCTTTGCGTCCCAACTTCATGCCCTTGGCCTGCGAAACTGGAGGTGTTGAAGAGTGACTGTATGACAGAGGCCTATCGTACAATTGAGCTGATTTGTATGTATCGATGGAAGGTGAATAACGATCCATGCCAAAGCTCTGGCTTGTATCTTTTTCACTTCCATTACTAAAGTTGCCTTGCATGAATCCCTGTCCTCGTTTAGTTGCTTCTTTGCGCTGCATTTCAAACTGCTTGGCTCTTCTCTTGAGCTCCTCTTTTGCGTCTCGCTCTTTATTCTGTATGTCATGCTTTGTGAATACGCTGGCTCAAATGCCAGTGTGTCTCAATATACCGTACCTTGGCAATAATCTCTTGGTTTCTTTCTTCGTGGCTTTCCATAACAATATTGCTCTTTACTTGAGCCAATCTTACATTTTCTCTGTATCCCTCGGTGATGATTTCATCAAATGCGCATAAAACCTCGAAAGCTCTCTTGGAGGTGTCGTATTCAGTGCAATGTCGACATAGATCAGTGACCACACGAGCAAAAAGGCGCAGTGATTCAATATCTTGGAGGATGTTGGACTAGTTGAAGTGATGCATGAGCTCAGTAGTTCATCAGCCCTGCTGTGTGTCTGGTGTACCTGACGATTCGTTACAAGCACTATGAATAGCTCCTCCAATGGTTGGTACACATAACGCACATTCTCTGTCTCGATGGTTGTATGCTGCTTTCCTGCACTCGTTAATTTGGGAAATGCTGCTAATAATCCTTCTACACGAGAGCGTTGAATCTCACAAAACTGACGAGATAGAATAGCTAAGGAATCATAAAATGAGTCAATGTTGCTGTAGTATGGTTTTGTTGCCGATACCTTTTCCACTCTTGGTTACGATCGCTGCTACTAACACAACTTAATAAAATGTAGTTCTTTAGTTTCCATGGACATACGGCATTGTTTCACTCACCATGGCAGTATTCCAAGTTGTTTTGTGTGCAAAAGAGCTGCTTTTTATTGAAATCAAACGTTGTGTTGCAATACCATTTAAGGTTGACTTGAAGCTCAGTGTTAAAGAGCTTTACTTGTCGACCTGGAGCATGGCATGAGAGCTTGGATGAAATGGTTGATACACAATTGATTTTTACTACAGGCTTGAGACGTGTCTCACCAATAATTCTCCATGTTAACAGAGTGTTTGTGCATCGCCAGCCTGGTCTGTGAAAACATGAGCAAAAGTTGGGCTAGCATTGCCCATAGCCTGCCGTTATTGTAGCCTAACATGTTGGCCTAACAAAGGGTTAAAGGATGTACTGGTATAGCATACGATATATCTCTGATATCAGCTTATCATACAACGCAATGCTGGCATTTTGTAGCTAATACGTTGTATAGCGGAATATGCCTACACTTATGGAATCAATGTTGCATGAAACACAGAACAATATTGTGCAAAGAGTAACTTTATTATCAAGAGTATTTCATAGCTATGCCCAGATCGAAATTGTGCGTCGATGGTGGAAATAGCAATACCTTCTGAAGAATCAGATAGTGTCCTTCATCCCTTACAAATTCTCTTTTATGCGCTCATAGGTGGCTTTAATCTCATCCATTGGCTTCTTTAATGTATTCCAACGTACACCCAATCCAGTTTCTCTGTCAGGCTTAGGAATGACATGGAAATGAACGTGAGGAACTGCTTGATTGGCAAGAGGCCCATTGTTCTAATAAAGCGATGAAGTATTGAAAGTGCATCTTGAAATATGGGATCTTACCTGCAACACATTGTATTGAGCAAAACCGCCTGCTGCTGCAATCTTTTTGGCAATGGGCATCACATCAGTGAGATACTCATCGGGTAATTGATGCATAAATTCAGCGTGATCTGTACAGGACATTGGGCTCATCAATCATGGCTGTATAAGCTTCCATCGCTTAAATCTACTCACATTTGGGAATCACCAACTACGTGTACGCGGATTAGTTTACATTCATGCAACATCATTTAGAAACTTACAGAATGACCCTCACTAAGAGGTTCGATGTCCATGAAGGCATAACTACAGACACAAGAAGATATGTTACGATATACACTCATCCAAATGCTCTGATCACTTACGACTTTTCTGTTTCAATAAGCTGGAATGATGGGATCTCTTTTCTGCATTATTGTTGAGTATGATGTATCTATCTCCAATACATCGCATGTATACCTTATAATCTTACAAAAGATACAGTTGTCTGTGAGATGATTATGAGTTGCTGAGGTAGACATGGCACGTTGCTTGCAGAATTGAAGAGGTGTTGGTCGAAGAAAAGGTGTTGTTAAACGGAATAAATGCGTCATTTGTTTGTTCAAGCGTGTGCGTGTGTGAAACTGTCATTTTCTCTTGGCTCCCAGAATATCTAGGTGGATGATGGGCAAGCACTTAAAGTCACTGTTGTCGCATGTCGAAAAGGGTGACACTCCATATAGAATAGAACACCACAGATAGTGTATGATTTATCAAAGTCGGGGCAGTTTATTTTACAAATCATGAATTTGTTAGATCGATTGATAAATTTCTCTTATTGCAGCTTTTTCTTCCGCTTTTCTTTCATACAGTGTTAGCCTGAATGTTCTCTTTTGCTAGGCAGTTGACCAGCAGGATTGTCGAACTGAGTCTAGGAATTTCAATCATGAATGTTGTGTCTCTCGAAACTGGAGATCCGCTACCAGTACCTCGGCAAGACACATACAAGATTGAGTACGGTATTACAGGTATGCAAACAGAGGTTGACTTGTGTAGCAGGAATCACTTGTCTACTCAAGCCAGTAACACTATCCAAGATCGATATGGTGGATCCCATGAGCCTGAGGAGAGCAACCAGCTCCCATGAACGAGAGAGTTCATTGACCTTATAGATGTAGGTCCAGCTTGAAAATGGAGGGTACTATGTGCCCTGGTTTTGCGAGCGTGCTCTGGTACGGCATCAATTACATGGACCCAGTTGGCATTGGGGAAGTAAAGGGATATGATCAACCAGATGACAACTACTTAGTACTCATGGATACGATGAGAATTGGAAAGATATCGAAAAAGCTGATTGACAAGCACTCAAACAACAGCATACTAAGAGTACAAGTGATAGGCAGTGTCATGGTGATGCTAATCAAGAGACATTGGGCAGGCATTCATATGTCATTTTATATCACCACTACCTTTGATAATGGTTTATATGTGATGTTTGAATTCACACTAATCAAAATACTAACCGATATATCGCGGCCAAGATCTCCTTTGGCGGTTGTAGAGGATCTCTTCCTTATCAAATGAAGTTTTCACAAATGTCAGCAAAGCAAGAAGAGACCTGGCCAAGTAATCCTGTCATGTCAGACCATATCGCCTCTCAATCTCTCTTCAATTGCAAACAATAAATTACCTCCTTATCAAGTAGCAGACCACGCATATTATCATCGAAAAGCAATTACAGTGTCTTCAGGGCCACACGACTTATGAATAAGTCATTAGTATGCAGATTATATGGTATCAATCGTTACAAGATATCTGGGAGCGTCTTACTGATCTACGATATTGGATGTATACGTGGGGCAATATTTGATTTAGTACCTGGAATGCATCCCAATTCATTGAATGAAGTTGCAATAGTAATAGTGGAGTATAAATAGTCCTGCTTGATTCCATAGATGAATCTTTAGTTTCGTATCTGGTTTGATTCAAAAGTCTTCACTTCAAGATAAAACGGTTTCCAGGTATTGACCCTTAAACTTTAAATCAAAGACTCAATGTGTTAATGTGAAATCTCAAGATGAAAGGTCTTAATGTTGCTAGTCGCATTGAAAACGCAGATTAATACCTTCAAAAAAAGTATTAAAGTTTTTATTATATTATAAATTTCATCCTGCTAGACCAGCTAAAGCAGAAGCGTATCCAGATGGTATCAGATTTGTCGCCTCTGCAGGAATAGCAGCGCCAACACCTGAAGGTAAACTACCTACGATACTACTCACGCTGCTAGGAATATTGGCCAGACCGCCTGAGTCCGATAACGCAGACAACAAGGTGGAAATCTCTTTCAATGCAGCTGATGATTGACCGTCAATAGGACATGCAAAGGAGACTGAACTCGAGAAAGGGATACTGATGGGGATACCAATGATGCTCACTGTAGCTACTACCTTGTAATCCAAATTAATGTTTTTGGCGGCACTGCCATCAATACCACAATCCGACATGAGCTTGGTCACCACTGCTTTGGTCGTATCCGCCATCAAGTTCATGGAAATGGTGAATGGAAAGCTAATGTTGGTCACTGAATGAGAGCCAATATGTAGATCGTTTAATGTACCACCACCCAGTTCGGTGCTATCGCCATGGTAATTAGCCTATAAATGATTACATTTAAATGGGGTTTCCATGGTTTCCATACACAATGATCTCTACTTACCGTTGCGACTAGTGATTTGAAGGTAACACTTTCAATATTAGGGTTCTTGACAGTGAATCCCAAGGAGACATTTAGATTGGCTGTAGTCCCTGCTAGATTAAACGCAGGTTCGCCTTGTACACCTGTGAAATCTACCGAGGGCGTTTTGAAGAGAGCAGCTAATACACCGACGACAATGCCAATTGCAATGATAATCAGCAAGAGAATACATGAGAGCCATCGACACCAGCGAGGACAGCAAGTGCAGCATCCACAACAAATGCTATCACAGCATGATCTGCGCTGATTGTGCACTCTGGAATATTTTTCATTGGCATTGTATTCTGCTGCAACTTGACTAAATCGTTGTTGCTTTGTCAATAATGGCTGTGGACTTTTATTGTAGTAGCCATCTGTAGTAGCTGGTTGTGGTTTTGCATCGTAGTGAGGGTATTGGTTCTGTTGTGAGTAAGTCATATCTGACATGGCATAGGCATCGTGCTGATAATTGTTGTGATACTGCTGTTGTTGCGGTTCGTAATCATAATAATGTTGCTGCTGCTGATAGTAATTTGACATGATTTGAAAATGACAAGAAATGAAGGGGGGAGAAAGAAGGGAAAAAAAAAGAGGCGAGGAGGATAGGGGGTTGCTATTTTATCAAACTCTGAAGATTCAACAGAATTATGATCAATTAAGGGGGAAGAGAGAGAGAGGGGCAGTAGAGGCAAGCACATTTAATTAGAAATTAAAGAATGAGAGATCAAGCCAATCATACATTTGAAGCTATATTCCTGAACACAACCTTGTGCTACAGAGAAAGCGAGACACACAAACCTTGTTGCCATAATATTACATGCGTTTCATCCTTGCTCTCATTCAGCCAGCGCACTGACGCTTGCCCTTGTCATTCATACGTGAAACCCATCTCATATGCGTTGTTTATTTGTCATGAATTGGATACTGTGGGGGCAGTGTGATACCTAATTGCTTACGAAATTCATCCAAAGGTGTATGAAAGTGCTCTTCAAAATAGACATTCATCAGAGGAGTGCAAGATGCACCACATTGCAAAGCCCAAGGCACATAGCCAGCATACAGTCGCTTTCGTTCAGGCCAAGTCATTCTCAAGGGACCAAACACAGATGCCAGCATTGTCATGGGAAGGCCCGTCTGAGCCCATTCAAACCACTTGAGAGCAATCTCCTCCTCTACAGTGACACCCAAACCAGTGAGTGTATGGAAGAAGTCATGGATTTCACGATAGCGCTTAATCACATAAGCCAGTTCCTCATCATCCACGTACTTGACATCACAGCGCGTGTCTGGTGTCACGCCCTCTGCTTCCAACCAGCTGATATACGTCTGTCCAAAAGTACCTGGTGCACACGTCTTTTTCAATGCTTCAAAATCGAGAGTTTTTGTGTTGATGATAGGACGTTCACGTAGAATGCGTCTGCCTACATCGGATGCCAGCATCTGGTCTCTCATGCGAGCCAAAAAGACACGGCCAGTAGCTTCTCCCAAGGTGGCAATCATATCTAGTTTATAAGCAGCAATCAACAAGCATGTCAAAGTGACACATACAAAGCGAAACTTACCACCACGCAACGGATTATTCAATGCTGCCACAGCAGAAGCAGCTGTCAATACAGTTCGTTCAATCTTGGAGATGGGGATGTGTGTCTCGTACAACTTCTTGCCTGCAGGAGAAGGAGTGCGACAGTCTAATTCATATTGACAGATAAGCCCATTGTGTCGGATGACGATTGCTGCTAGTACAAACCATGCTCTGCTGTTCCTGCCGTTGCCAATGCACGAGAAAATACACGGATATTGGATGCTTGCAAGCACTGTTTCTTGAGTATTGTGAGCGGACGAGTTGAACGTTGCATGATGGAAATTGTTGAAACAAAAACAAGAGAAAAAAGAAATTCAAATGCCAATGCCGGGGAGGCTTAATTTTGATGCGCAAGCGTGAGTGTAATGGCCATCATTTGAAACACATCGCTTCCCCTTTTTCTCGTCTATACTCAATCCGCACCATGAACAGCTCATGGCAAACACTTCCAACAAAGCACTCTGGCATATCTTTAGCTCTGTTAAACAAGTGAGCGACCTAGTGCAATTACAGCTGGTCTGTAAGCGAGTTACCTCGCCTAACAAAGACTTTACCACACCGCTTGCATAGATCAAACGCCGTTCCTCATACCATATGCTCAGACTTTGGAGCATTCCACATACCAGCCGCGTTTCCTCGCCATGGCAATAGATCTTGGTAACTGTTTTCCAACGCATCAGTACGCTCAGCCTAAAAAGTACAAAGAGTTCATCCATACAGTAGCGCGTTTGTGTCCTCCCATTGTTCGGATTGCCGTTGGTTTGAAGGCCCTGTCGAGTTCATTTTACCGAAACCTGTTGGATCTGCATCAACAAGGTTATCTTCAGCAGCTACAATCCCTGTCTGATTTCAGCTACCCAGAGGCTCATGTGTCTGAAATGAACTATTATTGTCTAGCTGTTGCCATGAAGGCATCACTCACTCGTGTGTCCATTGCCAAGAACCCATCCAGCAAGCTGTTTGGTGATCATCAGTCTGAAATGAACATGAGGGAACACTTGAAGGCATTTCCTCGTCTAAAGCAACTGGATGCGTCGTATAAAGGCGAGGGTTTTCTGTATGGAGCAGATGTTTTCATTGCAAAATGCATTGCCCCAACTGTCAGCATTCATGCCTATCTCACTGACTTTGGTGATTTTCGATTGCTACCATTTGATCTCAATACGGTAAAACGACAGCCTTAGACCAAGCATCCGCAGCTTAAAGCAATGAACATCTCGAAATGCTCCATGTTTGGGACAAAAGCTATTTTCATGACGGTGTAAACTAGAGACAGAGAAGCCGGATACAAGCTCATTGATTTAGAAAACACAAGAGACGGTGCATATGAGATGGAGCTTGCTTTGAACCATTTCAATTTCGCAATGAATATGCCTCCTGTTCGAATTGGAAGTTGCACAGGCTGCAGAACTGCCCTTCCAGAAGACTTAGCTACCAAAGATGTGATTTATGCCGTGTAAATAAAAGCCATAAAGCAAAATATAACCAAATTTGACAGCTTTCAAGCCTTCATATCTTGACATGTAGACCTTTATGAGCCACCGGAATAATGCCAAACAATTGGACTTGAGTAGTAGTAACTTCCTGACATCTTTGCTCAACTTTTTGGGGACTCAAAAAAACATGGCCAAAATTCGACCAAAAAGCATGAGGTGCCCCTCATGGTTTTCATCGAAAATCAAACGATCGCATTTTTGACCTTGATAATGAAGGCTTTTACTATGATATATCTTGAATCAAAACGTTTCTATCGATCCAAAGCAACCTCTGAAGCTATTTTTATGAGGCTTTCATGTGCAAAATATGGCTATTTTCGCTAAAAACCCCATTTTAATTTTTATTAAATTGCTCAATAATTTCAGCCAAAACATTTACTACAACTAGCACCATCGGAAGCGCCTTGAAAAGTACTTCAAGAATGTATTATGAAGCGTAGGATGATCATCACAGTTTATGTAGTCGAATACCACAGAATAGATTAAAGAAGTCGACAAAAGACGAAATCTGTCCAATCTTGAACAAAAAAAAAAAAAAAGCTGAGTTTGTGTTGATTTTGGCGGCGGCGGCTTGCTGCTGGCTGACCTAAATACCTTTCTATTGATGACAATGATAATTGCGATGCTGATTAAATAAGAATCATGGAATTGAAAGGACAATTACTTGGCACTAATACTTTTTTTGGGGAGCTTTGCTTTATTAAGGTGTATTTTCCAATGACAGTATCTCAAAAAAGTCGCTGTAGGTCTTACGCAAGTCTTGTATTTACTTATGACCAGCTTCATGTCGCCATCTTATTAAGAGCATCAGCAGCAGCGAATAGTATGACAATTCTACTATCAGAAAATGGAGAATGTGGTTTACAAATGCTGCATAAAGCTTAAATTTTCTTTCACATCGTCTCAATAATAGGCTTCGTTTGATATCAGTGTATAAGCAAAAAGAGTGCTGAGGGAGATAACTCCTCTCCCCCTCCTCTAGGCTCTGATATAACCTTTCTTTTACTAATTAATTAATTAATTGCAATGCTGACATCGAGCATAATGAGATACATCGGCTAGTCTGTATATACCCAAATGCTCTGCTACAATTATCTTGCAGCGTGGAACGCATCCAAAAGTTGTTCCTTCATGAAGCTACCATTGTCGACGCTGATTCACAAAACCGCTGATTCGCTACCAACATGCCTCAGACAGCCATTGACAACATTAAAGTCATCAACTATTCTGCAAAAGCGTACTTGGTAAAGCTGTGCGTATCAGAGCTCTCTCTAATTACGCAATATCTGCAGATTCAAGCAGATGATGTTGTCCATATGGAACAAGATATGTACAACGCCATGTGCTTGGCAAGCAAGTACCACAATGATTGCATTGTGGCACACATCAATTGTAAAACCTTCAAAACGTTTGGCACTTTTTATGACAGGTGCTTCAGTTTGATTAGCAAGTAGTGGGTCTCTTCGAATGACACACTGGATAAAGACGTTAGCTATCAAAATACCGTAATGAGACTAAAGAAGCCACTCGCTTACCCATTTCATGTACTGTATCATGTAGGAAGCGTGACGCCTGGCAGTACGTAGTTTGTCTTGAACAATGAGTATTACCGGTAGAATCACTGGTGAAAGCTGTTAGCATTGCTAAAGCAGACATTTCCAACTTTGTTCATCCTGTTAATTCACCTTAAACCCAAACCACCGGGTCTGCCTTCAGTTTCATAAGGTGCATTACATCTAGATCATCAATGCAACATACTCAATCTGTATACTACATCGATTCCATCGCTCTCAAGCCAATAATAGACCAAAATTCAGCCAAATCTGGTGAAACTACACCCCCCTCTGCCTCCCTCTAGAGACCGTTTTGAGTCGTCAAAATGGTACCAAACGATTGCTCTCGACGAGTACTTGCTTGCTGTAGCATTATCTTAATTTTTTGGGGGTCGAAAATTATTGATCAAAATCCTCTCATTTTCCATGAGGTATCCCTCTTGGTTTTTGTAAAAAAAATCAAATGATCGCGTTTTTCACACCAAAAACGACGTTTTTTAACATGACATGTATTAATGAAATAAAAGCTAAATGTTCAATTTATCACGTAAAATTACTATTTTGGACAATCACTAATGAGAAACTTGAGTTTTCGACTAAATAAGCGTTTTTGGTTTTTGTCAATTTAAAAAATATTTTTGGTTGAAAATTAAGCAGTTAGTAGTACCAAACGATAGAGAAATTAAAGAAGTACTTGAATTTATTAATAAGCTAAGAAGGTTTTGTATAGCATTTGGGGAGTAATGTTCGATAAAAAGTTTTTTTTTGTCAAATTGATCGTTTTTATCCAAAAAAAAAAAAAAAAAAAAAAAAAAAAAAATAGGATAGCGGAGATTGACTCATTCTCTAGCATCAGCATTGAATAATCTCATGCTTGAATGCATGAAACTAATCGTAAATGAAGGCAGTTTGCACAGCAATTGGTACCAAAATATAGCAAAATTATAAACTGTACGCAAGTATAAATACTTGGTACTATTAGTAAGGGGTAGTTTTTCTGCAGCGTGTTTTTTAAAGGTTTCAAGGCAACACATCATACAAGATCAAGCCTTGAGCATTAGCAGTTTGAAAATGATCGACATCAGATCCTTTATTGAAGGACTTTAATCAGCTTCTGTTTGAAAATCAATGTTCGTAAAAGCATGTCCACTTTAACATTTACAGACATTTACGATTAGTGAAACCTGTGTAAAAGCTGTCAGATCAAATGCTCTGGTCACTGGATCTTGAAGTGCGAATTAACGTTGTAGTAGTCACTCGTGAATGCTGCACATTTGTCATGAATTTCGTAGCAGGAAAAAAAAATCACCATTTCTTTATCAAATTTATACATGATGAGTACACCCAATGCTACTCCAGCGCCAGTACCAGCACCTAGAAAGCGCATTGTCCGTCGTAAAAAGAAGCAACTCACACCCAAACAAAAGCTGGTGAAAGAGAGTGCCGAGCAACGTTTCAAGATTGAGAAGTTGGTATTTGTATGGCAAGAGAAGCTGTTTTCGCAGCCAAAGACATCAGTCCATACCCTACAACGAGCAGCGACCTATTTGCAACCAAAGACGTACGAGGAGGTTGTTGAGGAACGTGTAGTACAGGAATGGTGTGGTTATCCACTATGCGACGATGCTCCCAAGTTACAGCAAGTGCAAAAGTTCAAAATTTCACTATCTAGACGCAAAGTGTATGACCAAACTGAACTCGCCAATTATTGTTCGGATGCCTGTTACCATAAATCAAAATACTACACATTACAACTATCAGATGAACCTGTTTGGTACCGTGATTTGAATCAGACACCCACAACACACATTGTATCCAAGGAAGATGATTTTCAGTAAGTTGATTCATGCTTGAGAGAAATGTCAAAAGAACTGACATAACATTGTCTTGATAGAACTGCTGTACAACAAGAGAAAAAGAAGATTCAAGTGCAAAAGTCAAGTGAAGAGGTGCGAGAGGAATATGTGCAACATTTACTAGGCAGTGTGCCCAAGGATACAGATGGAAAATTTCAAATCATAGAAAAATCAACTGTAGCACCACCAACTGCTCCTTTAAACACACAGGCAGGTGTGTATGACACCATTGAAGGATATCGTATTGAAATCAAAAAGGACGGCAAAACACCTACTACTATGATCTTGAAGAAGAAGAAGAAGAAGGAGGAGGAGGAGGCAGAGATCCGAGCAGAACAAGAGATCAGCCAGGAGCAATCAAATCAAGTCGATGAAGAACACTTGGATCCTGAAGATCCTGATGCCTTGTTTGAAACAATGATGATGTTGAAAGACATGAATATGGACAAGCAAGATCAGCCAGAAGCAAGTGGAATTCCATCAAAGCAAGCAGAAACACTATCGCCTACTCAAGTAACCGCAGTACAAGAGCAACAAGCTCCTGCGCCCGTCAAAGCTGTGCCTACTCCACCTAAACCAACCACAAGATCCGCCACTGAGAAGTCTCTCGAACCCAAAAAGAAGGGGCCAACATCAGCAGAGCCAGCTACGCAAGATACCAATATCATCAAAGTAACTACACCCACCACCCCACCACCCAAACCAAAGAAATCCATCAAGAAGAAAAAGAGGATACCTGAATTGTCTCTGTTTGGCACCATTTGGACTATGTTGGATCACATGACGACCAAAGCAACACGGGTTTACTTGAACGAGTTGCAAAGTAATCATCAACGAGTTGATGTAAGCCATTTATTAGCAACTGAAAATGACCTCATGGATGAAGCCATTTACCTAAGAGGTCAAATTTTCAGTGAACGCATCTTGGATACGTAAGTGTACTACAGTAGTGGTGATAGCAATGCAAATAACTTACACAATTGATAGATATGGTATTATCCGTGCTCAGTTGGATATCAAGGAGAATTTAGAAGATGATATCGTGAATGTCATCAAGACCTTCAAGCTCTCGGACGCATCGATGGTTGCATTAAATCCAGCTCAATGCTACATGATGGCTCTGGTCTTGATCAAATCATTAGCGGATATTTTGCTTACTGATTCAGATTGGAAACTACAGTTTGAAAATTGCTGTAAAACAGTGGATCAGTCGACTGATATGGTAGATGCTTGTGTTCGTGTATTGAAGGTGGCAAGCGTATAGACGTATCAATAAAGGTGGACAAAACTTCTAGAAATGATTTCTCTTTATTTACCGAGGTTTGACATTGAAATTATTATGCAAAATGTCTTGGCTTCTCCCATGTCTTGCTGCTCCCAGTAGTACTAGTGTGTGGAGTAGTTAGGCGTCTTGTTTTAAATAATACGATCAAATGAAAAGGTAGCATTGGATTCATGTGTAGAAATCCTCTGCGATAACATGCTCATTATTGTATGAAATTTTTTTAAATGAAAAGGCTGCATTAAAACATAATTCATCCATGTCAAGTTTTCTATTCTGGGATTTAAGGGCAAAGTCAGTGAAAGGTTGTCTTTTTGAAGTATATCGATGCCAATCTTGATCTAAAGAATGAATGACGCATGGGTGCTATCGATCTGTATATTCACTGCTATTGATTTATGAGACAGTCGAAAACTCAATCTCTTGCTAATCACATGTTTTTTGTATCAGTCCATCTTTCAGTGATCTAGCATAGTACTACAAATAGAGTCATGTAGAATGCTTCGAGTTTACATGGAGTTACATATAATGGCTCTTTATTCTCCATCAGCACATGAACGATGCTCAAAGATTTCAGGTATTCATGACTGATCTAGGTGTAATTAGTAGACTTAAAAACCCTTAAATGGTCCTTGAATCTTAATGTAAATCAGGCACTGGCGTAGCAGTAGACCAGCCACATCTCATTCCAGTGCTATCTTGATACTGCATATTGAAACTATGTATGCAATCAATGTACTACTATAAATGCTTCATCATGTATATAATGCATATGAGCAAAGCTTACTATGTGCACATTTGCTTTATACACACAATCAAACAAAGAATATATGAGACTCGGGCCGATGTGTGCCATTTATATACTACCTAGTGAAGATGCCCATCCATTCATACATACAGGACATTTGCTGCTTCTTTTTTCCCAACGTCTCCACAAGACGCATAGGGTTTCCGTCTAGTTGTCCGAAATGAGACTCATCGATGGGATAGAAACAGATGTACTTGCCCTTAATACAACTCACAGATACATATACACATATGGGCTTCCTCTCCTTAATATTTAGGGTTCTTCTATTTCTTCATGTTCATGGAACATTGGTATGCAAACCAAGCAAGGACAAAGGAAAAAGGAGATGCCATTTTGTTTATTAATGTACAAGTTTTGACATTGACAAATGATCAGGTCCTTTTTTTTCACTTCTTTCCTTACAAAACAGCATATCATGGCCCCTAGCACTGCCACCACCACGCAGTTAAATGGGCACTATGCAAATCAATATCCCAATCAGAATGACAAACTGCCACTACTGCATTTACCGCACAACAAAGCCTATACTCGCTATGCACCTAATATCATCATTGCATTGTCTTCCTTGTATGTGGTATCATTTTTGCTACATTACATTATCAGAAAATGCAGGAAATATCGAGACAGGAAGCTACAGCGAGAAAAGCAGCACCTCAAACAAGCTTGGAAGAAAACCATGGCTAAATTTGAGCTACAATCTAAGCACAATCTGCTGCTATATCCAGATTCTGCCTACAACAAAGAGCAATCCTACAACTCATCAGCTTCCTCAATCACCTTGAACTATTCATCCTGTACATCGCCAACATCTCCAAGTATTACTGCTACTCCTGTAGACATTAGTTCCGATAAGAAGCATTGCCATCAACCACATTCGCCTTCTTCGTCTCTATCCAGCTTTGCCACAACAGATACAGCTGCTGGTAACTCGATTCAACTTGCTAATCATCATCCCATCATTGTAGAGCCAGCATTCACAGAGAAAGTAGCCTCGATAAACAGAGAGTCGATGAGACATGATGATCGGCCTTCTCGGCACATGTTTGGCAGCAACAAATTGGCAAATTATTGGAAGATCAACAACAACAAGAGATTAAACTTGCTGTGGCAATGGAGTGTAGCCTTGGGATACTGTGAATATAGCCATGCTAAATATCTTGATGATATGGTGAGGCAATTGCAGAGATACAATATTGATGTCTCTACCACTGTAAATCGAGAGAGAGTTGTGCTTGAAGATGAATAATACATATACATATAAATCATAAAAACTACACATCAGTCGTATCATATAACACGCTTATATACCTATGTATCATGCTGGCAGAAGCTTTGTATATAATAAAACTCGTTTCTGTCTCTTTCAACTCTCCTTGTATTCTTGTACTAAATACGCCGAAGGGCTCTACTCGTATTAGAGCCCAAGTCCTATGTATGTTGCAGTGCGTATCGAATTTTCGTTGAGCTTGCTCAGAGTTGACTACCTCATCAAGACTCTTATCGAATGTTTCTATGTTTGCTTGTTGCCATAATTTCGGGTTACTATGAACTCTTGCTGCTATTCAACAGAGCGGTGTCCTGATGCTTAACAATCTAAAGCTTGATACAAAAGATGTTGTTCAAGACACGTTAAAGTATCAAAAATTGCCTCTTTATTATGAAAATTTGAATAACTATTTACTCTTCAAAGAAGCAAAGTAAAGAAAAGGCATCAACAAAATAGAACGTTTGTCTATCAAAACAGCAAAGCAACAACAACAACAACATGACTCATTGCAGAACACAAATCAATGATGAAATGTACTTGGACATTACGACAGTGCCATCTCTACATACTATGATGATAATTCCCTCTAAATTAAACGACAAATAAACAGATTTAGTCCTATTTTGTCTAAATAAAATTCATTAGGAACTTGTATTTGGCTATGACGAAGGTTCGCCATGATAAATTGAATCGTTTTTTTTTCCAAACTATTATAAATCAGTACTTGCATGAATCATGATGATATAATGAAAAACACAGGGATCAAGGAAGTTATTTGAAAATACAGCAATGCCATGGATTGTAGGAGCCAGGCAATGTCTATAGGAGAGTACCTTTATTACTCAATTGCTTTAATGTGATGCGAGACATCCAATTGACGTTCCAACGGTTGCTCAAAGAGTGGACATGACGCATGTGCTGTAGATTCCAAGCTTTGTAACCACTTGATTGCATAAAGCAAGGGTCAAAAATAACGAATGATGATCCCCTCATGTACACTGCATTCTACACTACTACATTCAGCTTCTTGATCCAATATGGGGGGTGGTGTACAGAAATAAAATATGTGTCAAGTTGTGTAAAATAGCTAAAATTCAATGACATTCAGCAAACATACATACAATACGCATATGATGTCATTTGCATAAGGATGCTTTGCAAATAAAGGGGGAAGGTATCACAAATGATGTTATGCTGGGTAGTTTATTGGCGAAATAGAAGAGATTAATATATGGGATATTGGAACATTATTATAATATTATAAGTTTTAAATTGGCTGTAAATTGCCGTCCATTAGAAAAACCTTCGAAATAGACTGTTGAAACTCGAATCTTTGACCTTCCATCCTTCTACTTGATCTGTCAATGCTGTTCCTTCTTCGATCTTTTCATCCACCGCCTGCAATGGAACCGCCGGCTGTATTTTGTGTTTGTAGAATGAATTTTTGTACAGGTTTTTAATGAATAAATTGTAAAATTATATATAAATGCAGAGAAAAAAAGAACAGTTTAGTTGATAAAGCACATAACAATGACAACAATAAGAAAAAAAAAAGCTGAAGTATACTACACATGTTGCGATTGAATTACCTTATCAACCTCCTGCTGCTGTTCTTCATCTTCCAACATGCTGGCATCATCCGCATCCGTGTATTCCTGAGGCCGCATTCTCAACCATTTCATCCGAGGTCCAGCACGAGATCTCTCATTCACTCTAAATCCAAAAATGCGTGGCTGATATATATGGGGTTTGGGTTTGGGAATCAGTTCAGAGTAAGTCTCAAACATCAAATGCGCAAATGTCGTTCCAAAATGCGAGCCTATAGGTAGAAATCAGTAGCCATTGAATAAACCCCATCTGCAAACTCACCGTCAATGTTTTGGAATATGGGATTGGGCGGACAATACAGGTCCATGCACGATGGACAGTATAATCGAACACTCTCTCGAGCCACTTCATCGTATCTGCCGCACGGAATTACAGGACATCTGTAGCAATAATAACGAGGGCAAACACCAAACTGTTCGTTCGAGAATCTCTCTGCCATCACTCGTAAACCATTACGAGTAACTAGAAACCGTTGATGAATCAGCCCATACAACATGGCTGCATAGGGCTCCACTACATTTGGATCCACCCATCCAGAGTGACGTGGCTGACGAGGTGCTTCCTTCCAAAATCCATCATCCTCTTCTTCCTCCTCTTCCTGCTTGAATTGCTCCTCTTTTTCTTGTCCATCCTCCTCGTCTTCGTCCGAAATATCTTCAGGCTCGATATCTAAAATCATCTCCAATGCTTCGTTGTAATACGGCACAATTGCTGAAAGGCCGGTCAAGTTGAACTCGTCCTCGATGAAATCCTCTGGTACTTCCAAGTAAAACTCGTGCCCTGACAGCGAGCAGAACCAGCTTATCCAGCTCTGCAAAGAACCATCTGAATTTGACTGAGAGTCATCGTTTTCTTGTCATAAAAAACTAAGTTTAGATCAAAACCATTCAAACGCGCAATGTGGACCTTCATCTCTTACCATCGTAATCCAACTCATTTTCGACTCTACTTGTATTGAATATTCTATCCATCGATGCCACCTTGAATCGTGTTGAAGGTTATGTAGTTGCAAAAGAGTAGAGAAAGAAAAATCTCGCTGGTCGAAAAAAAAAAAAAAAAAAAAGAAAAAAGAAAACCAAATGCCCACACCAATTCATAATAACCATGCTTCGACGTCATTCGTCAGTTGTTTTGAATGTCCATTGGAATAAGCTTTTGGCCTGAACAGCATCTACATTATTGGTTCATGGCAGATATTGGGAGGTAAACCTTATTGCGATATGTAGGCGAGATGGTATGTTGGGCAAAGACTTGAAATGTCGCTCGTCCAAAGGATATTTCGTGATGGCAACGTTGGGCAAAGTGTCTATGTTTTTATCTGCCGTCATCCAAATGTTGCGAGAGAGATCGGCATTCTTCAACATGAGAAGAACAGAAAGAATATATAGAGCTGGTCTGCGGAATTTCCATTGCTGATCCAACCTACAACGTAACATATATATCTGGGTTACCTAGTAACAACCGGAGATGCTCCACATGTTCCAACATTGTTCTTGACCAATGCTCTCAGTTACCAAATAGGCTGTATCCTGACAAATGTCATTCTGTATACCACTACAAGATCGCTACGTTTGAAAAAAAAAAACCCCCCTTTTGCCCAGAAGCATCAATTAAATTACATCAAGGAAAGAGCTAAAGAAGCATTTACCGACATTTTGAGGAGTAGCAGAAGAAACATGCAAATCAGGTTAGGAAAAGGAGCATTGGGCGACGGCCAGAACAGCATTGAGGAACGCCAATCTCATAAGCATTATCTTGGGATGAGGCTGATCGAGACAGAGAGAAAAGGTTTAATTCCAAAAAGGTATTTCCATACTAGAGTCATGAGTAGATCCCCCAATTTTTTCTAATCACCCTATGATTTTGAATGTATTTACATATGATGTCAGTGGCATCAATGCACGCACACACAGTGAGAACAACAACAGCCAATCTCTACAACTCCAAGTACCTGGGATTTCAACTCCTCGCAAAGCAGACTAACGAGAGAGCAATCGACTATAAAACGGCAGCATTTGAATCTTTCATTTTTTTCTCTCTCTCTCTCTCTCTCTCTCTCTCTTCTATTCTCACATTACTACTTTTTCATCTATAACAAAATCAAAATTACAAATATGGAACACTCTAGAAAATGCATGTCTATCGAAGCTATTGTTGATCACAATACCACTTCAGAATTACCATTATCACCACCCGATTCATTCAAGAGCAGATCACCCACACTATCACCCAACATGGAGTACATGACATGCTCTTCTCCCACCACATCAGAAAGAAGAAACAGCTTCCAATTGCCAATGTCTGTTGAAGAAAGAAGATACCGAAACAAGCTTGCCTCTGCCAAATACCGCGCCAAGAAGGTTTGTTTGCTCATCGCCAATGTCATGAAAGAGACATGCTCATATATCATTTCATTTTTTATAGCAAGCCAGTATGAAATCAATGACAAACAAAGTATCTCAATTGATGGCAAGCAACTCCTCCCTTCAAAGAGAATTAAGCAAAGTCAAGCAAGAAAACGAAGTGTTGCGTGCCATGCTGATGAGCCAACAACCGCAAAACAGTGCTTCCTCTGTCGCCCCACCACCTCAATCGCAATCGCATCTCCAAACATCCGCATTCTATTAAGCATTTCATTCTCTCTTCATATTCTACTCTACTACTACCTGCTGCTTTTATTGTAAATTTCTTTCTTCCTTTCTCTTCTCCTTTTCTAGTATACCTTTCTTCCTTTCTATATAGTTTGTTTTTTTAAAAAAAAAAAATTTATTTACATATTAAAAAAATTGCTCTACTTGTGTACAAACCAAAATGCTACTGAGAGTTTTACAACATTCCCAGGTCAGAAAATCGCCCCAATCGAGATTGTGATAAGGTTATTGTTTCTATATGGTTTAGCAGGATATGTCACCACTGCTACCGCAACTATACCATACTTCGGCCGCAGTTTTCAAATGGAGTAAAGCTCATTATTCAAACAAAGTTTAATTAAGGATATCATTTTCAGAATGCCATGTTGTACAACATCCAGGTTCTCTATATCAAGGGTTAACAGTTCACAAGTTCTAGACTAGTCATCATTGAATGTATTACAACGCAATGGATAAGCATCATCATCATCATTATCGTTTACTACGCCATCGTCATCTATATGTGTTCTCTTTAGTCAGCAGCAACAGAGATGAATAGTGTATACCCGGTGTATCTAGGATCAAACGGCTAAAAAAAAAGCGAAACAGTATGTGAATCATATCACAATGACGCCACTTGTCTGCTCATCACGCCCCTCTTTTTGTATATCTACACCACACACTTTTATAGAATAGAATTGAAAGGCCAGAATTAAAAATATAAAAAAAGAGTTATCACCCTGTCCAACCATCATTCAGTGTAACTGCTAAGATTTGGTTTTGTGCTTCCATGATACAAAAAGTCATTCTGCGATCTACACTAAAATCAAGACGCTGGGAGTGTTGCATTTGCTGTTGATAAACGCTGTGAAAAATCTAGAATCGGTTCTATTGAAGCTCAATGGTTTCTACTAGGTCAAGTATAGTAATTTCATTGTACACCTGTACTCAACGGCTCCCTGCTTGTCGTGTGTGAGAGTAATGAATGCATTAGACGTTGCCTTTAATGGTCAAGAAAGAGAGGCGGATCTCTCTTCTTTCCTGGTAAATTGGGCTGCCGATTGAAGCGACGTACAGGAATGTGATCCGTGTGTAATCATGATAATGGTACATGTCTTTGGTTGAAATGTGAATGGCAACAAATCATACCATAGCTTCAACGCATAACAAATCAAAAAGCACACATGATGCGGCTATTGTCTATATGGATAGCGCGGCCGATTATCTGATTTATAGCTTGATTCAACCGTTTGGTATTCATTAAATCATACACAGGGAATAATAGGAAAATTCCGTGATTTTGTCATTACAACATGCAGCATTTCAAAAACAGGGAATACAGTGATTCGTTTATCTTAATCTGTTGTAATAGCTACTATAGTAGCTCCTCTATGAAGAATTCGGCGTAGTATTATATGTGAAGGTCTCGATAGCTTTACGATAAACAATTTTTTGTGAAAAATAAAAAGAACTTGGTAGAACAAAATAATGCATTTTTACATCACCATTAACAAAACATTTGATAATGCCATGATTCCATCCATTTGTCATGGAAATAGAATTTGGATCTACAATTGATATGTCTTTATCAACCATTTGGTTTCGAGATCTACAAGGCATCTGTTGCATGTTTCCATACTTGAGGTCTCCCGAGTAGAAGGTCCTCGACGCTTTCTTCGTACAAATCATCTCAAATGTCTAAAAGAAATTTAGTCTCATAAAATAACTCTCCCCATTCAGATGAGTGTAAGGGTGGCTGTTAGATTGTGATGTACCCCACCGCCCCCCACCCCCGAAAAAACAAGCCCTTTACATTATTCTTGTTGTATCGTAATTGACCTCCTTCCAAGAAGCATCTAGATTTATCGATTCAACACGAACAGCAGCAGCATGCTCCGACATGGTCGTAAAATGTCTTGCGAGCTCATTTAGCATGCAATCTCAACTGCTACTCGTTTCCTAGATGTATCTTGTCATCCATGAATAACAATTAGTATCTCACAGCACTGTTGAACCAACCTGATGGTAGTTACTCATCATTGCATCATCTCCAACTTTGATCTTAAAACGCTATAGTCCGAAAATTGCATCGTGATGCACATGTATATGCAATTCCCTGCTCTGTAGCAGGCTGGGAGGCCGGGGCGTTTAGGGTTGCGAAGAGAAGAGAAGGTTACCCACTCAATTTAGCTTTTGAGAGTAACATCATAGCATCTGCGCGTGGTGCAACAGGTTTCTTGTAAAATACGCCCAAGAATTCAGGACATTTCAAGTAAAATTTGATAACCACTCAAGAGCGCGTTCAACATTGGGCAGTGCATTTAGAGCGTTTCAAATCTCCATAACTAGTAACAGCCGATAAAATCTTGCACTAATACTAATTTTACAAGACTAAAAAAAGTTGATTTTGCTTCTGCATGAAATGTGTAACTAGTTGTTTGAAATATTCATAGCTGATTAATATAGTAATTGCGTACTAGGATGTATAAAGAAAAAGATATCATGATAAAATCCTTGGGCATCAGGCGCTCACAGTCAATCTGCACATTTAGGAGATGTTGTGTATAATCTAGTCGAGGAGTATTTCGGCTCTTTTTCACTTGCCATCAAATGAACTTTACTTTTGTGCTACTTGTTCTTCGTTTATTCGCAGTTGCCCGCTCATTGCCATTGTTTGATGGTGATGGAAATGGTGATTCTGTTGTCAAGCTTGATTCATAAGTCTGTGAACCCAATTCCGAGTATCTCGAAGACTGTAACTTGTGTCTATGTAGTCCTGATGGTACAACAATAGCTTGTATTATCCTTTCATGTAGTTAAAAAGATATATATGTATATATGACTCACTAGCCATGATTGATTTCATCCTCTATACAAGCTAAAATAAACTTTTTCAGCGTCTAACCCATTCAACACACAAATATAGCCCTAGTGTGCCTCAAATCAAGTGCAGCACCCTTGAACTGAAAAAAATTGATGCGTATGGGTCATGGCAGATGCTAGGTTCGTTTAGTCGTGCAATTGACTCATACTTTGTAGGGCACGCTGTATAATTTTTCATCTCGCAGATCACTGATTTGAATACTCCTATTCTGGCCTTCCTCCTCACGTTCCTTCTTGCGCAATTGATAGAGAGAAGTCGCGGTGATACTCGAGATATTTTGGCCTTGTGCTACTGTCTTACAAAAAGCTAATTTCAAGAAAGATGTCATTTGTATCACCAGTGAGCTATTAAAACAAATCGTAAAAAGAGGCAGAAACTACAGAAACCTTCTTTTTAAGCTTTAGAATTCAAACACCATTGGTGTTGTTGTTGTGTGATTCTTAGATGCTACTGCTCTCGCCATTATGTTATCAGCAGCGTCGTTTCAGATTTAAAATTGCATGATATATGCTGACGCCATTGCTTTACTCATGCTTTTGAAATCGTTAGCAGCATGTAATCTATTCTTCCTATACACTAGATAGACCTAGTTTCAAGTTGAGATATACCTCTATAGTATATGTATTTACAACTCATTACCCATGAGCTTTTGCGATGTTTTGTGTAACCCAATGGTAAGCAAGGAAATGTGTTTACCTCCCATTTTTAAGGGCCGTATATACGCAGGCATCTAGTATATCAAATCTGATTTGTTTTGTATGTTGATCATTCAAATTACAAACAAATATATTCATTTTATTGGTATGGTACATTGTATCTTAACGTAATGAACGCTAGACAGAATGTTGAGATGCTATTTCATCAGATTTAAGGTATACTCCTTGTGGTATATGAACTAATGGGGTGGGCAAGCCATTTTTGTACAACCAGCATTAGCCTTTAAACCGTTAGAAGGGCAAATGCACCGGTTGCAGCCGTCGTCTGCAATGAAAGGCTCTCCAATGGTACACGTATCATTAGTCACGTTTGGAGGACAAGCCATTAGAGTACAAAGTGCCTCACTTTTAAGACCACTTTCAGGGCAACTACAAGTATTACATCCATCATCATTAATGAAAGGCTCTCCTGGAGCGCAAGTGTCATTGTCAGCATTGTTGATACAGGCCATAAGAATACATGCCGCCTCACACTTCAAGCCGCTTTCAGGGCATCTACAAGTATTGCAGCCATCGCCGGCCATGAATGACACACCAGGTGTACATGAGTCATCAGTAGCGAGAACCCCCAGCATAGGGAGGAAAAGAGCAGCAGCGAATAACAAGTTTGCTTTCATGATTATCTGTAGAATGTATCAATCAAAAGAATGTTATGAGAGAAACAGAATGTGCGTTAGCTCTTTTCGCAACAAAGAACCCAGTATTTAAATAAGATGTAGACATGTAAAGTCAGGAGTCAGGAGAAAAGAATTATCATTTTGAGTTTCTGCTTCGGCTCAGCGTTGATTCAGAAATGTATTTATAGAAACGCTCATTTAGCTCAATTACCTCGAATATGGAAGAGTGTTACATTGTCAGAATTTGCTTGATCTGTTTGGGCTAAATGTGCAATATCTCGACATCGTATTACATTACAGTCCATTGCATTCCTGCTATGAATCGTTGCTATCATGAAGTATTATTGCAGAATCTGGAAGATTTAAATACTAAAGCTCGCTCGCTTTTCTTATAAATGCGACATCGTAGCAACTGCTTATTCATCAAATGATTGATTTACTAGTATTTTCCCTTTTTTTTTGCTAATACAGTAGGTTAAAAGGGTCATCATGTGCTTTGAATGGGTATAATCTAGCACTCTCTCTTTCATCGAGCTCAGCGTCGGCCATGCTCCATATCAATTAGTTGGGTTGATAGACTAAAGCTGCCATTAGTACAGTCTGAGATCTGCTAGCTCTTATCGGGTTGGCACCAATATGAGGCATAGTTTCGGCTTCGATCACTCAAATCTGTAGCGTCAGTTCTCATCGATCTACAATACGCAATAAGCCAGCCCCTACCAAATTATTGTCGAAAAACGATCATTCAAGGCTAATCTTTGTTACAGTGGCGCATGTGAAA